TGGTGGTAACGAAGTTGACCAGGTTTGGCGAGTTTGTGAAATCATGGGAAGCCCTGGTCTTTGGGTCAACAAGCACGGTCAAAAGCTTGGAGGTGGAGAATGGAAAGATGGTGTCCGCCTGGCTGGCAAGCTTGGATTCTCCTTCCCGAAGATGGCACCTCATCCCATGGACACAATTCTTCAGGCCCCTCAGTGGTCCGCAAGTTTCGCACGGTTCATCACCTGGTGCCTGATGTGGGATCCTAATGCTCGACCAACTTCGACACAAGCCCTTCAACATGAGTACTTCGCTGATGCTGTCGATCCTGCAAGGCCCAAATCATCAAACACTGCCAAATTCCTTCGCAGCAAGAGTTCTACTCTTGGTAGTCTTGAGAATTCGCCAGAATCTAACCAAGGCAGCATCTCGATCAAGAAATCATCTTGGTTCAGAAAATCCATTAGCACTACAGACTTCACACCGCCTCCGGAGCACGCTCCTCAAGCGCCCACCTCCCATCCTACACCCATGAATGCTAGAGGAGTTGAAGGTGCCGGTTCGATCAAACTCCGCCCTCCGTTCGCCAAGAGAGCGACATGGAACAGTGCCGTACCAATCCCTATTCTTCCATCTATCAAGCCGGTTTCGCCGATACATGACGCTGTGACTGCCAGTGCTAAGACTGAAGCCACTGAGAAGAAGAAGATCTCGAGGCAGCTATCTGTCAACTCACATGGAAACCATTACGCAGAGTATCACCGTCAGGAAGCCGAGAAAGCTCTTAATGGTATGGGTGGGCTTGCATCACCTACTGGAAGCATCAGAGAGAGTTTCTTCTCTCACCTTCGCAAACGCGCCCGTAGATTCTCCGGTCGTAACCAGATTCCAGGATCACCTGGACCTGAGGAGTCAGAACCAACAAGTGTCGGGTGTGCACCTTGGGCATCAAGCAACCGGTCATCTATGTCTGTAGAACCACCCGCCCGCGACTCTGCCGCCGATACGGGATTTTCAGAACTCGATAAAGCTTTGGAAAGCGTCCGATCTAGCCTTGATGCACGCGCCTCAAATGCGCCTGCCAGACAGGTTCAACGCATGTCGAGCACGCCCATCCTCAAGCGACACCACTCATTGTCTACGGTCGCAGATGGACGCACCTCGCCTGCACTTTCTGTTAACGCACAGACTACTAGCCGAACACGACGATCAGTCAGGCAATCGCTCAATCCTCGTCAAAGATACGAAACCCCTGATGAGGAAGAAGAGTTACTTGACGAGGCATTGACCAACGCGCGTCGGGCAGCAAGGCGTCTTGAGAAGCCCACCCCAGCTAAGCCATCCTCGGGCAAAGAGAATACCAGACCTCCCATTGCGCACGTGACTTCAGATCCTGGCTACTCGGCTCCATATCTAACACCCTCTCCGTCCAAGGACAACAACATTGGTTTCGGCCAAACAGATATGACCCCTACTAAGTCTATGGTAATCACGCCACGAAGGCAGCGCGACAGTCTGAATCCTCAATGGCCCACCCCTCCTTACGATGATCACGAGTGGGCTTCATCGGCCGCAGCATCAATCCTTGCTGTACATTTGGACGCCAAGCTCAAGTGACCTGGTGCTACTCGCATCCCTGGTCGTCATTGTTTCGAATCAAACAGGCATCCTCGGTCCTCCACTGCATATGCTGTACTGATTTGACTTTCGCGCGTTGTACATACCGGTTATGTGCTTGTCACACTCTGGAGTTCTATCATCACTATCATCTAGCTGTCAGCATCTCTTAGCGTCACATCGGCGTTTCGTTTTTGTTTTTACATTTCCTTTCGACTACCCAGTTTCAGTTTCATACCCCGGTCCCGGCAGAAAGGACCATTGTTTTGTCGATCTTTGCTCGAGAAGGCACGATACCTTCTTTTGCATCTATTGCATATTGCACATAGCCACATCATCTTTTATCTTTACAGCAGATTCGCATACAGCGCTTTCCATATTTCGCTTTTCCTCCATTTGCTGGCGTAGACAGCGCGCCTCGACCTGACAGAAGCTGTTTAGAACTCTTCGAGCAACTTCAAATTTCTTTTGTCCTCACTTTCGATTCGGCTCCGGAGATGGGGCGATGGTGTTTTGGTGGCGTTTCCAACTGTACATCGACTGGGTGGAAACGAATGGAAAATGGGTTTATACATTATACCAGCTACAGTATGGCAGGGAAGATAGAGATACTGTCCACTTGTTTGTACATACGCACTCTTGAGATTTACAGCATCTTATCCCTCAATCCTTGCTTGGGAATGCCTTCAATCAATCGCTCATCAATCGTTTGCTTTTTCTCAGTCATCTCACGAAGTCTTTTGTTTTTTTCTTGTGATCTGACTACCACAACAAACACTGATTACGGTACCTTGGCCAGCAGACTTATGCACGAGTCAAGGAGTCACTTCGATAGCTCCATATTGAAACGACAGCTTGATCGATTCAGCACTGTATGAGTACCAAGAAGCTTTGGCGCCATTGGATAGCGACCAGATCGCCCCAGCGATCTGGAATAGGCAAGTGGAACAGTAACGTAGACTGTTAGTGCCAGTGACAGACACCATCGACAAGACCTTACTTGTACGCATGCGAAAGCCTGCGCAGCCAGCTATCGCGTAGCATTTATAGGACACGACTGGCGTGGATGTCGTGCATGCAAGCGTGCAAGCGCGCATCACGACGCGAATCCTGCCTGTTTAATGCAGGCTCGGTCCAGACAGCTGCAGGAGAATCTGCACCTCGAACGAGCGAGTAAGAACTGACACAGCAAGCCTCGGGATCTCAATTTCCCGTTGCGAGTCAAAAGGCGTGCTCGCTCGTGCAGGTTGCCGTTAGGACGAAGAGGGACTGCATCGGACGGCGCTGTCTCAGCTGTTCCTAGACCGCTGTCATCAACAGATTTGCAGCCAAAGCAAGTCGCGATGCTCCCCTGCCTAAGCTGAAGAACGCCAATGACTCGCATGTTGCTCTTGCCTTGGAAGTCGAGCACCCGTTGCGGACTGCCTTCAACGTCAGATATCCAACAAGAGCCGAATTGGAAGCAAGTCCAAAACCACTAAAGCCACGTCTTGCATGGTACTCTGATCTATGGTATGCTTCGGCCCGCTGCCTTAACCCTCTTTTTTCTTCTTTTTCTCCATCTCCGACACGGGCACGTGTGATTGAGCCGCGGAGAGATTCGAGTCAAACTCAACGTCTATTGAGCCCTACCTTTGCTGGCGCTCGATGGTGTCTAATCCCACCCAAAGTCTTCATTCAATATTGCCATCAAATGCCGACAACTTCCTTTTTCCTCTCAGCTTCGGGTACGTGTCCAGGACAACGAGTTTCGGGCTGAGGCAGTACTTACGCCTCAGACGAGACGGCTGCAATGATGATCTCACTTGCAGCGGATGTCCTGCAACATGCAATCGTTCATTGCTCACATCTCTCTCCACCTGGTTCCCGGGCCCGAGCCGCCTTCGATGAAGCACAAGGATTCCCGACTCGTCAACGAATCGCAGAGAGCATGTTGCTTTACCCTTGGGTGCGACGGGATTCGGGAATGGCTCCGAGAAAGGATGGCGGTCAAGGTTCAGCATAACATGCATGCATGCAGACAACACCACCATCAGTGTTCGGCAAAAGTCGATAACGAGGCTGTACAAAAGGTTCGTCTCTTCAGCTTTCGGAAGGAATCTTCGGACTCGATCGGATTTTGCAATCTGCTCTTGCATGGGAGCTTCTTGTAAAGGAACGAGGCACTTCATCGCCCGAGTGGAGATACCGACTCGTGCATCTGACCAGTCAACACATTCGTTTTGAACAAATGCCTATGATGAGAGTCAGCACAGCACTGCGTTGCAAGCCAGGGCGATCCCGGCCACCACCTTTATCTGCGGGACCACTGCATCGGAGGTATGGAGTTCTGTGAACGATGTTGTTTACACGACTTGACAGGGTACGTTTGGGCTTGGTATTCTCTGTAGCTTAAAGCATTACGGATCGAGATCACTAGCTTCAAACTGACCTTCCGCATGCATCGCTCGGACGACTCGTTGGTAAGCGTATGTATGATGCTCAAACAGAGCTATACAAAATCCAATGGACAACTTGGCAGGAGCAGTGACATACACCAACGCTGACGGGCGGTCGAAGGACTAGTTCATGGAAACGCTTTCTGACATAGAAGACCTGTCTGTTGCCACGGTATCGCTGACATAGAAAGCTCGTGGCTGAGACGATTGTGCTCAATTGCCGCGCTCTAGACAACACGATTGGAAGTCAGTAAGTGGTCTGTTCTGGCAAGAGCTATCTGGGTTTGACGGGCGCCGCCTTTCCCCTCCAGCAGACAGTGTTCTGACCTATGCTGAGCGTCATCAACAACAGACAAGTGCGGATGTCTTTCTGAATCGACAAACTTACAAGCTCATCAGTTTCAAGTACTCTCGTTAGCAGCACTATCTTAGTTCTTGGTAGGGCGACTGGTATGAAGCAATATGATAGAACTTCTGCTTCATCTACGCGTACGCGTTTACCAATACAGCTTTGATTTTAATCCTCTCGACGACCACATGACTGAACATCTAAATGGCTACATGGCAGCTTTCAGTGGTATTGAAATCAGACTTGGGATAGGAAGTTCGTTGATGGGACAACCCTGTTCTGTAATAATAAGGCAAATATCATATCATCACTGACCTATTGATAGAAACACTCGTTGCGCGATCTTAATTGATCTTATATCACGTACGTGTTTGCCTTTGTAGGTTTTGGTTATACGCTGCGCAAAGAGTAGGTATATCCTGTCGTTCCACATGCTTCGTGTAGCCTGATAGAAGCACCTCGGACCAATACCCAGCAAGCTCGAGGAGCATCATTTGTGTAGTTGAACATACTTACTTGCTCTCTGCGGTACAGAATGGTAAACTACAATGACTGCAAGCAGAAGTACACCACTGTCGATGAGCATGGCAATAGGCTCCATAACAACATCTTTGATCCTTCATCTGTATAACTTTGCTGTATCCAAATCCCCAACAGTATTGGAGCGATCGACAGTCCCAAATACAATATGTCCAACATCATCCTCTGATGCCGCGTCCCCAATCTTCACCGTCATATCTCGGAGAAGGCGAGCCCGATCCATAGCACTTAGACACGCTCCACCAGTAGGAACTTGCATGTAAGGGTTGTTGTATGTGAAACTTGAGACGTAGCCTATCATGTCGGGTGCGTGGCATAGATGACTGATGGCGGAGCCAACAGCCCCAAGCATGATGAGGACAACTGATGATGACAGGAGCAACGCAAACCAAAGATAAGTACAGTGATACACCTCGACCATGGTTGTGATTGTCGTGTTCGAACGCAAGGGGACAAGGGTAGCTTTTGTCAGCACCACCACTAGAGTCGAAGACNNTGCCAAAAGGTTCCAGATGTCATTAGAGGGACTAGGCAAAGCCGCTGTATAAGCCAGAGGTGCCATCGACAGCTGGTGATACGTATTGAGGAGTAGCTGAAGTTTGGATTGGAACATGTCAGTGGTGATATTCAAAATTTGAGGCTGATCTGAACTCGCTCTGCCAAAAGGCATTTCCGAGCCGCGGATGTAGAGTTCTGTTGGTGCAGAATCACCGACTCGAAAACTTCCAGTCGCTAAGGGCATGTTCTTCATGAGATTGAATGCGATTGCAGGGTCCTCCAGGCGCGTCAGATACGGATTCATGTTTGCATATCTGGTGGATGGACGTAGTGCAACGACTGCACAGCCATCGTCTGTACAGCGCGCACGTGCTTCGATATATCTCTGTTGTACCGTACAGTTTCGGAGTGCTAGTGCAAATACACCTCTTGGATCGGTGCTATCTGGAACCTCATACATAGAGCCATACAGGATATTACGTGGGTGTTGTAGGGACTCCATGCCGAGTGTTGTTGAGTTTTGATCACAGAATAGAGTGGTTTGACGATCAACGTTCGTTGGAGTGTTCGTGTCCAGGAAGAAGGAAGTCTGTGTTCCAGAAACCTTGTTGTGAAACGCAGATGACCCATTACTGGCAGACCAGACAAGTCCAAGATCATCTATCCAGAATCTATCATTCTTAGACACATTCAGTAACAAAGGGCAGTCCAATTCCATGTACGAGTCTTGGAAATCGGAATCCTGAACTATTCCAGCCTTGTTGACGAGACCGGAGATTGGCAAACCAGCAAGAGACGTATAGTTGTCTGGTGATGACACAGGGGGTACAGTTCTCCATCCATCTTTATTAGATGGTTCCACCATACTGACAGTCCTCCAGTTAGGGACCTTCAAGTTGCCCCAGACATCCTGGCCAGATCGTTTGACAAGATCTGGTGACAGCAAATTGGCATTGTAGAGAGAATTTGTTGCTGCAAGTCCTGTGGCGGTATCTGCCTGGGCAAAGACACTGCTGGTCATGTTGGGAAGCATTGCACCAGTTGGCATGTATACGAGACCAAGGCCGAGAGTCGTCGTGGCATCCATCCTGGTGGTCAGGATCCGCAGAGACCCTTGACCACCAAGCGGGGACAAGCTCCATAAAAGNAACAGATGGACTCCCATCACCGTAAACTTCCGGAGAAGAATCTGACTTTCGATGGCACCCCAGACAGTTTGACTGGCTAGAAGAAGTTCAAGGACACCCAACTGCATACCTCGCTCAGCATAGTATCTGGTCAATGTCTTGAGTGATTTCCCAGCAACGGCAGCGAACATGATTGGGAATATAGTTGGTCCCTTCGTCCGTCAGCTTGAAGTTCTGTCTGAACACATGACGGCGTGGAAAACTTACAAGNNCTGGGTGATCCTCTTGACATTTCGTCCGAGCCCATTATGTTCAATAGGTTGTCCATCGAGCTTGGCGGCAAGAGCAGCGAGTACTAGGGCAAATCAGCATTGTTTGTGGCTTCAGGTAGAGAGATCTTTACCGACAAAGGCTACTGGAACTAATCTGATCAAGACTTCGCCGACACTGAATAGTATGGACAGGACTGATCTATCTCGTAGCTTATGGGGTTGTTCCGGCCATCCTTTGATCTCATTGGCATCATCCAGAGCCTCTGATGTCAGCAGGGCAAATGACTTCTGACCCGACCTAACCGAGTCATACGACGGAGGAGATGGAGGTGAGCCGATGTTGGACATCTGTTTCTAACGTTCAGGTGTGTGGCTTCAAGTTGCGTCTGCAAGTACAATGCCGAAGTCATATTAGATCTACCTTCTGATATATATCTCGAATGTATGTAGCGCCTATCAGAACTCATCGTATGTTCCAGTCTCAGATAGAGAGTGTGGCCAACGTGAGATGTAGCAGCTCGAGGTAAGCGCTGGATGTATGCAGGTATAGTTGGAAGTGTCAGTGAACAAGCGCCAAACCCAACCGGCGAAAGGATATTTTCCGTCTTTTGGAATTCTCGAGCGTATTGCACTGGACAAAGATGCAGGGCCTCCACGAGCAAGAAGAATAGTCTCACGAATCCATGGGTAAAGGTTAGATTCTCAAGGCCGGCACTCTGGTTGTCATGCACCTGAGCCATAGCATCAAGCACGCCGAAACAGACGTGAGTTGAGTAGCTATGACTCGGACACTGCAGGCTGAGATTGATTCGCCCAGAAAGGTAACCTGCACAGGCTTACTTCGTCGTGTCGAAAGAGAGCATGTAAGTTGAGTAACTTGATGCCAACACAACCGGATTATGTGTCGAAGATGAACGTCTCTCGAACAACGCTCTAAAGCCATCACGAAATTGATTGTCGACATGCTTGTGAGCTCACTAGAGAGTTCGGTCAAGGATTCATCTTCAGCGTGTACATGTAGTGTATATCGTCCTATCATTCGGCGCTTGGATAGCATGTAGAGACCAATCAAACAGTCAGTTGTCGTTGGATCACAGCAACTTAAGCGCCAGACGTGCCGCACGGGACGATGATGATTCCATCTTTCAATTGATGTGCGGGAAGTCACAGGGACACAAAAGGACCGTACCTGCTTTGCAACAGATGCCAGGCGCGATGCCAGACTTTCGACTTCAAGTTCAGATGTTACTGCTTTGCCCTTGCCTTGTCAACAGGTCTCATTTATGTCGTACATAATTCTGTGCAACCAACCAACCTCGGGACATGCTCGGCTTCGAAACTCGCAAGAAGTGACATCTGGAACTGAGCTCAACGGACAGACTTTTTCTACAGAGGGATTTTTGTTCGATGGCGATTCGATTGTCGGAGACGATGGCCCATTTCCTTGTACTGTTGTACTCGAGTACAGTCCCTTCAACTCATGAATGGTGGAATATCTGAACTCGGCTCACCACTTATGCCGCGTTCCCCACCCGCAGACAAAAGACCGGGCATCAATGACCACACCAAGTACGCAAGGCGGGCTAACATGACCGGTGTATGCAGTGCATCGCTGCGCGACTTGCGATTGTATCTTGTCGAGGTTGATTTGGCTTTGTTGAATAACGACTGGCTGGTCAGAGACACATGTCCGCAAAGGACTGACGGCTTGCGGTTCCCCAGCGCGAACTGGAACAGCCATCATGCTCTAGGAACATGATTCGACCTTGCAAGAAGCCACATCCAATTCAATCGCCAATGGAAGCTCAAGACCAGCTTCCATCTGGATCACTTCCGTTCTCAAATCAGCAGGATAGTTCGCGCGAGCGTCCTGACAGCGACAGCCCAAACGTCTTTCTGGGACAATCGATAAACGTGAAAGTCGACTGCGCCGCGGCCGCGCACGAGCACGATGGACACGTTTTTTTTTGCCATGGTTGTCAGATCCACACCCCTGACGCTAATCATCTTTAACCGAATCACCCGGCCAATGATTGCTCACTCCACACACATCACAAGCATGTGGCTTCCCAAAGAGACTCGGGCTCTAGACTCAAACTGGTATGGCGCCAGGCACAAAAAGAAGAATTGGCCACACGGACACAACAGACCGTACTGCGGTTGCATGGCTATCTGCAAGATTGGACCAACTCGTTGCACCGCAACTGAGTACAGTACCTTGTCACGTCTTGTCTCTGCATCGGCCAAGTCTGCAGAGTTTTTCTTTGTGCGAAGAGACTAGCATGCAACAGTGGAGAATACGAACGATGCAGATGGGCCGTCTTCTTTTGCTGAGCTGCAAGAGAAGACTCTAACCACCCCGCAACCCGGCCCAGGAGGGATGTGGCGCATGTTATTGGGTCCGTTCAAAAAAGCCTCCAGGGGAAAGAAGCGCTAGACAGGTACCGGTTGAGCTCGGGAGGGGAGGACCGTCTAGCGGTCTTGCATTGAGGATCCGAATGGACTCCACAGCAGTGCTCTGGCACTCTGTTCGCCAAAAACTACAAGAAGGAACGATGCATCCTCCTAGGTGTGCTTTCTCCTTGTTCACAGGCTTGAAGTCTTACGGTTGTGTATCTCACTTTCACTCTCATTTCTTCCCCATTCACTCCTTCTTCGTTCTAGGAATCAAGTATTCCTATACACTCTTTCACTCATTACCCACACACCCACACGGTCTTAACCACCTCAGAATTGCTAGCCAATTCGTTCGATCTTCCATCAATCTAAGGAATACCAGCTTCACTCTTTCAAGCCTCTCTCTTCATCACCATTATCAAAATGAAGTCCTTCGGAATCATCGCTGCTTCTGCACTCTTTGGAGCCATTGCCAACGCCGCGCCTCTTAACAAGCGTGATGTCGTCTGGGTCACTGAGATCGAGACCGATATTGTCACCGTTCCCGTCACTATGACCGTCTGGGCCGGTGCTGAGGAGACCACTGTATCGACCACCACTACTGCAAGCAGACACGGACACCAATTCTTCCACTCCAAGGCTTCTACCACCTCTACTCCCGTCGCTGTTGTTTCTACTACCAGCAGCTCCTCTGTTTACGTCGCTCCCACCCCATCGAGCACCTCGGTCTACGTCGCTCCTACTCCCTCGACTACTTCGATCTACGTTGCTCCTACTCCTTCGACTACTTCGATCTATGTTGCACCCACCACCAGCAGCTCTGAGGTCTATGTCGCTCCTACCACCAGCAGCACCGAGATCTACGTTGCTCCCACCACTTCCTCTGTTTATGTTGCACCTGAGACTACTTCGACCTATGTTGCACCCACCATCGAAAGCACTTCAGCCTATGTTGCTCCCACTACCAGCACTACCAGTAGTGCTCCTGCCGCAACCACCAGCGCCTCATCTGGATCCGGTGTCAGCAGCGGAATGGCTGCATCTGGCACTGAATACTCTGGAGACCTGACTTGGTACGATGTTGGCCTTGGTGCTTGTGGTCTGACCAACGTTGATGGTGATCACATTGTCGCCATCTCCCATGTGATCTTCGATGCCTACTCCACTGGCAACCCCAACACCAACCCTCTCTGTGGCAAGTACGTTACCATTAACGGCAAGGATGGCCAGGCCCACCAAGCCAAGGTCGTCGACCGCTGCGTTGGCTGTGCTGAGGCCGACCTTGATCTTTCTCACGAGTTCTTCAACTCTGTCACCTCCAACGGCGACGGCCGTGTCTCTGGCATGTCCTGGACATGGAACTAAGTCAATCATTGCTCCAAAATTGATGCCAGTCTACTCAGTTACTTCTGCGAAGTCAAGTAGACCGGCCATCACTCACTCATTTCGTATCTCACTTTCGCTAGCGCCGCGAGCTCGGTGCTTTGCATGATCTCTATAAACGAATTGGGGAAGAAGGCAAATGTGACAGGCAGTGCCTGAGCATAAAGGGATGAAACGGTGGCATGTTATTTCAATTCTTTTCTATCTGTTGATAGCTTTTCTTCTCTTCTTGTTGCTATGTTCTTTGGGGATGCGATTTGGAGATTTTATTGTCGATATTATCAAAATGAAAGATGTACGCGTCTTTGCTACTGCACGAAACTTCAATTGCCCATTGTGACCTTCTGTGCCCTCGAGTGTGCAGTGGCATCATCGCAACGTTGTATTGGGAAGCTGATCCTACTCTGCCAAGAGCGTCCTTGACATCTATTTTGGGAGCGCAATAAGGCCGGCGCAACGTCAGGAAAAACGACTTGGCGAGGCTGTTGAATTACCTACTTTGCGCAGCAATCACAAGGTGACGGACTACAGTTGCAGTTTTGGTTCCAGAGGCTGTGTGCGATGAGTGTGTCGAGTAGCGAAGCAAAAATAGCCTGGTTCGACTGTGGAAGGAGCGAAAGTCAACGCGCATAGTTCGATCAGGTGCTCACGCATAAATCGGCTAGATCAAGCTTGGCTAAACCTTGCCATTCGCAGAAGGTGAGAAGGGCTGGCCGCAGTCGAGTCGTGTTGCTCGAAATGAGGTGTTGCTCTGGCCATGAAATTGGTACAACAGTTGGTAGAGATGACGCTCATGAGCAGGGACAAACAGAAGAGCAGGTTGCCATGGACATAACAAGCAGATTACCGTGACGTTTGGTCGGCAGCGGACGCTCGAACGAGGCACGGCAGACATCCGAAACAGGGATAGTTTATGGCTTCAACTTTAATGATTGGCTGAGGGTATAAACGAGGAGGCAGACGATGAAACCTCAAGTGCGAGACTGTGGCAGCCCTGGCTTTTTCAGACAGTGATTCTGTTGTTCCGATTGACGTCTTTTGAGCAGCAAGAAGCGATAGTTAGCAAAGGCTGGCAAAGAGGAGCACAGAGAACAAGATCGCGATCACCGCTGCACGCACGTATCAAGGATCGAAGGAGTCAAGGACAAGCGTGGTGTGGAAAACAGCGGGCCAACACGAAGATCCCGCTCTGCTTCGAATGAACAGGGACCCTTGGCCTTGAGACAAGACTCTGCCGAGCTGAGGAAGAACGTCTCCAACACACATACACCTCGACCTGCATTTGCATTTCCATTCTCAACCACCTGTTCGATAGTCAGCCCTATCTCAACCTGACTCTTGTCGACTTCTGCACATCACTTGCCGACACCTGTATCCCGCCTATCACTTTTCTGTCGCATGAGAGCGACTTCCTCGACCGGATAACAATCGACTCGCTCCTGGCTGTCAGACCGCAGACATGTCCAACTCGACAGGTAAAGCGGCCGTGCACCGCCTTCTTTGTTCGCGACTGACAATGGAATAGCTGCCATTACCACGCCGGTCTCGTCGACTTTCCTTTCAACCACTTTCGCTCAAGCCCAAACATCGACCCAAGATGCCGCCCAGTCGTCCGCCTCGTCCGTCGTCGCAGCTTCGGTATCGTCCGAGGTCTTTCCTTCCGCATCCCAGATGGCTAGTACTGTGACCGTCGAGCCGTCCTCGACCAACGTCGTCACTTCTATCGTATCTGCCTCTTCACAGCCTCCTTCGACCCAGCTCATTACCTCCGTCGTCACCGAAAGCCCTTCGAACGGCGGCTCAACCAACGCCCCCGTCACAGTTGTCGTCACCTCCGTCTACAATCCTTCAACCACCACTGCCGCCCGAGGCTCTACGACCTCTTCTGCTGCTACTTCTTCATCTTCAGCAGCTGGAAGCCTACCAAATGGCACTACTAGAAATGGCTCAAATAACTCACATGGCCTCAGCACCGGAGGAAAAACCGCCATTGCCGTCGTTGTCCCTGTTGTAGTCGTCGCGCTTTTAGTTCTCGCTGGTCTGTTCTTCTGGAGGAAGCGCAAGCGAAAGATCGCCAAGGAAGAGCGCCGAAAAGAAGTCGAAGAGTACGGCTACAATCCCAATAACGACCCTACCCTGCCTGTCGTTGCTGCAGATGGATCTGAGATGGCCGAAGATTCTAACGGCGGCTACCGTGGCTGGGGCAACACTTCAATGTCGAACCGCAAGGCTTCGACCACACTCTCTGGTGGTCATACTGCTGGTCAATTGAGCGATACTGGAAGTCAACCCGGAGGCTTCATGCCTGGCAGTCCTACTGGCAATAACTTCTCGGATGGACACAGTGGCGACACTCTAATGAACCAGCGCGAAACTTTCAGTAGCGACGATCTTGGTGCCCTTGGCGCAGCCCCCGTCGCTGGTGCCCACCGTAACAACAACGATATTCGCCGCGGACCTTCCAATGCGTCCTCCTCTTATTCTGCTGGCAACCATAGTGAGCGTTCAGACGCTTCAGCGGGTATCGGTCAATCAAACCAAGCCTACTCGCCCACTGAAATGTATGGAGGCAGCTACGGTGGCTTTGGTAGCACGGCCCATACGGCGATGGCTCGTATGGTGGCGGTGACAGCGGTATGCCGATCGTTCGTGATGTGAGCGCTAGAAGGAATACACGTATCGAGGCCGGAGGCAACTACCAGTCAGGAAACAGTGGTATCGCGCAGAACTTCTGAGGCCTGTTCCGATACTCTATTTCTTTGAGTCTTCACGAATTTCCTTTTTGTCAACTCAGCCAGCGCCTTCTGAACGTCACTTCACCCGGGATCTTAGCATATCCCCCTTCTTCCTTGTCCTTTCTCTTTGTCATCTCACTTGATTTCTTGGGTACAGCGCAGGTCGGATGTTCATACAATTTGTCTCATATTTTCTATCTCTCTGCTTCTTGCACTCTCTTGACTGCTGTTCTAATTGTAAATTGTTCCTCTCACCGAGGACTCCTGGAAAGACATTGGTGGAATGAAGGTGGAGTGGGCTCAATAATTTGACAAAAGGAAGCTTGTGATGGACGAAGATGAAGGACAAGACTAGTCTCTTGATCGGTTATTTACATATCCAAAAACATATTTTCTTACGATTCTCATTCTATGCTCATCGCTGACCAGATGGACCATGTGCTTTTTGCGAATTGTGACTGTTATGTTTATTTCTGGAAAGGAAAGTGCAACGAGTGACGTCGATCTCAAAACGCGACTTCCTGATGGATTCGCGTCGTCCACGACACACGAGACACAACTTTTTGGAAGGAAGCGATTCATATGATCACTTCCCCAAACCATCGTTCTGAACTTCGACCATTCATACAACACGCTCACGACATGGATGCCATTCTGATCGGCCTTTGGCCATGATGCCGCATTATGCGACCGTATTCTTGCCGCCGCAAGTAAGTTCTATCTACGACCCTGTTGACGGCTATGAAGAGGCAGTTGCAAAGTACCATGACCGACCAAGCTCTGGCTGAGGTCCCTGGAAAGGTATCAAGAACCCGGAATTGACGCGTCTGTCGCAACTCTATCGGCTTGTCCACCTGGGGTTGTAGCATTCGTGCTCCCGTAATGAAGGATATGGACAATGACCGCTCTGGAGCCAAGACAGCGCTGGTAGGCCATGGCAAGCGATGAGCCCGACCACACCTACCGAGACCCTTGATACTTCTGCTCTGTCTCTGTGCGGACTTCTGATACAAGTGATATCCTTTACATGACACCATCGCTGATTTGTTTGTAGAGGAGAACCGCGATCAGATGCAACTATTTGTCGACATAGCCAGATACATGTCCCAGTACATGTCCGGGAAGAGAACCTCCGAAGACGATGCCAATCAGGCTCCGGATGCAAAGAAGAGAAAGGTGCAAGCCGATGGTCCTGCTGCCCCTCCACCGCCAGCTTCCAACCCGACCGCCGTCCTTAATCAACAAGACGTCACCAATGTACTATACTCGGTACCAGAGACGAGCTTTGCAGTACCACAAAGGAAAAAGATGACAGTACAATTGGCCGCAGACCCTCAAAGACTCGAAGAAGGAGCACTTAGGGTCGTACATGAGGCATCAGGTGTCAACTTGGCCATTCCGTTTAGCAAGATTGGTAGAACACATTCCAAAACCATTGGGCAGATTTGAATGGTAGGAAGCTGACAACCATCGCAGAGCAAGTCTTCTGTCTACCCGTGCCCGAGAAAGCGGCGAGGCAATGGAACTTCGTTATCTTCGCCAACCAGACTATTGATTTCAAAACAGGCGACAGAGCCATTGAGGCTGAACAGATAGTGTGGACCATGCCGGAAACAGCCCCTGCTAACGTCACGGCTGCCGAAGGCTTCAAACCGCTAGATGTTGATACCTATGTGACCAGCACCATGAGGTCGCTCAACGCCTGCATGAAAGGTCATGGCAAGAGTGTTATCATCCCCACTGAGCAAGAGTTCGCGAGCGCAATACCGCAAAGCCATAGAAAGGGCGAGGCTGCATACCATGTCAAAGCTCACAAGGGAAGCAAAGATGGTAAGATGCTTCCAAGCAAATAGACAGACTTCATCTCTGATACACTGCAGGTTACCTCTTCTTCCTTTCTGCAGGCATTGTTTGGGCCTTCAAGAAGCCTTTGGCACTTTTCACATTTGAGAATATCGAAGCCATCTCATACACATCTGTCCTACAACGCACATTCAACATAGTCATAACCACTATGCCAGACCCTGTCACCGGCGAAAAGCAAGACATCGAGTTCTCTATGCTGGACCAAGCAGATTTTGCTGGCATAGACGAGTATGTCAAACGTCACAATCTCAACGATGCATCCATGGCAGCAGATCGCCGTGCTAAGAAGCTCAACATCAACCCTAAACCGAAGACAGAGGCCACAGATGCAAAGAATGCAGACGCAGCAGGTGCAGATGACGATGATGACGAGATGACCGAGCTCCAAAAGGCCGAGCAAGCGTTGCAAGATCAAGAGGACGAGGAAGAAGAGGATTATGATCCTGGCTCCGAAGGCGAGAGCGAAGGTTCCGGATCCGATTCTGAAGACGAAGAAGATGGTGGCGCCGAAGGCGGCGATGAGGATGAGGAAGAAGAAGAAGAGCTTCTCGAGGATGAGGGAGGAGTAGGAGCTCGATTCGTTCTTCGAGCCTTTTCATGGGAGGCTTGCAATCCCCAACATGAGGGTAATATGTGCAGATTGCCGATTCTGGTATGAAAACACGGAAATTTGGCAGTCTCGACAGTGAGTAGTACCGAGAGTGGTATTCATGTTGCTATTGCATGGCATGGTTTACAGAGAGGTCGTACTAGAAAGCGCAAGCTGTCATGGACGAGTATCGCTAGTCAAGGGCATCATTGAAACACTTGATGACCGAGATGTAACGCGAGATGTCAAAACGTGTTGTCAGTATAGTTTACAAGAGAATAAGAGTAGAAGATGAGGTGATGTGCCGGATGATCCTCGTAAGATCCCAGAATGTTACATTTTCCAGAACGCCAACGAGCAAATGCAACACTCCTCTAACAGCTCTGTGCACCACCTTCACCCCTGGCCATCTTGGCGCCAGCAAGCAAAACGCTAATGCTCATGACAATGCAACCAAAAACTATGCAGACGTATGCAGCGTACGTCTCCCACGTTCTGCGTTGGGTGAGCTTGACATAGCACAATGGCGGCAAGATGTAAGCAAGGGCGCAAGCACTGGTGGCACCAACGAGCTCAAACACGATGCCAAGGTCGCAGGTCAGTAAACTGAGTCCCATAGATGAGACAACCAATGCAGTGGTGAGGATAAGGTGACGGTTGGGGTCAAAGGGCTCGTGGGAGAAATAGTAGAGGTTCATGACCTCTCTGCAGACGAAGGCCTCCAAAGGTAATGTGGTGAGCATGTTGAGACCGAAGCATCTGAAAACGACAAGTCAGTCATGTGAGCTCGATGAGATTTAAGAGACTTACAGTCTGGCAATGTTGACCAATATATTGTCTGTAGGAAAGTTATTGAGGACATTGCCCTGAGTTAAGCTCCCGAAATTCAGGTAGCCGGACAGGGCCATTGCGAGACAGGCAAGCATTGAGATACTGGTTGAGTAGTGGGTGACCTTTGCAAAGCGATCCATGGTCGGCTTCTGCAATGATCCATAGATGAGTAGACTGTTGTGGTCTNNGGCAGTTCAGGTCAGTAGGGTACGAAATAACCAGAGCAGGCACAAACATACGGCAGACGAACGCTGGTACAAGTTAGATATGTGATCACAAGATATGGATGATAGATACGTACCGAAGGATATAACACCGATGGCCTGGAAAACGCCGTTGTTAATTATTAGGGATCCTTTGAGTGGGCCTTTCATCTCGGCAGGAACTCTTGGCCCTTGTGTGATGACGGTGATGACAATGATGAGCATACTGAAGAGGGCGAGCGAACTAGCTTTTGCAAGCTAGAAATGTATTAGCAAAAGTTTCATAATAATGAAGACGCTCGAGCAACCTTTNGAGATGTCTCTATACAAGGAGAAAGGGTATGAAATGCCCATGATGAACACGACTATGACGAACTTCCTGTCGGTCAGAAGCCACAGGAAATGACTATCTTCTAATGAAGGAAACAGAGCCGACATGACATGCGGTATGGTATCTCCGACGATGATACAGAAGGCGATCATGCCACCGAAAGCANNCTAGAGAGGTCAGCAATGTCGACATGAGGTATGTGGGAGTTGTCGGATGAATTACAAGGCCCATTGTGCAACGGAGATAGCAACAAGGCCGGACTTGCCAAAGCAATGCTCGACTGTTGCCTGGAAGGAGTTGGTACCACTAAGCTTGGAGTTTGTGACAATCAGACGGATGGTCCAATCAACGGTGACGGTCAAGATGATGAGGAGGATGACACCGGTAAGCAGACCGGCTTGGCGAAGAGCGTAAGGTTGTCCAATGATGCCGGCACCNACTGCAATAATGGGTCAGAGGATAGACAAAGAGGCTGGGCAGAGGCTCAAGGCTCACATGATACTATTGGCCATGTTCATAAAGGCGCTAGACATGGAACTCTTGGGACGAGCACTCTCCAGAAGTTCATGAGGGTCAAAGTCAGACTCGGCCAGGGTGACAGCTGGGGCCTCGATGCCTGTCAGAAGGGGGNNAGCACGTTGGCCGGCATTGTGCCTCCTCTCGCTCCAGTTGTCTGCAGTCAAATAGTCCTCCCTCTTCAATCAGGTCTTGGTCGTTTTGTTGGACATTGTCGAGACTACCNNACGGATTGAATCTTCAATGTCGAAGTGGACACGGTTTGTTGTTCGAGGAGTGCCGGCAGGGCGTGGTTGGGCGAACGAAGACTGCCTCCTAGGCGGGAAAGAAGGTGGACGCGGTGAGTGCGAGTTGGAAGCAGCATGAACTACGATGTCGCTGTCGGGAGAGGCGTCTCGTGGGGACTCGTCGTAGGAGAGCAGCCGACTATGTTCATATTCCTCGTCGTCTTGAACGACGTGGCCGGAGCCGGGTGTTGTGCTCGGGTGCTCGCTAGCCATGACATTGCGCTTTGGTTCAGACTCGTCTCAATCCTCCATCGTGCTTTCCTTCAGTTTATCCAAACGTGACGCGTATTATTATGTGTTGTTGTCCACTGCGCAAGCTAGCTAGCCCTCCTTCCCGCCGGGACAACCCCACCCGAGCCACAACCACCTTCCTACTCTAATCTCTTGTCTATGCACCATCTCCCATTCCTTCCACTCCTTCGCTTTCTTGTCATCCCTGCCCGACCAATTTATATATATCATACTCAACGAATCCTCAATGCAACGACGATCATCTCACGTAAGACCTTTGACCATATGTGGCACGAGAGAAAGCGCTTTGCACCATGACCTTGCCTACAAATATCTTTGCCATGTCCATCCCCAAAACATGCTGTTTGTTAGCTTATGTTTGCTGCTGCTTCTCTTTCCTGCTACACAACAACTATGTCACTCTTTGTCTACTCTCCAACTCTGTTAGCACTGGGTGCTCTCTCTTTGACCCTTCTCTATGTCGCCTATCGTGCAGCCTTGCCTCGTCCAATCCCAGGCATCCCTTACAATCAAGAGGCTGCAAAGTCCATTCTGGGCGACGTGCCTCAGTTCCTGTCTTATGTCAAAGAGAACAACGGCCAGGCTATTAGATGGTGGCATGAACAACTCGAAAAGCATGATTCTCCCATCATCCAACTATTCTTGTCCCCTTTTGGTCGTCCTGTAGTCGTCATAGCCGACTTTCGTGAGGCCCAGGATGTCCTCCTCCGCAGATTCAAAGAGTACGACCGCAGTCAGGTCTTTGACGATGTCTTCAGCGGTGTTCTTCCTCATCACCATATCATACAGAAGACAACCGAGAAAGTCAAAGCGCAGAAACGCCTGTTGGCCGATACTATGCTGCCATCTTTTCTCGAACAGGTTGCTGCCCCTCGTATCCATGAAGCAACGCTAGACCTCGTACGGTTGTGGAACTTGAAAGCAGATCTTGCTCAAGGCCGACCTTTCGAAGCCCATGAAGATATAGCACACACCGCGCTTGATGCCATTTGGGTTGTCGCTCTAGGCTCTTCAGCCGACACTATTGCAAATCAGGCGAATCTGTTAGCGACCACGTCAGGAATGCAACTTCCGGCAGACGAGGATGTACCAGTCGTTNTTCCCCAAGCTCCTCATCCACCAGCCTTCAATGCGGTCTTGACCATGGTGGAATCCGTGACTCCCTTGATATCATCTCCATTCCCCAAACTTCATCATTGGANNTTTTTGCGGCAGAGCAAATCGTACAAGGATGCCAAGCGGTACAAAGACCAGGAGATAGAGGTCATGATGAAGGCAGCGATCGACAAGTTCTCTGAAGATCAGATTGATGCTCTGGAAAAGCAGGGCAAAGATCGATCGGCTCTGGATCATATGATTCGACGCGAGCTTCTGGCATCTAGGAAGGAAGGCAGAAGTCCTCAGTGAGTTCTTACAATAGTTGCAAGAGCCATCATACTGACCCAACCTTAGANNTACAATACGCCTGCAGCANAAGATGAGCTCTTTGGGTTTCTCATAGCCGGTCACGAGACGACCGCTACAACAACCGCTTGGTCGGTCAAGCTGCTAACTGACAACCAGCAAGCACAACTCAAGCTTCGTGAAGTATTGCGCTCAACCTACACTGATGCTGCTGTTGAGAAGAGGCAACCTACCGCCAAAGAAATCGCCACCTTCCATCATCCTTATATAGATGCCGTGTTGGAGGAACTACTGCGTTGTGCTGATACAGCAGCCGTGCTAAGCCGAAAAGCAGTCGTCGACACAGATATATTCGGCATTCCAATTCCCAAAGGTACTGATCTCAATTTTATGACATACGCCGGATATGTCGCACCGCCTGTTGGGGTCATAGAGGAACACACGCGTAGCGCCAGCAGCCAGGCATCCAAAGACAAGACTGGTATCTGGGAAGTGTCTGACATAAATCTCTTCAAGCCGGAGCGCTGGCTAAGGCCGACTAACGAGAAAGGCGAAGTCGAGTTCCAGAAGAACGCTGGCCCAAACTTGCAATTTGGCGCAGGGATTCGCGGTTGCTTTGGTATGTTGGACTGCTTCACAAAGAAGAAGAAGAAAGCTTCTGACCATCTCACAGGACGCCGACTAGCATACATCGAACTTCGTATGCTTATTGTCTTCATCATCTGGAACTTCGAACTCCTCCCAGTACCAGACAAGCTCAGTACTTACCTTGCGGCTGACAAAATCACCCATCAGCCTCAGAAGTGTTATCTTCGCTTGAGAAAGGCTGGCTGGTGATCGTAAGCAAATCCTAGTCTGAAGCAGATAGAAAAGTATACAAATCGTGTCTGCCATCACCCGATTCAGATTCAATCTGGTGAGCCTGCGAGATGCGAGCGTACATGACACTAATGATTAGAGGTTGCTTCTACCCCTGCATTAGACAGCGCGACTGTGCGTTTCGCTGGACACCAACCAGGGCGATAGAGCAAAGCTGTGGAGAAGGTCTCCCCGGGTGATGAGATTGAACCATTTGCCAAAAGGGAAAGCGGATCCACGCTAGTAGCTCGGACATGCAAGCTTATCTCCGCGTGTAGATTGATAGCGGCTATTTCAGGTTCCTCGAGACTGCTTACTGCAGGTCTTATATCGCGCATCAAACCACTGGCTCGTATCCGGTGATTGAGAGAACCAAGACTGCAGACATAGCTCTGCGGCACTTCTCAGTAAGCAGACAGTGCTAAAACATCATGTCGGCAGCCTGTGGATAGTAAATGTGTGCTGCACGATGCCGCAAGCTGACGTATCAGATCTTCCCCGACATCGAGGAACGCTAGCGCAGTTTGGCATATCCCTAATTGCATCTAAATATAAGGGGTTTTGTAACATCGCAACAGGATAACCTGAAGATGTTTGATGGAGATTGTTCTCCTTTAAGAGGAAAGCGTAGATAGCGGACTCGAAGAGCCGCATTGTGTTGTTGATTGGTGATTATCGTTCCGGAAGGATGGGTGTAGATCGATGTTTTAGACTTGCCAATAAAAAGAAAAGCAAGGGATGCGGGCGTCAGTTTGTATCGGACATGTTGTTGTCCGTCGTCCACGTTCGAATCTCTCCTTTCTTTCCCACTCTCCCTTGCAACGTTCTCTCTTCGACAATTTTTTCTCGTGTCCTCCAGTCATCGTCGGAAAGGACACGTTATCGCAGTGCCAGAGCATAGAAGCGACTAGCTCTTTCCCGAAACCTTCTATTCAGGTGCCAGCAGTCGCAACTTCCGACCCCAGGATTTGTAAACCCTTCCTTGGCCTTGCGTAACATCACGCCTTCCCACCTCTTTACTTTTGCTTCTCCACTCAACTTCTTTCTCGTCATTCTCTTGTATACCACCTTTTTCATTTGCGATTTTTGCGCAAATTTCTGGATCAGTTTGCGACCGTTGTCTTTGCGGACTTAGTTGTTGCGCATCGCCTCCGGTTCCCGTATCTCTTTCGGCGCAAACCGGTTCTTGAACGCGACGTTCGCCTTGCTGCAGATGAACCACTAGGAACTGGTCTTTTGAACGTTCTTCCAGGTCATGCAAAGCATTTTCCGCCTGCCATGGTGTACGGATCCTTCAGGCGATGACAAGCCCGAAAAGGCCATGTTGCCTAAAATGCGCCAACCACCTGTGGTTGACATGTCCCTGCTCAGCAAACTAAAGCGCAAACGAGCCGGTAGCCCACCTTTCGACGCTCTTCCTGCCTTCGACAACGCCAAGCGCCTCAAACTCTCAGACTCTGATCATGATTCGTCTCTGCCTGGAAAATGGCAGTCTGACTCTTTGTTTGATGTTGCGATGTCCGAGCCTGTATCGCACAACTCTGCTAATCAAAATAATCAAAATGTGAAGGCAAATGTTCCACTGCTTACTCCAGATGTGTCATTCGCTGCTTCCTGCGCCGCAAAGACCACAACATCAATACCTACGCCTTCTGCCAAGCCAAAACAACCTTCAGAGACTAACGACAAGCCGAAAATCATGGATGGAACGAAAGGGGTACAGCTGCGAGACGTTCTCGAACACCAGTTCAACCTCGAGATCTTACTCAAGCATCGTGAACTTCGACTCATCGAGCAAGAGCTTGCCAAATGCCAGACTGCGCTCGAGCAATTACGAAGATGTGAGGTCATCCCGTATCCTGGAGCTATTGGCCTCTCCGAATCTCTTTCTTCTGGCACTGGGCCTGCATTGAAGCCTCAGATTGGATTCACTCAGCCGCAAGCGCCGTCCCCGTGGGGTGTTACTGATGGTCCATACACAAGGCATTATGCAAAATGGCTTCTCAACGACCCAACCTTCGATTCATTACCGTTCAGTCAAGTTATGCCGGCATTGAACAACTATGCGATGCAGCCTGAAGGTCGATCCACGCGTAACAGTGGTGCTGGTCTAAGCAAGACTGGCAGATCTCGCTCTACGCGTGATTCTTTCGGTAACCTCAACCAAGCGTTACCCAACTATCCTTCTCAGCCTCGTGGTAAACAAGGTCCTTTGGTCATAAGAAGACTAGCCGACAATCTGTTTGTCAAGTTGATTTGCAACAACTGTCAGCGAGGTGATTTCTCTAGTGTTCAAGGGTTCTTGAACCATTGCCGTATAGCGCATAAGGTTGATTACAAGAGCCACGAAGCCGCGGCTTTGGATTGTGGAAAGCCCTTGGAGGAGGATGAAACCCACCTGATACCTCAGGGTGCTCCTGCAGCGCCATCTGGCGCCTCAAAACCACAGCAGGCTCCTAAACCCGCTGTATCGCAATCCATTCCTGCACCCTTGGCTGGTTTCGTCCACCCGCTGAACGCTCAAGTTCTGCCACGCTATACGTGGAAGAGGCAGGCAGACGAAGCAAGAGCGTTATCTTCTCAGTCACAAAACCGTCGCGCAGTCGCAAGCAACACCTCTACATCTACAGCAGCAGCTTCTTTCCATGCAACCCCCTTGGTAGGATCATCGTTCGCGCCATATCTCTCTGCTCAGTTTGCCAAACGAAATCTCGGTGGAAACTTGCAGCACGCGACTACTCAAGCTCGTGAGAAAATTGACCTTGGTCCGGAACCCATTGAGGACGAGCAGTCAACAGCAGCAGGCAGCGAAACGCCTAAGCCCCATGGCGCATCAACCATCAATGCCAGCAGACCTTTGGACAAGCCGGTACATGAAGGATCACAGGGTCACAAAGGATGGTATGCACCTATCTCGCGCCCCCGTGTCGCACCAATCATGGCCCGACACGTTTCTGCAGAGGTGATGGACTCACCACCCACTCTTTCGCCGCACGCAGTGGACAGCAATCCGGGACTCGTGTCTGATCATGAAGATGATGATGCACCTTCCGACTTGGACGATGTGCATTCAGAACGTCATGAATCCCCTAACGCAGTGAGCGGGCTCGGTGCTCTCAGGAACCGAACATGTGGAGATGAGATAGATGAGGATCTCGAGATCGATGTCAACGACGAGGCAAACGGACACAGTGTACTGATTCGACCTCGAAGCTTGGGACTGCAGATGCGCTCGAGTGGTAGTCCTAGCAGGGCCAAGTGATGGTATTACAAGAGAATGAGGTACCATACATGTTTGAAAGGGCTGAAGGATTGAATGTTGCAAGCTTATCACTGTACTTTTATTGATGAAGATGGAGGACTGTTCGTTTCGTTAGAATGTTCTTATTAGACATGAAATTGGACAAAAGCTTTTATTATCATTTTGAACATCTCTTTCTTGTTTTATGTTGCTCATGTCTGCATGATATTAGAGCAAAGGAGAGCGTTCATGTCTAGCTATTAGAATGTGCGGACCGACAGACTCTAAACAATCAACCGCCGCTGGCTTCACGGTAGAAGCTGATGCTTCTGTTTGCACCAGCTGTGACAAAGATCTCGTTTCTTGTCATGGACGTCTTGGGTAGCCATTTCACGGCCCAGAGGGTCTTGTCAGACTCTGTCTGAGTAGCGACACACTCGCGGCGCTCGACACTCCAGACCTTTGCCTTGCCGTCATAAGCACTGCAACACTATCAGTATCATACTCGCAAGGAGAAGGACCGTTTTCAGAGATGGGAAAGAGTAAAAGACATACCCGCTCAGTAGATTCTCGCCCGAAGTGCTCCAGTCCAGACTNNCATGACCCAACTCTGCGAACCAGTGAGGTTGGCCACCTGCTCTCCATTCTTGACATCGTACAAAGCAATGATCTTCGCATCACCGCCAGCAGCAAGGAACTTGCTCGCAGGCGAGAAAGCCACCGTCCTCACAGGCTTGACCAGACCTTGCAGCGAATGCGCCAATCTACCAGTGGTGTTGTTGAAGAGATAGACAGCTCCATTCGCATGTCCTGAAGCAGTGAACTCGCCATCAGCAGAGAGGGCAACACTCATGCCAAAACTGCCTTTTGTCTCGTACTCGCGGAGTTTGGTGGCGCCGTCGGAGGTGGAAAGGGTGTTTAGGTCCCAGACATTGATGCGGCCGTCGAAGGTTGTGGCGGCGAGGAATTGGCCGTCTTCGCTCAGGGCGACTGCCCAGAGCTCGCCGGCGTTCTTTGCTTGTGCTGTCTTTGAGTCGTCNTGCTTGGTCGATCAGCGGTCTGTGTGGGTGTTGTGTTGAGAATTGAGAAGGGCGGTCGCACCTACAATTGAGCCCTTGAGTGCCCACTGTGAGGACTCGTCGTCGATGGACCAGACCTTCAGCTCACCACCAAAGCCAGCTGATGCGGCCGTCTTGCCATTGGCGCTGACAGCGATGTGGTGGGCACCAAGTTTGTGCGCATCTTGCAGGGTTTGGACTAGAGGGTAAGGATTGTTCTCATCGTTCGTGGGGGCGGTCGAGTAGACGTGTAGTGAAGAGGAACCAGAGGCAGTGATGAGTTGACTAGAAGTGGTTGCGACGCTGTAGATGTCGGCGGGCGAGGCGTCTGGGATGCTGTGTGTTTGGAGATATTGTTTCGACTGAATGCGCGTGTTAGTCGGTAGTATAGACAGCAATCTATGAATTGACTTGCCATGGTGTCGGAGGTGTTGGGTTTGGTGCTTGTCCAGTGGGCGAGAAATGTTTGGAGCTGATCGATGAGGTCACTCTTTGGGCTTCGCTCGAACAGATTCACATGAAAGAGACATCAACTTCAAGGTTGGTAATAATACAATTCATTCGTGCCGCACGCGATGTTCTCGCTGCATGGTCATCTTTGCCCTTGCCCAAGTATAAACACCTGCAAATGCCCAAGTCCTTTTACAACGCCGTGACCACAACTATACAGGTATACACTCATCTCGATCCACCCTCATCTGTCTTCTCCATCTACTCTCTGTCGACAAAGATCAGTCCACGGCTAGAGCTTGTAACCTCTTTGGTCCATTTTTCTCTGCTTCTCCTTCTTCTCCCACTCGGTCAACTCAGACTCTTGCTTCTTGGGGCCGAAGTCGTTGCTGAACCACTTCTTGATGCCTGACACTTGTTAGCAATGCGTCTCGAGTACTAGTCTGGAGAGCATCGACATACTCATGACACAGTGAGGGCACAGGTAATGTGCGCGCTTGACTCTTCCACAGCCAGAGCACTTGTTGAGCGAAGTGACATCCTTGAGTCCCTTGCCAGCCATTTGTCGGTGGCGCTTCTTCATGTGTGACGTCTTCTTCTTCGGTACAGCCTTGAGAATTGACTCCCAGATATCCGAGACGAGTCCAGGAATAGGAATGACGATCGAAGGCAGTAGAGGGGCGGGCCATGTTCGTGCGCCGATAGGGAGGAAGCTCCTTGAGAGACCAGCAGGACGGAGAGATGCAGAAGCGACAGCGAGGAAAGACTGCAGGAAGCCCGTCGAGGGCGCGGCGCGGAGCGACATTGTGGTTGATATGGACAGTTAATTGCTGCTCAAGGTGTGTCGCATCGACAACTTCTCAGAATTCACGAATGGAGCAAGAGGCGTGCTGAAACAAACCCTGGCAGATTCTCAAAGCTACGCGTACGCTGGGCTCTCGGAGATCTCATCCGAGGGCTTTGCGGCGGTGGGGGCCGTGCATCGCAGCTTCCCCTTTCGCTACCACGGACAGACCCTGTGCCCCAGACTCGCCTTGGTATACCGCTTGCTGTTCTCTTCTGTTCCAACCATCTCGCAATATCTGGTGCCACCGTCCTATCGACCGTCTTTACCTCGATCTAATTTCTTGTCCCGTCACTCGCTCCATCACATCCACAATGGCCGCCGCAGCTGCATCCTCGCAGCAGACATCGTCCATCTTCCCCAAGAGCCACGTCGGTTTCGACAGCATCACCCAGCAGATCGAGAAGAAGCTCCTCAAGCGCGGCTTCCAGTTCAATGTCATCTGTGTCGGTCAGACCGGTCTGGGCAAGTCGACCCTCATCAACACCATCTTCGCCTCGCACCTGATCGACTCCAAGGGTCGTTTCACCCCCGACGAGCAGACTCGTTCCACTACAGAAATTCACCCCGTCACCCACGTCATCGAGGAGAACGGCGTTCGTCTGCGCTTGAACATTGTCGACACTCCTGGATATGGCGACTTGGTGAACAACGACAGATGCTGGGATCCCATCGTCAAGTACATCAAGGACCAACACTCGGCCTACTTGCGCAAGGAACTCACCGCTCAGCGCGATCGCTACATCCAAGATACCCGTATCCACTGCTGTCTGTACTTCATCCAGCCCACAGGTCACGCTCTCAAGCCCATCGACATAGTTGTCCTGAAGAAGTTGAGCGAGATTGTCAACGTCGTCCCCGTCATTGCAAAGGCCGATGCCTTGACTCTGGAGGAGCGCCAGGCTTTCAAGGACAGAATCAGAGACGAGTTTGCCTTCCACAACATCCGTCTTTACCCTTACGACAACGACGAGTATGACCACGAGGAGACCGCCGTCAACCAGCAGATCAAGGTAATGCTCGCCCACCACAAAGAGAAAGACGCTCGTATCTAATACCCCGACCAGAACCTCATTCCCTTCGCCGTCATCGGTAGCGACAAGACTCTTAACATTAACGGCCGCACCGTCCGTGGCAGACAGAACAAGTGGGGCATCATCAACGTCGAAGACGAGAACCACTGCGAGTTCATCTACCTCCGCAACTTCCTCACCCAGACCCACTTGCAAGACTTGATTGAGACCACTAGCCAGATCCACTATGAATCCTTCAGAGCCAAGCAGCTGCTTGCTCTCAAGGAGAGCAGTGCCGCTGGTCCTCATGGTGGTAGCAGGTGAGCTTTCGCCCAAACTTCTTCTCGACTGTTAATACTAATATAGGTACNNAGACCCATCAGCCCAAGCGCTGACCGCGAGCTCAGCCGCAACAGCAACAGAATGACCATGAACGGATACAACTAGACGGGCGTCTATGCGACAGAACAAGGTGTTTGACAGAGGGAACTGTGGGCCGGCCATTATCCAGGTCTCTCGGGAAGCGCTTGATTGAGATACCATCTTCTGTTTTTGTTTTAGCATCTCTTTTCTCTCTATCTCTTCCTCAAAAGCAATCCCCCTGCTGTCTTCTACTATGGGGGTAGTGATACTGTAATCGTACAACTTTAAATTATTCTGTCCCTTCTTTGGTAATAAGCAAACCACTGAATCTGATGCCAAGACTTCGAAGTCTAGAACAAGTTCGACCTCGAGCTTTCTTCGTTGTCAACATTCGACTACTTCCAAATTATCTCAAGGTACATGCTTCTACGCCGGTGTTGGACGCACCGCATTTCTGTTGCGCCCGCCGGTATACGTGCTCGCTGCTACAGCTCTGCTCACCATCATGGTATAACACTTGATCAACCCGTCCAATCCTACATATCTCGGAGTTCGGATCCCTATATCAACCTCTCGATTGAGCACTATCTGCTCCAAAAATCACATCCAGACTCTTCGATATTATTCCTTTATGTCAACCGACCCAGCGTCATCATTGGACGGAACCAAAACCCATGGCTGGAAGTAAATCTTGGTCTCCTCAATGCCGCACAAACGGATGCCGGTTCACCTTCTAGGATTGAGAACGAACCTCCAGGCTTGGGAGATGTGGATCTGGTACGCAGACGCAGCGGTGGCGGTACCGTGTTCCACGACGGTGGGAACGTGAACTGGACAGTGATTTCTCCAGCCGCCACCTTCACCCGCGACAAACATGCCGAAATGGTAACACGAGCTCTACGATCGTGCGATGTTTCTAGATCTCGTGTCAACGAACGGCATGACATCGTCTTGGACCAAGGAACTTCTGACTTTTCTGGTGCTTGGGGACCTGACGAGGATACGCACGCTACACCATGGCAGAGCTCGAGCATTCGTCCCTTGAAAGTGTCAGGGTCGGCTTATAAACTTACTAGGGCGAGGGCATTGCATCATGGAACTGCTTTGCTGAATAGTCCGAACTTGCACGTTATCCCTTCTTATTTGCGCAGTCCGGCTAAGCAGTATATCAAGGGTAGAAGTGTGGATAGCGTCAGCTCACCTGTGGGTAACATTCTGCTGAACAACGATGAGTTTATCGAAAATGTGCAGAGAGAGTACAGAGAGATGTACTCAGGTGCTGGAAAGGCAGTTGAGCTGGGAGACGAGTGTATCGAGATGGAAGAGGTCAAGAAGGGACATGCCGAGTTGAGCGTAAGTGTTGCTCATCGACAGTGTCATTGTTCTTGATGGGTGTGATGCTAACGAAGATGCAACAGANGTTTAGAATGGACATATATGCAAACGCCTCAATTCACCTTCTCCGATCTGCCTCTGAAACCAGAGCAANAGGAAGGAGAAATTGACTACTCAGATGCAAACGTATGTAACTCAACTCTTGCTACATAAACATTGAGACAGCCGCTGACTTCAGNNAAGTTCCGCCTGGATGTGCGTTACGGAGCCGTTACTGGATGCCAACTCAAGACAAAAGACAGTACAACTGCGCAAAGCGAGCGTCTCGCCCACCTGCTGGAGAAGAAGCATCTTCACCAGATCACAGATTGGGAAGCGCTGTTTAAGGAAGCTGCGTCAGAGTCAGCTGAAGCAAAGGCAATGGCAAAGTGGGTGCAGAGTATGCTCAGCATACCTCACTAATGTAGTTCTCAAGGCACAGTTGCACAGCATAACGATTTCGATACACGAAAGAAGCAAGCATTCATATGTATGAATCGTCAAAACCATGCAGTCACTTCTAGAACCACTCAGCAAGGTCCTTGCATTTGGTACAATAGCACGACCTCCATAGCCTTCGAAGTACACTTTCAGCAGACAGAGTCAAAGGTTAATGTCACTTGAGCATGAACCTCGTTGATCGTAAGACAATCGAAAATGGAGAGATAGAATCCTGCCCAAATCGAAAACGGGAGGTACTTTTAAATGTTTCTTTCCCAAGCTGTACTTTTTTGTCGTGTCATGCCTTCTGGACTATCTAAGCCGCAGATTCGTTCTTCTCGACCAGTTCGCCAACACCAAGCCCACGTCCAACCTTGACCTTCTTCAACAGCTCTTGCTCCTCCTTGTTCTTCCCCAATGAGCCTACTGCATCACCCTCGTCAGCGTCGCCACTAGTTTCCTCCTCTTTGAAGTCTTCATCGTCCCAGTCACCGGGTTTGGGCTTCAGGTGGTCGAGGTTCATCTTCATGCCATAGGCGTCTTCACCGTCGGCGTAGTATTTGGCTTCCGTGCCGTCGACCTTGAAGCCCAGGGTATCGCGGTAGAGGGCGAGTGCAGCCCTGTTGGAGACACGGACGTGTAATGAGACGTACTTGGCGCCGTAGGTCTCTGCCATTGCTCGTTCTGTGTACGAGAAAGGTAATCGTTAGTAGGCGGTTGCTGCAAACAAATGCAGGAGAAACGTACGACTTTGTCTCATCAGCTTCTCTGCAAGCCCTAGTCTTCTATGCGTGCGCATAACACTGAGCGAAGTGATGTGACCGTGCTGAACACCATCGCTGGGCTCCTCCTCCATCTTTGCGAGAACATAGCCGACAATCTTGGGTGGGTCGTAGGGTGTCTTTTGCGGGCGCGATACCTGGAAAGAAGAAACAGACAAAGTATGAGCAAAATGCAGGAAAAGGCATATCGAGAGGATCATTCAATCGGAAAGGCGACACACATCGACAGCGACGTAGCTGAGTTGCGGCCAGCTCATGGCATGGTACATGTAGTATTTGCAAAAGTAGTTTTCCGGCAGGTTGGTGATGTTTGTTTGCTGGACATGAGGAATGTCGTCCGATCGAAGCACGCGGATATCCATGTTTGCGGTATGTGGTGTATAATTTGGCAAAGGAGTTCAATGTTCAATTCGTGGATTCGCGATTCGAGACGACGAGGTCGGCGTCACACCTTCCACATGCTCGTGCCAAGTCTTTTGGTGGGGGTGTTGATCGCATACAGCAGGAAGGTGCGACTTCACTCTTTCCTGCGACTAATCGTCACCAAGATGCATTGCTGAGAGAAGAAGCTATCATCTTGCGAAACGATACATCACGCTCTGGGTCTGTCTCTGAGAATTCCGAAAAATAATCTCGCGCTCAAGGTCGATGATAGAGAAGGTAAGGAACGTAGGTAGGTATAGGATTGATGTTTATACTCTTTCCTAGCTTTCGTCTCCGCTGTTGCTCCAGTCTTCAGTTGCTCGACTACAGCAAACCATCTCATCTTTCGTCGTGACTCAAGGAAGCGATAAGGTCGATAATATGGCCATGGCCCCATATCTGTTTTGACAGCACTTGTCCTACAAGTGACATACTCTACGCATAAAGACTCCACGTGTTTGCAGAACTTGGTCGTTTCTCATTTTACTGTGCTTGTTGGACAAAGAAAAGAAAGAGACGAAAGCAAAAGGTATATATCGTACACAGGCGAAGAAAGATGGCCCCTTGTCTGGATGCAAAGAACTGTGTCGACCCACCTCCTTCCCAAAATGCTGGCATCATTTCGAACTGATCATTAACGTGCATAGTGGAACCCCCACCGACCTAAAAAAACGCCTCCATGGAGCAAAGCAGCCTCGTAATCCATGTTGCCTATCCCAAACTCCGCATTCGTTTCGCAATGCGCCCAAAAACCAAAAGCATGAAACGAGTCTAGCAAATTTGCCATACAAAGCCGAGATGGAAGATTGGATGATTACAAAAGTATTCTCCCGTCCTTCCTCTGCCTGCAGGAACGGCGCGTCTGTGATCCGGCACAGCGGAGAAGATGGTAAAGTCTGGTTCTAGATCCTCGCCGAGGGTCATGATACTGGCAACATTACCACAGCGGTAGCAGTAGTTTGGTGCTGACCAGACAGTGACTACATCTTGGTTCTTGAAATGGTACTTGTAGCCTTCGTTGACCAGTTGATGAGCGCGGGCGATAAGTTGCAAGCCGTTGACGTGATTGAACTAGAATGGGTATTAGTCAAAACATGAACTCAGGGGCAATGAAACAGGCAATCGACATACCTCCGTGGCGACCTTATCACCAAACAGCCAACCAGCGCCTCTGGGACTGACGGCCCATGTATCAACTTCCTCAGGATCACTCCACACTAGATCGCAGAAAGCACCTTCGTGGGGGATCTCCTGGGCTCGGGCAACGACACGAATCTGGTCCAAGGTGCGAATCTCAGGACTTAAACCACCGTGCACACAGAGTACTTTGCCATCAACGATTGCAGCAAGAGCAAGGAAATCAAAGACCTGACAGCAAGACTTCCAGACTGAGGCGTTTCCGTATTTGGTTTGGCACTCTTCGTAGAAACCGTAGACTTGAGTGATCTGTCTAGATTCGTGGTTTCCGCGCACAAGGGCGATACGATCCGGGAATTTTGCTTTCAGACACATGAGCAAAGTAAATGTCTCGAGGGAAAANTAGCCACGATCAACGAAATCGCCGAGGAAGATGAAGTTCTGCTTTCCGTTGTTGTTGCTGCTGGAACCGGGCTGCTTCTTTCGAGAGGCTTCTGGGCTGCCACCAATTCCGCTGTCACTGTCGTCTTCATCATCTTCCTGGTCTGACTCGTCAATATCGCCACCTCCAGGGGGGCCTCTGTGGTCGGAACCACTGCTGCGGCTCCTCACGCGACCTCTAAGTTCGCTTCCTTCTTGGCCATCATCTCCTTCTTGGTCGTCACCAGCGTCATCTGAGGCATTCGAAGCAGATGAAGTGTATGCGCTATCGCGTTGGAAGCGACGCTTCATCTTGCGCTTAACACGGGGATTACTAATCTGGGAAGGAGGTTCGATATCGGCAGCGGAGAAGCCTTTGGGCAAAGGTGATTTGGCGAGCTCAGGCTTCGGAGGTTCTGACTGAGGTTCGTTCGGATTGTTGTCACAAGGCATGCCACCAGCGACGGCGAACAGCTCGAGCAGGTCGTAGAATTGGCCGTGAATGTCACCGCAGACAGTGACGGGAGTGTTGACTGGTTGGATATTGGACTCTTCCATCAAGCACTCCTTAACAATCTCACACAGTCGCTTCATGTCGGCCTCGGGCAGGTACTTGCACTGCTTGGCCTGCTCCAGCCATTCGTCAGGGCCGGCACCAGGAGACAGGCGGGCAGGGCCGGGTTGAGGAACTTGGCTTTCTCTGGCCATGTTCGATCGGAAGTCCCACAGCAGAGAGCGGGAGTCGTTGTTCGTGATTTAGGGGCGTGGAGGAACAAAAATGGGATGGTCGCAGGTGGTCGGCGGCGTCAGAGAGAGTGGGTAGGAGCGAGCGAGGGTGGGTGGACCGTGCGTGGCTTCCCGCAGCGGGCTGCGGCCATCTGAGTCTCTCCCCACAGGCACATGATGATACTCAGTGTTGTTCTTGCCCTTCTTATCCTGTGTCCGTCTGTCCCTCATGACCACGCCTACCTCTACCTCTTCTGCTCCTAATGCCGCCTAAGCCCATGGTCCTTTTGGCCAAANAGGGCGCCAATCATGCTGACTCGTCTGGTCACTCTCAATCACAACACTCTACCAAGCAGAACCACCAGCCCAAGAACACTGCCCGTCTGAAACTCGTCGTGCGGCGATTGCCTCCCGCCCTTAGCAAAGATGAGTTTCTCACTACCCTCGGCGAAGACTGGAAAGTCCCCGGCGCTAAGGTCGACTACCTGGATTATCGTTGCGGAAAGACAAAGGCTCCCGGAAAGCTGTCTTTGCAGTCGCGCGCATACCTTCATTTGACCAACGAGCAGCACATCAAGCCCTTCGAAGCTCACTTCTTGCAGCTTGTCTTTCACGATGCCAAAGGCTCTCACAAGGACCCCCAGCTCAAGCAGCTTCTGCCCTCGCTTGCCTTTGCTCCCAACCAGCGCATTCCTACCCTCAAGCAACGCCAGGACGGTCGCCAAGGCACAATCGATCAAGACCCCGAATTCATTGCTTTCCTTGAACGCGAGACTCAGCCCGTCGCTAAGCCCCTCTCTCTTGATCAGGCTCTGGCTCAGGAGAAGCCCAAGGACAAAGTTTCGTCTACCCCTCTATTGGACGACTTGCGCGAGAAGAAGCAGAACAAGGCTAGGGCCAATCAGAAACACAAGGAGGAGAAGCAGTCAGAGAAGTCCTCGGCTAGGGGCCGCGACAACAAGTCCGACGCCAAACAGCCTGTGAAGCTCCTCGCCAAAGACAAGAAGAACCAATCTGCTCAGCCTGCCGCCCCTGCTCCACCGCCCACCGCCACTCCTGCTTCTGGTCGCAAGCGCGATCGTGCCGCTCCTAATAACAACATCAAGTCCATGCTGCAGAGAGATCTTGGTCTAAACCCTCCAACCAAGCGTGGCGGAAAGGACGCGTCCCCAGCAAATGCTTCCAAGACAACATCTCCTGCTCCAGCCGTTGAGCCTGCTGCTAACNCCTGCTGCTACCCCTACTGCTTCAGCCAAACCAGCTAAATCAAGATCTGGTCGCAACAAGGAGAAGGCAGCCGCCCAGAGCGCTGCACAGGAAAACTCAAGCCCGCAGCTCCCGCTCCTACTGGTATCTTGAAGAAGCCTGCTCAGCCGCCTACACCCAAGGCTCCTAAAGCTGCCAAAGGAAACAATGCCACTGCTCCAGCACCTGCCTCGGCGCCGGCTTCTTCTAACAGGCAACCCAAGACTTCGGCAAACGCAGCCAGCAGCACCACCAAGGCCTACCTCAAGCATGCAAACGCTTCGCAAGGCGTGACCGAGCCTCTTCTTCTCGCTGCTCTGTCCGCGTTCGGCCCCGTTGTCAAGGTCGAGATTGACAAGCGCAAGGGCACCGCTTTGGCTGAGTTCAAAGATAACGAAGGATTGAAGGCTGCCATGTCCAAGAAGAATGTTCCCGTCGCTCAGGGTGCTGTCGAAGTACTCGAGTTCAGGGACAAGCAATCTCAGGGTGGTCGCAACGCCCCAGCTAACAACAACTCCAGAGGTCCCAATGGCAATGCTTCCAACCGAGGCCGAGGAGGACGCGCAAGAGGTGGTGCCGCTGCTGGCAACACCGCAGCTGCTGCCAACGGTAACGGCCAAGCAGTTGCTACGAATGGCAACAAGGGGGATGCTACATGAGTGCGGTCAACGATACGCACGACGCTCGATGCGTGCGCTTTCTCAAACACACAAGCAGATCCACATCAGCCTTACTAGCAAGCATGTTTGCAGCGGCGTCATATACCAAGTATGATTCCAGCTCCAGCCAAAGTGATCTTCAGCATCATACTCGCTCGGAGTCTCGAGAGCCTTTCGATACAGCTCCAGGACCTGTGTACTTGTATTCCATAGCTTGGTATGCATGTTCTGGGATCGCAGGCGCAGTTTCCGGTTTGCAGGTCACTCGGTGGGATCAGGAGCGGAAACATCTACTCTGCCCAAAGCCACACTCTGAGCCTTTCTTGCTGTCAAGTTGGCTCTTGCGGGACAAACCTCAACCTCAATACTTGATGCCTGGTTTCGGTTGTTGGTCCCTCTCAACGAAGGCCTGCTGAAACTCCCTATCTAGCAAACCCTCTATCGAAGAAACACAATTCCAAGAATGTCATCACGTTCTTCAATTCCAGTCCTTGTCTTCCTTCCTCACATGTGCACTGCCTCCGACCTTCCTTCTCATCGCATCTATCACAAACAAGATTACACTTGTACAAGGCTTGAGTTTTAAAAATGTTTTTGGATTTTCGATTCTGAAAAAGCGACCATCACTCAAAGACCATTCTTCTCAACCATTCATCTGTCCCTGGCGCCATCCCATGCACCCCTGAGCAGCCTTCAACAGCCAGTCTCCCGATATTCTGGCGCAAGCATATCCCACCTTTTGAGATGCAGCTTGTTGGTTGTTATGAGGAAGGTGTGTTTCGAAAGGAGAAAAAGAAAATCGAAAGAAGACAAAAAGTGTTGTTTGGAAGAAGAATATCGTGAAGCTCCTTTTACATGATCTCGTCCTCCATGGTGGCGTCACCAGCGGTAGGAGCAGCAGCAGCAGGTGCAGATGCGCCGTTGGTGTTGACGGCAGGTGCAGCAGCGTTAGGGTCGAAGTACTCGCTCATCTCAGCATCGAGCTCTTCGACAGTCTTGGGCTTGGGACGGCCAGCACGGCCCTTGCGACCGCCACGACCAGAAGCCTTAGTAGCACCAGCAGCACCAGCAGTGGCGGGTTTGGGTGCAGCGGCAGCTGACTTGGGCTTGTTGTTCTCCTTCTTTACCTTGGGTGCCCTGGAAAGAATTAGACAAGTTGACGGATCATGACCAACTTTTCGAACTTACTGGATGCGATCACCAAGAGACTTGGGTGCAGCAGGAGCAGGAGCATACTTGGCACCGAGAATAACTTCAATCTGGATGTTTGTGTTAGCATGTGTCCAACTTGCAAATTGTAGTCCAGCTAAAACTCACCTTCATGGGCTTTCCATCAACCTTGACAGAGTCGAGTTTCTTGGCAGCTTCCGCTGCGCTTTGTGCCTGGGAGAAGATGATAGTGGCGACACCGACACTACGGCCGTTCTTGTTGTAGTTGAGAAGGACCTTCTTGACGGGTCCAACGGCTTGTGTGAAGTATTCCTGGAGGCGAGGTGTTAGTCCACATCTGGAGGCAGTTTCAAATCGCAATGGTGATCCAGCAGACGATAGAGCAAAGCCAGCCACAAGCAGTCGATGTTTCAAGTCCGGTGTTGAGCACCAATGAGCGAGCAGCAGAGGTTAGCATCCAACGCCCACAGCCACTGAAAACCAATAATCCCACTGAGATCCAGTGCACGCTCGAGAAAGGTTTCTGAACAGCCGTCATGCTTCCCAAATAGCTCCATCAAGCCGGTGCAGAGAACCATGAGCCCACGTGTCTATAGTGGTCAAGTCAGGCGCACTGTTGCGCTCTGCCAAGCTCATAAATGGTCCTCGGTCAGGAGCATATACCAGATAGCTTTGCGGCTCTCAAACTCATAGCTCGAAGTTTTGCTGATTCTGCTGCTGTGCTCACTGGTGCTCAAAGAAAGATTGCCTGGATCATTGGCGCGTGGTGAACCACGGACGCCTTATTCTGGACATACGGCAAAGCCTTTTGACCTTCGACGCTTGCACCCATCTGGATGAATCTGCTTGCCAAGCAGTACATTGCCAAGTACAGGTTTCTTGCAAAGCGCGCGTGCTGCTCCTGTTCCGTCTTCGCATTGCATCTAGCATTTTGGACGAGCAGGATGCTAGGAAGGAGTGCATCGGGTCTGGCAGTACTCAAAAAGAGTATGTAGGTAGGTGCTCTCGCCATCTCCAAGGGAAGAAAAAGAAGGCGCAATGTAGGTACGATCGAAAGAAAGAGTCGCGCAAAATGGGCCATATCCGTGCGGCCATGTTCGGTCAACGTACCTTAATCTGCTGCTCCGTAACATCGGAAGGCTGATTGTATTAGCAGATGCGCGTTGACGGAGGAAGAGGTGATTCGGCATACCAGGTTGCTGACAATGATCTTGCTTTCTCCAGTAGCGGGAAGAGCGGCACCAACGATGGCGGCAGCGGCGGCGGCAGCCTTGGGTTGACGACCACCAGCGGGCTTAGCAGCAGCGGTGTTCTTGGTGACACCTCCAGTGGAAACTCTAGGCTTGCCTCCACGGCGGGTGCGACGAGCGTCGTTGCGGCGAGAGCCGGCAATCTCCTCGAGGGACTGGTCAAGCTTGGAAGACATTGTGGATGTTTGTTTGCGGAGAGATGTGTGAGTTATGGATGTTCGAGCGCGAAAAATTGGCTACCGTGTTATGACAGGAAGCCTGGACGAGAGTTGGATTAAGATGAGGCAGAGTTTGTGGCTGGCAAAGCGCAGATGCGATGTCTCTCGATGGCGTTGATGTGCAAGACGCGAAGTTGAGCAGGCTGACAGTAGCGTGTGGCTTGTCGCAAGGTTGGCGCGTGAGCTATGATAAAGCGCGAGATGGCAGAAGGCGACGCAAAGTAAGGAACAATTTGCGACGGAGAAAGACGGATGAAGTGTCTTTTCCAAAAGGTTGGTGTTGATGGGAGTGAAAGGGGAAAGGACGAGGGGGAGAGGTGAGTGTTGGAGGCAGCTGCGCAGACGAGGGCGCGCCGCTAGCTAGCTCATGGTCTGTGCCCTCAGTTGCCTAATCCGGCCTCCAACATCCACCCAATCACCAACTTGCGCCCACGTCTCTCGATATTGTCGTAAGCAGAGCTGGTCTTACTTTCTCGGATTCTGTCTTGATCGAGTGAAGGCTCAATGCCTTTGGTTTTCAGATTGTCCTCACTTTCCATACGCCGGAGCATTATTGTAAAACACATCGTTGATCAACTTAGGTATCATAGTATTGTAATAGCAGGTTCGTTCGATGAATTCGCGCAGTCGAACGAGAATATCAAGCCAGTCCATTTAACCCGTCGCGCCTAACGCCTTGTCGTCGTCGTGCTTGTCTAACTCTTCAGTGCCTCGAGACGCCCTCGCATTTGAGCGAGCAATTCCTCTTGGTCTTCTTCCTCTTCGGGTTCTGCTGCTTGAACAGGCGGGAGATCCATGGGTTGTGCGTTTGCGGGCAACTTGTCCTTGAGCACTTCACTGAGGACCTTGTCAACCTCACTCTCTGCCTCTTCATCCTCGCCTTCCAAGAGTTCATTGTCGGGCAGACTGTCGCCCACCATCTCTTCGATTATACCCGCCTTCATCAATTCTTGACTCAGCTCTTGCATTGTGCCTGTCAATTCAGGCAAGCGCACCAGAGTGTTGACGTCCTTCATGATGCCTACACTCGCTTTGATGCTCCCCTCAATTTTGCGTACCGAGAAGGCCTCGTTGATCTGCATGCCCACGCTCTGTAGTTGTGCCTGACTGGTGACTAATCTTGCGGTCTGCTTGCGCACTCTGATGAGCTCACGCGCAAATGTACGAGTTTCCTGAGCGGCTGATTTCGCTTGCGATGGGTTGCGCTGGGCGCGTCTGGCGGCCTGGGTGATGAAGGTCTTGGTCTTGCCTTCGAGTTGCTTCAACTTCATGATTTCGCGATCGAGTTGGCGTGATTGTTGGCGCATCAAAGTGTTACATTTTCTTTTCTGNTTATTATCAGACAGACTGCGACAGCAGGTGGAAGTTGGCGGATGCTGGCTAACCTGCTCCTCGGGAGTGGGGCCCCAGAGGAAGCTCTTCACCGACTGCATGATTGCGGATGATACGAGCCGTGGCACTTGCTCATAGCACGTAGGGTACTATTGAGTGCTCGTCAAACAAGGCCTGACACGCGAGTGAAGATGGTATGAGTGGGAGTTGAACATTGAGTATCTCGGTGCCTTGGCTACTATCGCCGTTGCCGCGGCCTTGGCATACGTGTGTCGGCGGCCCTGCTCTGCTCCCCCGCGATTGGACCAAGCATCAAAGCTCCAAAGCTCACAGCAGTTTCACCCATTCGACAAGACGCTGTCGCAGCCGATATATTTGATAGTCATCAATTGTTCTGACTCTTATTTGAAAAGGCGTGTTTGGTAGGTTCCATATTGTTAGTTTAGAACTCGCATGCTTGTCGACTGTTTGGTGTCTGTTTGTGCTGAATAGCTTGGTTCTATCAGCTTCGCGTGTATTCTAGACTGTGACCCCACAAAACGACGGGAGTGACTGACGACTTGCAGTCTTTTCTCAGTTCTAATCAACATCAAGACACCTCTGTCGCATTTCTTACCATCCATTCACATACAATATCACACATCATGGAGCAGCCTACCAACACTACCGACACCAAGGGCATGAAGCAGATCGTCCCTGAGGGTGAGCCGCCTCGTCACCAATTGCACCCTCGCGAAACATGCTAACCGCCATGCGCAGTCACCTGGGCCCAGCGTTCGTCCACCACCGAGCCCGAAAAGAACCACATCTACATGACCATTGTTGTGCCCGATGTCGACCCCAAGAACATGAAGCTCGACCTGCAACCCTCATCGCTCGAATTCACCGGCTACTCAGACAGCAAGAAGGCCACCTACCACGTCAAGATGGACCTGTTCGCCGAGATTGACCCCAAGGAGAGCAAGATCAACCACTCCTCGCGCTGGATCGAGCTGGTCTTGAGAAAGAAGGAGCTCAACGAGGAGTACTGGCCCCGTCTGCTCAAGGACAAGCAAAAGGTCCACTACATCAAGACCAACTTTGACAAGGTATGCTCTCCCTCTTTGCACATCACCAACAATACATGCTGACCGGTTTTTCCAGNNTGGGTCGATGAGGACGAGCAGGATGCCGTTGCCGAGGATGACGACTACATGTCCCGCATGGGCGGCATGGGTGGTGCTGGTGCTGGCGGCATGGGCATGGAGGGTATGGGCGGTGACGGTGGCTTCGGAGGCATTGACTTCTCCAAGCTTGGTGGCGGCGCTGGCGGTGCCGGTGGCATGCCTGACCTCAGCGCTCTTCAAGGTATGATGGGCGGCATGGGAGGCATGGGAGGTATGGGAGGTATGGGCGGCGAGGAGGGTGACGATGATGACGACGACGACATGCCCGAGCTTGAGGAGACTGAGGAGGCCAACGCTGGTGCTTCCAAGTCGAAGATCGAGGAGGTCGAGTAAAGAGATGGCCTTGGATCGATACCCCTCACCGCCTTGGAAAGAAGTTATGAACCGCCAGTGACGAAGAAGCGCTCTTACAGCATTCGGACATAGACACGGCTGATAATCATCACGAAGCTCAACGAGATACCAAATTAGTTCTGATAGCACAATCAGTGTTCAAATGCACAAATTCTGAATGCGCGTGCATGTTCAAGCGTTCTGATTGAAGTTCATACTGTATCCTCCACTTTTCTCGTCCTTCACGAACTGGAAGTTGTTCGTGCTCAGCCCGAAAGGCTTCAACATGCTGTTACCTAGGCCTTTCAACTTGCCCATCATCTCTGCCATTTCTTTGGATTTGGCATCCTCCAGCTTGGGGCCAATGTCATTCATCGACTTTTGTACCGTCTTCTTGTCCAACGGCGACAGATTCGTTACAGTCGCAAGGAAGGTGTAGTCNTAGAAGATGTTAGAGCGGATTCAGGCACAAAGATACAGATTCTCACCTTCGTAAGCACCTTGCAGAGCAGCCCATCCTCCTGTCTCGGACCGTGCTTTGGCGCGTCTCAGGAATGCCTTGACGCGAATCTTTTGTACATCATCTCGTGTTCTTCCACTTCTTTCTAGAGCTTCAATCTTCTCGGCTGTCTCATCATCGACCTCCTCCACGGCGGACTGAGATTGTAGTTTGGCTTTGGCAGCGTCTTGAGGATCCTTTGGTTTCGGTAGAGGGTCAATTCGCTCCAGTGCATCTATACTCTTGGTGGCACTGTCTATTGCTTCTTTCCACTGTTCCGACTTGATATGGCATGCGGCGATGTTGGAGTGTAAAACGGCGACTTCATATTCGAGATAGTTTGGACAGGACGAGAGAGCACGGTCGTATGTCTGGACAGCTTCTTCGAACGAGCCGTGAGCGAACAGTGAATTGGCTTCTGTTTTGAGCTTGTTCGACTCTGCTAACAACGACNNTTTGCTGGTCAGCACAAGACAGATAAAGTAGCAGCAGTGGTTGCAATTTACAGCTTCTTCTTCTGGTGAGAAGCGCGTCTCCGTCTTCAGATCGTGCGACGACTTTGCCGATACGAAACTCTTGTCATCGTCCGAGGGATAGTCTTCTCCTGTCATGGCGAGATTTGTACAATCAGTAATATGAGGAGCGAGCTATCAACAACAAAATGTAGAATGACGCACGGGGTTTCTTGGTCGCATGTGAAGGCCTTGGCGCCATCCATCGCACCTTCCTGTTCGCAGCTACCAGATACTAGTTTTATCTCGCAGCGAATCAACCACCTGCACCTTATCGAGCGTGTTCGAGTTCAGTCATGGCATCTGAGGGGAACTCGGGTACATCTACCCCCAACTCGCGCTTCACGACCCAGGCAAAGACGGCCGACGACATCCTGTCGGCGCAAACCGTCGGTCTTGTCCAACTCGATGACTTCCGAAAGCGACGCGCAGATGCTATAGACGCAAAGGAGCGAGAAGCACTCGAGTCTGGTCGCGCCACCCCCAGCAGTGCGGCAGATAGCNCCGTACGTATGCTCCCGCTCTTTCCAAGCAACCATGGCTAAGAGAACAAGTGCAGTGACCCGACATTCAAGCCCTCAAAGAAGAAGCGCAAGACGGCCAAGAAGGGTGCTCTGTCGTTTGGAGACAATGATGGTGACGACGACGTCCAGACCCAAAGCGAGTCGCTAAAGTCTCGCTCCATCACACCTGCAGTTACGAAAGAGGAAAGCACACAAGAGGAAGAACAAGCCGCGCCCATCAAGAAACGCCTCGCTGCGAACTCCAATGTTGGTTTCATGGCCAAGTCCATGTCTAAGTCAGCTCTCCTACGTGAGGCCCAGACACGGGAACAGCTTCGCAAAGAGTTCCTCGTCATGCAAGAAGCAGTCAAGCAGACCGAGTTCCTGCTCCCCTTTGTCTTTTACGACGGTACCAACATTCCTGGGGGCCAATGCCGCATGAAGAAGGNNGGAGACATGGTCTGGCTCTTTCTCGATCGTGCGAGAAAGGTTGGTGCTGAGGTCGGAGGCAGCGACAAGGCTCGACGCGAATGGGCCCGCGTGGGCGTCGACGATTTGATGCTGGTCAAGGGCGATATCATCATTCCTCATGTACGTAACCGCCATCGAGGCCCGCCATGCAGCTTACTGACTGTGCACCAGCATTATGAGTTCTACTATTTCATGGTCAACAAAACCAATGGCTACAACGGACCCCTGTTTGCTCACTCTGCCGAACCCACGGCAACCACTCCCGTTGACCCTTCAGCTTCGACTGCCACAGGTGGTCTGTCCGTACCGACGGCACCGTCAAAGACGCCAAAAACGCAGACGCAGTCACCCGCCATTCCTGATGCAGACCTTGAGGGTTTCGGCTCAGATCCAAATTCGACAAAGGTCGTCGATCGACGCTGGTACGAGAAGAACAAGCACATCTTTCCCGCCAGCACATGGGAAGATTTCGACCCGACAAAGGACTATACCAATCATGTGCGCAAGGATGTCAACGGTAATGCTTTCTTCTTTTCGTCGTGATATCGACACCTCTTCGAGCCATTTCCATTGGTCCCAATCCCGTGACAACGTCGCAGAGAGCCTGTAGCTTTTTCGTGCGTAGCGCACGCACTCGTCGCAGAAGAGTTGAGATCTTGGACCACCTCAGATTCCCTGAGCCGCTCCTACGGGTACGACGGCTCCGCACCCGCTGCATTGGGCATCACCTTCCGACTTGTAAGCGATGTGTAAAGCTGCGATTGACGAGCGCGCGCAGGAAGCACGCATGGATGTGAGTAACCATGATTCGTTCTCGTCGACGTCAATGAAGATATGCAAGGACAGGAACCTGGTTTAGGGATCTCTTTCAGCTCCGCTCTTCCGTGAGTATGTGACACCCAGGTACTAGGCCCGCCTTTCAGTCCCACGTCACGAAGGCTTCCGCTGCACGTGCTTGAGTGGAATGCATGCAGCTTTCCGCCCGCATCAGATATCATTGCATACGAAGCCTTACACGGCACTTCCAAGACATGTCTAGAGGCATAGGGCACGACCGCAACATGTGAAGTATTGGAGACACTATGTTAGTCAAGATCACAGCCACGTAAGATGTCCTTTGTCCCAGATCTGTCCCCATTCGGACTGTAGTCGAAAAGCGGTCTGTACGTGGCAACAGTCATCAATGTCACTGATACTTACCTCTACAATGATTTGATCGCCCCCATAGCACAAGCGTCTATCCTTGGACCATGTCGTCGCACTGCGCTGCTTATTCGAGCCTACAAATCTCCCGAATGGACGATTTTTGAGTCCGATGTCAGGAACACAGCTTGTTCTTTGTTCCTGACAGATTGTAAATACCCCGAGTTGCACAGCATTTCCAATGTCCGTCGTGAGGATAGCCTCAAGATAGTCCTGTAGGCTGTTGAAGCGATCTCTTGTTTTGGAGCTCCGATGAGCGAGTTCACGGCAATCCAATGCTTCGGCTGCCATCTTCATCTTGGAAGTACAAAAAACCAATGTCTCCACGGGAATACCTCCAAGATTTGCCAATACAGCTTGCATGTTGCATACTGTACCGCGATTGTACCTGGCTCATGGATTAGTCCACAGCTTTCGAGTACTTCGGTCTCGAAGCTGTATGACTATCGCGCTAGATAATGAGAAGCGATCATATGCGCTGTACTAAGAGCAAGAAGACAACATCACTCACCCTCACGGGTCCAGAGTAAAGATATAAAAACAGCTTGGGCTCGCTGCCAGAAAGAATTATCATCAGCAATTCAAGACAAGCCAGCAGCAGAATCATCATTCCCTCGCTCATCTACTATCGTTTGAACTTTCTCCCAATACCAACCTCACGATGATCTTCAACACTCAGGTCGCAGTCGCTGCACTGCTCGCTTCAAGGTAGGATTCTCGATGACACATACGACATGTACGGAACTGACACTCAATCAATAGCTTCGCTGTTGCTCTTCCTTACGACAGCTGGGGTTCCAGCAGCAGCAGCACCAAGGATGTCAAGACCACTTCTTCCCTTCCCGTCCAGCAGCAGTACCTGGGGCGCATCTACCACCAAGAAAACGGAGTCGAAGACTACCGAGTCAAAGACCACCGGAACCCAGTCTTCTGGGTCCAAGTCCAAGTCCATTGAGTCGAAGACTGTTCCGACTGTCAGCTCTTGGAGCCAGACTACTGAGAGCAAGACTACCCCTACCACCAGCTCTTGGACCACCGAGTCTTCCAAGACCTCGTCCAAGTCGAGCAGCTCCAGCTACTCCAAGAGCTCTTCCAAGAGCAGCAGCTCGTCCAAGAGCAAGAGCTCTTCCACCAGCGTCAGCACATCCTGCACGACCAAGTACGTGACTTCGGTTTCTACTGGATATTTGACCACAGTCACCTACTCAGCAACCACCGTCTATGTCCCTGCCGTAAGCACCTCTGAGATCGTTACTGTCTCGACCTTTGTCAGCACTGGCGAATCCGTCATTACGAAGCCCACTACCGTCATTGAGACCAAGCCAGTCGTCACTTCAGCGGTATCCTGGAGCACTTACTCCACCTGTCTTGTTACCTCCAAGCCTATCACCGTCACCTCGACCGCCTACGAAACCCAGACCGAAACTAGCGTAGTCACTGAGACCAAGCCTGTCGAGCAGACTCAAACCAAGACTGTCACCGAGGTATGTACAAATAGCATGAATCATCAGTTCGTGTTGCAGCCTGACAAGACGAACACGGTTGTTGTCTTATCATGGCTGCGCTAGCGAGCCATTACTCATGAACGCAAACATGCTAACTGCATTTCTCTTCCAGGTCAAGACCATCACCGTCAGCAAGCCCGAAGTCGAAAGCAAGACAATGACCATCACAAAGCCAGAGACCAAGACGATCACCACTGGCAAGCAGGTCTGCACCACCGTCCCTGCTAACTGGGGTGGCAGCGGCTACGGCTGGTAAAGAACTGAAAGACTGCTGATCTTTTGGCTCTTCTCTGGCATCGAAAGCTTTCCTTGTTCTGGTCCCTGATGCACAAACACACTCCTTGATATGTTGATGACCTCTTTATGATTTTTCTCTACTTTCTTTTCTTTTCCGGTTCTTCTTGATGGAATTGTCTGGTTTTCTTATTTCCTTCCCTTTTCCTGGTTACTATTGTTTTGGTTTCTTTCGCTTCTCAACTAGCAACAAGACAGTCCTTTTATAAACCGGTATACATTAAACTTGCTGCAGGGAAAAACTTATCGCATCTTTGCTTGACTCGTAACATCATAAGGATTATCTTTATTGAGCTTGTGCGTATATGATCTGGAATAGTTTGTCATATCGCGTGGGTTGAGATGCAACATCGACGCAAGACGGAATTTGCGATCCACAGACACATGTACCAGAAGAATCAAACACGTGCACATGCAGAGACAAAGTTGGCAGGAGCGAAGGGGTGTGACTTTGATTGATAAGTATACATGACTTTCCACCCTTGCTCGAAGCATTCTTCCGTGGTCTTCATGAGCCAGTGATGATGACTTCTGAATCTGATAACGTCAAAACCATCACGTTCGAACTGTTCAGGCAACAGAAAACTCAAACGCTCGTCATCTCAGGGAGTTGTTGTTGATTCTCCTTCTGCTCCTTAGAGTCTTCTCGTGTGCTCTTGCAATGGCGGATCCCAAATATCGAGATGAGCCTTTGGCACCTTTCTAACAGTGAGAACAGTCGCAGTTGACAGGATCATTGCGCATGATGTGGTAGGCATGTCTGGCGAACTCTGTGATCGATCTGAACGAGTCTCCACTAGGATGTCCGAGGACGAAGTAATCCATCAGAGTCACTCTTCCATCGACCTGATTTTCAAGAAGGGTCGTCAGAATGTATCCCTGAGGGAGACCGCCGATGAACTTGACAGTGTAGCCTGCAAGGATATGGCGTTAGCAGGTCGAGGCTTACCAACATGCTAGACAGATCATCAGGCTTACCAAGNNTGTTGTGACGAAGTCGGTCTGGTTGTTGAAGAGACGGCTAAGACGATCAAGGAACGCTTCGTTGACCGTGGCTTGATGCTGTTGCGCTACACCATCGCTAGCGTACGTGGGATCGCTGAGGTCGATGTCACGAACAGGAAGATTGGGACCGGGATTGATACCAGGATTGGCGTTGGTGTTGGAACCAGGATTGGGGCCTGGAGGGGGGCCTTGATTGGGATTGGCCATCTTGTGATTAAGAGGGATGAGATGATAGGATTAGAAATCTGGCCATGCAGAACAGATATATCATCGTCTCGATTGCTGCTTCGACAAAGAGAGACTGTAATAGAACATAGATGTCGATGTATAAGGCTGGTCGATCAGACTGCTCACCTACGATTTTGAAAGGGAAGGATGCATCAAGCTGATTGCTCCTACATTGATGCTGTTGTAAGAACAAAGCCAACTTTGATGATACTTACACACACTGGCTCCAGTTGGAACATCCCAGATCCCCGTCCAGACTTGATGTACAATCAACATCAGAAATTAATTGATAGGTCTTGATTCAACCAAACAACAGAGAATTGAGTGGTCCTTGCACAATGCAAACACCAGCAGCATCGACACTTTATTTACCAAGTTCTTTTGTTCACCCAACAATCAGATTTGGTCTGACGGTTAGCATTAACAACCAAAGCTAACCATCGTCTTGGCAGTCATCACAGCAACATTACTATCAACACCACAACTACTCGAGTTCGAGTCTCTGCATCAGCTAATACTTTCGCCAGTCATTTCAACCAACCAATCAGCTTGTTCAGATGGCCTCTTGATAGACGCGCCCCTGTGGAAAGGTGGTCTGGTCACTATCAGAGGCTGGAGGAGAAGATGGATGGAAGGAAAGTGAAGGATGGGGACAACTGAGGAAGTGAGTAACAAATCCCGATCCGTCAGACCTGTGATTCTTTTTTTGCTTAGCTTGTAGTTATAAATTGTTTGGTACATGGTTTGTGATCTGCGCTGTGCGGCTCCCTGTGCGTAGCTAAGAGTAGCATTCATCTTGTATGATCTGCATCAAGCAACGATCCAGTGTGAGAGACAGATACACATCTTGTGTGCATTTTGCACCCAGGCCGCCATGTGTCCATCTACCAAGTTCTCAATGACGCTGCCACACCTTCTGCACTGTCTGACCTTCGCATTCGGTGGAATAGCACATTTTCGCAGCACATCATACTGCTGTCTTCCTGCTCGTTTGTTTGCTTCTTCGTCTTCGCCCAGACCAAGCCAAGCCGTATCTGCAGTGTAGATGGCCACTCCATCGATCTGGTTTTCCAAACGCGGCATTATGTCGCCAAACAACTTTTGTAACACTGGACTGAGTGCTTCGGGGATGTCAGCATCGACGAGCATCCCCTGCTCGTAGAAGCTTCGCTGTGGAGGCGATGACTGCGCAGCTTGGTACGTTGCACGAACATTGCCGTCGGTCTCTGCGACGAGCTGTTCGAACAGCCTGATGTCAAAGGGCAGCTCTGGCCCCATCATCGCTTCCATATGTTGCAGTTCCACGCTGTCTCGAATGTCGTTGGTCCTGCTGCTGTGCCTCACCTTCTCCTGAGTCTTGACGACACGCATGGCGAAATTACGGATCAAGTTGCCCAGCATACCCAGCAACGCGCGGGTTGTGCTGCTGAGCAGGAGATGCAGAGTTACAGTGTTCCTCTCGTGCACATAAGCCAATATCCTTTCTCGATCGAAATCGCCTTTGCAGAATCGCATCATCTCAATCAGGTCGTCGAAAATGAGCGTCATGAGGTCTAACGACCATCTCACCAAGCCTTTGAGCGATACGAACAAGCTCGACTCTAAGTTTTGCATTCCCCTGATTGACTGCGTCATGCTCAGGGTTTGTGCAATGTTGGTGCATACTGAACGAAGATTGAGCAGCACCCATGCTGCCTTTGCGGGAATGTCTCGTCGTATGGGGTCAGTCTGGTAACTGATGATCAGCTGTGCACTGGCGATTCTGTACAGAAGACTGTCTTTCAAGACTCTGCCAGACTGCAGTTTGGGCTCATCGAGCGAAAAGTCAAGGTTGCGGTTTATCGTGCGGAAAATCTCGCTGATGAACTTGCGTCGAAGGCTTCTGTCTAGATCTGTTGGGATCACAGAAAGTAGGTCGTCGAAACCGATCTGATAGCACGTCACAATACCAAGTTCCCGCGCCAGAGATACAACAGCGGCTTGTGCGAGATCTNNGCAACAGTTAGCTTGAATGTCAATCAAAAGTCAAAATGATATCCCACCATTGTCGTCCTTGGCATCCTTCCAGCGGTGCAAATACTCAGCGCTGTGTAGAGTAATAGTACCATCCGGCTTGGTGATGACCGAAGATGCCATACTAGGCGATAGAGAAATGTCGACACATTCGGATGCCAGAAAAGTGAAACCATTCTGAGGTAAGCATGTAGCTTTGTTGGGATCTTGATCGGGTTCAATAGTATGCATGGTCTCTCGAGAACGAAATTCGACTGAGCCATCACTCGCCGCAAATGCAAATGTGTTGTGGTATACGTTACTCTGGAAAGCCAGTATAGCCTTTGGTGAGATCACGTCTTCCATCCTGTACAACTTCTGAACAGACTTGCTGGTGGTAGATTGTGAGGCTGTCGGCTTCAAGCTCTTGAAACTGTCATGTAAAGTAGCCTCTGTCTGTTGAAGGTCCCATCGAGATATGACACTGAACTTGCCACCATGATCTTGTGCGGCGCTAGTAAAAATGGCCACGACCGTGAATGTGCTATTGTCAATAGCCTGTGAGACTGGTTCAATATGTAATGATGACAGTTGAGCGCTTGCTGCTCGTTCAGAAGACTGTGGAATGCAAGAGTCCAGAAGCTCGACATGCAGAATCGCCATTAGAGGGTTCAAAGTGGCTTTGTGAGTATTTCCATCACCAGCATTAGCATGCCAATTGATCATGATCTTATATAGACGCAAGTGTTTGGAAGCATCGTAAGTAACCATAACGAGATGTTCNTACCGGGGTCAGTTCAGTCGTATGGGTAGTAGAAGCAGATTGTACTCACGGTTTGCTTGGCAGAAGGCGGCATGGGTGAGCACGTCTCCAGAATCGGTGAGATTATCTAGAGGCAAGACAGATTGTGACCATGGCTGGCCCGGTTGCTCGTAGATGAGTTTGAGTTCGCATCTGCGAGTGACGCACAAGAAGGCCGCTTTGTTATCGATTGGGTTGGAGACACCATGAATATCATGAAGCCTCATTGTGTTGCTCCATCGGTTACCTTCTTTGGCCGCAGGGTGTATCAGAGCAGTCTATCACTCAAAGTCAGACAACACCTTCAGAGTCAACACGTTTACACTTCTTACACGCGTCTGTCCCGCAAGATTCAGAGGAAGCCAGTGAAGGCCAACGATTTGGTTGAGATCATCCACATTACTAGTCAAATTCACAGGACGACGCTCAAGACTATTCAAGGCATGGGTCAAACTGAATAGTGTGAACCGACCAAACTGGTCTGCAATGACCAGATCCAGACCGGAGCTGCTCCATTCAACGTGTGTGAAGATGGCACCCTCTGAGGCATTGACCTCTGTTGCGTCGGACAAAGACCATTTGGCGGTGTTCTTGTCGCGGCAGAGGGCACGCACGAGGACCTTATGAGAATCGGCAGATATTTGAGCAACGCAACTGGTCTTAGACCACGCTAGCCTCNNCCTGATAAGAGGTTACTGAATATCCAAAGCGTTGACGAAATAGCCAAAGAAGCAAACTTACTGGCAACAGCCTACGATATGAGAGCGCTCAATGCGCTGAGAGAGAGCATCAGTGTCAAAAGTGGCAGCGATGGCGGCGTTGATGCCTTCCTCGCCAAACAAGTCGTCAAGATTGTCCATGCATGCGACAAATCTACAGATTTATGATTTGATGGGCCGGAATACGGAGACTTCTCGGAAGAAGACACAGGCTTCACAGATTCCGGAATGAATTGAAGCCTAGATCGCGAAGGAAAAGAGCGGCTTCTGCGCCCTCAAAGAAGCGACTTGCAACCAAGAGAATGGTCGGACGGCGTGTGCTGTCTGCAGAGAGGGTTGACAACGAGTATGGAAGGAATGCGAATGATGGACTGGAATTTGTGCCAAGATGTTCGAACGATGAAGTCACTCGGTCACTCTCGGCGACGGCCAAAACAAACAGCAGGATTTGGTTGCGAGAGCGGGAGATGCGAGAAGCCGCGGCGCTGCCGGGCCTGTGGCTTCGACTCTTGTCTCAGCATCACTTCAAGGTTCTCCACGCTCGCTCTTTGCAGATTCTCTCATCTTTGTCTAGTTACCTTCTTCTTGCGCATCCGATCGCATTGTTCTGTTCGAGAAGGCTCGTGTCGCTCGGCCCTTCTGTTTCTTGTTATTGTGTCGCTCTATTTCAACCAATGGTCGCTGCTGCCGGATTATTGTGGAATTGACAGTGGCCTTCTCGACCGCGCGCCCGACTTCCTGACTGAGCTCCTTCCTTGTCGACAATAGTTGCTATGGACGGCTACGACTCGGACGGCAGCTCGCTATTGAGCTCGCCCAAGTCCCCTACTCNNCCCCCTCCCGAAATGCAGAAGAATCCCTATCCTTCTCCGCCCCGATCCAAGCACTCGTCGCAATCTGCCTCTCCCTCACCCGACGACCAAATGGACGCTTCCGACAGTCAACGTCCAGCCAAGCGACGCCGCATCAGTGAAAAGCCTCCACGAACCACCGAGTACCTCGATTTGACAAAGAGTCTGCGTCCGGAAGACAAGACTCAACTCGATCGCGTCTTGAACGTTTTGCACAAGCGCCAGAAGATCGTTGTCGTCGCTGGCGCTGGTATTTCCGTCTCGGCTGGCAGTAAGCCCACACTCCTTTCGACTTCGCTCAACGTCGACACGTCACTAACGCTTCACANNGTCCCCGACTTCCGTTCGTCAACCGGTCTGTTCAATTCTCTCCGCGCCCAGCACAACCTCAAGGGTTCTGGAAAGGATCTTTTCGACGCGTCGCACGTTTACAAAGATGCTTCTTCTACCGCTTCTTTCCACCAAATGGTCCGAGAAATGTCCCACATGACCAAATCCGCCCAGCCCACACCCTTCCACCAGATGTTAGCCACTCTTGCACAGCAGGATCGCCTCTTGCGTCTCTACTCACAAAACGTCGATGGAATCGACACGTCCTTAGAGCCATTAGCGACGCGTATACCTCTGNAAAAAGAAGAAGGTAAATGGCCAAAAACCATTCAATTACATGGTGGACTCGACAAAATGGTTTGCTCAAAGTGTCACGAGCTTTCTGATTTCCAAGCAGATATCTTTGAAGGTGCTATGCCTCCTGCCTGCACCAATTGTGAGGAGCTTAACAGGGTTCGCACCGAGGTTGCAGGAAAACGCAGCCACGGTATTGGTATGCTTCGCCCCCGCATGGTTTTGTACAACGAACACAACCCAGACGATGAGGCTATTGGCGCTGTAACGCGTGAGGATCTTCGCAAGCGTCCGGATGCTATCATTGTGGTTGGAACAACTCTCAAGGTTCCTGGTGTCAAGAGAATTGTACGTGAAATGTGCGCAACTGTACGCGACAGAAGAGACGGTGTAGCCATCTGGATCAACGCAGGCCCTGAACCGTCTGGCAAGGAATTTGAGGATTGCTGGGACATCGTGGTCAAGGGCACTTGTGACGAGGTTGCTAGACACGCTGCTCTAAGGCAATGGAACGAGCCAGATGTCGGTGTTCCTGTTTCTGAAGAAAGTCTGGAGAGAGCTCGTCAAAACCAGCCTACGGTCTCGATAGTACGGACGTTCAAAGCCCCGCCTAAAGATTTCACGCCAATGCCTTCTCCACAAGCACCAACGAGTACGCCTCTTACTGGTCGCCGTCATGGTAACACTGTCGACAACTCTTTCAGCGAGGAAGAAGATTTGGTGGATATCGAAACGCCTTCAAAACGCGCTGAGAAGAAGCCTACACCGTTCGCTATGCTCGGCAAGACCGCGCCTAATCCTAAAAGAAAGGCTCCATCAAAGGCTTCGGGCACAAAAGCAAAAGCGACTACGAAGAAAAACGCGTCAAAGAACGATCCGCCAAAACCGCAAATCAGGATCGACCAGACGCTCAAGCAGACCAAGACCGCGGCTGCTGCAATCAAGGTGGAGAAGAATGCCAAANATGGTGCCGCCTTCGACGATATTGCGGCAAAGAACGTGCGACTCAATCCGCCACGATCGAAATTCACAGACAGACCTGTCAAGGCTTGAGGAAAGCCGAGCTTCACGTGATTCATGAACTGGTGATGTTTTCTTGGACTTGCACTCTGCTAGAAGGTATATTAGCTGTCTGCATGATTTGGAAGGCCGGCGTTTTGGTGCTCTTACGTGGCACTATTTAGCGGTGGGAAGGGAGCAAGGATGCATATTACAAACCTGCATATGCATTATGCGCGGAGTTGAGGTGGTAGCTCTTGCCATTTTTGGGCTGGCTTTTTTTCGCTTTGCTAGACACTCAGACGGTGTCGTTACATTTTCCGCCAGACGCTACGACTGTGTCTTTATTTTTATCAGTACTATAAGGCTACTCACGAATTCTAGAACCTTTCATCTTCTCACTACTCATACCTTTGCAGGACACTTGGGCTAATGTGAACGGCAAAAACGTCAGCTGCGGGGATAATGTTGACGCCATTAGTAACCTCGCATGCCAAAGACTACGTCTGCGAGTGATTAATCATCAAACCCTCAGCTTACTGTCCTGCTATCTACTGACAAGGACCGCTTCCTTGACGAACCGAAGAATAGCATCGAGATCGCGAACATCATGTCTAAGAGCGACGACATCAAAGCCTTTGCGGACAAAGACGGTCATTTCCGAAGACAACCATCGAAGTTCCGCGACTGGATCTCAACAGAATCAGGAGCCAAGTTTCCACCTGAGAAAGATCGTTATGTATGTTGTCTCCAAGTATCCACACCAAAAAGACGAGGAGCTTGATACATGTCACGATCATGTTGTGGTCAACCACTGGAGGATGACTCTGACAAGCTAACAGNNGTCCTCTACATCAATTGGGGATGCCCCTGGGCGAATCGCACAGCCATTGTTCGCATGCTCAAGGGCCTCGAGGACATCATCCAACTGGTCGTGATGGACTACGTAATGTTTTCTGAAGGCTGGGGCTATAGCGGCCGTGACGGAACAGCTGAGAAGGATCCTCTGTATGGATTCACCCGTCATCGTCAGCTTTATGAGAAAGCAGAACCGGGCTATGAAGGTCGTGTCTTGGTACCCACGCTATGGGACAAGAAGAGTGAAACCATCGTCAACAATGAAAGTTCAGAAATCATCCGCATGTTCTACACCGAGTTTGACGACTTGCTGCCTGAGAGATTCCAAGAGAAGAGCCATCCCGCTGGCGGATACTATCCAAACTCTCTGAAACAGCAGATCGATGACTTCAACGAGTGGGTCTACGACACCATCAACAATGGCGTTTACAAGTGTGGCTTCGCCAGCTCACAAGAAGCCTACGACAAGAATGTGGACATCCTGTTTGATAGCCTTGACCGCGTGGAAGCCCATCTCAAGACTTCAGACGGACCGTTCTTGTTTGGCAACCATCTCACCGAAGCAGATATCAGATTGTACCCCTCGATTGCGAGGTTCGATGTCGCATACCATAACATTTTCAAGTGCAATTTGAAGATGATCAGACATGATTATCCGACAATTGACAAGTGGTACAGAAACATATACTACGACGAAGGAGAGGAGACAAGAGGTGGAGCATTCAGAAAAGCGACACACTGGGATGCTGTGAGTATTTCCTTGCGGTTCTGTATTCTGAGTGTACTGACACGATTAGNNATCAAATTTGGATATGCTGGCGCGAAGAAGCTTCAAGTGGTGCCCAAAGGTCCTGTACCAGACATCTTACCCAAAGATGCGTGAAGATGGTCGTCTTCACAGAGCGCAAGTTTTGTTGAAACGAATGTATGTCCGCCTAAGGTCTCCTGTCGTCCAGAGGTAGCAATTGATCCCTGCTTTTCAACCTGACTCGAAGTGTTTCAGATCCGTCGTCCCTCCAAATTACCGTATTCAATCGTGCACTGCAGATTTTGCAATAGTTAGGTCTGGTAACGACTTTTGCTATATACATTCTTGGTCTCTTCTATATCCATTCTGCTGTCTCTTTGTCAATCTCATCCTCTTACATATTATTTTGAAACATGACTCGAATCTCCCTTACACTTATCTTCTTGATACTGCTCTCTTCTTGTCTGATCCCTTTAGTTGAATCTCACACACCTCGCGTGTGGATTATTGGGCTCAGGGAAGACCAGACCNTTGAGAAACACCTTGGCTTGGTGGGCCGCTCAATCTCCGTCAAGGAACACAGGCCAGAGATCAACGGATACACCGCTTCTGTTTCAGATGACGATGAGGATCTTCTCAGGGCCATCCGCAATGATTCCAGTGTCGGCTTCGTGGTTAACATGCCAGAAGACTATTTTCGCAAGACGGAGAAATTCATCGAAGATGGTTGGGATGAGGACGATCGTGATCTATACGAGCACATGACGCACCCTGATCACCATTGGCATTACTTGCAAAGTTACGATCCCGAAGTTCTTGTTACTGACGAGGGAGGAATGTAAGTCTCTTGCTTGCACCATTTTATGGTCTGTCACTTATTCGAAACATCAGCANAAGTATATCTAGAGTGGGAGGTAAGACTCGAAGATGAATATGCTTTTGATGAGCACATACATCGCATTGTGGAAGGCAACTCTCTGCCCTTTAAACTTAGTCGCAGTAGCTATGTCAACAGCTATAGCCTGCGCTTTGTCGATGAAGAGCAGGAGAAGAAATTTTGTCCTTTGATTCGAGCTGATCCTCGTGTGGAATCATTTGGACCCGTCCGCGGCTATAAGATGGATGATGAGATTCATGATGTATGTTGCTCTTCAAAACCACCTCTGGCTGTCCACTAACAAGACTAGGAACTATGAGAAGGAAAAGGTGGTGGGAAAGGCCAGAGCAGGGTGACCAGAGAAGCAGGAGTGAAGAGACAAGGGTAGATCCGCCGCGACGGAGATTAGATAGCAGCAAGCCGCAAGCTCCACAAAATTTCCCTTTTCCCTTCTTTCGCAACTTTTGTTGGCCGCGCTTAGCAGTGAATTTTGCCGTCAACCAAAGACATAATCACAACACCACAAACAAGATGCCCAAAGCACCTGGAGGAGATGCGCGTCAAATGAGACGTCACAACCCATTGTCGGAAGACTACGCACCTTCAAACCCGCACAAGCAAAAAGCACCGAAGAGGAAAGGCCGCTCCAACGCCGGCGACGAGGACAATGAACAACAAGCATACATCGACTCGAAAGCGTCAAGGAAGATTATCGCTCTAGGACAGGATTTGACTGCTGAGGAGGATGCCGAGCTCGAGGCCCGCAGACCGCAAAACGGAACGAAATCAGCTTTTGAATTTGAGAGAAGTCTGCGCGATGACGAGGATTCTGACGAGGAGGGTGGTGTTCCGAATGATGACGAGGCATGGGGAGATGAGGAAGACGAGGAGGTAGAAGAGGTCGAGGTGGATCCTGAGGATCTGGCCATGTTCAACAAGTTCAATCCCGAATTCGACCCTTCGACACTGTTGGCACCTGGGTCAGCAGGAGACCAAGGAGAGAGCACCAACCTTGCAGACTTGATTTTGGAGAAGATTGCACAGCACGAGGCCAGCCAGGCACAAGGGCATATCATCCGTGGTGGTGGTGCTCCCGAGGACGCCATCGAATTGCCTGCAAAGGTCGTCGAGGTCTACACACAGTACGTCGAAAAGGAACCTCTCAGAAACACTGCCTTCAGCTAACACAAATGTTTAGAANTCGGCATGATCCTCTCGCGATTCCGCTCCGGCAAGCTACCCAAGCCCTTCAAGATCCTTCCCACCCTCCCTCAATGGGACACTCTCCTCTCCATCACCCGCCCTGACTCCTGGACACCCAACGCAACCTACGAAGCCACCCGCCTCTTCACCTCCTCCCGCCCGGCCGTCGCCCAAGCCTTCATCCACGACATCCTCCTCGACCGCGTCCGCGACGACATCCGCGAGACCAAGAAACTAAACGTCCACCTCTACAAAGCACTCAAAAAGTCCCTCTACAAGCCCGCCTGTTTCTTCAAGGGTCTCCTGTTCCCTCTCCTCGCTTCCGGCACCTGCACACTCCGCGAAGCCCACATCATCAGTTCCGTGCTCGTGCGCGTCAGCATCCCCGTCCTGCACTCTGCAGCAGCCATCCACCGCCTCTGCGAAATCGCCGCCGAGCAAATGACCGACAACCTCGAAGCCGGCGGCGCCACAAACATCTTCATCCGCGTCTTGCTCGAGAAGAAGTACGCTCTGCCCTACAAAGTCGTGGATGCGCTCGTGTTCCACTTTNTGCGTTTCCGCGCTGTCGATCAGGATGCCATGACTGATGCTCCTGCGACCATCAAGAGTGGAGAAAAGCTGCCTGTGCTGTGGCATCAGTGTTTCCTTGCTTTTGCGCAGAGGTACAGGAACGATATCACCGAGGATCAGAGAGAGGCGCTTTTGGACTTGTTGCTCGTCAAGGGCCACAAGGCCATCGGACCTGAGATCAGAAGAGAGTTGTTGCAGGGCAGAGGTAGAGGTGTGTTGGCTCCAGAGGTGGCCATGGCTGGTGTGGACGGCGATGATACTATGGTTGATATCCAGTAGATTTAGTTCTGTGCTTCTTCTTTCTGTGCCTGTTGAGGTTTTATATCATTAACAAAAGGAAGGCGTTTGGGCGTATCACTCCCTGACGCTGATGTTATACATTCGAGATACACACCTCCGACTCCCTGGTCTATGCAATATTCTCCACGATCTAATCAAACTGAAAGTAGTAATTTATGTGATCAAACGACCATCTGATTCCAGTGACCCTGTCTTTGTCAAGAAGTGGGGCTCAGTTTAATCCTTCGACAGCGTCACAGACTCGATCTGAACTTTTGGCACCATGTTTTGACATTTTCAAGCAAAATGATGCATTCAAGCGAAACCCAAAAGACACCTCAACGCCTTCCCCTATGACTCAAGACCATTCGAAACAATTCCCATAGGTCGTTCGAATGACAACGACCGTCCAGTCCCTAACCTAACAAAATGTCGAGTGACATGAAAATTCTGGTATATCACCCCCTCTCAACACCTCGTCCACCATCGAAGAAGAAACAAATTCACCTGCCGGTCCTCAAAAGCAGAACCCTGCAGGTCAAATCTGGAAACGAGTGCCCCATGCAAAATAACAATGAAGCGGCGTAGCAATGCGAAGAGAGTGTGCCCAGCCATTTGAAAAGAAGAGAAAAATGCCCGGTAAAAGAAGAAAAGCAGCTTTCGAGGCTGCAAAGAATTGTCGTCACCGTCGTCGTCTCATTAAAAATGCGTTACTCGTCAGAAATGGGTCTGGCAAGGGGCATGCTACTGCCGCGAGTATGGTCGGTTCATGGCTGCAATTTCGCGGGCGATCGTGCCCCATTCGAGTTCTCTGCGGACTGGTTTACCGCGCTTGGAACACTGGTATTCCTCCCACTTCAACAGTTCGTANTCTGGATCTGGTCAGCCGGCTATCACTGGACTTGTCGCATTTGGAACTAACGTGAAGCGCAGATGAGGTTGAATGATGACGTTCAAACGGCGAGCTCGTACGAAACAATAAGCCCGAGGGAGTGAAAGGCCGAGCTCGTTCATGACCTCTGCGATGCAAATTGTCGCAGATCTGGATACACCTACTCTGCAGTGGACAAGAGTGGCAACACCAGCCTCTCTTCCCTTTCCTGTTGACGATATGGTCAGCGTCGGCATTAGCGTGCGAATTCAAGGCACTTACTGNATAAACTCTAAGCATCTGGAGAAGNNGGACGATGTAAGCGGATCCACACCATTGTCCTGAACACCATCGACATAGAGAATGCTGTCTTTCGTGCGAGCGTCATCCTTCCATCTCTTGGTCTCGTCACTGGTCCAGCTGATCGTCTCGCCAACACTAAGGATCTGTCCAATGTTGAGTTCACGCAACAAGTCTGGGTTATTGGCGTGGCCAAGGTTTCCCAGATACATGTAATTCATGATTCTGGAAGGAAGAGAGCCGTCCATTTTGCCGAGCCATCGAGGGGTAGGCTGGCACAGCGCTGCCATCGAATTGGTCGAGTTGGGAGATGCCTGCAGAATCCTAGGCTGGATCGAACTCAGAAGAGCGACATCAGTGGGGTACGAGAAGAGGTTACGTTGATGCTTGGTGTGGAGTTCCACGTAAGCCCTGTCTACCGTCGCACAGTTGGCGTACATGTAGTAGGCGAGTGCCAGCAAAGACGTCTCAGTATACCCATCTGTGCAATGGATAAGGACTTTCCTGCCTTCGCGACCGGCACCAAGGTCGAGATCAATCATGCCAATATCACCATCTACATCCCGGTATTTGGGTGGAGTCATTTGCTGACTGTCCTTGCGTTGGATCGGCTCTTCGTAATCCGGGTTCGCTTGCTGGTATAGCCACGCTACTGTGTCCATCAAAGCGTCTACCTCGGACTGAGACCACGTCGGAGGCATGATCGAGCCAGAGCCTGGAAACTCCAGTTGAGGAATCGCATTGTTGGAGACTTTCGGGTTTGATAGAAGGCTTTCCATCAGCTGGAAGGCTTTCTTGTCCGGAAGTTGAGCTGGATCAGTCGCTTCCACAAAGAGATCATAAGCTTGTGCTGCGGACGGCAGTGCAGCATCTGGATCGGAAGGCACTGTCAAAGAAGGGTCTGGCGTAGGGCCGAGCCATACATTGTTCGCTATCTCAGTCGCCGAAGACATAGTGTGCATCTCGTATCTCTCCGAGTAGACTTCGCATGTGTCAGCTGTGTCGTCTCATGGTCCATCGAAGTATCACCTACAGAAGTCCATGATTGCGCCGGTCATGTTGCCCTTGTCATCGATAGCCACGATTTCAGGATGCTCGGATTGTAACTTTGAGAACGAATCTNNGGAAAGGGTTAGAAGTGGTTCGTCGCTCTGAACTTGGTTCAAGTTACCATTCACCACATATGTGTGGAATTGTGGGACTTCGGCGTCATTGTCTCTATCCTTCTCTCTCCAGACTTTCTGGGCTCTAGCAATCAGGGACGCCAATTTGTTGAGCGCCGACTTGGATGTCTTGTCATCGGCGTAGATGACGATGTCGCTCATAGTGGCCATTTTGGCTGCTTGAATCTGGAAGTTACGGATTGAAAAGCCATCTCTAGGATCGACTTCAAGGAAGGTTGAGATTTGCTCGCCGGTCTTGGTAGCAAGCAATAGCTCATCGGGCGCAATGGCACCCCTGATCTTGGAGTGACTAAGATCTCCTCCTGCCTTGACTACAGTTATGCCGCGCAGAGTGCGAGGAGCCCGTCTATAATGCTTCTTGTTACGCGCCGAGAAGTAGGTCAATTGAATGTTGTTGTCGGGGTGCAGGCCATGGAGCCAGGGGAAGACAGTCTTAGTGTCTGGCAAGGGGCGCGTAGCAGTGTGTTCCAATGCTTCATGGAGCTCTTTAGCGGTCAATGCATAGACAGGTGGGTTCTCGCTGATTCTGGGATATTTGTCGGCTTCGACCAGCAGAGATGGCAGATCGATGATTTGGCTATTGTCAGGCGCGTCGGGTGATTCTGGCGGGGTTTGGAGCTGCTGCTGTTGCAGCTTGGTTGGTGTGGGACCAGGAGAACATGTATCGGGGAGATGCTTGTTTGGGACAGCGGATGGCTTCCCTCGGGACGAGGTGTTGATGTTCTGCTGCGAACCTGATGCTCGTGGGCCCACTAGCGCTGGTCTTGCACAGACTGTAGCCATAAGAGCGTTCGTTTGAGCTTCACCGTCGGTCGATGCAAGGGCGGCCTACGCTTAAATTGTGGCTTTGACGTCGAGAATGGAGCGACTTGGTGTTGCTTGGGATCAGGAGATGGTACGTTTGAGGAACCCACGTCTTACGTAGGTCTCCTGGTGAGATGGCCTTTGTTTACTGGAGACTGATAAGAAGGTGGAGATAAGGTGATCCGCGGCACCGGAAATGCTAAAGATTGATGAGCGAACAATTCAAAAGACACAGAGAAAACAGGAGGGACTATATCAATTGCCTCTTGCTCGACACAAGTATTGATGAAGGAGAGCGAAATGGTTGAGGAACTGCAAGTAATACTTTTAGGACGACGGCACTCCCGTACATGTGATTGATTCGAGGCAGGAGGATCGTCCGAGCGCCCAACTGCGGGGACGACGGGCGTTAGTCGAACGGGGAAACCTTTAACTACCACACACACTACTGGCGCGAACCCTTGGCAGATGCCAGTGGCCAGATTGCATTGTTATTGTGCAATGCTCTTGTCAAGCCCACGTTTGTCTTCTGCCTTGTCGGAGGCGAAAAATCGTGACCGTCGAGTCTTTTGTGCAAAAGTGGCTCTTTTCATGTTACCATGCTTGCGCAATTGACAGGATTGCGGCTCGGTGTCGCGTCGTGGGCTGCTCAGGGTCTCAAAAGGTCCCGAACAATTTGGATTTGTGATGCGCCGCCAGCGCCGATCTCACCTTCTTCTTATCGAGCGAAAGCCCAGGCGAGAGCATGCCAGCAAACGAGTTGTACGCCTTGCCGTTGTTTTCCATTCCTACTTTCATCAAGTTGCAGCAGGATAAATTGCCCTCGAAACATACTGCTCTCCCCAATGGAACGTACAAGGGCGAAACATCGATGATGTGCAGCAATAGTAAGGTGAGCGTCCTTTTCCTTTTTCCTTTTCCACCGGGTTTCTTGGGCGCCCAGGCAGAAACCCTAGGCAGGTCAGGCCAGCTCGCGTGCTCCGCGTCCCCACATATCGGATCATGGCACAATCCGAGGAGACCATGCGGGAGGGGCGTACCTCGCCGACCCATGGATGACTGCAAGTCTGGTTCAAATTGTGTTTGGGCCTGGATGATCTTCGTAAGAACACCCAAGGTGACTGCAACGTTATCAAACTCTTCGAGACCAACATCAGAGGCAGAGCTACTAAGTATCTGAATATGTGCATAGCACCCTAGGTCGAGCCCTTGAAGTACCTCAACTCACTAGACGAGGGGGGAACCCGTGGGGTCACACCCGGGACGGCGGACGGGCTACTCTTGTTCAATCGTCGATAGAAGGCAATTGGAGCGCCGCCTGCCTGTGTCCTTCTTTAGTTGTCTGGAACGTCTTGTGGTTTGCTCAAGAGCAAAGCTGTGAGACGTGTGCGAGGTCATTGTGCTGCATACTGCCGAACCACGATCCATTGGCCACACGAAAGGCTTGCCTTCTCGCTTGGTACATGCGGAGTACATGCGGTACGTACTGTGCGACGCCCACGGCAGGGAGCCGCTAGATTGTGACAGTGTGTCTAGATCGACCAAGCAAAAACTTGCCCAAATCGGCACTTTGTAACCAACATCGGTCCTGCGAACAAGGACTTGCTGAATCTCTCGATCGATCGAGCAGATGGAATAGAAACATCATATCTCAGATTTTATCACGAATGAATGCTCACACAGAATCGCTTTCTAGGCTTCATCTTGAGCCCTCTGATCTCCAAACTCGCATCCATCAATCAATTATACAGAGACCAAACCCAATGGCTTATCCAAAACAGCAGCAAGGTGCAACTTGTGTGAATATGATGTCTTAAGCCTATGCCTCTCTGCATGTACAGCCAACTCAAAGGGTATCAGGCTACAAGCCATATCGACCAACGCTCCCAAACTCCTACTATGCAAAGCTCCCCTCAGTACCATAACTCCTAGAGACACCATGAACGAAAATTTCCATCGCTGCCAGTATGCTTGACGATGATGCTTGTGATAGCCGTGCATCTCACGCAGCCTCATCATCACGAATCTCCTGCTGCAGAACGATGGAGTAAACACTGGCTTTGAGCAGTGTAAACACCGTCGATGTCTTTCTCTCCAATCCTCTCAATGCATCAAGAATCTCTGCGCTAGGACGTGAGGCGAGATCGTTGAGAAGTGCAGATAGCTAGCGACCTTATTAGTATTCTTGTTTGTATTGTGATGAGAAAATCACGTTGTGATAACAGCACATTGGTGAATAGTTTGTGATAAGGTGTTGATGGACACAAGCACCGAAAGAGGACAAACTTACATCTCCGAGGTTTCCTGCCAGCCGCACATATTCATCAAGTACTTCTTGCTCCAGTGGTGACAGGGACTCTTCGCCCGAGACTCCTGGGCTACTGTCCAGACCCGACATTGGAGATTTATCGTGAAGTGATTATGGGTGAGTGTTCTGGTGTTCGTTTCGAAGTTTTGACTTTGCTTCTGGTTCTGCGATTACGTTCTGATAGGACGAGCGATGGTTGTGTTATGATGTTTTTGTGAAGAAACACAAGACCATTCGGTGTGTTTTGGGCTTGTCGGCGCCAAGACTGGCAATCTTGACAGGGTGATCCCCTATACCACTACCGCAAAAACATAAATGATAGTAAAGACCTCGATGCCCTTGATATATCGCTATATCCCGGTGGTTGACATCTATGTGCTACTAGTCACTGATTGATACAATCGGATATAGCTCTTGGTCCACTGTGGTGGGAGAATGGCTTATTTTTGTGTTTTGGTGTATCTGCTTAATCAAGTGCCTATGGCTTCACGTATCACTGATGTCTGTTTTCCAGACGAGCATGTTCACATTGAGTGCGCTTGGTAAAAACGTCATCGCTGCCTAAAAACAGGATTTAGAAAGACTCGGTGATTGTGCCCATACTTCACATACCCAACACCACATAAAATCAGAGGAGAACTTGGAAAGTATCATTCATCAACTCAAACACATCAAAGCGCTATAGTAGGATGTGAAGACCACCAAAGAGGAAAAGCAAGCAGAACATTCGCTTTCCCAGTATTGAGCCTCAAAGGCTACAAAAAATACAAACGCCCCAGAATAACTCCCACCGGATTGCATGCGTTAAAGAATAATGGCATAGATATACAAGCTGCCCGACTTGCTTCAGTATGGTATTGCTTTTTGATCGCCGATTTTCCTTACGGCGGTGTTGTCAGCATAGCATAACGCCTCCCGAGCACGGAGGGCAGTATCCTATCTTTGCTCCTCGTGATATTGGTGATCTTGATGTTGGTCGTCTCCATCATGATGCAACGTAACGGAGTTGAACTCCTCAAATGGATCTGCGATCTCACCTCCCGGCGTGGCCAGGTTGCTATCAAGGGGTACACCCTTCATCTTAGTTGAGTTCACTCCAAAGCCTTTGTTCACCTTTGAGCCACCCAGGTCGACACTATGACTTTCTTTGACATTTCTGAAGTTGACAGTGTCGACACCGCGGCCCTGGTTAGGGATAATCGGAGGCTTGGAGTGGCGTAGTAGAGCCCATTGTGTGGTACGGAAGAATTGATGACCCTTGACGTCTGACGCGCCAGCGCGAGAGCCTAGTCGACGAAGTTCGTCCTTGATCAAAAGCTTGCGAATCAAAGATTTGCACAAACTNAAAAGCTGTTAGCAACTTGAATCATGAGCTGCAATGTACCGAGGGACTTACCTGCTGACGTTCGGATAACCACTGCCTTCAGGGAATGGCACCTCATCTCTCAAGATGTTTGCAAANGTGGCGTTTCTGTTCTTCCCCTTGAAAGGTGTCGTACCGTAAAGCATCTCATAGATCAAGATACCCAAAGTCCACCAATCGACTGCGCTGGTGTGACCACAGCCCTTGATAACTTCGGGCGCAATGTACTCTTCTGTGCCCACAAATGAGTTGGTGCGGAAGTTGTTGATACACGACTTGGTATCGATGGCAGGCATGTTGTTGGGGTTGTTCGAAACACCGTTGCGGCCTGACATGATCATGGTGGGAACACCGCCGGGATCTGACTGCTTGGAAAGGTCAAAGTCTGAAAGCATGATATGGCCTGACTGGTGAAGAAGAATGTCTAGAAATAGATGTCAGCATGTGGTATTGGATGTGACTTGAAGATTCGACGTACTTTCAGGCTTGAGGTCTCTGTATATGAAGCCCATAAGATGTAGGTACTCGAGTGCGGCTGTGACTTCTGCGGCGTAAAAGCGAGCGGCATCTTCGTCCACACACTTGTTTGGGCGAGTTTGAAGAGCTCTGAAGAACTCGCCTCCACTGCAGTACTCCATGCAGAGGTATAAATGTTCTTCTGACTGGAAAGAATGATACAGTGTAACGATGAACGGGTGGTTGCTGGTGGCTAGAATCTCCTGCTCGGCCAGAGCACGCTTGATCTTGTTGCGCTTGATCATCTCCTTCTTGCTGAGCACNTAAGGACTGTCAGTCGGTGTTCGGATAAAGATATTGTGCATATGCTTACCTTTCATGGCGTACAATCTTGAGCTCTTCTTCTCACGCACCAAATATACCTTTCCGACGTCACCCTTGCCGATCAATTTGATCTTGTCGAAGCTTCCGGGACCAACTTCGACATCGCGTACTTTGATGCTGTTGCTGCTATAAGTCCTACGGAAGGCGGCCGCACTTCTAATCTTGCCAGGGCTAGGAATGCCAGGTACAGGAAGCAGATCGGGAGAGCTGCTCATAGGAACCGTCTCGACCATTGACTGCACCGAGATGTTTGAGTGTTGCTGAGCGAGGGGAGAGGTCTTAGCCATCATGTCGGAAGTTTGTGGTCTGCTATCGTTGGAGTTGGTCTTTGAGAACAGGCCCTGGGCATTGGGAGCACTAGCAACACGACGCAGTTTCCGTGCCAGCTCTTCTTTACCGGCCACAGCAGCAGCTTCGTCTTCAGCTTCCTGGCCTTTCTTGACAGGAGTGTCTGGGGGACTTGGAGGTACACTGTCGGCGTTGTGATGGCGGAGAGCAGGCGGGCCCTGGTGTGCAAAGTAGGGATTGGCGTTGGCAGTAGGACTCAGTTCGTCAAGGGCATTGCCTTCGCTGGCGACGGTCTGACTCCTATTTCGACCGATGTGTGGCAGAAAGCGACTGTTGCGGAGTTTGTGTTCAGAGCGCGGGGTCGAGGGGCCTTCAGAGCTGGTCTTTCCCTGGCCAATCAGCTCATCCTTGGTTGAGGATGAGGTGATGCGAAAAAAGTTCTTGATCTTCTGGCTGACCTGCGAGTTGGAGCCGTTGACCGACTTGTTGGTCGACATGGACACGCCCGAGAAGGTGCGCCGGTCACCAGGCATGATGGGCTACAGGGGAGGCCGTTGACTGGCGAGACGGAACGAGAAGGTGGGTATGCGACGGTGGAGATTCAGCGGACACCGTCGCAGCAGGCAGGAGAGCACTGCAGTCGAGGGTGGAGACAGTAAGGGGAGTCTGTCAGTGAGCGTCTGGTGTCGCAGCTGTCAACTGGGCCAGAACGCGCGAACGAGCGAGGACAGCGGGCCAGGGTTATGCTTCGGCGTGGCGGAGGATATTCCCGGGGAAGTTAAGCCGCCATTCGACAGCGATCAGAGCTGTGGTGCGAGTTCAGCTGCTCTGTGAGGCGAGTGGTGTTGTTTGTGACCTAAGACTGAATGTTGCAATTGAGAAGGACAGGGTCAGAGATAGTGTTCAAAATGCGAGATTGGCTTAGTCGGTCTAAATGGCAGTTGGCATGTCGCGGTTGGCATGCTGTTGGCTCGGCCATTCGTTGCCGCGAGTGCGTCAGCGTGGAGTCGTTTCGTTTCGTTTCCTGCCATCGGCCTCAGCCGGCCGATTGCTTGCTAAGCTGCCAGGCTGTGCCTGTCTGCGCTTGCCGAATCTTCTGGGAGCGGACAAATCTCCTCGCCAATTGTTACTACTATTGCCTATCATTCACTAATCCTACTTCTTGTGTTGAAGCCAAGCTCGTGATGTGCTTGTATACGACTTGTTGCGTGTTGAGGACAATATCAGTCACCCTGCTGACGCGATCATCATCACCATCCTCCGTGGCCTTCCTGTTTACGGATCGACTTGACGCCTTATCAAAAATTGTCCTGGCAACAACAACCATTGTCTATCGAGGGGGGAGTGCACGAATCGCAGCTACTCTAAGTAGCCTTTCTGCTCGATGGCCTGGTTTACTTCCTGCCATCAGTTGATTGTCCTAATTCTTTCCCGGCCACCTATTTACTAAGTTACCAGCCACTTCTTTCTGACCCACACTCCCATGACCAGATTGACAACAGTTCTGAGCCGAATGTTCCATCTCAAATCGCCGAACAAGAAAGAGCAGCAAGTTGTGATTATGGTTCTTCGAGCATAGCATAGGTCAAGTATCAGTCTGGAGCCTACTCTTGTATCGCGGCTCTGGTCAATAGGACAACTCTATATTCCACCCCGCACCAAAGGCCGTCTCTATCGTGACGATGATGGTGATGCATCTGAGCTGCACCCCTCATGCGCCAACCGCCAGAGCTCGTATACCTGAGTGGTGTGAAAAGTAATCGCCGCAGTCTCACGATCGAGTCTCTCGCGGCAATATTGAGTGGTATTGTAAACTGTCAAAACGCACAGTTGCTTCTGAAGTGTGGTGGCCATAGAGATGCTCCAGAACTCCGTTTCTCTACGGACAACTTCTTGAAAAATGTTGTGTATTTTCACAGCTCCAATGTAACAGTCTCTGGCACATCGAGGGCAAGAACCAGGGTTGCATCGAGTGTTGATCACACAATTCAGCCGAATCAACACGATCGGAGGTGGGGTCTCCGCATGACGTCTCCCACTCTGTGCCTGCCCATCTTCAACTTCCACCGATCAATTTCCTCATGCAGTGTTGCGAGTTGCAAATTTGTCCGGAGCATGTTCTTGCGAGAGGGGTAGCAAGGATGTTAATAGACAGAATTGAGTTGATCTCGGGTGAATGCATAACGATGGTCATGACCATAAAGCCTCAGGGCTTCGCAGGCCTTTTCATGTCTTGTACTCAAGCCAACGAGGCATTACAAGATGGTGCTTGGTAAATCCTTCATGAAGGCTGCCGCCTTGGTGGCAAGTCTGGCTATTACATCGGATGCTCTTGCTGTCAGGAAGCCCAATCTCAATGATCTTATCAAACCATACAAGAGAGAGTTGCTCCAGGATCTTGTCACCTGGGATGAACACTCCCTGTTTGTACGTGGCGAAAGAATTATGATCTACTCAGGAGAGTTCCACCCATTCAGGTATGAGGCCTGCCTACCATAATCATGCTCAATCGGTTACTGATAGCCACCAGATTGCCAGTGCCCAGCTTATGGCTAGATGTCTTCCAGAAGATCAAGGCATTGGGATACAACGCAGTCTCATTCTACTCTGATTGGGCTCTTCTTGAAGGAAAGCAAGGTGACTTTACTGCTGAAGGTGTCTTTGCTTGGGAGCCCTTCTTCGAAGCTGCCCAGGAGGCGGGCGTATACCTGATTGCTGTAAGTTGTTTGACCTGATCCCATCTCCCCCCCTGCCCTTCTCCCTCTCCCCCCACTGGGAAGTGTGCTGGAGACAGTCACAATCTTCTTCCAACTGACCCCTTACCCCTTACTCCTCCTCATCCCCGTTCCCATCCCCATCTCGAGGTGTAAGGGCTGTTACAAGCTATCGAAATGCACAATACTTTTTGGATCTAGAGTATGGCCACAGAGACACCTTGAGAGAACGGTCTCTCTGTGGACAGTAACCATCTCTAGAAAGTATTGTGAATTTTTAGAGCCTGAAATATTACTATACGTTGCTGTGGGAGAGAATCTATACTAATCAGTTACAGAGACCTGGTCCATACATCAATGCGGAGGCGTCTGGTGGTGGTTTCCCTGGGTGGTTGTCGAGATCACCAGGCATTCTAAGGACAAGAGATCCACGTTTCCTCAACGCAACCGACAACTACTCCCGCCGAATGGGTGAAATCATTGCAAAGGCCCAGATCACCGAAGGAGGACCAGTCATCCTCTACCAGCCGGAAAATGAGTACTCACAAGCCGTACCGAGCGATACAGACTTCCCTGACCAAGTTAGTCTTCTTTTTCATTCTTTTCTGCATCTCTTCAAGAGTAAAGCTTGTTGAGAGTACATCGGAGACTCCGATCTTGGGCACTTGCTAAAAGATCTTAGGNTATACATGGCGGCTGTTGAACAGAAGTTCAGAGATGCCGGCATCGTCGTACCATCAATTCTTAACGATGCCTATCCACATGGGTACTTCACCCCAGGAAGCGGACCTGGAGCAGTCGATATATATGGGTTTGATGGTTATCGTGAGTTTGCCTCCTAAACATCGGGATTCGATGAGTGGCTGACAATTGGACCAGCTCTTGGCTTTGACTGTGCCAACCCAACCACCTGGCCTGACAACGACCTTCCTACATACTATGGCAATCTCCACGTTCAGCAGAGCCCTTCGACTCCCGACTCAATCGTAGAGTTTCAAGGAGGCTCGTTTGATCCATGGGGCGGGCTTGGGTTTGCCCAATGTGCTGAACTACTCAACTCTGAATTCCAAAGAGTCTTCTACAAGAACGATTTCTCCTTTGGAGTCACCATCTTTAACATCTACATGACATACGGAGGCACCAACTGGGGAAACCTAGGGCACCCTGGTGGTTATACTTCGTATGATTATGGAGCTGTCATTACCGAGGATCGTCTTGTGACTCGCGAAAAGTACAGCGAAGCCAAGCTTGAAGCCAACTTCCTGCAGGCTTCCCCAGCATACCTGACTGCAATCCCTCAAAACAACACTCATGCCAACGGAAGTTACACCAACAATGCCGACATCGCTGTTACTGCTCTGCTAGGTAACAGGACCAACTTCTTCGTCATCAGGCATGCAGCATACAATTCTCGTGCTTCGACTCAGTTCAAGTTGAACCTTCCTACTAGTCAAGGAGATATCACCATTCCCCAACTCAACGGCTCTTTGGTCTTGAACGGACGTGACTCCAAGTTCGCGGTCACTGACTATGATGCGGCCGGAACCAACCTACTCTACTCATCTGCCGAAATCTTTACACAGAAGTCTTATGATGACAAGCAAGTTCTGGTTGTGTACGCAGGTCCTAATGAAAACCACGAGCTTGCTTTGACTCTGTCTTGCAGCAGTGAGGTTGTAGAAGGATCTGGTGTCAACATCGTAAAGAAGAAGGGTACTACTATCATCGGCTTTCAGAGTAGCCCTGAGAGGAGAATCGTCAAGATCGGCGAGCTCTACATCTACATTTTGGACCGAAATGATGCTTACAACTACTGGGTTCTTGATCTGCCCTCGAGCCCTGTTTCCGGTAACTACACTAATGGGACTCTGGAGAATTCCGCCGCTATCGTCAAGGCCGGTTATCTCCTCCGCACTGTTGAAGTCAAGGACAACACTCTGCATCTCACTGGTGATATTAATGCCACCACTGACATCGAGATCGTTGGTGGCGCGCCAGCGAAGCTTACCGAGCTCACATTCAATGGTGAGAGTGTCAAATTCGCTCAGGACAGCTGCTCCGGCGTAGTGACGGGCTCTGTTGCCTATAAGGTACCATCGTTCTCTGTTCCTGATCTGTCTACGGTGGGTTGGAAGGTATTGAACTCTCTACCCGAGATCACACCTGGATATGACGACAGTCTCTGGACCAATGCCGACCTTACCTACAGCAACAACACCCAGCGCAATCTGACCACACCTGTGTCACTGTATGGGCAAGACTACGGTTACAATGCTGGTAGTCTACTCTTCCGCGGCCATTTCACTGCAACAGGTAATGAGAGCTCAATCTACCTACAAACTCAGGGTGGCTCAGCCTTTGGCATGTCTGCTTGGTTGAATGGTACTTTCCTTGGCTCAGCACCTGGTATTGATGCTGCTTCAAATGCTAATTCAACCTTCAACTTGCCCAACGTTGCTTCAGGCAGCTCGTACGTCCTGACTGTTCTCATCGACCATATGGGACTTCAGGAGAACGGCCAAGGAGGCTCCAGTGAGATGAAGACACCTCGCGGTATTCTCAACTACTCCCTTAGTGGTCGCAACGCTTCTGCGATCTCTTGGAAGTTGACTGGTAATCTCGGCGGAGAGGACTACCGAGACCGCACCAGAGGTCCTCTGAACGAAGGAAGTCTCTATGCCGAAAGACAGGGTTACCATCTTCCAGGAGCACCTACTTCCAACTGGGCCAACAGCACTCTTGGGCCTATGGCTGGTGTCACCTCTCCTGGTGTTTCGTTCTACTCCACGACCTTCGATCTAGACATGCCTGCTGGTTACGACATCCCCATTGCCATTTCATTCACCAATGCCACATCAAGCAGCAACGGATCAGCTCCTGCTGTATACCGCAGTCAGATCTTTGTCAACGGCTACCAATTTGGCAAGTACGTTTCAAACATTGGCCCACAAGATGTGTTCCCAGTGCCACAAGGTATCTTCGACTACAATGGTCCCAACTACCTTGCCGTCACGCTGTGGGCCCTGGAGGAGGGTGGTGCAAAGATCTCCAACTTGAGTCTGGTCGCCGGTCCTGTCATTCAGAGTGGTTACGGACCCATTACTCTGAGCCCCATGACTGGATGGTCGAAGAGAGAGGGAGCTTACTAAGGAAACAGACGCTTTATGCAAAGCTTGATCACAATTTGGAGGACGCTGAAGTGATCTGGTCTGGGGAATATGATCCTCGCACTTTGGTCGAATAATCAGAATATCATAATGTATAGAGTCTTTATATACTTGTTGTTTTTCCGAGATCGCACCCACCAAAGTTCGAGAACATTTATGGGTCTTGACAATATGTCTATCACTGACGGACAGGTCATTTCCTATGGCACTGGTACTGCTTGCCCTGTGGTTTTTGGACGTACTCTCAAGGAGATCCAAGATGTCTTTTCACACGAGTTTGGTGTCAGATATGTTAATAAGCTCAGAAGAGAACGTAAGCTTGCTGCTCAAGCCTGTGAACCGGAAGTTCTGAAGCAGCTGAATACAACACAAGCAAGGACGAACACTTACTTTCCATCATGTACGCAGGGAATATAAAATCTGGCAGACCAAGGAGTGGAACGATAAGGAGACATGTAATAGGTATGGTCATCGCATGAGGAACGGACCTCCATACCAATCGAACCTCGTATGAGACAAGTTGTCCAGGCACGAAAGTTGGTGTGCTTGCAACCAAGTCACTCGGATCTCTCACATCTACTCGCTCAAGCATCGGCATCCCGCTTACTGGGAACACTCTGCGGAGAAAGGGTTCCAGGAAGGCGCGAACCCCACACAGCTAGTCGCAAGCCACACTCCTCTTCCAACCCTCATCAGGCTCATGTTGCCAAACTCTTTCTCATCGCCTTCGAAACATTGGTGTGTCGGTGATGCCGCTTTGTTGCGGCTTTACAACATGACTGTCGCGCACGTAGCTGAAGTCGGCCCTTTGCTGACCTGTTATAGGCCAATCTATGCGCAATCGCTTCAATTAGCCCGGATGATACGGTCACAGCCTACTATTGCCGTTCTAAATGACTTGCATGGCTCAATACGATGGTCCTTGCACCCCCACCATGGATGCATGCCAACCTGGGGCCCCGAGGGGCAATCCTCTATCGGTAGGATCCTCTTGTCTATCTGCCGTACTACTGCTCCACTGGTCACGCGGACATGAACGTCTGGGATGTCAAGCACTTGCGGATACAGGATCCCAGCCACTGTTCGCCCTAGTTCTGTGTGCTTCCCGGGTCCTTTTCGCGGTCAGTTGCACAAAGAGTATCGGCTATTGATGGAGCACTCACGACGAAGTTGTGGTTCTTGCAACATTCGATCTCTACAGTAGCTCTATGTACTGGAGTACCTATCGCTCTAGCGATTTCTAGACACAAAGTCGAATATCAGGATTGATGGACCTTCTCTACCTCGACACCTCAAACTTTTGGTCAAAGTCTTCATACCACACTCAACACAACTCTTGAAGTACGGCAGCAAAGAAAAGAGAGAAGCAGGGCAGCATGATACTCGTCAAGCCTTTGCGTGTATACTCGAGATTGACTCCTCACGAGACCGTTTCCTTTAGGCTTCTCTGCACGTCCCTTCTGGAACAACCAAAGGCCGATCCGGAACCATCAGACCAATTAAAAACGACTTTGTTCGCGGGGTAGTCATATGGGGAGTCCTGTGCGTGGCTGCAATCCTGGGGTGTACCGTGTTGCGGAAGAAAATCGCCGTGACAGACGTGAAGCCGGATCATCTCACGGAGTATAAGTAAAGCTTTGGACCATGCAATCTCCCAACAGTTCATCCTGAAAAGCCCCTTCTTTTCTGGAGGCATCTTCTCTTCTTCTTCCACACCAACACGACGACTATACTGCACCATGGCGGAAATCCGAAGTGAACCGCTCACCTTCCCCGAGAAGGATGATCTCGAACACACCAAGTCCAACAATGTCACGATCGCAAATGCCAAACTCGCCACCGAGAAGGAACACAAGATGACCCTCCTGCAGGGTATCAAATTGTATCCTAAGGCCGTCTTCTGGAGTGTCCTCATTTCAACCTGTATCGCAATGGAAGGCTACGACGTCTGTCTTCTCGGAGCCTTCTACGGCCACCCCAAGTTCAATGAAAAATATGGTGTACAATTGGCCGATGGAACATACCAGGTACCTGCTGCATGGCAGGCAGGGCTGAGCAACGGTGCCAATGTTGGAGAAATCATCGGTCTCTTCATCAATGGTTTCGTCTCTGAACGCTTCGGCTACCGCTACACTGTCATGACATGTCTTGTCTTTATTGCAGCTATCACTGCTGTCTTCTTCACTGCACAAAACGTCCAGACCTTGTTGGTCGCTGAGATTCTGTGTGGTATCCCATGGGGTATTTTCCAAACTCTTACCGTCACCTACGCTTCCGAGGTCTGCCCTGTCGCTCTTCGTGGATACCTTACAACCTACGTCAACTTCTGCTGGGGCATGGGTCAGGCTATTGGTATTGGTGTTGTGAAGTCTCTGCTGCACCGCAACGATCAATGGGCATATCGTATTCCCTACGCCATGCAGTGGATGTGGCCTGTTCCTCTTCTCATCGGCATCACCTTCGCTCCTGAGAGTCCTTGGTGGTTGGTTAGAAAGGGCAGAGTAGAGGATGCCAAGAAAGCTCTTCTCCGCCTTACCAGTGTGAACCGTGAAACCGATTTCGACGCTGATGAGACCATCGACATGATGGTGCACACTACTAAGCTTGAGGAGAAAATTACCTATGGCGCTAGCTATTGGGACTGCTTCAAGGGAACCGATCTTCGCCGTACCGAGATTGTCTGCATGGTCTGGGCTATTCAGAACCTTAGCGGCAACTCGTTCTCCGGATACTCAACCTACTTCCTGGAGCAGGCTGGTCTCGACCCTGGCAAGGCTATGGATTTCGCAATCGGACAGTATGGCATCAACATGGCTGGTGTGTTCGGTGCCTGGTTCCTCATGAGCGTTGGAATTGGTCGCAGAACTCTCTACCTCGTTGGTCTTTGCGGTCTCTTCACCATGCTTCTCATCATGGGTTTTCTTGGACTCGTGCCTCACGCTCACAAGGACGCTGCATCTCTTGCTACCGGCTCAATGATGTTGATCTGGGCTCTGTGCTACCAGTTGTCTGTCGGTACTGTCTGCTACTCCCTCGTTGCCGAAATCTCGACCCGCCGCTTGCAAATTAAGACCATTGTTCTTGGTCGCAACCTTTACAACATCGTCGGCATTGTCTGCAGTGTCTTGACCCCATACATGCTCAACCCTAGTGCATGGAACTGGGGCAACTATGCTGGTTTCTTCTGGGCAGGCAGCTGCTTCTTGTGCATCATCTACACCTACTTCCGTGTACCTGAGCCCAGTGGTCGCACTTTTGCCGAGCTTGACTTGCTTTTCGAGAAGAAGATCAGCGCGAGACAGTTCTCCAAGACCCAAGTCGACGTCTTCGCCGACAGTCTAGAAGAGAAGGTTGAAATTCACCACAACGAGAAAGTTGATGTTTGATTTGCGAATTGAGTTGCTAACCTGCATCTCAGGTCGGCGTGTTTTGACGCGTTTTTGCTTGATTGCTGCTTTTCATGATGTCTCACGAGTTTCATTGTTTATTATGCCCTCCACGATTTTGTACATAGCTTATATTGTAAATACATACCTCATAGCAGAAAGCCTTGATGGCAGAGAAAATCTTTCTCGAATTATATTTCAACCTCATCTGATGTCTTGCAGAGTCTTGTCACGTCATGAACATGTCTGTCTTACACTTTCAGACAGCTCATCTAGCCGCTCGCATCCGGTCAGAGCGCTCGTGCCCTCGGTCGCCTCCTTTCTAATTCTTGTTGGGATGAGAAGCCAAATTAGGAGGCTGGCTTCGGAAAAACCATGTTCCTGGCTTTATAGCTGGGGTGATGTCTCCCGACGCATAGCGAGCCATCGCCGTGAATCTCCTCATTAGATGACTCTTGAAGCTGTACACTCTGCATAAGCATAAGTTTGATATTGCAGTGCATCGCGATCCGCGACGGAATTTGTGTCGACGCACTCTCGAGACAAACGAGTCGCAATAAACGAATATTCTCTCACTTAAGAAGGCGATCGCGCAAACTTCAAGGTGAAGCGCTAGCGTGGCCTGTGCTGTATCTCATGTGATAGGTCAACTCAGTCACTTAACGCGCTTTCCTGATTACCCTTGGCTTTTGACTAAGACAATCAGTGTATCGTTAGCTTTCTAGCATCGATCGCTCTTCACTTTAACGCTCTAAGCTGTCGCTTACACGTCCTACTTTCTTGCTCACCCATCACTTCTTTTTAACGCGACCACCCAGCTTTATCATACCAATCGTTTCTTTCGCGTGTCCGCCTTCTGCAACTGAACCGTATCACTTTGTCGGCGTTGTTTCTCGACGCGTCGCTTCATCCAAGATGGCGCCGAAAGTCGGGGATATTCTGAAGCGCTTAGGCTTGAGAGGCGCTATCATCCGATATGGCGAGCAATGGAAAACCCAAGAAGTCAAAGACCTCGAAGACGACATCAGAGCTTTCTACCAAAAATACGAGCCTTATCTGAAACGTGAGGAAGAATACCCTTTTGAATTCAACACCGACATCAACGAGATTCTCGAGAGACATGGCCCTGTTCTATGGCCTGATGGCCCACGTAGCGAAGAGACGACACTGTGGCTGTTCCCTGCAGGCGAGATTCCTGAATACCTTGAGGACATATATTACAGTCGTCATATCGACAAGTAAGTCGATATTCAATCTTATGCGAAGGCATTGGCGACTGACAAGACATAGGNNATCCAACCACTCTTCGCAACACTTCTGACCATGCGAGTAAAAGTGTATCGCAGTAACCAAAGACACGCAGAACTCAAGGCCAAAGAAAGGCGCGAAGCTGAACTTGCTGCTGCGGCCGCTGCCAATGCTAGTACATCTAACCATGATCCTGCATTCTCAGATGATTCCGACTTGACCGATTTTGACAGCCATGACGAGATACCTTCTTTCGTTCATGTCTTTAAGTTTGAGAGTAACGAGGGTAGAGCCAAGTTGCAAGAAATTCTCNAAAAGGAAGAGTTCAACCTGAGAAAGAGAAAGTTCAAGACCGACTCGCCCCTGGGCTCCGTCAAGCGTTCGAAACAACCAAGAGTGCCCTCTGAACCCGTTGAACCGAACCACAACCAGCATATGCCTACCTGGACCACTACCAACAATGACATGATTCGTGTCGCTAGTCCTCTGCACCTTGAGAATGGGCATGATCTTCTTGTTGCGGCAGCATCAGGCCACACTCATGGCTTCGTTCCTGTCAATCGACCTGAGCAAACCGAACAGCCTGTGCAGCACATCTCAGACAGCGATGAAGACGGATCTGTGTTCGGAAGGACCGCCTTGAGCCTGCACTCGAGCGACGGCAGTTCGCCCAACCACGAGTCACACCATCTGCCAGAGACGCCTGGCGAAGGCGTCCTTNTACATACACAATACTCACTGCCCCAGGACATTACTTCAAACGCACAGGCTAGTCCTTCTGCCTCAAAGTCGCCACAACACGAACCGCCTGCACAAGAATCTGTTGCACCAACTCCAGAAGTGTCTTCGGAAGCTGCTTTACAGCCTCAAGTAACCGGTCAATTCATACCCTGGCAAAAACTTAGCAAGAGACGAGCCAAAAGATCAAAGACCGCCCTGCGCCCTATGGTCGACAATGAAGACACGGAGCCTGTGGCACAAGCTAGTCAGAGCTTGACGGAGCTACCAACGAGGCAACCACCTACCATTCCAAACCTGCCTCTTACTCCTCAACAGGACGAGCCCGTCGCATCCGTGGACAACGACAATAGTGTCGAAAGCCGGAAGCTAATGAGAAGAACTCACGTCCGCACTCCCGCAACAGAGTCGTCAAAGCGCATGACAGACAACGCCTCGACCGCCACGCCCAGCGCTCCACAACACAACATCCAACAGATCCATCATCTCACACCTCTCTCGACACAAACTCAAACACGTACGTATCAAACTCCTTACGCCGAACCGCATCCACCTGTGTCCACTCCGCAATCAGTCCCAACATCAGTTGATGCTGGTCTTGGTATCGTCAACTCGCATCCTGCACCAATGGATTCTCCACTTATCATGTCTGGTCCAACCCCAACTATCATAAACAAGCAGATGCCGTCACCCACCGACATGCCTGTGTCAACACAAATCATCACAAATCACTTTGCGAATACGTTTGTCAAGTTCACCCTGACTGTCAATGGCCGTTCAAGTCACAAGAACATCAAGCTCGCCGATTGCTTTGATGCTGTTGCCTTACACCAAACAGTCAGTAGTCGTTTCAAGCATGGACTTTCAGGCCAGCCCCCCTCAGAAATCGTCTTTGTATTTGCCGACGAAGAATTTGGAGTTGATACACCCGACGAAAGTGGGCAGAGTCTCTGGGACGAGTTCATGCAGATGATCGTCAACAATGCTCCTCCAGGCACCTGCCCAATCACTGCTGCAGTAAGAGTCTGAGAAGACTAAACCTGACACGAAGAAAGATTCGCCAACACTTTTCATACACACGAGAGCATCTTAAGTTTGAAGCAGGAAAGATGCCACCAGGTACAAGGGCCGTAAAACTTGGTTGCGCAGTACAGTCGCCTGGACCCGGGGAACACATAATTGTAATACCATTTTGGTTGCTCTGCTTTGCTGATCAGGAAATCATGGAGAGGCGCTTGAGGGGGTTCAATGGTTGCTTTTGCCTGTACTCTAGCATATTTACATAACCCGAGCACAAGCTCGACAAGAGCTCAGACTGATGAGAACTTTTCTTCAAATTTCCACGACTTCAAGAAGTGCTTGGTGTCTCTTTTTCTTTGATCCCCGTCTTTGTCTCTGTATGTTCTTTGCTCAAGTGGCTCCTCACGATAAAGAAACTCGCTGCAAAGCCAAACGCACTCACAGCCGTCATCAAGATCCACGTCCTCTGCAAACTAAATGCGAACGCCTCTTTGACTGCATTTCTCTGTCCCACATCAACAATGTTCTTGATCATCTCTACGTTCGCAGCTGCATCTCCACCCGTAAACTCAGAAAGAAGCTCAGGCGAAAGCCCAGCAGCGCGCAAAGCAGACGACCTCGAAGCCATAGAGTTCTGAATCACAACACCAGCAATAACAATCGACATCGAAGTCGCAAGATTGCGAATAAACCCAAGAGTTGCCGTTGCAGTAGCCACATCGTCTTGTTTGACAAGCGCTTGCATTGCAATCAGCGGAGGTTCGAATAGCATTCCTGCACCTAAACCTTCAACGACTTCCAGACCTAGAATTGTGGCTAGGGGTGTGGAGGCGTCGATGTAGATGTATAGACCCATGCCGAGAGTGCACAAAGCCATGCCTACCCAGATGAGTTCTTGATAGCGACCGGTTCTGTGGATGATGAGGCCGCTCATGATGCCCATGAAGGCTTCGCAGAGGGTTAATGGTAAAATGTAGATTCCTGAGTGGATAGGGGTGGCTTGTCTGACGGATTGGAAGTAGAGAGGGAGGAAGTATTCAGCTGCGATGAAGATCNNTAGATATATGTCAGCATTTGCGTTCGAAGCGGACCGGACGGAAAGAAAGCTCGATATGAGAGAACATACAAAACCATGGCAGAAGGTAACAACGAGACAAGCAACGTTGCTTGGGTGGCTGAATATACCCAGTGGCATCAAAGGGTAACGAGCATACTTCTTCTCGCTCAAGACGAATAGACCACCCATTACGACACCGAAGACGATCAAACAGATCACTTTTGGCGAAGACCAGGGGAAGATCACACCACCAAAGTCAAGGCCAAGAAGCAACATGAGAGTCAATCCGAGGACACAAAGACTGCCCAGGAAGTCGATTGCCATGATGCCTTCCACCACTTTTGTTCTTGGGTTGTGAACGTCGAGGAAGAAGAGGAGCAGGAAAAANGCTGTTCCAGAGATGGGAAGGTTGACCCAGAAACACCCTAGAAGCATTGGTTAGTATATACCCCANGTGAGTAGAGGTCAAACAGTCTGCTTACATCTCCAAGACACAGATTCAGAAAAGACACCTCCAACAATAGGGCCAATGCCACCAGCAAGAGCCCACATAAACTCCATAAGTCCAATGAACAAAGTGCGAAGCCTCATACTGAACAAATCCGAGATAGTGATGATGGTAACTTGAATCAGTGCACCACCGCCAACACCCTGAAGTGCTCGTCCAGCAATCAAGACGGACATGCTAGGAGCAGTAGCACATATAATCGAGCTTACAAAGAACCAAGCTACTGATGTCAATAGAATGAGCTTTCTGCCCCAGATGTCTGACAGTTTGGCCCAGATTGGTGCAGCGGCTGCGTTGGCTAGCAGATATGCTGAGCCAACCCATGTGTAGCCACTTGCAGAGTGTAGTTCAGAAGCAATGGTTGGCAATGCCGTCGACACGATTGTTTGATCCAAGGCTGCTACAAACAGAGCGAGCNNTGCACAAAAGTATCAGCATGACATTCATCGTTTTTTTTTTTTTCGCTGTATCCAAATAGGAGACTAGAAACCTACATTCAGAGCTATCAAAATAGCTGCAATCTTAAGTTTGCTTCTTGGTTCGTCTGCCGGCGAAACAACCTCCATCTCTTGAGTCTTGTTGATTGCGGCTGTGGAGGACGAGGGCCTTCTATCTGGATCCAGATCATCTCGAGACATGGCGATTGGATCAGCCATGGTTGCGTTACACAATAAAGATATCGTAGTATAGATGGCAATAATAAGATCTAAAAAATATCCATGGCCTTTAGGGATTGACAATTGATCAAGAAAAGGGTGCCTAAGAATGCAAGAGTCATCGTCGTGGATTTCGGCGACCCCGAAAAACGTTTGTTTTTCGCGACCATTTTTCTCCGCAATCAACACCTTGACCTTCTGAAATAGGCAAGTACTCGCGGAGTTTTAGCCGACGTCTTGTACTTACTTCGACGTCGACTTCTATAGATTTTGTCTGCTCGTCGACATTGTGTTAAGGGTCAGAATCTGAACTTGAAAGGCCTCTTGTCCTACGGGCTGAGCGCGCCGCAAGACCGAAGAACTCTTGCTCATGAAGACCCGTGATGTTGACCATAGATGTTTGGTCTCTGATCGAAAACAGCGAAAGCATGTCGCGCGCTACTCACCTTACAAGAGCCTGTTGGGTGATTTGGATGCGATCACTACCAAAGGACTTTCAGCAAACATGTCTTCCCAGGACCATCCGAAATTGTGTTCAGTCAGTATTGGTTGTGGGATTGACTACAAAAGTTGGGTGTCTGAGAGTAAGTGCATGTAGACGAATGTAGTTCTTTGTTGTCTTTAGAATGTACATAGCAGCATTGCTGCTTCTCTTTCTGGATCTCGTCGTTTGCTCAAGCTTCTGTTTGTCCCTCTGCCCCTCCAGCCCCAATCTACCATTTTCAAGACTTCGGTATCTGCACGCCATCTATATCGTATCGTATCACTGTCCTTTCAGCCAAAGGTCCTGGCTGTGAGTCACCATCAACATGACTAGCAACGAGAATATTCCTCCCGAAGACATTGCCAGCAAGGAGAACACTTCCACCACAGATTCCAAGCATGAAGTCAAGGTCCCTGTCAGCGACGAAGGAAGTCTTCCGAGCTTGATGGGGCCTCTCGTGATCCGATCCAGCAACAGGTCCCGTTCAACCACTGCCAACGACCGCCGCTCTCCTGAGACACCTTCCGGCCCTCAAGACAGCAAGCTCGACCACGACAATCTTGAACAGAATCATCGACCTGAAGAAAACGACGCCGAGCTCAGCGAACTCGACTTAGGTGACAACGACATCGAAAATGATCAGGAGGATGGAGACGAATACGATTTCGAGTACGAAGACGATGACATCCCCATCGATGACGACCCTTTCTTCGGTGTGGCAGACACCAAAAAGGCCTTAAAGTTTTCGACCGAAGACCAAATGGATTCCATCATGAAGATCATGGAAGCGAATGAGAAGGCTGCCGATGAAGAAGCCAAAAACCAGAAGGCCATCCAGAGAATCTTATCAGAACATGTCGGACCTCCTGCTCTGATCAGCAACGACAACACCTACAACGACGACCTTCCTGACCTGATTGAGCCTCCTCACCCTCTACTGAAGGACCAGAACTACAACGCCACAGACATGTTGATCAGCGTCAGGTCTGATTTCGGAGGAGATGTTTACCACGTCGTCGGTATGACTGAGCCGCTGGGAAAGATGAAGATGAAGTTTTTGNAATCCGTCAACCTGGACCCATCTGAGTATCATACGGTTGAGTTCGTGTGCGGAGACCATGTCATTCAGGACAATGATACTGTCGAGAAGGTTTGCTGTTTACCTTGTCGCTTTTATGTGCAAACCGCTGACACAGCTGCAGNNCTTCTCATTGGACCTGAATCCATCATCTTCTGCCAGAAGATTGAAGCCACGCACGACGACCCTCCTTTCTGAGCTACAGTGAGACTCTAGTGAGTAAGATTGGAAGGGTTAGGGCCTGCATACTCTTGCACCCGTGATAACCCGAGTTTGTTGAGGGTATTGATGAGATCACTTCGAGTCTTCTTGAGTAGGGTTGTATGGGCCATTCTCAGCCTTTTGGTTTCGGAAGTTTGGACATTTGTTTCATGCAGATTGGCGGCTGGAGGAGAAGATAGAAGACTCGAATTCATGAGAGGCGATTTGAGACAGAGGTGAACAGAGAATCGTGTACAGTAGATTTGGGGTATCAAAAACGCTTCTACATCTCGAATGACGAAATAAATCCTTTAGATGGACCAGCCTGCAGCCTTTTTTCTTTTTCTTTTGNNTTGCTCCACTGTAGCATTGTACTCGGCTTGTTGGTCTTGCAAGTTCAGAGGCTCCAGGTGTTTTGCGAGGTTCTCTGCAGTGAGCGCGGGTGCAGAGTCTTGTGGTCCTAGACTTCCGAGCTCCTCTGCCAGTTTGGGGTCGTCAACTTGAGGGTTCTCCAGAGAGTCTGTGTGGGTTTGCTCGGCCAGCTCTTCCTCGAGCTGGTCTTCTTGGGCGGTTTGTGAATTTGTTTCTTCCTCCTCTTCCTCTTCCTCTTCTTCCGAGTCATCTTGGTCGACTTCTTCGCCGTCTTGACCGTCCAAAACTTCTGCAGTATCCTCGTCGGCTTCGTTCTGGAAGCCCACAGCCTCGACAAATCTGTCTAGATCCTTTGCCATTTTTCTGCTGAAGCCAGTAGCTTCTACCTCGATATCCAAGCGCTTGCTTTGATCGGTGTCTTTGATGGCGTCCTCGAAGAAGGGACCTGGCTCGTCCGAAGTGAACTTGAATTGGCGGGAGAAGAAGCGTTTGATACAGTTGACGTCGCGATCGAAGTACCATTTTGCGTTCTCATGTGTTGTGGAGAGCATTTGCGGGAAATCGATAAGGATTGGAGTTGATTTCTTGGTAACGGGGTCCTCCTTGATGAGCAAGTTGAACTCATTGAAATCACCGTGGATCAAGCCGACCTTCGCAAGGCGTACGATCAGATCCATGAGGTCGCCGTAGAGTGTGAGCGGGTCGGAGACGTTGTCGATGGAGCGTAGAGGGAAGGAGTCGATAAGTTCCATGACGAGAGTGTGTCTGGTTTGGGCGATGGGTTCGGGAACAGGGAAGCCTTCGCGCTTGAGAACGTGCATGAAGGCGTACTCCTTCATGGCTGCCAAGCGACTCAGGTACATCCATGAACCAGTGGTGCGGTTGCGCAGGTAATCGCGGTTGGCCTTGACGGTACGGAAAGAAATGCGACCGAGTCTGTGAAGCTTGAGGACGAGTTGTTTGCCGGTAGGGTCTGCGCTGACTTTGCCGAATACGGTGTCTTGCTTGCGCAGGGTGTTGAGGGAGAGGTAGTCGAGGCCACCATAGGTCAAGCGGTAACCGTCGTACTTTGCGTTCTTGATTTTGGCGATGAGACCGGACTTGGCGAGAGTCGCAATGCTCTTGTGGACACCGCTGCCTCCTCTGAGACCGGCGATTTGGGCGATCAGGACGGTAGGGACGAGTTCGTGGTTCTTGCTGCCCATTTCAACNCTTGATAAAATTGTCAGCGCTGGTTGCAGGATGGTTGTTGTTGGCGCGCATACCGCCGTGAGGACTCGCCAGTCCTCGGCTGTGAGGTAACGCAACTGTCTCGAATCCAACTTCATCTTGTCCTGTGTGTGTTGACTGATTGATTTCCCTCGTCGAATAATTCAGAAAATGGCGGCGGGGATGGATCCTTCTGCCAGCATCAAGTCCAAAGGCGGTGAGCAGGTGCCAAGGGTCGCTGTTTCGCAACCTATCGGCGTCATTCTAGCTTGAGAGCTGCTCGCCGCATCGCCGCCATCAACACCGTCTCCTCTCACACGACATCTACCTATCCGTCCATCTACCACTTCTCTGGACCCTTCTCTCCCGGTCACCAGAGTCTGAGATCGCGCCATAACTTCTCACCCGCCACCCATCTATCAACACCGACAACCGTCCAAACATCACCATGGCCCAGGACGACAAGCCTGTCGCCGACAAGGGCAAGGCTCCTGCTGAGAAGCAGACCACCGAAGTTCCCGGCGCAAAGGAGCCCCATGAGCAGACCACAAAGGACGGCAAGAAGCCCGTCGATCTCCCTGCTGGTATGTACATACATTCATCTTTGATGCCGTTCATAGCCTGACCGAGACTAGACGAGCTGAACGAGGAGGATCAGAAGCTCAAGGATGAGCTGGACATGCTTGTCGAGAGATTACTAGTGCGCTTACCTCTCCCCCATCACTTAACAACCCTGATTGACACGCCTGCAGNNGAGTCCGACAAGTCGCTGTACAAGCCCGCCCTCGAAGCCATCAAGACCTCCATCAAGACTGCCACATCATCCATGACTGCCGTCCCGAAGCCTCTCAAATTCCTCCGTCCCCACTACGAGAAGCTCGAACAAACATATGAATCATGGCCCGCAGGCGACGACAAGAACTCGCTGGCCGACACCCTGTCAGTACTGGGCATGACCTACGCTGACGAGGACCGTACCGACACACTCAAGTACCGCCTGCTAGCACCCTCGGGCGATCTCGGTTCATGGGGTCACGAGTACATGCGCCATCTGGCTCTCGAGATAGGTTCCGATTACCAGAAGCGCCTGAACGAGGAGCGCGACGCCGATGAACTCGTCACCCTGTGTCTGACCCTCGTCCCCTTCTTTCTTAAGCACAACGCAGAGGCCGATGCTGTCGATATCCTGAGCGAGCTTGAGATGATTGAAGCTATTGCCGATCACGTCGACGAGAACACTTACGCCAGAGTTTGTTTATACATGGTCAGCATGGTACCGCTCCTCACCTACCCTGACAACGACCGTTTCCTCCACACCGCACACGACATCTACAGAAAACACAACCAGCTGCCCCAAGCTCTTACCCTGGCCATCCGTCTCAATGACTTCGACCTGATCAAGAGTGACTTCGCCTCCACAAAGGACAAGAATATGCGCAGACAGCTCGCATTCGTACTCGCCCGCCAAAAGATCCCGCTCGAGCTCGATGATGACGAGAAAGAGGAGGACCCAGAACTTCAGGAATGCTTGAACAACACCAGAATGCCTGATCACTTCAAGGCCCTGGCTAAGGAGCTTAACATTCTTGACCCCAAGGTTCCCGAGGATATCTACAAGTCGCATCTCGAGTCGAGCAGAACCGCTGGCCTGACCAACACCGACTCCGCGAGACACAACTTGGCCAGCGCTTTCGTCAATGCTTTCGTCAACGCAGGTTTCGGTACTGACAAGATGATGCTTGTTGAGGGCGGCATCAAGTCAAGTTGGGTGTGGAAGACAAAGGATGATGGCATGCTTTCCACCGCCGCTTCTCTTGGTTCTCTTATGCTCTGGGATGTTGAGAACGGTGTTGACAAGATCGATACATACACATATGTGCAGGAGGACTCGATCAAGGCTGGTGCTGCTCTTGCCACTGGTATCGTCAACTCTGGCGTACGTCTCGAAGCTGATCCCGCCTTTGCTCTTCTGGGCGACAACCTCGACAGCTCAAAGTCAAAGTCGATCAGAGTCGCTTCGCTGATGGGTCTGGGTCTGGCCTACGCTGGTTCTAACCGTGAGGACCTCCTCGAGCTACTCCTTCCTTTTGTTACCGACACTTCTCTTGACATGCAACTGTCTGCAATGGCTGCTCTTTCTCTTGGTCTGGTCTTTGTTGGATCTGCTCAGTCAGATGTCAGCGAGGCCATTATTCAGACCTTCCTCGACGATGACCGCAACAAGCAGCTCAAGGACAAGTGGACTCGCTTCATGGCTCTTGGGCTTGCTCTGCTCTACTTCGGCCAGCAAGAAGAAGTCGATGTCATTCTTGAGACTCTCAAGGCCATTGACCACCCTATGTCTAAGCCTACCTCTGTCCTCGCGGAAATTTGCGCCTGGGCTGGTACCGGTGCTGTATTGAAGCTGCAAGAGCTCCTCTACACCTGCAACGAGCACATCGAGGAGGGTGATGAGGACAGAAAGGGTGACGAGCTTGTGCAGACCTACGCTGTTCTCGGTTTGTCGCTTGTTGCCATGGGTGAGGAGGTTGGTCAGGAGATGGTCCTTCGCCAGTTTGGTCACTTGATGCACTACGGCGAGGCCAACATTCGCAAGGCCGTTCCTCTTGCCATGGGTCTGATCTCTCCTTCAAATCCTCAAATGAAGGTCTACGACACTCTGTCGCGTTACACTCACGACAATGACCCTGATGTTGCCGTCAACGCAATCTTCGCCATGGGTCTGCTCGGTGCCGGTACCAACAACGCTCGTCTGGCCCAATTACTCCGCCAGCTTGCTTCATACTACCACCGCGACCCCAACGCTCTCTTCATGGTCCGCATTGCACAAGGTTTGCTGCACATGGGTAAGGGCACTCTTTCTCTCTCACCGTTCCACACCGACCGCAGTGTCCTCTCAAGAGTGTCAGCCGCTGGTCTCCTTACTACTCTCGTCTCCCTCATCGACGCTAAGTCGTTCGTTCTCGGCGACTCGCACTACCTCCTCTACTTCCTTGTTACCGCCATCAGTCCTAGATTCCTCATCACATTGGACGAGGATCTCAAGCCTCTCCAGGTCAACGTTCGCGTTGGTCAAGCCGTGGATGTTGTTGGACAAGCTGGTCGTCCCAAGACCATCACTGGCTGGCAAACACAGAGCACACCTGTTCTGTTGAGCTATGGCGAGAGAGCTGAGCTTGAAGATGAGGAGTACATCCCTGTGACCAATGTCATGGAGGGATTGGTCATTTTGAAGAAGGTATGTTTTCATCAGTGATCACCTCAAATCAAAGCACTAACGCGCATACAGAACCCTGAGTGGGAAGGCGCACAAGCATAGACGGTAGCATGGACATGAAATGGGGCTGTTAAGGCAAAAAGTTCACATGGATGAAGCTTTTGGCACTTGATATACGAATGAACATCAGACAGCGTGAGTCAGCGCTGGGATGGAAATGTAATATAGAGAAGATGGCAGTAGCATGTTCTCAATGAAGACACACTTTTCACGATTCAACAACTTTTGTGGTCTTGTTGGATAAGCTGCGCGATTTTGGAGCGTCAAGCTGACTGAAAAGGCGAACGGCATCTCGGCCCTTGGTCAACGCCAAGAGGGGTCTGGTTCCCAACTCCGCAATCTCCGCCTTCGATGGGATTCTGGTCCAAACAAATCATTTCCCTTTGAGTCTTGACATCTTCTTTTCGGCAACCGCGTCGTAGTATCTCAGCCTTCCTTGCCCTGACGACAGCTTACGCGGACTCATCACTAGCCATCTCCTCACACCTCCCGAGTAGACATACCATATTCTTCGTCACCAAGTTATCTATACCAACACCACCGTATCGCATACTCGGGCGTCAGGAGGATCGCGGAAAGAAGCAGACCAAGAGTTGAAGAACACTCTCACCGAAATAAGCTAGAAAGGATACCAAGGGACATATCACAATGGCGACGCCCAACATCAAATTCGGTAGCCCCGTCATCTTCTTCGACTCACACCCCGAACAACAACCCGGCTATGTCGCCTCATGGGTATACGCTTTCCGCGACCACTTGAAGATTGCCTGGACTGGTGATGTTCCCAAANAGTTGTTCCCCGGTACCTTGCGACTGGTTTGGTGGACCGTAAGCTCTCTCTTCAGACTCTAGTGATAGGAGCTGCATACTAACAAAAATTATAGANCCGACGGTGTGCAAGGCCTTCGTGACTTCGAACTCCACCAATCTGAGCTTATCAAATCACTCTGGGACTCCCTCCTCGATAACCCTGACGTCTCTCGCGCACTTGTGACTGGATACTCTGGTCAAAATCCCTTCGTCCTCAGCTACGGAGACAACCCATGGCTCACAAAAGAACAANAGGAGAAACTCATCCGTCGTCACAACGACGAGATGTGGGCCAAGAAGTCAGCCAAGAGAATCGAGACGAGAAGCAAAGAGGAGAGATTCGAAGATGAGAAGCAGGCCATCAAAAGGAAAGAGCAGATTCTGGAGCACATCGATGAGGTTATTCAAAGTAACGAGGATGCTGAGAAGGAAAGATTGTTGGCTGTGGACAGGGAGTTTGTGTAAGGTCTGCGAACCTCTTCCCTCTTCTACCAGTCGATGTTTGCCTTCCAACGACACGATTATGGCTCTTTCAACCGCGACATGAACCTCGCGGCTGTCAATGGCTAGCGATGCCATCTGCCACTCAGCTGTCTACTACCTTGCCGGTTTCTGCTTCGACGTAAAGGTTCTGAAATTTCTCCTACTTTGCTTATCCGGCTCTTCTTGCATAGTCAGCGGGCGTCAGGGGTTTGCTATCCTTTTTCCGAAAATTTTGTAAATAACCATTCTTGTAATCACATTCTCAGCATATCGATACGACTACCACTTCAACCTCGTGCCAACAAGACAAGTAAGTTTGTGACGAGAGGATCTCTCAAACCACGAGTGATTGGTCTGGAGGCACGTTCTTACAGCCGCTTCATGCAAGCAAGGAGTCCTCTGGTCTAAGGCACAATCATGCCGAAGCTCCTTCCGAAACGGTCTTCGACACAACAATGTCCTTCCACAACTGTTTCTTCCATTCAGTTTTTTCTCTCGACAACATTTTCCGTATCATACACGAGTCTTGTCTTTGACTCGCCCTTCTGCTTTAATTGCAACTTAACTCTTACATCCCGGCTTGCAAGTTCTGCGGCACAGCAACAATCCGCTGATCGACAATGCATAGACGAACTGTTACACAAGCCTTGGCCCACTACGGTCGACGGACGGCATACTTATAAGTAATCGTGGTTCCTCTTGTAATCATAAGGAGCCATGCATTATCTTCTGCCAAACTGATCTTCTCAAAACCAACAATCCAGCGATATCACTATGATATCAAGTTTACAAATGGCATTGGTGTTGAGGTCTTCTTTGGAAAGCGGCACACGAAAGACGCAGCACATCTTCAGATCATCGAACCTGTCTTTTGGTCGATGTACTGTCACTCGTCTTCACTTTTCTTCCGGCCCTATCTCGTTAGATCGAACGTCTACTCCTAAACAGACTGGTCTGCCGCGTCCATCGTATAAAGACCTCTCGGGTGGATTGGGACCAGGATCGATTTCTCAGGCTCTGAGAGCCGTTATGAAGTCGAAAGCTTCTGAGTCGAGAGAACAGGGAAGCCTTGATTCGGCATTGGAGACATACCTCCTTGTAAAGAGCAGTCCCATACCAATTGACTTCCGCTCAGCCCAAACTTATCTCTCCGACGAGCTTACCACGCCGGCACAGCCCAAGTTTCGTACTCAAGGCGAAGAACCATACGAGGAATTTATGAAACGATTACCATGGCCAAACACAAGCTCAGAGCTCCGACAAGCCTTCCACGACGAGCTGGGGCCGTGCAGTTGGTGGAAGCAGCCACGACAGGTCTTTCTGAAACTCTACAATGCAAAAGACCCTGATCCGGCACCCTTTCTAGATCACTGCGATGGCATTGCCACCATTGGTCAGAAACGCGACAAACATAACATCAATTCCAAGAAGCAGATAATCTGGAAGTTGCGCACGCCGTGCAGAGATGCTATAACTATTTTGCGCCACAAAGGCTTACATGAAGATGCAGGATGGCTCAATGCTTTTGCTTCTTATGATCCGAAAGACGTTTCAACAAATTCTGTCAGTCCCAGGCCTCAATCTGTTGAGTCGCTTGAAATCATCTACAAGCAGCTGGGTGTCGATGCTCATTTGCGTCAGTCGAGACTGAACACCGAGCAGTCTCAACAAGCAAGCGAGAAATATAGATAGGGCTAAACTTACGAGACAGGCTAGCACTTTGGCAGCAAACGAATGTCAATGTGGTTAATCCTGAGAGGTGGTTAGAACGCTGCACTTGTGCTTCTTATTATTGCCCTTCTCGACAGAAGAAGCATTGAAACTCGAGATTTTCACCATCGTCAGAATCGTACTCTGTGTTGACCTCCTATCGTTCAGAATATTGCTATTTGCTGCGAGGAAGTTCCTTCCATGATTAGCAATCGTGAGTGGCTCCAGGTGATCTTGCACCCTCAAGGCTCTGAACCATCCTCCCATGCTAGGTTCACTCTTCCTACTCTATAGCTTTGAAACATCGTACACCAGCTCCACTTCTACGTTTGTTGATTTGTTATCAAGCTTATCGTTCTTTTTTCCTTGATCTGCCGGGCATTCATTCTGCGGCACAGCAACATGATCGACATTGCATACGTGGATTGTTACACAGGCTTTGGCCCAGCATGACAAACAAGACAGTTCACCTGCCGTTCGTCTTGTTTCTTCCTTCTTCACGTACCACTTACTCCAGAAATACATCTCACTCCTATCTCAGACTCTCAGTCATTTGCCGATAACATGAATATGCTCAGACCCTTTGGAACAGCTGCAATCTCAAGGCATCCTTGGATCATCGCGCCTTGCAGGTCCACAGTTACCTGCAGATTGTTCCGGCTGTGTTTGGTTTCGCAACCTGTCGCTAGCCGTGAGAAACACACGCGTTCTGTCTCGATGGACCAGACCTCCACTCCTCAGGGTGCTTCGAATCATCGTGCAAACTCGAATGCGAAACACAATGCTAAACCCAAACCCCCGAAAATCGCTGCGTTAACGATATTGGTCAAGACCGAAGCCTCTGAGGCACAATAATCTGGGAACCTCGATTCGGCATTGGATGTTTATATCGCTGCAAGAAAAATCTTTCAGGATAAAGCATTTTATCAAGTCCAGATATATCTCTACAAGCAACTCACCACACCGAGACCACTTGTTCGCAATAAAAGGACGGCCTCTTTGAAACCTACGAGGCATTCGAGAAGCGTTTGCCATGGCCAAACACCAGTTCCAGACTACGAAAGGCTTTCTACGATGACATCGAGTCCAATACTCGTTCGGACGGAAAGAAAGACAACACGCGATGTTGAAACTTTACGATGCAACGAATCAAGATCCCGCGCCTTTCTTGACGTACTGCCGTCGAGCGGCCGAAATTTATCGGTATTTTGATGAGAGCCCAGAGCTAACACGAAGTCAAGTGATGGAAATCGTCGATGGGTGCAGAGATGCCCAAGTGGTTTTGAGACATTTGGGGGAGCATGATAATGCTGATTGGCTTGCTCAATGTGCTGATCAAGAATGGCTCGATCCCGATGAGTACTCTTCCAAACAATTCCAGTGGAGACACTCTGGCATGGACTACCTGGTGGTACGGGATGACGGGCCGCCGTGTTATCCGTATCCTGATAAATCGGATAGTGAACTGTCGGATAACCAAATGGGTCATAGAATTGCATGGGAGTTCGAAAATGATCTGCTGTGATCAGTATCGAACTCTAGAACTTTGAAGAACAGATGAAGCGGTATGATCTTGCGTGGTAGATACCGCCTTAGCAGCATATAAAGAACGGGAATGTAGAGCTGTGCAACGGCCTTCAGTGGTCCATAGTTTAACTTCCCAAAATGTTACCAGAAGACAGTTTTCTACCGATCGAAACATCATCCAACTCTGTAACTTGCTTTATTCATCGACCAATAAGTAATCAAAGCCAGATCAGACATAAGCCTTACCTCCAACTTGAACATCAACTGCCTGTTGCGGCGGCGTCTCAACGCCAGTCTCGTACCCTCCGTTTCACCTCTGATGACTTCTTTCTCTCTTNCGAATTTCTCTCTTATGCAAGAATCTAGTCCCCAAAGCCGTGATGATGATACAAACAGACAAACAAGTAACAGTGATGAAGCCCTGTTGATACTCAGGAGCATCAATCTGTTGCCAAACGAGAAGAGGCAGCCACGCTTGAACGACATATGCCAGTTCATTCATGGTAGCTGCGACGATGGCTCTTTCCTCATTGTCCGAAGCACAGATTTCATGTGCCCAGNNCTGTATCGCCCAAACATCAGTCATCATAATCCAAACAACAGGGCAGGAAAAGGAAGCCAGCACTTACGCAAAGATCAACCCACTCAACCCATTTCCACACCCAGTCAGAATATAACAAGCCCACTTCCACCCAACAGGAACGTCCCAAATGGCCAATGACACATAGCACATAACATTCATACACGCACCAAAAATCATCGGCGGCCATCTTGCTCCCTTGAACAAACCATCACTAGTCCACGCATAAACCAACGTCGTAACCACAGCAACAGCATTAGTCGTCGTCGGATAAGCATTAATCTGCGTAATCGTATACCTCGGCTCCGTCGACTTTTTCAAAAACTGCTGGAAGATGGGTTGCGCATTGGCCGATGCATTGTTAAAGAAGATGTAGAGTAAAGTTAGCATGTAGATATGCCATGAACTAAAGATCTTCCAGATTTTGGAGCGCGTGTAGGGTTGGCGTTCACGACGTCCTTCGATTTGCATGCGTTTTTGCGCAAAGGCGATTTCTTCTTTTGTGAGGTAGAAGGCTGTGCAGATCTCTGGGACGTCGGGGAGGAAGATGAAGCCGGCTATGCAGATTGGCAAGGAGATTATGCCGTCGACGATGAAGAGCNNCTGGGTTTGGTCAGTCTAGCACTTAATGGGTAGCATTGGATTGTATACTCACCACTGCCATCCTTTGAAGCCACCAACGCCTCCGAGGTGATAGACTGCGGCCATGAGGTAACCGCTGAACATGGTGGCAATAGCACTGCTTGTGTGGAAGATACAGGATCTCTTCGCGAGTTCATCTTTGCGATACCAAGAGCCGATGATGTACTGCATGCCAGGATAAAATGCTGATTCTGCCAGGCCTACGAAGAAGCGAATGACATAAAGCTGGGTAGCACTGTTGGCTCGACAGGTGCAGAATGTTAGGATGGTCCATGTCAGCNNTATATGGAAGGTCAGTAACTTTTATTTCATGGAGAACGTATAAATACTAACCTCAAGAGCCGGAAGCCAGTACTTAGGACGTATCTTAGTGAGGGCTATATTAGACGGGATCTCGCCGATGACATATCCAACTGTCCAGCACGTTTGCATGTAGTTGAGTTGGTTGCCGTACAGACCCAGATCTTCTNNTTCCTACATCGAGTGTCAGAACCTGTATCATTGTAACCGCTCAAAAAGGGAGGCCTGCATTCCCGATACAAACGCATTATTGATGTTTGACTGGTCCAAGTATTTGATGAAGTAACCTGGGACGTACTGTTAATGATATGTACGACCCAGATGCGTAGAAGACTCACCAAGGGAGGCCAGAGTAAGCAAAGCAGTATCGATCTTGAATAAGAACTTTCTCTCCTCCGGGCTTTTGTTAAATGAATCCCAAATCAGGCTCTGCCATTTCCTCTTGGGCCTTTCGGCGATGACTTCTTGAGCTCGCTCGTATGCTTGTTCGTCGACAGCATTTGCTGCTGACTTGTTGGGGAGGTCAGACATGCTCGGTGTTCAAAGCCAAATTGTTGGCAAACTGATCGAACAAAGAAGTTCTGCGAAGTACCGAACATATAAGAAAAGGTCCAATGGTTGGTTGGTGAGCACGTAAAGTCTGGACCCGGTGGATATTCAGAAACCAGCAGGATGCGATAGCCTGCGTATCTCAATGGTGTGCTCGACTATTATGCCGGATGATCAGTTTCGGGGCGGATATTGCGTGCTTCTTCGAAGCGGAGCTGCAGCATAGTACGTTGACGATTGGTGCTCGCTGCTGTCGAAGGAGTCTAAAGGAGTTATTGCGTGACACATACCTAGGAGTGCGTGCTCATGTATGCATGCATTGTAGTAGCTGGTCGCACTGATTTACTACATTGAGATATCATAATCGGACAGTCTATGAGTCGATATGTTTAGTAGTGGGTCAATATTGTACAACTTGGCTCTATAGACGGAGTTGATCCAACATCTTTGAAGTGTCTAGGCAACGTATTCAAACAACGATTAACCAGAAAATATTTCCATCCATGCTGGATCAGTGTTATGGCGAGCACGAAAGTCCTATAGCAAGGTCGATGCGGGGAAAGGGAACCGAACAGGGTTCAAGATTGATTATAAGAATCATCTTCCAATGAGACTGTTTCCATTATCGAAAACACATGTGTTGAAAGTTGAAGTTGTGGTTAGTGTTGAAGATCGATGTCGCCATTGAAGCCCTTTCTCACGACAGAGCTGTTTTGCCAAGACATATGCAACCACCCTGTTCGAGCCCCACCACAAAACATGATGTTTATGTGTTGAGCTGTGGTTCAGTCAATAGTATTGATCCTTCCAGTTGCCATGATCCGCATTGCACAATGTTTGAGGTGTTATGGTGAGGGGTAATGGTAGCTCCAGTCGGACCATGCTTAGCGATAGCTTGATGGTGTGCTTTGAATCCTCTTTAGGATATGTTTTCGTAGAATAGATTTATAATCCGCGGTACTCGTACGAAGGTAAGTGGTGGATATAAAGCTGCGAGTGTTTGGAAAGACGTCGCTCGTTCATTACCTCATCTCTTCGCTTTGCAACTCTACGAAGCCAAACTTCAACCAGACTGAACATCATGGCTCCCAGTGCTATTGACTCCTCGATCAAGGATGTAGTCCAACCACGCAAGGACAACCTTGGTCTTCCCAAGGAGACTCGCGCTCGTCTTGAGAAGGCCAACATCGATCTCTCGAATGGTTACCCTTACCGTCCAGCTCGTCCCCTCTACCTTCAAGATGCATACAACATCAGAAACGAGCCTTGGGAGCACAACGATGCTGGTGCCAGAGCAAGAAAGACCGACCCTACCAAGCGGTCTCTTTTCGAAGCTGCGAGCAAGGTCGAGGACCTGACAGCTCACATTGGCACCGAAATTCATGGTCTGCAATTGAAGGATCTTACGAACCAGCAGAGAGACGAGTTGGCATTGTTGATCGCCGAAAGAAGTATTGTCTTCTTCCGTGATCAAGATATCTCTCCTCAACAGCAGAAGGAGCTTGGTGAGCATTATGGAAAGATCGAAGTCCACGTAAGTGCTGCTTTAGCCAATTTGAGAGTCAAGATGCTGACAAAGGTATAGCCTCAAGTACCTCAAGTCCCTGGTGTCGAAGGTGTCACTGTAATCTGGCCCGCCCTGCAAGCAACCGAGAGGGCTGCCAACTTCAGAAACCCTGGCGGTGCTTCTCGTTGGCACACTGACCTCGTTCACGAGCGCCAGCCTGCAGGAATCACACATCTCCACAACGATGTCGTGCCATCTGTTGGTGGAGATACTCTGTGGGCATCCGGCTATGCTGCCTACGAAAAGCTCAGTCCCGGCTTCCGCAAGATTATTGACGGCAAANAGGCTTACTTCAAATCTGCACACACCTACCTCGACCGCAACGACCCCAATGCCGGTCCTAAGCATATTGAACGTATTCACCCAATCGTTCGCGTGCATCCTGCTACTGGTTGGAAGTCGCTCTTCGTGAACAGAGCCTTCACAACTAAGATTGTCGGTCTTGACAAAGCCGAGAGCGATGTCATCCTGAACTATCTTTTCGATGTATACGAGCGAGTAAGTGTCGTCTTGGACTGAGTGACGCAGCGTTGAACATGTCAACTGACACGTTTCCAGAACATCGACATCCAGCTCCGATTCAAGTGGACTCCAAGAACCAGTGCCTTATGGGACAACCGCATCACAATCCACAATGCTTCCTGGGATTATGAGAAGGTACCTCGACATGGTACTCGCGTAACATCGTTGGCCGAGGAGCCTTACTTCGATGAGGATGCGCCCACAAGAAGACAGGCTTTGGGTCTTGACGCTGATGATGAATTGGTTGGTAGCGATTAGCTAAAATGGCTTCAAGCGATAGCTGGATTAAATGCAAGCTTTTGAATCTTGAGTCCTTGTGAAAGTCGAAACATGTCGAAGGTGGCTTTACGTTGGAGCGTGTGCTTCTGTCGATGGTTCAGAGAAAAAAGCTGCAATGGGCTGATCGTGACTTCCTCGCATGGCTGCGACAACGCAGTGTATTCTTTCGCGGTCTTCCAGAATGACAGAACAGTCAGTGATTTGAACATCGAGTCCCCCTCATCTTGCCAGAAAATATGGACCTGTCTTTGCGCTGCAACTCGCTCAAATGCCGGACACGTCTCAACGACAGAGCCGTGGTCACAACGTGCAGGTAAGCAATACGCCGTTTTCCGACAGACCCCGTCTAATCGATCGTGATANGCCACATCTTCTGCGAGCCATGCTCGAACTCTCTCGGGCTTTCCAGCTCATCGAACGGACTTCGCGTATGCCCTGCCTGCGACGCCCAGCTTGCAAACCCAGATGATGCCGTCTCTACACAGCTCAACCCGACTGAAGACTACAAGACAAGCGTCCTCAGCGGTCTCAGTCCGACAATCATTATGGAATGCTGTAGCCGTGGAATTGCATTCTACCAATACCAAGTAACACAAGAGATGTGAGTCTGGTAAATGTGGCTTCATGACCAAACCTGACAGAAGCAGCNNATGTATCACGACTACATGGCCAAGAATTTGGCAGACAGATACGCCAACCTCAACTCTCAAATGGACAATGTCATCAAGGATGCCAATTCGGAAATTAGCGGTCTAAGAGACAGACTGGAGNAGTAAGATGCACAACCCTATCAAAGTATGTCCTTCAGAGCTGACAATGTAGGAATGCATCTGGAGAAGAAGACGCTCGAGCAGAAGAATCAGGAACTGGTCAACGCGTTCAGCGAAAAGAGCAAGGCCCACCAGCGACTGACCAAGCTATACCAACGAGCCAAAGGCACCCAGGAAGCTGAGCAGATGCGACACGCCGCTGCGGACGATGTAGACCATGTGATCCAGACGATACAAGGACCTGGATACAGTGAAGTGCTTCGAGACAGGACACCTCAAAGACCGGTTTCGATGCCCAGAAGAGGAGGTGGCCAAGATCTGCCTCAGGTGTACAGTCATAGCAGAGTGGGCAGCTACGGCGGTAACAAAAACCAGATGTGGTCAAGTCAGAACTCTCGCGGAGGTNCTGGGTACGTGACATGTCGCCGAACACAGAGGCCAAGGCTAATCTTCAGGTGTTTAGAGCTTTCGCAAAACACTGGCTCGCCCTCGCTAGTTTCTAGCATGCCAAATTATGGCCTCAGACCTCCAGCATCCGGTCAAAGACAAGCAACACCAAATCGCCAGCCTTTGAGTGAGATGCACCGCAACGCGACAAGCAGTCAAGGATTTGGCAGCTATGGCAGTGCCAGCGGAGGGGGCGTCAAAGTTGGCGGAAACATGGAGCAGCAACGTCCTCAAATCGTCAACCGTAGTATATCACGGGTGCTGCATCGATGATGATACAATCCTCAACATGGAAGAAGTCGTCGAGATTGAGAGGCACAGCGCGATCAGAGGTCGTATCAATGTGACATGGATGGAAAGAGATGGCATGGGGAAGCAGAAGGAGGATGTGTGACCGAGGCATGTCGGACCGAACCGGCGGGGTTTCGTTTCCAGGGACGAATGCATGATGCATGTGAATTCTGAAGAACAGAGAGCACTTCTATGACTAGTTATTGTTGCTTCCTTTCTCGACTGTAATCAGACATCCTTTTATATTTATACAATGTCGCAAGCAACGAGCCAGTATGTGTACACATTCTATGATGTATCAAGCTCTTCACCTAACACCACGAAAAGACCCCCACCTGTTCGAGCATGTCTCTTTGACATGGACGGTCTCTTGATCGATTCTGAGGATCTGTACACAGTATGCACTAACGAGACTCTACGCAAGTACGGCAAGCCCGATCTGCCATGGAACATCAAGGCTCAACTGCAAGGACGTCCCGGCCCTGAGGTGCGCACACGACACACACCACCAAGAAGCACTCTACACGACGACTAACACACACTCGTAGNNGCTGGTCAGATTTTCCACGACTGGGCCCAACTACCCATCACCCGCGAAGACTTCCTCCAACAGACATCGCTGCTGCAACAAAAGTACTTTCCCTCCACACAACCGCTACCCGGCGTCCGCGATCTACTCAAGACTCTCAATGCCAATCCAAACGTCCACATTGCACTCGCCACTTCCTCCAACAAGAACAACTTTGGTCTCAAGACCGGCCACCTAGAAGACATGTTCAGCGTCTTTGAACAACAGCACCGTGTACTCGGCGACGACCCACGAATCCCAGCTGGCAAGGGCAAACCCGCGCCAGACATCTACCTTCTCGCTCTCGAGACCATCAACGCACGCATCCGCAAGGAAGGAAAAGAGAAGGAGATTACACCTGCTGAGTGCTTGGTTTTCGAGGACAGTGTGCCTGGTGTGGAGTCTGGAAGAAGAGCCGGTATGCAAGTGGTCTGGTGTCCACACCCTGGCTTGCTGAACGAGTACAAGGGAAGAGAAGACGATGTCCTGGCTGGCACCAGCATCATGAAGCAGTACGGCGTCAGCAGTGGAGGCAGTGAAGTGCCTGGTAAGGTTGGAGATGGATGGGCGAGACTACACTTGACTCTCGAGAACTTCCCCTACAAAAGCTACGGTATGGAGGCATAGCAGATGAAGAAAAGTGGTGGATCGAGACCTTCGTTGTAAATACTTGATGCAGCCATGCAGGCTGTAGAGTCTTCTACCACTATAATACAGAGAAGTGGTGATGCTACTCATTCTTTCTTGATCCATCGTTATTTGTATAACAGCAATCCAGAGTGTTATGCATGCGAAGAAATTATCATCGATCACAACACATTCTTGAAGCTCTTGTTATTCTCAGAATGCGACGTGCATTAGACCAACAAAGTAATTGAAACATCCAAAGTCGCAGTCAGTCGAGTGAGCACTCTCCCGTCCGTCACAAAAAGTCTATCCAACACCTTACACAGAAAAGCGCAAAAGAAAGTCACAACCCCATAACTCTTCCCTCACACTCCACCAACAAACATCGATGTAGTCCGGACTCGCCATCCCATGGGCTCGGTCGCTCTGCCCGATTGCTCGGCTGAAGCGGTATCCAAGCGGTCTCAAGGCCACGCGCAGCAAATCGCAAGTTACCTGTGCGAGTGGGTGGCCACCACGAGATTCGAACCGGGCACCGATGGTTGGGTTGTTGCCAACAGCAGGGGTGGTAAGAAAGATTGAAGTCGTTTCTTCCCGTTGAGCCATTACAGCTGGGAATTTGCTGGAAAGAAGATAATATATAGTCACGGCCACGATGCACTTGTGATGCACAAGTGCAGATGCATCCTTTCGCAGTTGATCGCTGCAATGGCAATGATTATTATTATTGCTATGTGCCGTCGTCGTTTTCAATGCTGCTCGCATGTCTTCGCAAACCTCTTCATAGTCCGCACTGAAGGCGACAATCAGTCGGCGTAGACTCAATCTTTCTTTTGAACTTCGCACTCAATCACGCACGCATGCGTTCACCAAAAACTTAGCTTACAAACAATTCATCGCAACGTCTCTACGTACATTGAAGGTGCTAACATGGTAAACACTAAATCTACTAGCAGCTGCACAGATCCGCAGCAGTAATAACTCAATGCTTTGTGGATGGAATAGCCAAAAATGGAAAACCAGCTGCTGAGGTTGCAACCCTGGTAGTGCCACCGCCACCACCACCGACGAACTCAAAGACCGCAGAAAACTGGATCAGAAGGTGCGAGGGTAGCACTCAGCATACTTTAAGCCCAAGTGCACACGCATTGGGAAGTGGGAGCGATAAGAGTAAGAAGTTATATAACAATCTGTTTGTTGACTGTCGAATAGAACAAAGAACCTAGTAAAAGAGAATACCGATACAAGAAACCATAAACACCAATCCTTGCCCGTTTCCATACTCCATCGATTCCCAATCAATGCAATAAGTTCGTACAAATCGTCAAATCTGACATTACGTCCACTCAGCCCGGCCACTCGACAAACTCCTAGCTTATCGATACTTGCGTCTCTTCTCCCCTTGCACCTGACCTCCTTACCACTCCCAATTTGAGCAATCTTTCCCATACTCCATCTCTGATCAACGCTCTGTCTTTGGCAAACGACAAACCGTCGAGGGTAGACAAGTTCTTGCAGCCGTTGCTGAGCAGAATCTCATAGACGCGTCGTCGTAGTTTGGTGTCCTCGTCTAGACGGGCGAGATGCTCGGCATCAGTCGCGTGATCGGCGTTTGGTAGGCGATGCGACATGGCTAGTTGCAATTGCAGCTGTGTTTCCGACAATGTTTCTTCAGCATCGATAACAGTGCTGACGGCGTTCTTAGCCACAGAGATGGGCGCGTAGAAGCCATGTGTGATAGGGTTGTCCCTGAAATCTGTTTTGCGCAGATGCGGCATACGTGCTAGCACAGCGACTGTCTTGCGAAGTCGTGCAATGCGATTGCCCGAAGCATGCAGCTTCTCCAATCTTGTGATGTTCAGGAGTGGGCGAATGTCTGTTATGGCGTTGAAGGAGATGTTCAACATGCGCAGATTGGGGAATTTCAGTCCAAAGTCGTTGGGCAGATCTTGTAGCCCGCAGGATGCCATCTCCAAATTTTGAATACTGTGGTAAGAGTGTTGCAAATCAAGAGTGGGGATGATGTTCGAGGACAAGAACAAGGAGCGAGCGGATACTCGCTGCTCAAAGATAGTCAAATGCTGGGCATCGGCATGCTTGAGATCTTGCTTGCGCAGAGACAGCATGTCAATATGATAAAGATGTTCTATGCCCTGAACAGTCAACAACTTGTTCTCGTCAACGTTCAAGTAATTCAGGTTGGTGAAGTTTGAGACATCAAGAGTGGCCAGTCTGTTCTTCTGCAGAGACAAACAATATAATCTGGAGCCGGCAAAGTCATCCTTGGCTGCCGCAAGGTGTTCGAGCTTGTTGTCGTCCAAGACCAAGCGCTCCAATGATGACAATGCCTGGTAGCCTGAGACACGAGACAGCTTGTTACTGCTCAAGTCCAGTTCCTCCAGGCGAGTCAATTGACATCCTTCGAAGTCCACTCTCGATAGCTGATTACGACGCACAGACAGCTTAAGCAAACCGTCCATATTCATAATACCATCGAGACTCGCGATTTGGTTGTTGTCAGCGCGCAGTTCTCGAAGATGAACAAGCATACACAACCCGCCGAGATTATCGACTTGGTTGTTGGAAATGTCGAGATACTGCAGGTTGATCATGTGGCTCCAAGCTGTAAGACTACTCAGCGCATTCGAGCGAAGGTTGAGTCTGCGAATAGAAGTCGGCGCACCTTCAAGGTGAGCGACATTGTTGCTTGATAGATCGAGATCCTCGAGACGTGTGCAGAAGTCTTCCAAGTTGTGAACAGAGTCGAGACCCCTTTCGCGAAGGTTTAGCTGTTTGATGTCCTCCCAGTAGGGCTCATCAGGCTCGACATCTGTGAGTGTCTTTACAAGACTTTGAACGGCCATAGCATATCTATCTCCACTATTCGTGCGAGCCACTCGTCTGGCTAAGGCCTTCTCAGATGGGCGTTCCTCATCAACGTCGTTAACGGTGAAATCGGGTAGATCGCTGAGGTAGAATGTACCGTCCATACGAGCAGGAGAAGAGACGCCATACTCTTGGTTAGGTACAGCCATCGTTGGAGCAGGCTGAGCAACCACAGAAACGCTCATAGTGCGCTTGTCAGGGAAAGTTGCAACAAACGACACCTCTCTCTGGTCTTGCCCAGAGTTGTAGCCTCTCTGGAAGGTCTGTCGCCTTAATGACGAATTTCTCAGTCCACCACGACGTGCAGGCTGTGGAGAACGTAGAGGCCAGGATGGAATGGGAATGCCGCTACCACGCTGCTTAGGCGCGGGTAACTCTTCCGTTATCGAATCCTCGTTGAGGAGCTCATCATCCTCACTCAAGAGCTCATCTAGCAATGAGTCCTCATGCGAGACGTGGGATATTTGCGATTGGTCGTGAGCGATCACGGATTCATCATGGACTACTTCAGTCACCTCCGAGATGTTCTGGGGTATGTTGACAGTAGCAAGGTCGCGAAGCCCGTCACCAGTTTGTGTGTGTTGCTGCTTAGCCCTGGCTATGTTTGCCAACTCTTCGTTGCTCCAGGATGTGGCACGAGTGTCGAACTGCTGCTGCTGACTCGAAGCAAAAGCCGAATACCTCGAAGGAGCAGTACTTGATGTGAATGGATGAGGCGCGTTGCTGTCACGAGTGGTAGGTCTTGAACCAGTTGCCTCTCGTCTTTGAGGAGGGGCGCCGTCGGGTACTTGTTGCGGAAGTTCTGTGTATTGATCAAACTCTTCGTACTCAGATTGATCTTGCTGTACGAGGCCTTGACGACGTGCTTGCATTTGCTGGATGCGCTGGATCTCCTTGATTTCGTCGACAGTCAAGTCGGGAATGTAAGCAAATGGATCGTCCTCGCTGCTGACGTTGCTCGGCTGGTGATAGTAGTCAAAGGTCGGCGGCTTCAGATGTCTTGCCTTTACCCAGATCTGCTTTTCCTTGTCATAGGTCATTCCAGCAATTTGTTCAGGTATCAGGTGAGCAACTTTTTCAGGAGATAGATTCGCCACGCAATCTCTTGAAGAAGTAGACCCCATTGTACGTGCTCCGCTGGAAGAGTCAAGAGATGGATGCGACCCATGCTGTGACTTGGTCGGGCTGGAAGGAGCTCCTTGTTGCGAAGCGTTCGAGTATGCTCGGATATGTCCACCAATCCAACCAGGCTCGATAATCGGCGCATGTTCAAGTTCTTGAGTCGACACGTCTTCGTGGTTGAAGTCAACAGCTGAAGTGTCGTCGATTTTGAGTGACCGAAGAGATGCGTCCACAAGATTGAGAGTGTCCTTCTCACGGAACTGCTCCAGATGACTGGCAACCATCGGATCATGCTTGACTTGACTCCTCGGTCTCCAATTAGACTCGGTGCCTTCACGAGAAGCTGGTCTCGAGATGCGTAGAGACCCAACTTGTCTTGCAAGGTCATCAGGATGCAGGTGAGTGTTGAAATCCATCTCACCACTAGACTCTTCGACATCGTCTAACCCACTATGAGGTCGTCCTTTGGCCCGGATTATTGACATGATGTGCATGGCTTCGTCTAGGAAATCTTGGGTGGTGAATGAACGCTTTCGTACGCTTTCGGGCTCTTCTCTAGAGTGCTCAAAGGTGAAGGCTGCTATGTCAGCTGCGACTGCCTTTGCCTTTTCGGCGTCAACAGACTCTGCCGGCAGTTCTGAAAGCTCTTCAATGGTTTCTTTGATAGCTTCAAGGCGTGGCGAGTTCGAAAGATATTCGAAAGTTGCTTCGCTAATTTCGGCTTGAATCTGCTCGCGGCGTCTTTGACTGGGAGTAGGGTTTCTAGGCCTGGTAACGTCCCTTCGGCTTCCTGAATTGACAGTCTTGGATGATGCGTCCTCTGAAGCTTGTGCGTCGTCTGCAGCTGGCGCATCAACCTTGATATGAATCTCGGAGCCTTCGCCAAGTTCAGGCAGCTTGCCATCCATTGTAATCAATGTACGTCGGCGTTTCGCCGTAGGAGCCTTCGCAGGGGAGCTCTGAGGACGCTTTCCTTCCCTGATATCGAACTCGTTGTTGTAAGGATCGATTACAGGGAATTGCTCGAGCGCCTGATCGTCATCGGAGTGCCTTGATCTGACCGTATTGCTTCTCTTTGATAGTTTCCTCTTTAGCTTGAAGGGCCTAACTTCGGGTGAAAATTCGACTGGAGGTGCGGTCTCGACGTGGAAGCGGAAAGGATGGGTGCTGCCTGGTGGTACAGCTTCTGGTAGCGGCGAGCCCTCGGTAGACTCAAAAGTCGCATCCAGATCCAAGCCAGTTGGTATAGAAATGTCTGCATCGAAGTTGTGCTCATCCAAGTCACCCTCACCAAAACTACTCAGATTGGATACTGCACGCTGGGACGGACGACGTCTTTGAGTGTTGACGGTACCGGAGCTGGGGATTCTACCAGCGTTCGACCTCGTTTCTTCGAAAGGGTCGTCGCAAGGGTGTACAGGTGAAACCAAGGGGTGATCGGGATCCAGTCCTTCTAGTTGACTCATCCTCCTGAATAGCTTGTTATTGGTAAATGTGTCATGCTGGCCAAACAGCTTCAAAGGACTTTGGGAAGGCCTGCTCTTAGGCGGGCTAAGCAATGAGGACTCTTCCACGCCTCCCAACTTTGGCGTCGCAGGTGCTTTGAGTGGACTAGAATCTCTGGGAGAGATGGCTGAATCTTTGTCGTAGACAGATGACGGTTCGACTTTGGTGGGACTTGAAGGAGAGATTCTATTCAGGCTCAGAAAACTGGGGATGGGAGGTGTGCCAGTGGGTAGATCATCGGGAAGAGAGACTTCTGGAACGCTTGGCATATTCTCAGCGGTGTCGTTGTTGGCCTTGCAGAAGCCTGGTGTGGACGGGAGCTCAGAGTCCAAGCCATCGATTGAGGCGTCAGCGCTGACGGTAGCAGAACGCGAATCAAGAGGAGCGTAGCTGACGGCGCCCGTAGAGCTCGTGTGCTTTGACAAGAAGACAGGACTAAAGCCCTCGCCTGACAGATCGGTATTAGCGCTGATAGTGCGGTTGCCTTGGTGCTTTGAAGCCGAGCGGTCGACATGTAGTTGGCTGGGAGAGTTGGGAGAGCGCATGAGACTATCGTCTTGTGGATCGGAGTAGTTTGTGTTGTGGACTTCACGTTGGCATGTGCCTTGTGCATCGGGCGAGTCTAGTTGGGAAGGATCAATTTGCGAGGGCCATGGCGGGGGACTGGATGGAGGCATGATGGTATGTTGTAGAAGCCTCGAAGGACTATTTGACGAGGTTGGACGGTTGTTGGAAGAGGTGGGACGAGCTGGAGAGAAGATGTTTTCGAGACCGGATGGGCCAAACAGATCGGTCTGGTCGCCGTAGCCAATTTCACCACGAACCAGACGCTTCTTCCATTCGAGAGTCTGGTGTTTTGCTGGAGAGCGCTTGACCGAGTCGTGGTGGACTACTGAGGATGCTGATGGTTGGCGTTGTGCATTGGATTGAGAGGAGGGTAGGTCCTTGAGCGGGTTTCGTTGTTTGACAGAACTGCTGTTTATTGAGAAAGCGCCGCTACTCCTACGCGGGATGCGACTAGAGGACGACGAAGTTTGGTTCCCTTGGGCGGAAGTGGCAGATTGGTGGTCTGTGGTGTGATTTGACAGCGACGGCGGCTCGACCCAGTCTTCGTCTAGGTCTTCGAGCCATGGCGCAACCTGAGACGACATGTTGGGCTTGTTTGGGTGTAAATACAAGAGCAGGATGGCCGAAGAATGCGAGGACGGGCAGGTGTCAAAGGGCCAGCATAATAAGAAGAAGGATCTGGACTAAGTCGTCATGTCCTTGAAAGCTAAGAGTATACAGTGCGATGAGCCAGATGCGATCGAGATAACTTGACCTTTAACTTGGACCCGAAAAGTTGGCACATGTTTGCGACGAACGACTGCGGAGATGCCCAAGCTTCTGTTGCGCAAAAACACGATTGTCCCGGCAACGAGCCTCTCTACCCACGCCCAGCCAATCATACCCGCTGTACCACTAATTCCACCAGACACGATCGACGGCCGTCTTTTTCTAGGTCGACAGCACTTCCTACAAGCAGTCAAAGCACCGTCTGTCATAGCTGTCAGTGCTNTGCAACACTCCGTGGACGCCAACACCGCCTGCNTCCACCCGGCACATGGCACTCACACACGATCCTGCCATGCGCCAACTACCACGTCAACCGCCGTCGTCCTTGCCCTTGCCGTAAACGCCATCTCGCCTATGCCTCNNATGGCTCCACGCCGCTGGCTGTGGCCCTGCTCCGATTCCCACGTCCTGAGACTACCTGCCTACCAGAAGCCTTCGCTTCAAGCTTGTCTAATCCACCCCGAAAATCCTGACCAGATCCTGGTCGACGACTCTGACAATGATCTTGACGACGACTTCCACACCGCCAAACGCCGACGAATCGAATCTATCGCCCATGCCTTCCTCAATGGCCAGCCCATCTATATCCCCTCTGCCAGACTAAAGGGTCCCTTTCCCGCCGACAGAGACTTGTCTCTCTGCCACCTTCCTCTCTCAAGCCCTGACGAGCAACCTGTTTCGCCTCCACCCATTGTCACCGCCGATACCTTCATTCGTCGAAGACCCGAACACCTGCGCCCAAAGTCTGTCACTCCCGACCCTGCTCTCACACCATCCAAGTCTCGCCAATCCTCCCCCGTTGTTCTAGAGAAGTCTACAGCCCGTCCGCCAACCTCTCACCACGCCCCTCGCTCAGCTGGGAACAAAACTCTGAGGTTCAATCTTCCATCGTCTGCAGTCTCGGACACGAGCACGGTACTGCCGCCACTGCCCAAGTTCGTTGCAATTAACAAGGCTCCGCTGCAAGCTCGCGATTCGCCAAACCAGCCACCAACTTCTACCGTGCCATCTCGCTCGTTACCCTCTCCCAGGGTCCGCATACCCGATACAGACTTCGTCTCTCCTAGCCCACCACCCGCCAAAGATGATGTATCTCCAAGCAAAGCCGCTGTATTGAGGCAAAGACCCGCTTCTCTCTTGAACAAGATCGGCAATACCCCTTCCTCAACGCACAAGCTTCCAAGTGTGAAGAAGAACAAACGACCAACCAAAAGAGTCTACCAGGCTGCTAAATCTTTCGACACTACTTCGCCTTTCATATACAGGANNAAGAATGCCGTGCAGTCAAGAAAGATATCTGAGCCGACCAAACCAAAGAGTATCGAGCCGGAGGATGTGTTTGTCGAGCCTGCAGAAGTTCGTACTGAACCCAACATCACACGCGAGCATGTTTCGAACCAAGTTTTGCCTGGAAAACGCCATCATGTTCTCTTCGAATCATCTCTTGATGTTCCAGATCTGGAGCGAACGCGCACAACGCCAACTGCCGTCGAAGCTGAGCGCTCACCAGACAGTCCTCGCCATGATGTTGTACCTGCGATCAATATGTCTTTTGGCCAAGAGTCTTTCGGCATGGACTTCAATCTTCTCAATGGGTCTCTGCCTGTATCTTCCAGCAGGGGTAAAGACGTGAATGTCGACGCAGACAATCAACATTTGCCAACAGCAACTGTGGCATCAAATCTAGACGCCGAGAACAAACCCTCTGACACCAGCGGGGCACAAAGCCGGCAACTCGAGATCGAGGAAGCTTCTCCGGATCATTCCAATGAAGCTGAGGTTGCGGTAACGCATGCAACTGATGTGAATGAAGAGAATGAGAAAGCCCGTGACCCAGCAGAAGACACCTTATCGGAAATCACTGGTGACCTTATCGACCAACCAATGCAGAACAACATCATAGGTGGTGTAGCAGAGCCCGAAGACGATGTTGCAGAAGAGCTGCCATATATCAGCACCCAAGCAGCTATGCAAGACGCTCACCGTGCTCTCTTTGATGCATCTTCGCCAGTACAGCCACAAGAGGAGAAGTTGGAGATGCCTTTTGAGACGCCAGCGAAACAGGTTACAAGTCCTCCATCGAGCCCTATACACACCATCACACCATTCCATCAGTTCAATGCTGAATTGACGACCGACACACAGGCTCCTTTGCCTAACACGCAAGCCTTGTTTGACGGGTTCTACTCACCAATCAAGCTGAGTGCCAAAAAACCCAAGACCGCANAAAGAGCGAGTTTCGCTCCTTCTGTCATCTTGGAAGATGTGGATGACACTGTCACGAGCATATTTGACTTCTCAGACGACCAAATCGTGCGCGAGAACAATGAACCTGAGATTGGCCCTGAACAAGATGATGCACTCACGACCAACGACCGTGGTTTATCGCCCGCTCCAGATCTGCCCAGTCCGGCCGGGCTCCAAGATCAAACAGATCCTTCTTCTCCTGAAGACATGACGAGACCTTCTCCTCCAAAGAGTCCGGCTAATCGCAGTGAATCTCCCGAATTCATCCTCTCCCAGAAGCCTGCAACCTCGACCAGAGAGCCGGCTGATCATACCTTGTCTGCCCTACGGCAGGATTCAGTCAGCCTCTCAGAGGTGTTGAATTTCGTCAGTCAAAGAAGAGGTATAGATGTGGACGCACTCCTGTCTCAGGCTACGCCGACATCTTCCTCCCGAAGTACGAACAAGATGAACCGTACATCTGCACGTTCATCAGGAACCAAACCTCGCTCGTCCCTATCGAGACCACGCTCGTCTCAGTCAAGGCGTTCACTTCCTGAAAAGAGAGTCGGACAGCGTCGGTCTACCCGTCTTTCCCTCTCACAACCGAACCCTCAGCTGGATGGCGCGAACGATGGTTCTGACACCGAGTTTGATGCAGATGGACCTCCGGCGACACAACCAGACCTGACCTTCACCGGCCCAGGTCGATCCTTTGCCTTGGCATCGTTCGATGTACCTGATGGTTCTTCTACTATACCCGACCCTAGTCTTGCGTTCACCCATGCGCAGCAGAATGCAACACCTGCCTCGGAGAAGCTTGCCCTTACACCCGGCAGCGCACCACAAAGTACAGGACCGATATCCAGTTACCAGCATGCTCAGAAGCAGTACAGTAGTTTGACCGACCTTGACAGTACTATGCCAGATTTGCCGCAAACATTCTTGCCACCAGTCCGTTGAGAATGCAGCGATAGGACTGCACTGCAACTGACTTGATTAGATTGTACGCTGATTGGCACATTCAATGTGGGCGGTGTGGTTTTGGCGTTTTTTAACGAGGCATGATAGCATAAAGATACCCTTTTTTGTATTTTTCACTCACAATCTCGACATAAGTTCTTATCAACCATTCTTTTCTATTATTGCGCACACCTTTGAGTTCGCGTGACACCAAAGTTTGTTTTCTGAAACATGGTAACATGCACGACAAAGTCAACAGCACGAGATGCTTCGTGGCAGGCAAGGTTGGGGCTTGGCTGGGGATACGATCACGCCAAGCCCAAAATGGAAGGCACAAACGTCAGACCAAAAATTGTCCGCCTTCCAATCATCCGACTATCCGCACCTTAAACCACATTGATGGTGGGTGGAACAGGGAGTACGATTCGATATCTATATTGCTACGGTCAAGGACATCTCAATCTCTGCGGACAGTATCACGTCGCTTGTCAATACCAAACGTAGCGCCAACGATGTTGCTGCCGCGTTGGCAGTAGTTACGTGGGACCTGCAGCTTGCAGGCACAAACGACGATCACAGACGCCTATTCTTTCCGCCGCCCCGTAATAATGTCGATCGCGCTCAATGGCTTTGTTGTTTAGAAGTGCTTGAATCCCACTTTCTTCTCTTTGCATACACCACACTCGTTGCTTGTCTTGACATTCGTTCGTTATGCGTGTCTCGTCATCGGCCTTCTTGGCCACTCTACTGGCTGTGGCTGCTGCTAAGCCTGTCCCCGAGACTCATGTTGTCCACGAGAGACGTGATATTGCCCATCGTTTTACCACTTCGAAGTGGGTGAAGAGAGACAGACTAGAGAAGGATACTGTCTTGCCTGTTCGCGTTGGCTTGAAGCAACAGAACTTGCACAATGGCGCCGAATATCTGATGGATGTGTAAGTGTGTTTTCAATGCATGTCATGTTCAGACATTGGAACTAGTCTTCCCCGAGACGCCATATGAATAAACATGAGCACGAGATTGACATGCTCAGGTNCACACCCCGACTCTCCCAACTTTGGAAAACACTGGACATCCGACGAGGTCATCGCTAAATTTGCGCCCTCAAACGAGACATTGACTGCCGTTCGCGATTGGCTTATCAAGAACGGCATCTCTGACCGCAGGATCACCCATTCAGACAATAAGGCTTGGTTCGCATTCGATGCTACCACCCAGGAAGTCGAGGATCTGCTACACACCCAGTACCATGAGTTTGAGCACAGCTCCACTGGAAACTATGTTGCAGCTTGTGACGAATACCACGTCCCTAAGCACATCCAAAACCACATCGACTTTATTTCTCCAGGTGTCAAGGGCGCCAACCTTCGCAAGCGCGATGCGAAGAAAGCAAAGCGAACACTCAGAGGATCTCCGGCTCGCAAGCAGGCGCCTTTCATGCCCAAGAACATCTCCTCTCTCAGCACTTGTGATCAGGTCGTGACCCCGGTATGTATCCAGGCACTGTACCAGATCGCCCCCAACGATCCATATGCCAGAGTCAGCCTCAACAACTCGCTCGGTATCTTCGAGGAAGGTGATTACTACGCTCAGCAAGATCTCAACCGTTTCTTCGGCAACTTCACACCTCAAATTCCTAACGGCACCCATCCCATCCCCAACTTCATCGATGGTGCAAAGGCACCTGTCAGTTTGCAGCTCGCTGGCGGCGAGAGTGACTTGGACTTCCAAATCGCTTACCCCCTGGTCTACCCTCAGACCACTACTTTGTACCAGACTGACGACATCTACTACGCATTCGGCAATGATCCTAACGCCACCGGTCTCTTCAACACCTTCTTTGACGCCATTGATGGTTCGTACTGCACGTACTCTGCTTATGGTGAGACCGGCAACGATCCAGTTCTTGACCCCAAATACCCCAACACTGCCGCAAGCAACGGATACAAGGGTGAACTCCAGTGCGGTGTTTACAAGCCCACCAATGTCATCTCTATCTCATATGGCGAACAAGAACAGGACCTGCCTGCCTACTACCAGCAGCGTCAATGCAACGAGTTGCTCAAGCTTGGTCTCCAGGGTGTTTCCGTCATCGTTGCTTCTGGTGACACTGGTGTTGGCGGTATCAGAGGTGACGGCTCCATGAATGGCTGCCTCGGATCCAACGCTACTGTCTTCTCGCCCACTTATCCCAACTCATGCCCCTGGCTCACCAACGTTGGTGGCACCAAGATTTATCCTGGTCGCACCGTCCACGAGCCCGAGTCTGCAGTCAACGACCCTGAATCTGGTTACTCATCTGGAGGTGGTTTCTCTAACCTGTTTGATATTCCTGATTACCAGGCTTCTGCTATCAAGACTTACTTCGAGGACCACGACCCACCATACAAGTACTACACCAATGGCCAGTACAACAGCTCAGGCGGTGGAGTCTACAACCGCAACGGACGCGGTATCCCCGATGTCGCTGCCAATGGAGACAATTTCGGTATCTTCAACGCCGGCCGTTTCATTCTTGAGGGTGGTACTTCTGGCTCTGCACCCATCTTCGCTTCTATCATCAACCGTATCGTCGAAGAACGTCTTGCAGCAGGCAAGGGACCTCTTGGATTCGTCAATCCCACCCTCTACGAGCATCCTGAGGTTCTCAACGACATTGTCAACGGGACGAACCCTGGTTGTGGCACCCAAGGCTTTTCGGCAGTCAAGGGATGGGACCCTGTTACTGGTAAGAGCGCAAACAGGCCCTATAACAAAGTACAACGATAAGCTAACATGAATTCTANNGGACTCGGAACGCCTTCGTATCCTAAGATGTTGAGTCTTTTCATGGGTCTGCCTTAATTCAGTTGCAGCATGTTGAGCATTTTATGAGGTTGAATTTTCCTCTTCTTTTCGCAAAAGACATTTACATAGCATAGTTGATCATAGATAGCGGACACATTTACTCTTGTTCTGCATGAGCAGGTCTCATCTGACAGTCGTTTGCCCTGTTTTTGACTCGTGATTGACTTCCATCCAAAACATTTCCCGACATGATTGAAGCAGGAGCGAGCAACATCGGGGTCTCCTTGCTTTTGGCAATGTCCCTCTAACACTCGACGGTCTTTCCTATCTGGCTTTGAAGGGTCCGAACATGTAGGTTGTTTATTGGCTTCTTCCATGACTTGCTTCCAACAGCAGAAGGGTGGATGTCGGCACGAAGTAATGGTGATTCTGTACCGATCTTTGTAGAATGGCTGAAAACTTCGGATATACACCCGAGTGAGCACCACTATCAAATATTTCCCGGCTGCAGGTCAGTGATGAAGTAGAATTGAAGATAGAATCATGAGTTATCGAAAGCCTGTTCCGTGGCGTGGTTGTCTGATGCGTGCTTCTGGCACACCCTGGTATGGCTCGCTAGACTGAGTATTCAAGCCTTTATCTGTGATCCGTACAGATGGACTGGAATTGGAAGAAGACCACATGTCGTTAATAGAGATGCGATAGGAGGTAACCTGAATCTATGCACGCGCTAGCCAAATTTCCCGTGTCAAGCTGAACAGCAACGTCTTTCATGCATATACTAGCCACTTCGAAGACCGCTAGCCAACTTCAATCCTTGCAACGACTGGTCGTCGCGATTGTGGCGCCAAGTGGAACTCTACTACGAGTAGCATTTTCCAGATACAGCCAGCGACCTTACTCTCTGAGCAGTGAGCACCACAGTTGTCGACTTGCCGTTCGCGAAACTCCGGTATACAAGCTCGGATCGCATGAGCTCCGTGATTCAGTCGTTGATAAATCATCAGAATGCATGGCCCTAGCCAAAGTCAGAGCTGCGTTGATACGATGCCGTAGACTTGTGGCTTGAAGATAATGATATGGTTATGGTTATGGTTGATATACCGAAGCAGTGAGTGTGTCTTTGGATATATAAACCAGGCTCTTCTCCAGAAGCATCTTGCAATCAAACCCATCAAGACTCCACTGGCTTTACCATCTGCATATTCTGGCATTCATCACCAAACCCCTTTTCTCATAGATCGACATGGCAGAGATACTAGAGCATGTGCTGTAAGTGTGTCTCTTTCTTTTGTTCTTCTCGAAAGACGACCCTGAACCTCGCAACGTTGCTGACCTGACATTCCTTCTTCTCAACAGTCCCAGCGCCGCATCAAAACTAGCAAAATCTATGGGTGTCAGCGATGAGCAGATCTATGGGTTCAAGGCACAATACTACAAGGTACATTTTGTTTTTCTTGATCCCGTCTGAATCAACAAGTACGATCGTGTCGGATAGGATGGCGCTCACAACATAAATTGTACTAATACATATCTTGTAGGAGAAGATGATCGAACAAGCCCAAAATGGCGGCGACGATAGTAGCAGTACTCACAATCAATCGCCACAAGAAAGATGGTAGCACAGTCGAGTACAACACCACAGGATAATGTAAGTACACGACTCCGTAGCTTCTTAGATACCTCTCACCTCGCGCTTTACTATGCCTTGGATCGAAGACTTGGCTAACGTGTATGAATCAGTCGAATGTGCAGGTTTCATCGGATAACGATGACGATTGGTGGGACTGCTGCTGCTGCTGTCCTTGATCAGGCTCGGTTAGATTGAGGTTAACAATTACTATGATAGTCAAGAAATGAACGCTACTCAAGCAAAAGAACCATTCATCTTGCTGAGCGTGATCTGAGGGCTCACGTATTGATGGCCGAAGAATGAAAAAAAGTCGCCATGAGTGTGCGAGGGCTGAAAGTGATGACGAAGCTATGTCATATTCCAGCAGTTCGAGATCATCGAGCAGTCGAGGAGCACTCCAAATTATCGCAGCTGACCAGTAGATGTGATTTTCGATAAGAGTAATCGCCGACGTCGACCTGAGTGTATACGAGTGAATGATGGACGAGAGGTCCGTGTTGGTATGGTACAGAGTTCAATGACTGAAACTGTCTACGCCACATTCCGTAACACACATGCAATCGATGTTCCTGAGGAGCGGCGAAATCTGGAGCGCTCCACTCTTATAGAGACTGGAGAAGTGACAGGCGCACTAGGAAACATTACAGAGTGGACGACGCACGATCAATGAATGTCATATCTCATGGCTAAATCCTTCGCGTGTCGCTATAGCAATGTTTTGAAGTCTCGTAGACGAAGGGGAAAGAATCGGAGTGATAACGAAGAAAATTATATGAGAAGAGAAAGTCATGAAAGTATGTTTCGTGAGCATCGTCAAGTCTAGTATCGTCGTGAACTGTTTTCCTGCATCCATCATCTTGATCGTGAAAGGTGATAGTTGTCGCACAATGAGAGACGAAAGAGATTTAGAAAGTTATCCATCCAGCATCGCGAAGACAGTACTGGCAACGAGGGTAGTGCTGCAAGACCGGAGCACGACGACAGGCACAAGTAGTCTGTCTGGCATGATGAGATTTGCCAGCACCAGCATGGCCAGACCTGATTCCAGCAACAGCAGAATCGACACTTCTAGGGCTTGAGCCACCAGAAGTCCAACTGCTGTTCTCGTCTTCATCCTCTTCTCTTAGTTCACCAAGCCGCCTTCTCTGATCATTGGAGGAAGAGGTGGAAACGCTGATGTTTTTGCGGCCAGAGCCGATGGCGACAGGTAGACCCTGGGCAGTGCCAGAGCCAGGTTTCTGTCCAGGATACATGCCGTCGTTTACAGAGAAATTGCGGCAGATCATATAGGCGCGTGTCGCAGCGGCGTCACGAGCCAATGCTTCGGTTGTGTAGTGTTGCCCGTCTGTGCTATATTCGCGGTTGTTGACACGGACCACACAAGTATAGCCGTGACGAGTGACCGATGGTTGGAACATTGGCTGAGGCCAGTGTCGGCGTTTGCAGAGGCCTGTATCGTGTGTTCTCAGTATATCATCCAGATGCTAGTAGGTTGCTCGCAAACTGGGCAGTAGGGTTGATTTTGACACAGGGCATTGCCTCAGGCCCGCCATGAAGAGCCTCCATGGTAGCCTGCAGATTCGCCATGCGCGCATGACATCGGCAAGCGACTGTTGTCACACGTGGTAGACTTTGGCGCTTCAAGGATTGACAGGTGTTCGAGAACGACATCGCAGGCGTGTAAGGAGAGAAGCAATTGGTACTCACCATCAAGATACATTGTGTAGAACATTATGGCTTGTATGATTCTCGAAAGAGATGGACCTGCTTGGTGTGGCTTGGTGCTTCAGGCAGGGAATATCGTTTTGGTAGGAGAGACGGCCTGTCAAAATATGTGTCGTATATGTAACACCGCAGAAAGGTCGATGGCTGAACGTCGACAGACACAGATATCGAAACTATTGAAAAATAAATGCAGGTGGAAGAAAACGCAAAATGTAGTGATGCCCAAGAGAGGAATTGAATCAAAAGGGTTCTCTTAAGTATGCACCGAACATAAATAGGGTTGAAGACGCAGGCAGCTCTTGACACAAGAGGCGGTCTCCACGAGATAGCAGGGGAAACAATCAAAGAAGCGACTCGAAGAAGTGACGTTGAATAGCACAACATCAAGACTCGGCGGGAGGCCCAGAGGTACGGTAACAAGGGTCAGCCATTTGCACGCGTGCACGACGGACATACCGTCGTGCATTGCAGATGCGTTCGTTGTGGGAACGACAACACAGGAGAAAAGCCTGGCGGGGATGAGGACAAGTTGGCTCGTCAAACCCCTCCCTAATCTTGTTCGATGTGTTGGCGCTGCATGCCACGCATTGGGAACATCTATCGAAGATCCAAAGAAGGGGAAATGAGGTGCCCATTGAAGCGGGCCTGCGTGGTCCTGGGATGTGTGCTCGAGCGTCTGCTCCTGTGCGACAGCGAGCGTGGTGCATGCCGATGGCGAGACCCGAATTGCCTCACACATACCACGTCAATGCGCGACATGTTCGTCGGAGAGCCACAAGCACCAGGTACGTGGTCGAGTTCGTGACCCCTAGATTAGGCGCAAGTGTCGTGCAGTCGAAACAGAGAGCGCACATTCTAACTTTCGGTAACAAGCCGGACCAAGATCATGTGAATGTCTATCGACGGCCAGTTGAACCAAGGGAGGAACCGTGGACTCACCGGTCTAAAAGAGATGCCAGCCGGAGCGGGTGCTATGCGGGGCTACTGCAGCAGACGGTAATTACTTGGTGAAGATGCTTCACAGATCAGCCTTCCGTCCCATTCACGTTCTGCAACGTTGCTCGGAGACCCAGAGTCTGTCAAGGCAGAAGACACAGAGTCCTGGGTCCCATCATTGGTCAACATAGCGTACCGTGAAATAGAAGCGGTGGCTCTGTGAGATGTTGTTTCTATCGCTAGACTAGCAAAAGTCTGGTTGTGTGCGACCTATCGCTCCAATGGGTCGACAGACGAGCATCGGAAGTATGAGTGCGTTGGCGGTCACATTTGACATTGCTGGGCACGAGGTACCCTGCTTCCGTCTCCCCCTCAGAATGGTGGGGAGCAAATGCGATGAGGGGCAAGCCATCAAAGGACCGAGGGCATGTCCTCCAAGCTGCATATCTTGGAAGAGGCTCTACGTGCCGTAGGATCGTTCATGGGAGGTGCCGAAAGGGCAGCCCAGATAACCGAGAATGCTGGAAGCGACCATTCTGACGAGCCTCGCTCAGGCAATAATTATTGGAGGTATCTCGTATTGTCTGTCTTTGTGGCGAGCCCTGATTTGTTCCAACGAAACATCTCAGTCGATAGTTGCGAGATGTGACTGACGGGCGAAAATGGCTTTCGAGTTTGACGCCAGCCTTGCAGATGGGGTGAACAGCTGATGCTGTTGAAATGTTCAGATACGCTGCATTGGCGATCCGGCGTGCATGATTGTGGACACTACATTGGTGTTTTGCTCCGAAAAGCGAAGTGCAAAGAAATTGGATGCCTCGATGATGTGATGATGCCTCGCGAATTAGGAGCGGTCAATGGGCGGTGAAGACGACAGGGTGTGTTGATCGATCTTGCATTGACGAGTTGCTCGTGCTTTCCTTTGCTTCGACTTCAAACCTTTCCGCGAAGGTCGAATCGGTTTTAAACTTTCTGAAAGCGAGTGCCCAAGACTGGGCCTATCACAAAAGTGACATGTAAATATGTAGTCGTTGACAAGCCAGAGGCAGCAGGCAGGCAGTGGCGGTCGTTCGGCTAACTGTCGCGACACGCCCGCAAGTCGTCGTCCTCAGCCACGTTTCGACCACTCTTCTCTGTACAACCAACGAATGTTACACGCGACGGGCTACAAACATATCTGCATCCAGGAGACGTGGACGAGATTTGATGTTTCATATTCTGAGCTAAATCGGAATGGTTATGCATGCAAGAAAAACAAGAAGCCGCTTTCCTCCTTCCTTCCTATGGGTATCTCTTCGTGTTAACGCCGTGTAAAAATGGAAACCTTCATGACGAGCTGAACACCTCGAAGGCATTCACCGCTACTTTTTCTTTCCCTTGGCCTTCTTCTTGCCTTGCTGTGGTCGTTGCTCGGGAGCAAAGGCTGATCCCTCGACAACTTCCNNCTCACCCTGAGCTTGCAACTCCTTGACTTTCTCTTGACTGGTGATAAACATAGTCAGATCGTGGTTCATCTCCTCCAGGTCTGCCTTTTCAGATTTTATCCTCTCGGTTTCCTGTTGGCTTTCTCTGGCTTTTGCTTCGGCAGCATGAATGCGCTGAAGCAAGCCCTCATTCATTGTTTTCTCCTCACGCAGCTGACTAGACATATCGCGAGCCATCTTTTCAAACTTCTCAGCACGAGATGTGGCTTTTTCGAGACTTTTNTCCATGCGAGTAACACTGGCAACTTGGTCTTGACTCTGTACGCGCAGAGCAGCCATTTCTTCAGTGAGCGTAATACACACTCTAGCGGCATCTTCAGCTTTGGCCGAGGCAATGCTGGCCTTGTCAACAGCGCGCTCGAGCTGACCCTCATAGTAACGACGCTGGCTATCCAACTGACTAGTCAGAAGGTAAGTGTACTCGTTAGCCATGTTCTCCATCTTTTCTCGCGGCACACTGTCGTCGGCTTCCNNAGCACGGAAGGCAGCATTGGGGTGGCGGCGAGCAGGAAGGTCAATCAATTTGCTGTCGGGTTTGTTCTGGATCAAGCGATGAACGTAGCCATCACCGGCATAATCCCAGACATGCTGTGAGTTAATGTCCATAGCATAGCAGTGGCTTGTGGCTTCCCAGTGTGCAAAAGCGTGTGCTGAGTCATAGCGGCCACAGCCTGTATTCCCGCAGATCAAGCAGATCCACAGATTCGTAGTTGTCGCGCAGACGGTACAAGCAGGTTCGACCTCAGCTTGTACATCAGCATGACTAGGTCGGGGGTAAGGGAAGGTGAAGGAGGGTGATTGCGTGTAACGACACACAGGACATCCCGATCCGCGCCACTTCTCGAGACAGGCGCAGTGGAACACATGTTGACATAGAATGGTCAANAGACCAGTGGTCTCGTCCATGCGCTCGAGACATACCGGGCATGTAGGAAGCTCGACAAGGGATGGGGTGGGCGGTGCATGTGGCTTGGTGGATAGAGAGTTTGAAGATGTGGTGAAAGGATCCTGAGTGTTCTGAGGGAAAGCAGCGGGGTCAGATGCATCTGAGTCGGGTGTCAGAAATTCGACAGACTTGATGAAGACGACATGGCAGTTTTCGGGCNNTACGATAGTGTCAGCACACGAGCATACTCTAGGGTCAGAGTGCTGAACGCTCACCTCCATGGCGCTGAAGAGTTTCCCGTTCCACAGCTTCTGCCACTCTCTGGCTTTCTTTGGCTGTCTGAACTTCATGAGAACCATGTACTTGTTGGCTCGACCAGTCCTAATGAGTCTGAAGTGACTAACATCTTCTCTTGCCTGGTCTCCAACAAAGCCCAGCAGGTCCGAGGGCATCATCCATGACGGCACGGCTAAGATGCACAAAGTGGTGCATTGTTGGGGGTCGAAGTCGGCATCGTCTTTGACGTGTGTATGGTCCAATGCTGCCGTCTCTTGCGAATCTCTGTAAAGATGTACAACACCCCAGCCTACATCGGTTGCTTTGGTAGGCGATGGCACATAGGCCGCCTTGGTGTGTAGACCAGTCGAAGGGAGCTTGGTAGAGGTTGGTTCCATGTCGATGCTTTCGATGGTGACAGGGCCGTATCGCCAGTCCCTAGTGGCAATCTCGCTCGATGCTTTCTTCGGTGGAATTGTAGGTGAAGCAGGCTCTTTCAAGGCGACGTTCCTCTCTGGTAACAGAAGCGCATCGCCGTGAGCGGAGGTTGGACGACTCGCAGCAGCAGAGCGATAGTCCAGCGAGCTTCTCGGCGAGTGTCGGGCGGGTAAAGTATGCGAGGTGGTCTTGGATGTTCGATGAGTGGGAAGTGTGGTCTTGAATATGTCTGTAGTCGAATTTGGGCGAAAGAGGTTGTTTGTAGCAGGTTGCGACGCAGCTGATGGACGTGCCGAAGGATACAGCTCAAGCTTGATGTGGAAGAAGTAGGCCGCCATTACTCACCACAACAACGTCGCTGTCTCAGCACTGCGTGATGCCATATTCAAGTCGGCATCTATCGAAGAGGTTCAAGTCGTCGTCGCAGTCGAAACTCAGCGAAGAATGCCATTGCATCACGTGCTGTGCCTGAGTCATGCAAACTCACCTGGGATGCTCCACAAAGAACACCGTCGATCACATCAGATAGGTATATTAAGGCACAGGAAGGATAGAATAGGTGAAGAGTGATATTGTTCAGAGCATCGAGTGCTCTCTGAGAAGTTGATTGGCTACGCTAGTCGTAGCAGCCGCTTCATTGCTGGCATAGTAAAGGTAATAGAAAACAGATAAACGCCGACCCATCGTCAAAAGACATCATCAAGGCTCAATGCCTGCCGCTTACTGACCGCCACGAAGTCTGAGCACCAAGTGCAGAGTTGACTCCTTCTGGATGTTGTAGTCGGAGAGCGTACGGCCATCCTCCAACTGCTTTCCGGCGAAGATGAGGCGCTGCTGGTCTGGGGGAATACCCTCCTTGTCTTGGATCTTGGACTTGACGTTGTCGATTGTGTCGGACGATTCAACTTCGAGTGTGATGGTCTTGCCGGTCAGAGTCTTGACGAAGATTTGCATACCACCACGGAGACGGAGGACAAGGTGGAGTGTGGATTCCTTCTGGATGTTGTAGTCGGAGAGAGTGCGGCCATCCTCAAGCTGCTTGCCAGCAAAGATCAGGCGCTGTTGGTCTGGGGGAATGCCTTCCTTGTCTTGGATCTTGGACTTGACATTGTCGATGGTGTCCGACGACTCGACCTCGAGAGTGATGGTCTTGCCAGTGAGGGTCTTGACAAAGATCTGCATACCACCACGCAGACGAAGGACAAGGTGAAGAGTCGACTCCTTCTGGATGTTGTAGTCGCTCAGGGTACGACCGTCTTCGAGTTGCTTGCCAGCGAAGATAAGACGCTGCTGATCCGGAGGGATGCCCTCCTTATCCTGGATCTTGCTCTTGACGTTGTCGATAGTGTCAGAAGACTCAACCTCAAGGGTGATGGTCTTGCCGGTCACTGATGAGCATGTTAGCAGCTGGTTGCGCGCAGTGGCGGTGAAGCGGGGTTGATGACTACTTACAAGTCTTGACGAAGATCTGCATGTTGGATGAGTTGTGTGTGTAGTGTGGATGTGTTGTGAGATGATGCGCCTTGATGGAAAGAGGCGAAGTGGTTGGAGGAAGATGATTGTTGTGGAGGAAGAGAAGGTGGAAGTTGGTGGTCGGGAAGGCTTAAGTAGGAGACGCGCACGAGTGAGAGCGGCGGAAGTGAGTTGTGGCTGATTGGATGACGCCCCTCAAAGCGGCGGTGTTGTCGCAACCCAGCACCTGTGAGGCAGCAACGGGACCTCGGAACGTGCCAGAACCTTCCCAACGTGGCAACAACTGAGTGTTTCTGCACTGCCTTGACTCAGATTGTTCTCTTGTTTGCTTTACCTTCACTTGAATTGATAATCAAGCAGTCTTTCCGTTTTGTTCCCTTTGCTCTTTCCCTAGGGGTGGCGAGATGGTCTGACCCCAACATTGCCCACTTTGGTACATCCTTATCGGCGCTTATTTCCGAAAGGTATCGTGGGAAGCCACAACCGTGACTTCATCACCTTCTCTCAAATCACCTTGTGCCAAGACGTTCCTACGGTTACTATCAAGTCTCAAAGAAGTCTCCTTTCGAACATGCTTTAGAGGTCGGAACGTGTCTACGAGATTCTTGGTGCAATTAGCCGATGAAACATAAATATGGGCATACTTGTGTGGTGCTGAGGCATAGAGTGTTTGCCTGACTCGCTGTTTGTTTCCATCTTATTATAAGGTGGTCTTTGCGTATCCCCTCTCCGATCTAAAGTCTCGCCTACGTACCCATGCTCATTGTCTCATCGAGCACACGTAGGATGCTCTCAATTATGGATGGTTGACTCCTTTCCACTGGTATTCGGTGCTCAGTTCGCCGTCAGAGGCTTCCTACCCCAGACGACCGGCATCGGGTAGTAGGCGTGGATACCTTTGTTCTTGACGTCGGCTGAGACTTTGGCGACGAAAACATCAACCTCCTCTTTCTTCCAGCCAAGTCCTCTGGTCATTAGCGCCAGACAAAATCCTTCGAGACCCTCCAGAATGTTGATCATGTTCCAGTTGCCCAGTTCCTTCATGTATCTGTCTTTGGGCCATGGGTTGGACGGCCACATGAAGTGTTGCTCTTCGATATCCACGAATCCAGCTGCTTCCATCCAGTCTCGGTACTTCTCTGACACCTCTGTGCCCATTGGTCGGCCAAGTTTTCGTGCCGCCTCGCACATCAGTATACCCCATTTCTCCAGGGATGTGCCGTCCAGTGTGTCGTCGACACTCCTACAAGGCAATCCGTAATCTTGGAATTCAAGGTAGCCGCCAGGTTCCAGGTTGNNCTGCATACCATGATCAGCCTGCATCCGATAAACAGCCTCGCAATGCACTTACTCAAACGCTTGCTGGATTAGTTTCTCTGGATCCGCGAAACATCCGGCCATGAGCCTGCAATGAACGTAGTCAAACCGATGATCGTACACCCAGAGTTCTTCCGCATCATCGACGATATACTTCAAGTTCGGTGGGACGNNCTTGGGAACCATCAGTGAGTGTTTGAGCTGATAATCTATGTTGCACACTTACAATGTGGGCTGTCCTGGACTGAGGTCGATACCGATCACCTCGCATTCGGGGTACTTATCCGCTNNGCTTGAGTCAGAAAGTCGCCTTCAGGAGAATGTATGGTTGTGCTTACCGAAGTCCATAGCCCAGATTCCAGTTCCGGTTCCGATATCGAGAGCATGTCTGGGCTTCTCCAGAGGCGCTAGATGCAGTCTTCTATATGTCAGATTACACATGTGATGTTGCAGGTCTGTATACAACGTTCAGTTCTTGCCGTGCTAGATAGACTCGTCGGGTTGCTTACCTAGTCGGTCTTGTTCGCGCNNTACCAGTAGGGTGAAATGTCAATAAAGTATACAAATGCAGCTAAAAGTAGATCCTACCTCATCATTCGGGAAGACATATTGTCCATCCTTGTAGGCNTGCACCAAATCAGTATTGGGCAAGACGAATGATTTACAGCGCTGCGGTTTACCGTGATACGTGCGGCCATGTTCCTGGCGGTAGTTGTATATTGATTCGCTCAATGATGTGGTTGTGCTTTGNGCTGTTCATACTGTCAGATCTCCGGACTTGCAGCAAACACTCAAGGTGGGGAAATAGTAGTCAACTCACGTATCATCACCGAGCGCAGAATCATTGTCGCTCCACGANCTACAATAAAAACCGAAGCGGTCAACATTGGTTTTCGTATTCCGGTCTTTATTGGTGTCACTTACATCGGCCTCAAGAGTCTGTTCTCTGGCGTGATTGAGGCTGATGCTCTCGCCTTCCGCAGGCTCGTCGGCCATGGTTGAACGTGATGAGTGCACCAAGCCCACGTGCGTGCTGGACTCGAAGCCCTTGCAGAACGAGCGCTACTATTCTCTAGTCTCTTCCAATAACGAGGTGTTTGAATTTATCGATTTAGTCGTGCATCCACTTCCGATGTTTGGTTCAGGGAGAAGTTTCGCCGTTGACGTCTGGAGTCGAGGTCTGAAAAGAGAAGAATGTGAAAAGGATCAGAACAACTGCCGACGCTATCACGATTGTTTTTGGTCTTTCACGAAAATGCTCGCGATGCGGCACCCCGGTGCATGACTCGTCGGAACCCGTGGGCTGCGGGAAACTGGAGTTTTTGTTCGCCCGCGAGCGAGCCTTTTGAGACGTTCGTTTCGCGCCTTCGAGCCGTGCCGAGTCCTTCCTGTCGCGCTTGGACATCAGCCCACCATCTTGAGTTCTGACGGAACCTTCGTCTTGATTGCTGTGGAGCTGGCAAATGAATCGCCTTTGACGAATCTTGACTTGCGCCTTCTCCTTTGCTGATCCTTCTCTCGCATGGCTGACATTGCTGCACGCGTTAGCTGAGCTCCGACAGGATACGGGAACCATCCTGCTTGTTGCAAGCGAGAGTCAAAAGTGCCACATTCCTCAGCTTGCAACGACAGCCCGTCTGGCCCTGCGTCCACGAGACATGGAGGGCCGCGTCCTCCACAGCCAAACTGGACACTCAGACCATTGACAGGGACGATCGCCGCTTATACTGCTAGACCATGCATTGGTGCATGCACTGGCGGCGCCACGGCAGCTCGTGATCGGCTCGTCGCAGACATCGCTTCGCGTGCCATCAGGTTCTCTGATAGTTCACAAGCCACCAGAGGCCATTTGAAAACCCTGACAGCTCAATATCCGGCTGGCCAAAGGAGTCGTTCCTCGGTCCCGCGGTGCTATACTTTGCCGGTCCTATATGATCGAGATTAAAGCTGGTAGTATGTATATTTCGTGTTCCCTTTTGCGCCGAGATGCTTCAATCCTCTCGACCCGACCGCTCTTTGATTTCCACTTGCATCCCTGCTTTTGCCCAAGAAAGACGCCGCCAGTACGATCGACGCATCGTAAGGCCTGAATCCTGCAAGTTAGAAGGAAGCGTCATTGCTTTGACCTCTTACTGGCCGAGAAAAATCCCAGGACGGCGGATCCCTTGACGTGGTGTGCACCACCAGATATTTGGGCTACTGCAGTGGGCTCGAAAGGCATACCAGCACTCCTGTGTGCAACGAATATCCGTATTGTCCACTGATATTCGCCGGCCATGTTACCTGTCGTCTTGATTGTAGGCTTGAGTCTCTTGTTGCTGTTCGCAGTCCGTACCCTGCAACAGTATTGGGCGTTGAGTGAGTTCAGAGGACCATGGTCAGCAGGGTTCTCGAGGCTATGGCTTCTGAGGGCCAATGGCTCAGGGAAGATGAATCTTGCATTTACAGAAGTAAACGACAAATATGGTTAGTAGACTCATCGTTGCATTCGAATCAAAGAAAAAAAATAGCAAAGTTGTTGTTGGATGAGGAGAGCACATGTCGTCCTGCCCAACCAATTGCAAGAGCGCTTAGGATGCTTTGTGTTTGCAAGTTGTACCATCATGCTGATTGTAGGACAGNGGCCAACTGCTCGAGTGTCGCCCAACATGCTCATCACCACTGATCCGGAACTATATAAACGTATGCACGCGGTGCGTAGTCCTNTTGTCAGGAGCGAATGGTACACAGCCTTGAGATTGCACCCGACGAGGGACAACATCACATCCGTGATTGACGAGGGAGTCCATGCAGACCTTCGCAACCGCATGTCGACTGGATACTCTGGCAAAGAAAACCTCCATATGGAAGATGATGTCGACTATCGCTTGTTACAACTCTTCGACCTCATCGACTCGAAATATGTTTCGTCGGAGAGTGACTATCGTCCAGTGGACATCTCTCGCCTCTACTCCTTCTTTACTCTAGACGTCATCTCAAGCATTGCCTTTGGTCAAGAATTCGGCTTTCTCGAAATGGACGACGACCCCTTTGGCTACATCGACAATCTCCAAGAGTTTCTTCCTGCCATCATCCTCTTCGGCGCCTATCCCGAGCTTCAAAAGATTCTGCGATTGCCTCTGCTCAAACACGTCATGCCCAAATCAACAGACAAGCGCGGTCTAGGTCGCGTAATGGGTTTCGCCAAAGAGCGCGTAGACGAACGCTTTGGCGAAAAGCCGGTCGTGCGCCACGACATGCTGGGCTCATTCATCAAACGCGGTCTCACTCAAGAACAACTCGAATCTGAGACTCTAACACAGATTACTGCTGGCAGCGATAGTACGGCTTCAGCTATACGCATGACGTTGCATTTCATCTCTACTACACCACACGTTCATTCGCGCCTTGTTGAAGAGTTTAAGAGTGCTCTGGCTGCGGGCAAAGTCTCCAGACCTGTTATTCGCGATGCTGAAGCTCGTGCGTTGCCGTATCTGCAAGCTTGTATCAAGGAAGGCCTGCGTATGTATCCGCCTGTCACTGGTTTGCTCGCCAAAGCCGTGCCTNCGGAAGGTGCCACCATTGATGGCAAGTTTGTCAAGGGTGGCACTCAGATCGCTTGGAACTCGTGGGGTATGCAACGCGACAAAGACATCTACGGTGTGGATCCAGAAATCTTCAGGCCTGAGCGATGGCTATTACGCGATGCTTCCGAGGCTGAGAGAAAGCGTGTGGAGAGGATGACAGAGACAGTAGGTCTTGTGTTTGGATATGGACGTTTTGGGTGTCTTGGTAGAGGTGTTGCGATCATGGAGCTCAACAAGGGTGTCATTGAGGTAAGCGGTTTTCTTTTCGGGAGGTGTTCTCTTTGTCTTGCTGACCTCCAAACAGACTCTCGTTCGTTACGAACTCCAACCAGCCAGTCTCTCGAAACCATTCATCGAGCGTTGTGTAGGCTTTTTCCTGCACACCGACATGATGTTCCGCATCACCCGCCGCCCGGATGCTGATTCTGCCGAAGCAAATGGCGTTCATGTCAGCTATGGCGATGTAGCTGCACTACCTGGTGCTCCCGAGTCTTGAGCCAAGGAGTTATACTTGTACATACTCTTTTCTGTCTGATTTGTGTTCTGTAAATATCGTTGTGCTCATTCTGATCGCTCGGGGTTTTGTTAGATTGGTCTTTTGGGATGATAGATACTGGTAATGCTATTTGGATTATGCTATGTCCGAAAGCATCGTTGGTCAAGTCAGAGTGCGTCGTGAGGATCTGCGCGGCGGGACAGTTCAGCTGACTGCTTGCCAGCTCCCGCCATCACATTGCTGCATCATAGCCTCCAGGCAGAGATCCAACACTATCATCACTGCCTAGATTATCTGTAGATGGAGCGTGATACTGGAGAGATTGTGGGTGGCCTAGAGGTTTGACAGGGTCGTGATGACAACATGAAGTCATGTTCATGTAATTGCTAAAGGAACTTAATTTTTTAGACTACTAGCGTAAGGCACGATTATATACTAGTTCCGCTAAGAAGCCTTAGCTCTAGTAACGTAATAACATCCTCCCCTACTAGGACTAAAGCTCCTACTTTAGTATTATTACTAGTATTAATAGAAATTAATAATATAAAGGAAATAGTAGTTAGGCTTTAATAAAGCCTTAGTTATAAAGCTAAAGTAGGCCTTAAAATAACCTTTATCTTTATAATAATCTTCTTATTAGCTAGAATTAACTTCTCTAGCTATAATAAAATTATATTAGAGTCTTCTTCCTTTTTTATCCCTTATTATAGTTATTATAGCTATTATAGCTAAGCTTTAGTAGCTTAGGTAGTAACATCGTCTTTCAATCGTCTATAATAATATTATTATTACCTCCTTTATATGCTCCTTCCTCTATAATAGCATTATAGGTATTAGTTTACCTAATTACTTTTATAGAGAATATACTTTATACTCCTACCTCTTTAATTTTAGGTTTAGTTACCTATAATTATAAGTTATAGTTACTATTAGCTAAGAATTAGGTATAAAACTAACTTCTCTTTTAATCCTAAACCTTCTTTATAACATTAACATTTAAACTTAATTAAGCTTTTTAAACTTAAATAAGTTCTTTTACTTCTATTTCCTTCTTTAATAGTTATATTACTAGCCTAAACCTTATCTTTAAGCACTTTACTAATCCTATAATTACTCTATAATGCCCTTTCGATATCTATAATTACTATAATATAGAGGCCTTAGGTAGCATATATTATAAACTAGATAATAATGTCTACCTAATCTACTATAGCTATAGAACTATAAGAGTTAGCCTTACTTAGTAGTAGGTCGTTATTAGAATATAGATAGAATACTACCTTAAATATAACTACTATCCTAGTCCTATTATCTAGCCCTATATTACTTATATAGTTTATCGTTATAAGGAGCATTAACGCTATAAGCGTAAGAGAGAATCTAGAGGTTCTTAAGGTATAGTTATAGCATTATAACTATAATTTTAATTAACTTAGATAAGGTTTCCTTTAGTTACGAAGTAGTTTTTATAATTTTTAGGGTAGTAGAATATTACTAATCCTTCTTTCCTTTCTAATTTATACTAATAATAAGGTAAAAAGCCTTATAGATATTAATAGTAGCTAAAAGTAGCTTATAATACTATTTCTTAATTATAACTTTACTTTAGCCTTTTTAGAAAGTTTCCTCCTTATACGTAAGGAATAGTTACTCTTAATAGGGGCCTCTTTAGCCTTCTAGATGTCTATTATAGCCACTATTATCTCTATTATAGCGGGCGTAATTAGTACTAAGTCTTCTTCTAGTTTTAAAGGTTCTATTATAGTAGTTTTCTACTACTAGCGGTAGCTAAACTCTTCTTATAAGTTCTTCCTATCCTTAATCCTATTCTATAACACCTATTCTTAGTATTACTCTTACTATTCTCTTAATTCTATAAGAGCTTTCTCTATAGTAAAGACTACTAGCGCCTTCTAAGTATCCTCCTAGCTACTAGACTTCTTATTAGCCTTTAGTCTTCTTAACTTTTAAACGCTATAGGAGATCTAATTATCTTCTAGATTAGTTATAGTAGCTTTTTCTCTCTTCCTTACTAGGAATCTTTATATACTTAGACGATAGTTTAATCCTAGGGCGAAGTTTTATAATCTCCTCTATTTAGCTTTTAAGAGAGTAGACTATATCTTAATATTAGGGACTACTAATTCTTTACTATCTAATGCATCTATAATAGATAAACTAGTTAGTTTAACTTATAACTTCTTAACTAATAGATTTAGATAGTTCTAAAAGCTTATTATACTATCGTAATTAGCTTTTATAAGACGATTACTATATATAAGATACTATAATACTCTTCCTTTAGGTATTTATAAGGTATATATACCTAACTAATATACCTTAAGTATTTTATAAGGCCTAGTCTATTTAGAAACGAGTTTAGTTACCTTTAGATTATATAATAATACCTACTTATTCTCTTTAAAAGTAGGTCTAGTATACTTCTCTAATATTTAAGAGTTAATAAGCTTTATATAAATAGCTTATTATAAGAGCTTCTTATTTATAAGGTGTCTTATATGTTTAATAACTATAAGTCTCTTTTATAATCTATAATAGAAATATTAAGTAGCCTTACTTAATTCTTATCCTCTAGAATATATAGATAACGGCTATAGAGAAGGTAATAAAGGCTAAAACCTATACTAGAGTATAATCGAGTCCTATAATAGAAGATAGCTTTAAGTAGGAAGTCTTTCTATATTATAATCTTATAGCCGATATACATTCTAGTTAATATTAACCTTAGAATACTATTTAGATTCTTATTCTTACTATTAGCGTAAGGGTAGTAAAGAGAAGATAACTAGTACTATAATTTAAGCTTATTATAAAGGTGTTATATAACTCGAGACACGAAATTAGCGCTATTATTAGAAAGAATTTCCCTTAGTAATCTATAGTTATAATAGATCTCCTTATATATAAACTTAGTAGTCGTCTTATTATCTATAAATTCGACTACCTTTATAATAGGCTAGTTTATTATATAATTAATAGTAGTAATAACATACTATTTTCTACTAAGAGAAGGAGGTATAGGTCTAATAATATCTAATACCTAGCGTTCGAATAGTTATAATTCTATGTCGATTTAATAGAACTATATCTTATTCTCCTTACTACTCTTCTTCTAAGTAATCTAATAAATAGGATAGTGTTTACTAAAATACTAAATGTCCTTTTTAAAAGAAGGCTACTATACTCTAGACTCTATATATCTAAGTAAGCTAAGGGAGCTAGAATAGCTATAGTTATAATATATATACTTTAAGAAATCCGTATAGAATTCTAGAGTAAGATATAGTATAACTTCCTTATTATCTAGTAGAATATACTATAATTCTAGTGTACTATTATTATTAATAACTATATAGTTAATTACCTTCTCCTAGATAAGCTTTTATAAGCTTTCTTCCTTTAAAAGAGTTCTAGAGGGTTAAAAAGTAATTATAGCTTTTATAAAGTTAGTTCCTTCGTCTACTTAAAAACGTATAGCTTTAATACGTTCTATAACATTTATAGGAGTATTCCTTATAAAATTAGGGCGCTACGATATAGCGTTAGGGATAATAGCTTCTAATTCTTTCTTATACTAAATTTCGATATTATACTTAGAAAATTCCTTAAACTACCTTATAACTCGTTTACTAGGTATCTTTATAGTTTATAAGTACTTTAGACTTTTATAATTAGTTAAAATAATAGTCTTATATCCGTTTTAAACATATATGCTCTATATGTATAGAGCTTCCTTAATTATAAGCCCTTTCTTCTTATAAATAAGGTAGTTTAGTTCTATAGCTTTTAATTTATATCTACTAAATGTAATAGGATATAACTTACTATCCTCGTTGTTTTAGTATAAAATAGAACTAATTACCTATTTAAAAGCATCTATTTTAATCTAGAAAGGCTTTAAAGTGTTAGGTATAATTAAGATAGGTCTAGTTATAAGATTCTCTTTAAGCTTTTTAAAGGAATAAGTATACTATAAGTTCTACTAGATAAGGCGTTTCTTAATAGCGTAGAGGTTCGTATCTTCTTCTTTAAGTAGATTAGAGAGAGAGGCTATAAGTTTTATAAAACTATAAATGTAGTAGTAATAATAACTTATAAGTCCTAAAACCTATTAGACTTATTACGTAGTTTAAGGTATAAGCTAGTCTTAGACAACTTTAACCTTATCCTATATAGACTATATATAGTTTAGCGTTATAAGATAACTATAAAACTTAACTTCTTATACTCCTACTACATATTTCTTAGTAAAGGTAAAAAGTTACTTATATTATAATACCTTAAAGACGTTATATAAGTGCTTTATATATTCCTCCTTTATCTTTAAGTAAATTAGGATATTATTAAGATATATAATAACTAATTTGCCTAGAAAAGGATATAGGACTTTATTTATTAATATCTAGAAAGTTATAAGAGCGTTATAGAGGCTAAAAGGTATAATAAGAAACTTATACTTTCCTTATTAAGTATTAAACGTAGTTAATGTAATAGAGTCTAGGTCTATTAAGAGTTACTAAAAGCTAGAATAAGATTAAGCTTAGTAAACTAAGCTGCTCTAGTAAGTGTATTAAGGTAATCTTATATAAGAGGTAGAAGGTATCTATTCTTCCTAGTAAGTTTATTAAGTACGCGAAAATTAACGCATATTTTCTACTTATTACTAGGCTTAGGTATAAAGAGTATAAGACTTCCTTAAGGTAAAGAGGATTTTTAGATAAGGCCTTATTATAATAGTATATCGATTTACTTCTACTATTCTTATAACTATATTAGATTTAGTAAATAAGCTTATATATTAATAGGCTTTATATCTCTAGTATTAATAGTATAGATAATGTCCCTTTTCTTTAGTAGTCTATTAGGTAGTTCTTCCTTAAACACTAATAGATACTATTATAGAACTATAACGAAGATAGGAAGGGTCGTAATAGTAGGTCTACTATCTTTCTTTTAAGTAGTAAAAGTACGTAATACTATAAGTAGTAAAGGAGCTCTATTTATTCTTAATTATCTATTAGTTATAGGATTAGTAAGTATATATAATAACTCTCTTTTATTATTAACCTTAGAAGATTATAATATAAAGATCTTCGAATAAGATTTAAGTATATAAATTATAAGAGTGTCTTTATAAAGTAGTTATACTATTCTAACCTACTAATTAATATCGGGGTTATACCTTATAAACTAGGATAATCCTAAGATAACATTATATCCTTTAAAATCTATAAGTCGAGCTTTAAGGGTTCTAGACTAATCTCTTAAGGAATAAGGGAGTTTAATACCTTTATTTATGCTAATAGTCTATCTATTTAGTAAGATAATCGTTTAAGTTATAATAGGAATAATAGAACTCTTTTAAAAGGTTTTAGCCTTTAAAGCTAATATATAGATTCTAGATACTATAGTATTAAGAGTAAAAGTAATCTTATAGACATTATTAGGAGGTCTAGTAGTACTATATAGCGTTAGAAGGCCGCTATCTAGGGTAGCGAAGAATTTAGTCTCCTTTTCTAGTAAAGATCTAGTAGTTACGTTTAAGTCTATACTTATAACTAGGTTCTCTTTATTATTAGAGGCTTCTATAAGTAGAGTAGTTACCTCGATTATAGCTTTACTTACTTGTTTTTTAAAGGGTAGTCGCTAGTATAATAGCCTTTCTTCTAGTAAGTATAATAAGTAACTTATAAAACGTCTCTCTTACGTTTACCTTAGCCTTTACCTTTAATATTACTACTACCTCTCTTCTTCTTATTTATAGTATTTAAAGATTTAATAGTTATATTTAGATTCTTTATGTTTTTATTCCTTCTATAATAAAAGTATATATTATCTAGAGTAATAGCCTTTATAATATAAGTATATAGAGGCATATTCTTAAGTAAATAAAGCTAAATATCTAGAGCATCTCTTATATCTTCATGTAGGCTATCCTTAAACCTATAAAGGATAATCTTATTAGATAGGATAGGGTTAAGTTTATATAAAAGGGTTTATAACTCCCTTATAAATGCTTAAGCTAATTACGTCTATCTTATCTTTTTAAAATATCTCTTCTTATTTTCTATCTAGTCTAAATTAGTATAATAGTACTAAATTAAAGTAAGCTATACTATAAAGGAGTTAGTATTAATATACTTATTCTAGCATTTAAATAGGTCTCTTTCTAAGAAAGAGGATATAAGATAATTCTTATTAATGTCTTTTAGATTATAGTTAAAATTAAAGCGTTCTTATAATGCTATCTAGTTCTTAATCTAGGTAATCTAGTTATTAACCTCCTTATTCTTTATCTTCTTCTTAAAAATAGGAGGGTCGTAAATTAGAACTTTAGCCTACTTAGTAAGAGGGCCTATTATAGGCTATTATAGACTAGGGAAAGGTCTTATAGCTATACTAGGTTATAGAGGTAGAGGACCGCTAAGAGGGCTACTAAGTAGGCCTTTAGGGTTTCCTTAGTTTAAGAACCCTCTATTTTAATATATATTTAAAAGGACCTAATATAATATTTTAGTAGTAATACTAGGAGGGTTCATAGGTTATCTAGGCGGGTCTAGCTTAGCCTATTATAGGATAAACTAATAATTAGGTTCGATGTTTATCTATAACTACTAGTTATACTATTACTAAGTATAAAGGATAGCTAGGTCTTATTATCTATAAGGATCTATTAGATAGTAAGAGAGTTATACGAATAAGGGATCTAAAGAAGATTTAAAGAAGCTAAAGTACTATATTAGTAATACTATACTATCTAGTCTTCTAGTAAAAGGGATATCCTTCTTATATTAATTAAAGCTCTTCTAGCTAGGAAGATAACTTAGATTTGCCTTATAACTACTAGAAGGCGTATTATTAAGGATAGTTATAGACTTTATAACTAGATATTAGATAGTTATAAAAGAATCTATAAGGAATCTATAATAATTATAGAATTTTATAACTATTAGATAATATCCTTTAACTCCTCTTATTATTAATCTATACTAAAAGACTCTAGGCTAATTAATATAACTATATATATAGGACTAAGGAAAATAGATAAAGTCCTCTTATAATATCCTTACTTATTAATGTAAAGTTACATAGCTATAGAGTTATAGATAGATAAAGAGGATTATAATATTAGTAGCTATAACGACGATAGCTAAGGTTAGCATTAATATCGAAGGGTTATAGGCCTTCTTTTAAGGACTATAAGGGGCCCTCTAGCTAAAGAGGCCTCTTAGAGCTTAGCTACTAGATGTAATTGCTAAAGGAACTTAATTCTTAGACTACTAGCGTAAGGTACGATTATATACTAGTTCCGCTAAGAAGCCTTAGCTCCGGTAACGTAATAACATTCACTGCTAATTCTTTCCGATCTACTTCTTCCTACTCTGATGAAGTGACCCACTAGCGACCATAGAACCATCTAGGGATTAATTGCGTGCAACAGATTACTCTTAGCCGGCTGCGCTTGCAGACAATGATACAGAGGGTGATTGGATGCGGAGAAAGGTGATAATTTGTCTACATAAATGTGTTCTATTTACTATACATAATCGAATTGCTGGACAATGAGGCGAAACCAGCGCCTTACATGAGATCCAGCTCACGTATTTCAAAGAAGCGGCCAGGCTTCTTCGTTTGTCGTTCCCCAATCTCTAGACCAATGCCACTAAAGCAAGCAAAGCTACCGCGAACGAAACACCAGTCTTGCCTGCAGCTCCTGTGTATGGGACCATAGTTTGATTCCATACTGGACGGTAGGAAGAGGAAGATGCCACAGGTACAGGTGCAGCAGTGCCGACAACAGTCAGAGTAGTGGCATTACTCCATGTCTCATTGCTCCAGGAGTACGGAGCAGCAGCGATGGCGGTCACAACAGGCGCGTACTCAGTTGTTGTGGAAGTACTGGAAATATCGAATGCAAAGATAGGTGAGTTTAGCGAAACAACTGCAGTAGCAGTGATTTTGCTGCGACTCGTGGTTGTCAAAGTAATGGTTGATGGAGTCGCCAAAACAGCTTCTGAGCCTGCAGAATCGGTGACTGTCGCGCCAGCTGGACAGATAGTCGTGTAGCTGTAGACCATGTCTGTAGTATACTGCGTAGAAGTGGGCAGGACGACTGCTGGGAAGTATGGCAGGTATGGTGCTGATGATGAGGTTGAAGTGGCAGCAGTCGCGAGTGCGAGGTTTCCATCCAGAGTTGCATTGCCGTAGCCTGTATAATTTGCATACGCAGCCTCGGGAACGCCTGAAATGTAGACAGTCGTAGTGTGTGTGTTCGTTGATGTAGAGGTAGTCGTGATTGTGGTGAAATTGGCAACGTATGGCCACTTGGTTGCCTCAGTGGTCGCTGTGGCAGCGCTAGAGATACTGGCGCTGATGGTCTGATAGTTCGGCACTGGATAGGGTGTTGTGTTGTTGCCATCTGGATAGATGATACCGTTCTTGGAGCATTGTGCGTTGCCCGAACGAGGAGATGCCTGCCAGCAAGGCGAGTAGGATGAGCCCAGAGGAGCTTTGTCTGCAAGACGGTCATCGCAGTTGCTGGCATAGCCAATACCATTGGTGCAGCGAATAATCATGTTGCTCTCGAGAGAGGACGACACACAGTATGCACCCGATGCAAGAGCGCAAGTGTAGGTGCCGTTACCATTTTGGATGACCTGAGCAGTACTCAAAGCTGCAGTAGCCAGAAGGATGCTGCTTGTTGGCTTCATGTTGGATGGTCAAGGCAATTCCAAGATCAAGTCAAAAGATACCGGAAGCAATTCGAAATCTAGACGAGAACACCAGGCTCTGATAGAGTTTTTGATGTGATATTGCAACGAGGCCGGTAGGTAAAGTATTGTTGACTTTGGTATACTGGTGGATAAGAGAACAAACGTACCTGCATCCTGCGATCTTGATCTTATATAGCACTTCGTACTTGTCAGACCTAACTTACAATATTTTCTATCGTCTTAGACCGTTTTGAAGGCTGTGGCCGCTGTTCATGCAGGCTGGCAAATGTCAACGCTGCCGTTGGGTTGCATAACGGGTTGCCATGTGAGATCACGCGGTAGTAGAAGCCGAGAGCATTCATGGTCATGGGAGGATGTATGGAATGCTGGAACCCATGCAACTAAGAAGTGTCGGCTGAAGAGTCATTATGTGTGTCAGGTCAAGAGAGACGAGGGAGGCAGCCTGCAGTTCTCTGACAGCTTCCAAGTTCCCGCCATCATGACGCCAAGCTCGAAAGCTTCATGATGCCGATGGCGGGGTCGTTGGAGGGGCTGGCATATCTAAACGGCTGCCCGCTCATTCTCGACCTTGATACCCTTTCGGCTTCCAAAACTGCCTCATTGCACGGTGTAGCACGAGTCAACGTTGTTCGAGAAACCAGCCTTGCGAGATTGTTGTCATCATGGGTTATGAGTCTCAAATATCCTTTACACTAGATACCATCTGTCCATGGTTCGCTCAGCCGCTCTGCTTGTTTCTCGACAAAAACTAATTCCATGGCAGGACCTATCTCGCTAGGAGACGACTTGCAAAGGCGCTCACGCAAGTCCGATCTACCGAGCCAGGAGTGACATTCACAATCAAGTACCTTCCGTACCAGCTATACCCGAATGCACCACAAGAGGGCGAAGACAAGTATGCCTGGTACCGCGACGCCAGATTCAATGGAGACGAAGAGCACATGCGCAAGTATGTGGTGCTCATGACAGCACATGGAAAAGCCGAAGGGATCGCATACAAGTTTGGTGGAAGAGTAGGCAACACTCTTCAGGCGCATAGAGTCATTCAGCTCGTGCAAGAGACCAAAGGACCTGACGCAGCAGAGAAGATTGTCGATAGTCTATACCGACAGTACTTCGAGGAGGAGCAACATCCGAGCTCCAAGGAGACGCTGCTGAAAGCCTGCGAAGAAGCGGGACTTGGCGAGACAGAGGCGAAGAAAGTCGTCGAGGATGAGGATGAAGGACTCATGGATGTCAAGATGTTGATTCGAGAGCAGGCAGGCAACGGAGTGGATGCGGTGCCATATGTTGTCTTCGAAGGTAAGAGACGCGATTTTACGCTTGAGGGCTGCAAAGAAGTCGACGAGTACGTCAAGGTGTTGCAGCAGGTGGCCAAAGAGAGCGGCTAGAGGTCCTCCAATGCGTAGATCAACCCAACATGCTCTTCTTTCTTCCTCTCATGCGGACGTCTTCCAGTCTTTTGAGCACCGTCTTGGCGCCTTTATAGCTCTCGCCGTAGGCTTGCAGCAGATGACCAAAGTCCTCCTCTACCTCGGGATGTGTAGAAGCGAAAGCTCTTTCAAGCACGTAGAGATCGACGGCCTTGTCCTCCTCTTGTACCGTCTGCTGTGCAAGACCAAAATCGATCAGGACAATTTCTCCGTTTGTGTTGACGATGCGAATGGCTTTTCCGACCTTCCTGTCCTCGTCGTTAATGTCGCTGTCTGCGGGTCGCAGCATGAGGTTGCTGGTCGTCAAATCGCCGTGGACCAGACCTCGTTCATGCAGGCGGCCGAGGGCACTGCCAATTCTTCGCAACAAATCGTGTACTTGTTGCTCTTTCTCGCTGGTTGAAAGATTGCTCTCCTTGTGGACCCAATCCAGAACGCGGCGGACGGTGTTGCCATAGATCCATTCTTGTGCCAGCCATCCGCGCTCCCAGTCAAGTCCTAAGACAGCGGGTACAGCAACACCTTCCCGACGACAGCGAGTCAAGACTCTGGCCTCAGCGAGGATTCGCTGGCGGGTCAATCGCATGTCCAAAGTACGGTGTCTCCATGGCTTCGCTGGTCGATATTTGAGGGCGCAAGCTGTGGAAGTGGTGAGGAATGTGGTGCGGTAGACCAGAGCTTCAGCACCTTGGGTGAGTAGAAGCGGAGCCGGCGTTGTGTCGTCCTGGTTCGAGAAGGGAAAAGGTAATTGATGGCGCGGTTGGCCTGTCGAGGAACTATCAGTCGATGCCATATTGGATCACTTCGGTCGTGTTAACAGATAGAGGAAATGTTCTGTCGAGCAGCATCACAGCCAAACCTCAAACTAAGCCCTAGCCTTGGCGTTCGGCCCTCGTCACTCTTTCCATGCGCCGTATTCAGACCGTATCCGAGCTCGTATCGACACCACCCTTTCCACATCTTTCAATTGACCCATTTCGCGCCTAACTTCGTTTTTTGCAGCCGTATTGCACCTCTTTCAACTTCTGCATCCTCCGGTCTATCGCCGTACTTCATGACGTTCCTTTTCGTCTGGTTTACCTAGAGCCTAATAGTCATCGATTCGCATGGATACGAAAAAGGCTTCCATGAGACGATCCCATCGCAAGTCTCGTAATGGTTGTTCTCAGTGCAAGACTCGTCACGTCAAGGTGATTTTATTTTTGACAATGTTTAGACACAGCTCTCACAGAAAGCTTACAAGAAAAACAGNNTGCAATGAAGTCAAGCCGCAATGTGGAAACTGCCAGCGTTTGGACATAAACTGCAGCTTTGCTCCCCAAGCCGCAAGTCCACATACAAGTCTCGTCTCACAATCATCAACTCCTCTCGACACCCCGCCAATTGTTCAACCTTCGACTCAGCCCCTGTGTCTTCTAGACTTGGAGCTGTATCACCACTTCGTCTATCATTACAGTGCTTCTTTAGTACCAGATCCGAAACTCCGAGCTGAAATCTTTGAGAAAGTCCTGGAGCATAGTCTGTCCTATGACTTTTCGATCCATAACTTTATGGCTCTCTCAGCTTTGCACTTGTATTCGAAAGATCGATCTCGGTCTGAACTGTTTGACAGAGCTTGCTATCTACAAGGCATCGCTATTCAGCTTGTCCAACCCGTCATTGCCAATCTGCGCCAGGAAGATTCTCTAGCTGCTTTGATGTTTTCTAGTCATACTTCCGCTTTTGGCTTGGCTGAATACATGCTGAACCCTCACCACGATGATACCGATCCAATTGACAAGATCGTCGAATGCTTTCAATTGAGCCGAGGAATCAAGCTTGTCGTCTCACCACATTGGTCTTACTTGTCTCAGACTTGGATCAACAGGCTATTCCACAGTGGTTCAGGCAACGAGGATCGAATTCGGACCTCCCTGGCCTCTATCTTTCCCACTTATCCAATGGTACGATCTCTCGCCTTTGGCCAAGAAGACGCAGAACGCCGTAAATGCTGTCTGGAAACAATCGAAGACATCTTTACCTTCATTGGCGCTTCAATGCAGCATCCACAAGATTATCCAACGTCTGCGCATCTAATTGACCAATGGGCTGTCAAGCTGCCTCCGGTCTTCAAAGACATGTTAGTCGAGCGGAAACCCATCGCTCTTATCATCCTGTCGTACTGGGCTGTCTTGACGAGCATAAACCCGCGACCATGGCATCTCAAAGGCTTGGCTGAAGTCCTTATTGCACGGATCGAAGATATCCTCGGAGAAGAATGGGCGGAATTTCTTCGCTGGCCCAGAGAAAGTATCATCAAGAACGCACGGGCTGAACAAGATGCGTCGGCTCAGACACCACGTTTTGGCGATTGCAGTGTCGATAGTCGACTGCATCTTCATGTGGAACGCTCAACCATTCCATAACTGAAGCGCGAGTTCCTCGATCTACGAATGGCCATGCCAACTCTCGCAGTACCACAAGTAATCATCCTACCTTTTACCTTTGGGCCATGCAGTAACGTCACAAGCCATTGATCCAAGAAGCTTCAACAGGTTAATCAGCTGTCACACCGAGTAAATCCTGTATCAATCCGTCTTGTGCTAGCGGACAAGATGGCGGTTTTTCTTTGACGCGAGTGATACTTCGGATGAGTTGCTCAGTCTAGCTCGCAGCCAAATTCATAAATGACAAGCGTCTGCAGCAAAAGAAAATGGCCGAAGGTTTTGAAAACAGTACGTATCTTCTTGACGACCCGTTTGTGTTTCATACGAATATCACCTTAGAATGTTTGTTAATGAAGGCTACCGGTACGCAGGCCTGATCTTAGCTTGTCCGGCGCTTGTCTTGATTCCCATTGCTTTCGTCTTGGGCAGATACGGTCTTAGACTGCAAATTGCGGCAGAAGAGTCCTTAGAGCCAGACATATGATGGAACATGAAGGGCGGCGCGAACCAGTTTGATGAGGAGGCTATCAAAGATGAGGAGAAAGCTGAGCATTAAGGCGAGTATAGACTTCAGAGGCGACGCGACCTCGAATGCTTGTTCAGTGGTAAGTTGGATAATAAGGTACAATTCTTGAATTGAGTTGGCATGTTGGGCCGATTTCATGTCTCGCGAAAGAGTTTCTCAAGAAGTGCTCCTGAACAATGGTTTCCAGGCTCGGCTGATTTACCGAGTTGATGTCTTTAACCGAGCTTTCTTCTTCCACCCCGCCACTCCTCTCCACCACAATCCATTATCGCACGTCAGTTGCATAGACCACAGTGCGGCTAATTTTAATACTAATGATGCATACTCTACCCCGGCTCCTGCCCCACGTTCTTCTATCTGCCATTGCAATGCGAGAGGTGTCACCAGCCCACGTCTCAAGTTCGTGGCTTTGGGCAACGTCAAGCTGCATCGACCTGCTGCTTGAACATGATCCCGAATAACAATTTCGCCAGAGAGGAGTTTCCAGATGTACCTGAAGCACCAGACACTTCCTCAAGCTCTACTAGTAATAGGGAAGAGAAGGAGACGAGAAGATACGAGCTTCCAATGCCCTCAATGCCATCGAATCTTTGGCCGCATCGAGCATCTGAGGCGCCATGCAAATAGCCATGGCGAGGCTAGATNNCTTTCAAATGTGCAGCATGTAACAAAGGCTTCAATCGGTTGTATGTTACGTCCACAGTTGGTCTGCTTCACACAATGACTGGTATACTAACATTGTATGCATAGGGATACTCTACAAAGACATGAATTAATACATCAGAAAGATCCTGGCGTCTCAAAGCTCAAAGGAGCAAGAGCTTGCAAAGAGTGTGCGAGTAGCAAGGTTCGCTGCAACGGAACCTTGCCCTGCGAGAGATGCAGCTCAAAAAATGTTGATTGCATATATCCGAGTGCTGCAAGTCCAGCGCAAGCCCTGGATTCTCCATCGTCCGCTGTCTCTGACTATGCCTCCACGCCTGGAGCATCCGAGAACGTCTCGTCGTCAATACTTGAATCCGAAGCTTTTCCTCGGCAACTGGGGCAGTCATTGCCGTATGTCGACCATACCAACCCATATTCGGAACAACATAGCACCAACATTGCAGAGTCTTGGAGCTATAATACACATCCTCAAATAGCATCTCAGGCTACTGGCTTCGTCTCAGGATCTCTCCCTGCATACACTCATGCTTTATTGCCGCATGACTCTGGAGCGCAACACATTGCTCCATCACCATTTGAAGGATCATATTCTGGCACAGAGACCTCATTCGAAATACCCTACAGCTCTCCGTTTCCTAGAGATCGTCACGCGAGCCTGGATCAGTTGTCCCAGAGACCTCGCCTCATGCCCAGTTTGAGGTCCAAAACTGCCATCTTGGAATCTGACAGTCCTAGGTCACAATTCATATTTTCCAGCGATCAAAAGGAGCCAACTTATAGAAGCACAGATCTTCGTGGACCATTCCACAGAACTTTCACCCCAGCGACCAGTTACTTGAGCCGTAGGCGCCGATATAATTTTCCGCTCACTGGTGACGTTCTGCCGACTTTCCAGGATGATAACTACACCAGCTTTGATATGTTGTCCGAGCAAACATATTCTAGGATCTACAGATCGTTTACGACAATCTGCACAGGACTAACAGCTTATCAACCTCCATATGGATCAAGCTGTTTCCCATCACGGAAAACTTTGAACGCCCTTGTCAAGCTATATCTTGATAGATTCCATCCTGTGATGCCCATACTCCATCACCCGACGTTGAATCTCAACGAATGTCATTGGCTTCTCAGCTTAGCTGTTGTGACTATCGGCAGTCACACGTCGGATTTTGAACAATCTGAAGAATTTGCTCTGTGTTTTGACGAGTTCTTGCGTCGAGCAATCTCAGCCTTGGTACGAGTGCTATCTTCAACGTGTCTCGTCGACGCTCGGCAGTACTGACTGTTCGCAGNNGATCCTCTCGAGCCAATTGACCGTATCACGCTCTGTCAGGCAAAGTTGCTAGCTTGTGTAAACCAAATATACAGTGGAGAGGAAAGTTGGCAAGAATCTGCTTACAACGAGTTCTTGACGGATTTGATCTCATTCTGTCAGCTGGAGTGGAAGATGTCAGAGACAGGGTTTACTACGTTTGCCCCCGAGGGCCAAGAAGCCGAGTTCTGGAAGCGATGGGTTCAGCTCGAGTCTTGTCGGCGTACTGGATATGCGATATGGGTAAGTCTTCTCTAAATTCACACTTGTATATATGCTCACGCGCATCAAAGANTGCTTGATACCATGTGGGCATATCAGTTCCAGGTACAACCGAGACTCACACTGGAGGATGGAAGGATACCTCTCCCATGTCAGGAAGTGCTTTGGGAGACGAAGACAGCCGTGCAATGGCACCACATCTTTCAATTCTCGCCAGGTAAGCGTTTAGAAACTCCTTGATCTCCAGACTTGACTAATGAATCAGCAAATTTGACACTTTTGTCATCTTTGCAATCATTACAAGACGAGAAAGTCTTGCAACATACAATGGGCGAATTCAGCCGCGTAATTTTGCTACATGGTTTCTACCGCCAATGCTGGGAGCTGGAAAAGGTCGAAATGCAATCTCAACCACGACCCCAGCAGATGTCCATGTACACTTTTTGGAAAGATTCGATCATGGAATCACTTGAGCTGCTCGAATGGAGTGCCAACAATGTCGTTAACGCAGCTTCTGGCATGGAACATCCCACTTTGCTGCACCTCCACTTAGCAAGGATTGTGCTTTTTGCACCCTTTCAGAGCATCTGCGACCTGACATACGCAATGACCAAAGAAGACAGCAGTATGAATTCAGCGCAGATGAAAGACCTACGTACGGCAATACGCAAGTGGGTGACCGAAGACGCAAGCAAAGCTCGGCTTGCAGTGTTGCATGCAGGAGCATTGTTGCGACACCTACATGCCTTTCACACGAATAGCTTCTATGAGCCGTCAGCAGTCTTGCTCGGCACACTCACTCTCTGGGCGTTTGGCTCATTTGCAAAAACAGCAACGGGCGCTGGGCCATCCTCCCACCGGAGATATTCGGACACACAACTACACACGACCAGCATCGCGATAGATCAGCCTCTTGATCCTGAACTGGCACGGTCGTTCATCAACAGTGGTGGAGAGATGGTACCAATTCTTAGAGGCGTTGGAAATATCTGTGCTGCCGGGGCTCCCGAGCGTGTGCTGTTAGAAGGATCGAAACTTGTATCAGAGATAGGCAGATGGGGCAGCGGACGTAAAGTCACGCGAATCTTGAACAACCTGTCGTTGTGCCGCAGCATATAGTCGCATACGATATAGTTTAGATATGACAGCTACTTCTGAAGCTGATTCTATCCTCCGGTATGTAAAAGACTGTTGTAGTCCCGCATTTGATCTCCCACCTCGAGGTATGGGCTATGAAAATGCACAGTCACATTCTGAACACGAGTCTAGCTAAGGAGATAGTCTTCACTGAGATTCTCTTTATGGAGACCACATTTCTTGTCAAAGTAACGTGCATTTCTATATCTTCACTGTGACAACCTCCAGCACACGAGGAAGCCAAGAGTCCCTCCTCAGCAGACTTCCTTCCCGATTAGGACGCTATAGGCGGACGTATCGGGGTTAACACCCGCCTGGAGTTGAACTTTGGAAAGCGCGCAACGCGACTGACTTACTCTCAAAGAGTGACCCTGCCAATGAAGGCTGAAATCTTCCAGGTTCTAATTGGCAGTCGCTGCGGTCGCAGTCGCAGTCGCGAGACGATTCGATGCCGCACCGCTGGTCGCTGAATTTGCGAAGCCCTTCAACCATGCACTAAGCCCTCATACCTCAATCTCGTCACGTTGTCAACGCGTCAGTATGAACTACCACAATTTGACTGTAATAGGCCTCCGAGAGGAATTGGCAAATCGCGGCCTGTCTGCTACTGGCATCAAACTTAAGAAGGACTTGATTGCACGTCTGCAGCAAGACGACAACGACAAAGCCGACGCGTTGTCTGCCATCAAGTCAGAAGCCAACCCCAAGTCCTCCATCACGATTAAAGCAAACGCCAACGTTGACGTTCCGTCCGCCATGGTCAAGGCCGAGGCTCTGCCTCTGCCGCCCAATGAGCCATCAGAGTATGGTTCCGACGATCTGTTCGACGAGCTCGATGCCGACGCCCTGATCAGTGCGAGCCAGCAATCTCAGTCTGCTCTTTCCAAACCCGAGTCCTCTTTCGCTGTTCCGCCTACGCCGACGCTCAAGCGACCACTCCCCGAAGAGGACGAGTTCTCAGGTGATGAGATATTCGATGAGCCAGAAATTGAAGAGATATGGACCTCGTCACAGCAGGAGAGACGTGCTGCTGAAGCACCCGTCGACAAACCTGAACATGTTGCCCTCATCCGCAGGCTGCTGTATGAGAAGTTCGGTTATCCTGGTTTCCGTGGTGAACAAGAGAAGGCCATTCTTTCCATTCTTAGGGGCGAAAACACCCTGACCATCTTCCCTACTGGCGCGGGAAAATCGCTTTGCTATCAGATTCCGGCAATCGCTTTTCCGCTCATGGACAAGATGAATGGTAACGAACGACCACATGGAGCTGGCATCACCCTTGTTGTTTCACNNCCACTCATCGCCTTGATGAAAGATCAGACTGATGCTCTCAAGAAACGAGGCATTGCTGCTGATTGCTCTGACTCGACGAAGACTTATGAGCAACATCAACAGATCCATGCCGATATTCACTCTGGAAAATTGCGCCTCCTATACGTGTCGCCAGAGAAGCTCAGTAACGAAGCTTTCGTTGCAAGCATGAAACACGCGGCAGGCGGTGTAAGATTAGTTGCCGTCGACGAGGCTCATTGTATATCTGAGTGGGGCCATTCATTCCGTCCGACATACTTGATGGTAGAGCGATTCACAAAAGAAATCAAGGCCGAAAGGGTCATTTGCTTGACAGCAACTGCAACCCCCAAAGTTGCCGAAGACGTACGCGCAGCGTTCGACATCCTAGAACGCAACGAATTCCGCACCAGTCCCTATCGCCCCAATCTCAGGCTGGAAGCAGTCGCTACGGACTCACAAGAAGCCAAGCTTCCGCTGTTGTTCAAATGGCTTAGAGAGCACCCTGGCAGTACCATAGTGTACGTCACCTTTCAGCAGCAAGCCGAAGACTTATGCAAGGTGCTGCGCCAAAAGTCATTCAATGCTGCTTTCTATCACGCTGGAATGAAAGTCGAGGAAAAGACGGCTGTGCAAGACAGTTTCATGGCTGACGAGGTCCGCATCGTTGTCGCGACCATCGCTTTTGGTATGGGTATTGACAAGTCAGACATCAGAGGGGTGGTCCATCTTGACCTCGCTTCTACAGTCGAAGAGTACAGCCAGCAGATTGGTCGTGCTGGAAGAGATGGAGAGCCTGGTTATTGTATCATGTTCATCTGCCACGAGGATATCTACTTGCGGCAGAATTTCAGTCTCGGTGATCTGCCTTCTCGCAAGTCATTGCTGGGCTTCCTCAAAGATTTGTTCGGACGCGAACGCACGCCAGACGCAGAAGGAGAGGTGATCAAGTTGGCACACCGTGAACTGTCAACTCTTTACGATATCCGTCTTAGCCCTCTCGGTGTCGTTTTCGCTGCGCTTGAGTTGAGATTTGGTCTTCTTCGTGCCATCACACCAGAGTATACCAGTTACCAGTTTGAGGACAAGNGGCGTTACCACGCAGTAGCGTCTAGCGATCATTCGCCGGAAGCCAGAGCCATCTATTCCATGTCGACAAAAGCCGTCAAGAATTTCACTTTCGACATGAAGGCAGCTACCCGAAAAGGTCTTATGCGTGCCGATCTCGTTCAAAAACTGGATACATGGAATGCTACAGGAGTCATCATGCTGAAAGCCTCGGGAGTCATGAACCGCTACCGAGTTATGAGCCCTCTGCCCACAGCCGAAGCGGACATTCAGGCCCTGGCTGATGATCTCTTCGCAGATATGGCTCAACGCGAGAAGGACGCTCTTGGTCGAATCGATCAGATGGTGGGTCTTATCACAGGTAAAGGCTGCCTTGCTCTCGGTCTTGCACAGCACTTTGGCATGGAGCTGCCGGATCGCAGGCAGTCGTGTGCTCATTGCACTTACTGCGCCTGGGGTGAGGCGGCAACTTTGGCACCAAAACCTGCTCCACCACTCAATATAGAAGGCGTCAGGCGAGTTCTGGCCGCTTGTCCTCATGATGATCCCAGACTGTTGGCCCGCGTCGCATTCGGCATCAAGAGCCCCAGAATCACTCAGCTGAAGCTCGACAAAAGCTCAGTCTTTGAGTCACTGAAAGACCATGAGTTCAGCGTAAGCCAATTGAAACAACTATATCTCTGATCAATCACTGATTCTTCTACAGNNACTTTAATCAGGGAATTCGAAACAGCTTGTAGAACTGCTGCTCATGGACCTCTGGACGTTGCGCCAACTCCGGTCAAGACTAAGAGCTCGTCCAGGACGACGTGGAGCGCAGGCCGCTCAAGCTCAACTAGCAGTAGCAGAGGTCGCGGAGGAAGCAGCTACAGTCGCGGAGGCACCAGTTACAGCCGCGGAAGCAGCGGCTACAGTCGTGGAGGAAGTAATGGCTACCAGAGAGGAGGAAGCAGTAGTAGCGGCAGTAGTTACAGCAGGGGCGGTTACAAGCGAGGTCGCGGAACATACGGATCCTATCGTTGATCGCAAGGATCAAAAAGTCGAAGTATGGTTATGATGTCGACTCAAAGTAAACATTGCTGCTCACGCAGGCATGAATAACGAAAGCATACGTAATGATGATGAATTGCGATAACGAACAATTGATCACGTGCTATGCTCCCTTGAGCAAACAAGAACGAAAGATTAGAAACGAGAAGAAAAAAGAAAATTAGATTATGGTACTCTATTGGTATTCAAAACTTGAGTCTGACACATAACAATGCTGAACAGCATCTCCGATGCAAACCTCCTGTGAGCATGATAAGCATTTTAAGAAGAACGATTAGCAAAACAAGCCTTTTCAGCAAGCTCCAACATCATAGTAGCAGAATCAGCAACAGAGTCTGTGCTGTTCATCATATCAAGATCAACAGAAGACGAATCACAGCGAGCAAACTCTCTAGTGTGGTAAAGGCAGTTTCTGCAACTGGAGTGGCGACACCCGGAGCAGGTTACAGCGTATGTGGATTGAGTGTAGCGGCAACGGCAGCAAGTCCAAGGCATCTTTGGATATGTGAGTGGGTTGTAGGTGGACTTTGGGGTTAAAGTGGACGTAGATGTGGATACATGGTAAAGGTACTGCTATGATGGTTGTTATGTAGTGATTATTTTGTATGTACGATAGAGAGGAACTGTGGGCAGGAGACAAAGAAGTTTGATAGTAACAAAGATAGATCAAAGAACAGATTAACTGAAAGTTTTATCGTCGACAAAGGAAGAGCATGAGTTCATGCAATGTCGCAGGATGGAGAATGCACGCATACTCTTGACAAAGGAATCCTGCTCGTCAGTGAGATGTTTATCGACAAAAACATAAGTTGAGCGACAGTTTTGAGATCATGGTTGTGGGTTGTGAGTGTTTCCAGGTCAGATGGTCTGCAGTGTATTGCTTGTGTAATGAGCCTGTTTCCTGATGACAAGCAGGAAAGAACGATGACTGGAGTTTTACAAGTCTTTGCCCGCACGATGTGGTCTTCAGTGATCTTTCCAGATACAAACTGTTCTGGGAAGCTACCAGTCAGTAGGGAGTGCAGATTCAATGGCGGTAGAAGGTCCTGAGAGGGGTTATTTGATTGAGACAGGGTCATCCCAACAGCATCGATCTTAGATCGTCCTTAGCTGGATTGCCATTGCTTGCAACGCAAGTCATCAAAAGATTGAAGGACGCAACTTCGGAGTCACGAACAATTTCAGCTGCAACCGTGGTACACAGGTGATAACCAGAGTGCAAAGCAACGTGACAGTGCTGCATCACATGGGGTCCAGAAAATCGCTCACCCTAGCACATACATTACCTGCAAGAGACTCTGTCAGCATCAAGGCATACCTGGCGACGTGCAGATGTTACTACTATGGCTCCTTTTACCGTTCGAGCTTTGCATGTCGTTGCCTGTTTCAGCAAATACCTCACACTAGCTTTGTCCTTGACTAAATCGCTCATGCCTCGAGCTCGAGCATGAGGGATAGATATTTAGTCAGAGGACGCAGCATCAGGACACAGCAACCATCACACTGATGCTTGTCTGTATCGATTAGAGTCATTAAACGGAGCAGTCAGGGCAGCACCCTTTGATAACAGACACCAATCACCACGTTTGCCTGTCCGACGACCTCCGGCATGTTCACATCTATTCGTTTCTTCCAGCGCGCTGACATAGATCTCATTGAACGAACCCAATGCTTTCTATCGGCCTCGGGATGTGATTACTGGCATGTTTGCAAGGAAGGTAAGTTGCAGAGAAAGTCATGTGGTTGCTGTTCAAATGTTCGGCTTGTTCCGAACGTACCTTCCCCAACTCAACGCAAATTGCGGCTCAACTCTTGTCGCGTCTCTTGTATGGACATACCAGTCAATCTATTCTTGAAGCATGGAGCAGGTCAACGAGGATCAATCTCTTCCTCGAAAAGCACCAAGGCTGGTGTATCCCCCAGTCTTGGAGAAGAAAACCNCTAAGCCGAAACCGATCCTGGAATATCATTTGATCGAACAGAAAATCACAAGTGCAATCACTGACTTCAAGGCCGGCAAATACACGAGCTTAGCTGAAGCTGGAAGAGCCAACGGAATTACCGAGAGATCTGGATATTTTCGACTCCGTGCTCGTGCAGCTGGACGAGCATCCAAGTCCGACCGAATCAAGAACGGCAGCCAACGTCTCAGTCCAGAACAAGAAATTATCTTGTGTCAATATGTTGACAGTCTANAAGACATCCGCGCCCTTCACCGCAAGATTGGTGAAAAGGCGTACAGCATGTTATGTGAAAATCTCGCGGCAGACGAACCGCTACCAAAGCCGCTGGGCAAACAATGGCCCGCTCGGTTCCTGGAACGTCACCCATGTATCATGGCTCGTCGTCCAAGGTCTCTTACTGCGCCAGAGACTGGAGAGCAAGAGGACGAGACAAGTCTGCCCTTGCCCAGAGAAGAAGCTCTTGCAAGCGAGATACGCAACGAAGAGCCGCAACTTCTTCTCGACTGTCAGAAATACCTCGATCATTCCACTGGCACGGATGAGACGCCCAGTCAGACCCAGTCTCCCTGCACTGGCCCTGCAGCCCCTGCCAACGTCTTGCTTATCACGGGCGGGACGAGCGATGTCGACAGAAATGTGTCATCACCCACAGCAACTCCTCCTGATCGACCAGCAGACGGAGGCTCTACAACAACTACTTCATTTTTGTCGGCAATCAAAGACAGTCTTGCCGAACATAGAATGACTTTCTCAAGCCGTCTTACGTGATGATGCTGCCGACACATGGACATATATCGCCACTGTTTGTCGCGGCTTGACACAACGACCTCAGAGCCATAACAAACTTGGCTAAGGCAAGCATATGATGCGACGATATATCCAGCTTGGAAAATAAACCTCATTTTGGACAGATGCGGCATTCGCCTGGAAAATCAGACCAGAGACCCACCATGTGTGCACCTGGCCAAAAGGCGCATACACATAACATCCAGGTTCAGTCGTCCAATGCGCCCTTTGGCGACGGCTAATGTGGATTTTCCTGGACTGTACAGTAGTGGCGGTGTTCGTTATTGACACACGGTGATTTTTCAGGTGGATTTGTGCCATTTCGCTACCACAAATTTTCTCTTGCAGACTCTGGTGCTCTGCTGCGCCTCGAAGACACAGCAGTGATGTCTTGAGGCATTTTTGGCATAAAGCAAAATACCCCAGCCGAAGACTTCCACTCACCGCAAAGTCTCACACACAAGACCAGCTGGGCTGACAACTCTACCGTAAGTCGCATCGCGTCGCACGATTGCAACAAAACTTGTGCCACGTGTGCGACATACTGCTCGACACACTGCCATCATGCGAGATGATTGTTTATATCTCAGATGCAACTTCCATAAGCTCATGTCAAGCCTTTTGGCGAAAGACACTAGGGTCTTGGCGAAGCTTGTTTCCGCAAACTGGTTGGGGGATTGGGACAGAACTGCAAAACCCTTTCTCTGTTTGGCAGCTCGCGAACCTGACCTCGATCCGTCGCCGACAAGATACGAGGCAGAATGCAGGGGAAAGTTTTATTGTGCTCCGCAGCCGGCCGTCAACATTTGAGGTCACCGAGTGGCCGGCGAATTGGGGATTGGTCGAACAGAAAATACCGCAAGTCGCCCAACGGTAAGAGGCATGTGTAGATTTGTGGAAATCCAGAATGGTCCAAGGCACGTAAATGCCTCACGGCGGTCCGAAAAACGTGGCGTCGCAACGCAACCACGACAACAGGAGAAACACACACAGCCGTAATGGATCTGAAGCATCTTGCAGTCCGCGCGGCGCGGTACGGTACGTCTTGCACCTCTATGGTCAGCACTCCTTCAATTTCAGTTACTAAACGTTGCATCTGGATACGACCGAGGCCTCAGCATGGTTAATTGTCTTTTTTTTTGCCTGCTTCTGTGAGCATCTGTGAACGTCCCTTAACCATTTGTCCTCTTCTTAGTCGAATCCTCTGTATCCCTATATAATATCATTTCTGCTTGTTCTTTCCTTTCCATCCATCCATCCGATTAACACACACCGTTTCCTCGCGATGTCTTCGTCATTCGACCAGGATTCTACCCTCGAGAAGGGAGAGATGAACGAGATGGATCGCGTCGTCACACAAAATGAACGCTCACGGATTACCTTCGAGCCTGAGGACCGTCTTGAACGCCGTCGCCGTCACAGTCGCCAACGATCAATAAGCCGCGATTCCATCAGCAGTGTGAGGTCGCGAGCACAGTCAACTTCCGCAGCTGCCGGTCTCCCAATTGAGTTTCGTACCCTTTCATTCAATGTTGCTCATTCACAGACGGTCAACGATGTCGTCTCAGAATCGAAATGGAGATCCAAGACAACCACTAAAGCCAAGTCAACAACCAAGAAGTTCAAGTCACCATTCTCGATCAAGCAGAAGCCAAAGGTCGAAGACAAGCGACAGAACGATGCAGAACACTTCGAGAAGTTAGATTTCCACATCCTTGATGCCCAATCAGTGACACATGGACTTTCATCATCATCAGAGTTGGGTTTGACACCCGAGTATGCTTCGACTCGTCTTGCTACCGACGGTAAGAACATGCTTCCTCGAAGACGCCAGAACTACGCCAAGAAGCTCTTTGAGTATGTCTTTGGTGGCTTCTGCTCGGTGCTTTGGGTTGGTGTTATCATCTTCTTCATTTGCTGGTAAGTACTTGAACCATCTAGCTTCAGTTCTTTGCTGACTTGTACATCTAGGAAACCCTTAGGAAATCCCGACCCTCAAGCATACAACCTTGGTCTTGCTATCCTCGTTCTCATCGTCATCTTCCTGCAAGCATGTTTCTCTGCCTTCCAAGATTGGTCTACTGGTCGCACGATGAACGCCATCCTCGATCTTCTACCAGCTGATGCCCTCGTCATCCGCGGAGGCCAAACTACAAAGGTGCCTTCGACCGATCTCGTCGTTGGCGACATCGTCAAGATCAGCATTGGAAACAAAGTCCCTGCCGATATCCGTCTGCTGGCAACCTCTGGAGATGTTCGCTTCGACAGATCAATGCTTACTGGAGAGTCTGATGAGATTGAAGGTGCTGTCGACTCTACTGACAAGAACTTCCTTGAGACTCGCAACATCGGTCTCATGGGTACTATGGTCACCAACGGCTCTGCTACTGGTATCGTCGTACTGACCGGAAAGAACACCTGTATGGGTCGCATCTCTAGTGCCATGGCTGGCGCCAAAGAAGAAGCGACACTCATCCAGAAGGAGATCAACCGCTTTGTCATCATCATCGTCGGCCTGACTATCGTCCTTGCTTTGGCCATTCTGCTAACCTGGGTTGGTTGGTTGCATCGTGACCACCCTACTTACATGAGTGTAGTGGCAATGTTGAACAACGTTATGGGTGAGTAACCTTCGAAACGGTGTTGCCTCTATCATTCATCGCTAACTAGAATTGTAGGATGTGTTGTCGCATTCATTCCTGAAGGTATGCCAGTCGCAGTTGCCTTGACACTCATGATGGTCGCCCGTCGTATGAAGAACAGCAACATCCTTCCCAAGGGTCTTTCGACTGTCGAGACATTGGGTTGCGTCAACGTCATCTGCTCCGACAAGACCGGCACACTGACCGAGAACAAAATGGTTGTCACCACTGTCGGCTTCGTTGACGAACAGCTTACTGTTGCTGAAGCCCTCTCGAAGATGGAGGCTGGCCAGAACACTGTACTCACCGAGCTCCACCGTGCTGCTGCATTGTGTAACGATGCTACATTCGACCCCCTCTCAATGGATCTCCCTGTTTTGGACCGTGAGGTCCAAGGTAACGCCACTGACGGAGCTGTCCTCAAGTTTGCAGAGGTCGCCCACGCCAACTCTACCAAGATGCTCCCCGATGCTCACCCTCGCAAATATCAGATCCCCTTCAACAGCAAGAACAAGTGGATGCTCACGCTCCATGACGAAGTTGGTGCCAACTACGAAGTTACTCCTGAAAAGACCAAGTACCTCGTCTATGTCAAGGGTGCACCCGACAAGCTTCTTCCATTTGCTACCTCATACTGGTCTGCTAAGAACAACTCGGTATTGCCTCTCGACGCTGCTGCCAAGGCTCAGTTCAGTGCTCTTCAGGAACGCCTCTCTCGCAACGCAGAACGTGTTATCCTTCTTTGTCAGCGTCACTACCGTCCTACCGAAACTCTCGGCACCAATGCTTTCGNNGGTATCGCTGATCTGACCATCATCGGTGTTCTCGGTATCACCGACNCCCCACGCAAGGAGACTGCTCCAACCGTCGCTTCTTGTCGCCGTGCCGGTGCACGTTTCTTCATGGTTACTGGTGATTTCGGACTTACTGGTGCTGCTATTGCTCGCAATGTCGGCATCTTCACCCACAGTGGTGAGCCTGATACTTACGAAACCATCGCTGAAGGCCAGACATTTGTCAACGACAGCGAAAAGGGTGCTCGCGTAAACAACAGTCTTTTGCTCGAGGGTCCATCAATCAACAAGCTTACTGCTGAAGACTGGGATATTGTATGCAGCTACGAGGAGATTGTCTTCGCTCGTACCACACCTGAGCAGAAGTTGCGAATCGTCAACGAGCTCAAGGACCGTGACAATGTCGTTGCCGTCACTGGTGACGGTGTTAACGATGCACCCGCCCTCAAGGCTGCTGATGTCGGTATCGCCATCGCTGCTGGTTCTGACGTCGCCCTCGAAGCTTCTGACCTGGTACTTCTCGACAAGTTCGACTCCATCGTCGAGGCCATCCGCCTCGGTCGTCTGGTCTTCCAGAATCTTCAGAAGGGTATCGCCTATCTTTTGCCTGCTGGTTCCTTCTCCGAGATCTGGCCTGTTCTGCTCAACGTCTTCTTCGGTGTTCCTTCTCCTCTGTCCTCATTCCTGATGATCATCATTTGTGTCTTCACCGATCTTTTCCTCAGTCTGTCGCTCATCATGGAGAAGGAAGAGTTCGACCTGCTCACCCTGCCTCCTCGCAACCACAAGAAGGATCACTTGATCAACTTCAAGATTTACGCTCAGTCCTACCTTTTCATTGGTGTCATGGAAACCCTCTGTGCACACGCCATGTTCTTCCTCTACTACTGGCGCCACGCAAAGATTCCTCTTCATGCTCTCTTCTTCGCTTTCGAGAAGTACACCGATGGCTTCTACGGATACACCCAAGCCGAGCTGACCCACTTCAACACCGTCGGTCAAGGTGTCTACTTTGTTACTCTGGTCATTCTGCAATTCGGCAACTTGCTCAGTGTACGCAGCAAGCGCATGTCTATCCTCCAGGCCGACCCCTTCCGCAAGGAGCGTCGCAACCCTTGGCTGTTGGCTGGTATGGCTGTCTCTCTTTCTATCGCCATTTTCGTCACCATGGAGCCTGGTATCCAGAACATTTTCGGTACTGCCACTGTTCCCATTGAGTTCTGGCTGATCCCTATTCCTCTGGCTTTGGGTATCTTGATTATGGATGAGATCAGAAAGGTGGTTGTCAGATCTTTCCCTAATGGTCCTGTGGCCAAGATTGCTTGGTAGAGCGGTTGTTCGATGATGATGTCTTTCGTTTTTGATGTATGTTTCCTTTTAGACTTACGACTTTGATGAATGTTTTGTTTTGTATATAAGCAAGAGAATCGTATACTTTGTACATGACAAGATTTGTATTTCACTTTATATGAGTTAAGCTGCTCAACCTGACTCATGAAATGATGCATTTGTGTAATCTTCCTTCCTTACTGCTTGCGAAGATATGTTGTTCTATTTCCTTCTGTGTGGTCAGCGTCAGATCCCATCGATGAACTCGTATACAAGAGATGATTTCAAACATATAACCATTCAATCAAGTATTACTCATATCGATCTTTAGATAGACCTGAACATGCTTCAGCTTTCCGGGCAGAACATGCGGTCCAGAATAACTACGAGGCATCGCTATCACCAACTGCTTTACTTAGCAATCGGAGCAGTCGAACTTCCAGCCTCAACATCGACATCATAATCAACAGTCCTCTGATGTCTCTCCCTCATCAAGATCCCCTCATCAATCCACCCATTCGTTCCACTCGAAACTGCAAAAGCACGGTCTTTAGACCTCGGACTCCATGTCCAGGGTTGTCCTCTGGTAAGACTTCCATGATACCAACGGAATCCGACCCATGAGGTGATGATTCCTAACACGGAGCCAGAGAAGATATCAATGCCTTGGTGTTTGAAGTCTACGTAGCGGGTGGAGCAGATCCAGAAAGCGAGACAGATGGGGATGAGCACGATAATAGCGCCAAAGACTGGGGGTGCAGCGGCGCGGTCTCTGGAGTCTTGCTCGGTGTCGTCTTCGTCGTTGCGTTTTGGTGCGGAGTGGCCGAGGTAGGGAATGAGCATATTGAATTTGCTTGCAAGCCAGAGAGATAGATAGAGCAGGCCAGACCAACTCATAGATGAATGACCACTGAGAAAACTGCGGAAGCCTTCGTTCAAGAGTTTTGTATCCGTCTGTGTGCAGATGGAGGAGCTGACCAATGTCCACCTTTGCGAGATATCTTGGCCGTAACCGCCAACCACGTGAGCAGCGATATCGTTAAGATCAGGTTGGCATCTAGCCAACAAATCCGGTCTTGGTTTGCCGATGAGGTTTTTGATTCCCGAGGTTATGAAGAAGGCAAGAGCGAAGCTGAGACCCAGTCCCATCCATCCAGCATTAAATTCCCAAAGCTTGCGAGTCCAGTATCGTTGATCGCGCAGCCGAGAGCTTGAGAAGGCAGGCACGAATAGTGCGGTGACAACTGCTATGACCACAGCAGGAAGGACCAGAGAAAGAACGACGAGTAGTGCTGTGGATACCTCATCGTGCTCGACGTAGGGAAAGCTGATGGCGAGGTCGACGAGGGAGAAGGGTCGATGGTAGGGTGTGACGAAACTTATTCCTCCGGCGACTGCTACGATAGCANNCTGTAACCATTAAAGTCAGATATGTATAGAGGTTTGAACAGATGTTGTGGCTTACATGATCAAGACCCAGTCGAGCACGTAGGCTATTATCAATTTGGTTGGTGGCATTTCCAACGCTGCCAGGTCGGGTTTACGAAAGCACTAGATGGCAGAATGCGATGCGAAAACAATATATGTTGATATCACAAGTGATCCAAAACAATCACAATATGTTTGCTACTGATGGTCGGCGTACAGCAGATAAAGGGAGAGAGGAATGTCACTCGGAGGCCCAGCTCGGGATGACTCTTGTACATTGACTCAACAAACTTCACCAAGAACAAAACCTACAGCTGATTTGCAAACCGTTCTCTCGGCGGCGACGAATAGAGACAGAACGAAGACATGGCGTTTGACAGGAACGAGGCTGCGCCCTGCCGCCAAGGTCTGGTCGCGTGCCCCTCTCCACGCAATCTTATACGAATACGCCACTGGCACCATCACGTCATGTTTCTATTTGTTGTTGGGTAAACAAATAAATAATGTTTTTTTTTGTGGCAAAACGAAAAGTTCATAATTCGATTTTGAGGATGTGTGGTATCATCTGGGCATCAAGGAGGTAATTACAGTTTGGAAGGTCGTGGCTTGCCAGCAAGCTGAGGGAGTTACTCGTCGTCGCCGAAGAAGACCTTGACAGGCAGCCAGGCATCGCCGCAGACCTTGAAGCGGTCGGGACGGCTGCTGAGCTCCTTCATCTCCTCGTCGGTCAGCGACCAGCCGTCAAGCTGGAAGTTGCCCTCAATTCTTGAAGCGGTAACGGACTTGGGGATGACGGAGGTACCGCGCTGGAGACCCCACATGAGNACTGTGTTCTCAGTGTTAGCTTGAGTTCAAGTAGGTGGCAGAAGGCTGGGTGAAACTTACAGGACCTGAGCAGTGGACTTGCCCTTGCTCTCGGCAATCTTCTTCAAGACCTCGTCGTGGGCAAGAGGAGAGTTGGTGGAGCCAAGGCAGGAGTAAGCAGTGCAGTGGATACCCTTCTCCTTGCAGTAGTCAACAAGCTTGGGGGAGGGGTTGTTGGGGTGGAGCTCGATCTGGTTGACAGCGGGGACGGTCTTGCAGGACTCATCCTTGAGGAGGATCTCGAGGTTCTTGATGGCGAAGTTTGAGACACCAATGTTCTTGACGCGGCCAGAGGCAGGCAGCTTCTGGAGCTCTCTCNNCTAAAGTAGTGTAAGCAGGGCTGCAAAACTTCAATCTCATCAAATCACTTACCAGGTGTCAACGAAGTTCCAGTCGGGGTAGTGCTTCTTGAGATCGCTGGGGTCAGTCGAGCTGGGCCAGTGCATCAAGTAAAGGTCGACGTAGTCGGTCTGGAGGTCCTTGAGCGAAGAGGTAATACCCTCTTCGACGCGCTTGTGCCATGGGTTGTCAAGCTTGGTGGTGATCCAGATCTCCTCACGGGGAACGCCAGAGTCCTTGATACCGAGACCGACCTCAGCCTCGTTGCCGTAGGCAAGGGCAGTGTCGATGTGACGGTAGCCAGCGAGGAGAGCAGCCTTGACGGCCTCGCGAACCTCGTTGGGCTTGGACTGCCAGGTACCGAGACCGACAGCGGGAATCTTAGCACCNCTGTATCTTGTCAATTCGTCTGTCTCTTGCAAGAGTGAGGTGATGGAGCGTACGGTGTTAAGGGTGAAGGTCTTCTTGGTCCACTCGTTAGACATGATTGCAGATGTTTGTGGTGTGATTTGTGAAGTAGAGAATTGGTAGTAGTGAGTAGAAAGAAGACAAGTCGCTGCGAGACGAAAGAATTGCTTAAGAGCCGGTCCAAAACTCATCTCCACCTGTCTTCGCTGATCCTACAGCTTCAGCCTGTTTCAATAGCTATCCACATCAGTTCGCATGTACCTGCCAACCATCATCGACCCCCACCATCCCACCTTCTGCTTTGGTATTTAGCCGGCGGCTCAATGCACTTCGAAAGCTCGAGCCCTGACTCTGCTTGGCAAACGCCGTCATAGCTCCATTTTTTGGCCGAGCAGAGAAACACCGGGATGTTTGTTGCTTCAGCTGCACTTCTAACGTGCATTGCTCAGAATTTGTGATCATGTCGCGCTTTGTCTCGGGAGGAACGGTGGACAAACCCACGGAGCGCAATGATGAATGGTTGAAGGCCCAGGAACAAATTGAAGCTGCGCGACGGAAGAAGGAGGATGAAAGCAGACAGCACGGAGGGAAGAGCTTGTACGAGGTCCTTCAGGCTAATANNAAGGTGTGTGCTTGAACATCGATCGTTGATGATACTTGTCATCCTTGCAGGAAGGGTTACTGACATCTTTCAGATGCGAAGCAGGAAGCCTTCGAAGAGGTACACGAGACCACTTGAGCATGACTTTGCACTTACTGACGGAAGGTCTTCCAGGCAACTAAACTCAAAAATCAATTCAGATCATTGGATCAAGATGAAGTCGAATTTCTGGACACGGTCATGGAATCGACCCGAGCCAAGGAGGAAGCCGTGAAGAAGGAAACTGCCGAGCGACTCGAAGCCTTCAGGCGGCAGCAAGAGGATACCGAGAAAGCGTCCCGTGGAGCTGCGCCTGAAGCGAGCAATCAATCTGAAAGCGATACATGGGCCTTCAATGCTCGCAAGCGCAAACGAACCAAGGAGAAGGAAGCGATTGCGGGTCTCAAGCTGCGCAAGAGCTCTTCGTCCGCGACCCAGCTGACTCCGGATGCAGCAGCAGCAACAGGAGCATCAGACGACAAGAATCAATCACTATCGAGTCCCGCACCTACACCTGCCAGCCAGTCGGCCAAATCCGTGCAACCACCCGCCGCAGCGATAGACAAGGCTGTTATTGACAAGGTGGACCAGGCACCAGCGGCCGCTGCTGCTTCAACAGCTCCGGCTCCCGCTGCTGCACTTGGTCTCGCGGCCTACTCATCCGACGACGACGATGATTGATTGAAGCGGAGAGTCAACAGACATGCACTGAAACCCGGTGATTACAGCAATGCCGACGCCCGTCAGTCACGCAGCGGCGTCCGTACATCCGAAACATACTTTCTGCGCCAACCCGTCGCGCCTTCGCCGTCCCACACGTCGAGCACCAATATTTTGACATCGGCTATGTGCAGCATTTCGCCTTGCTGTGTCTCTTGATAACTCGTGCGGTTCGCAATATCCGAATGATTGGCTGTCAGAGAATATGTATGGCGTATGTGCAGCAAATCCTTGGATATGTCGGCCTCAACAGGCGGCCGTCTCTGAATCGCCTTGTCACATGGCACGGGCTGAGCACGTCAAGGAAATGAGCATATGTGATACGAAAATGGACTTGCCATGACAAACGCCATCATGCATGATGCGTGCTGCAAGAGCAACATGGAAAGAGAAAGCAAAACCTGTCACGGCCATCAGAGAGACCCGGTTTCTGAGCCGAATAGACGAGGACTCGTCTAAGTGTCACTTACTCTGTTTCGCATCTCTACTAGCGCATAACAGAACTACATACATTGATGGCGATACACGCTTGGATTTGCTAAAGCAAAAGGAAACATCTTCACATGCAAAAGTAGCTAGGTAAATGACCTATCGACCGACAAAAGTGCATCGCAACCAATCATTCCACATGAAATGCATACGCCTACAAGCTGAGCTTCCCCGCTTTCTTCAAGATCTCGTCAATCTCGTCCTTGTGTGTTGAGAAGTTGTCAACCAAATCGTCCCACATCTTGGGATCGTGCTCGTGGAGCTTATCGCTCTTCATAGCCCAATCCGTCACGGTGAAGGGCCTAGAGCTCTCAAACATGAAAGCTACTGCACCTTCAGAGATGCGCATCTCTGGAGGAGGCTGTGCGGAAGCGGCCTTGAACTCTTGATACGCCACACCGTGAGGCACCATACCGCATTCGAAACTGACACCTCCGGGTTGGAACTCATCGCTACGGCCAGCGTACTCGCCGTAGATGAGTCCCATCAACTCGGAAGCGACGTTGCGATGGTAGTATGGTGGGCGGTACGTGTTTGAGGCGACATCCCAGCGAGGAGAAAAGATGAGGAAGTCGGCTAGAGGAGCTGCTGGGTCGCGCGAACGAGCTGTCAAGACGCAGAAGATGGACGGGTCGATGTGATCGACGCTGATGCTTCCAATGTTGACGAACTTGGTCAAGTCGTATTTGTAAGGCNNCTGTGAAAGTATAACAATCAGATATCGGCCGTAAAAAGGTCAAGAAGGAGGGAGGAACAAAACGTACACATAGTTTCCGTGCCAGGCGACCACATCGAAGGGGCAGTGGTTTTGTTTGCTTTCGAAGAACTTGCCACCGAGCTTGTACACAATCTTCCACGGGTCGTCTTTGGTGACCGTGTAGTACGCAACCGGGGTGAGGNNGAAGTCTCTAGCGTTGGCCAATCCATTGGCACCAATCGCACCGAGTTCTGGCAGCTCGAAGTTTGCACCCCAAATCTCGAGGATGTAGCCTCTAGTTGGCCCTTCGACGCCAACCTTGAATCGCTGGCCTCGTTGGATGACACAAATCTCTCCTGGTTGGACGTACAATTTTCCGAACTCGGTTTGAATGTCGAGCGCGCCCTGCTGAGCCACAATCAAGAAGTCGCCATCAGAGTTGACAAATGCTTTGTTCTCCATGGAGACATTAGCCGTAAAGACATGTGTCGCCAGACCTTCTCTCAGAGTTGGGTCGCCCGATCCAGCAATAGAACAGAGGCCCCCNACAAAGTCGTGTTTCGTTTCGGGAACATCAAAGGGCAGCCAGGCAAGTTGAGTTGGCGAGACATTAACGCGCGGGTTGATTGGAAGGAAGTTGGCTTCGGTGTTTGTGTTGTCAGGCAAGTTTGTCTGTTTGGTTCGAGTCAAGTCAGATTTCTGTGTCTCCTGCGTACAGATTGGGAAGGTCTAAGAATGGTGGGTTTCAAGCTGAGACAGACGTACAAACCCCTGGTGTGCGACTGCTGGCCGCGATCTGTACAGCCAAGCATTTTTATTCAGATGTCTTGGTGCAACAAATGCTGAGGCAGTCATTTGTTCCGCGTACAGGCCAAATCGTACGCATCTTGGACTGTTCTGCCCGCGAGGAATGGTACCAGGCACAGCCTCTGATTCGAAGCTAAAATAAACACTTGTATCAGCAAAAATATTCTAAGTAGCGTACGCGGACTTGTTCGGTCTTTCCGAGTCAATGGTAAAGCGTTCCATGGACCGAGAGTGTGAGGCAGATCAGCAAGGAGGCATAGAAATCCGTACATGCGGAGTATGAGCAGACTTCAGGAAGTGAGGCGCTCTGCCGCCATCCGTCAAGCAACATCGGCCGCCTTGCAGCAGCCTATCAAGCCTTGCGGACTGTGGGTGCAGAATGCAGTTCACTCAGTCCAGATGCTCGGGATTCATGCCTCCAAACCGCCCCATCACATTGCATTACAGGCTGTCTGTATGCAGTCAAGAAGGTCCCTGGGACTACGCTTTGCCAATGAACCAGGAATGAGGGAGTTCTTGTCAATGCAGGGTCATGTCATACTGGTTGTTGAACCCGGCTTGATACTGCAACAGAGTCAGCGAATTTCACCGAGACATACAGGAGCAAATGCTGCTTGCCTCGTAGGGATCGTTCTTGCGGGTCGCAAAGAGGGCACAGCGCCATCTTTCTGCGTCTCTGCCCAGCTTCACTGGTGGTCAGCGTGATGATTCACGCAGGCATTTGGGCTACTCCGGCTTACTGGAATATCTTCTGGTATTCGTCGGGACGATCGAGCTTCTCTACCTTCTTGTTTGCAAGAGCCATCGTGAGGGTCGTGATAGTGTATGTATGTTTTACAGAAAGATGAAGAGAAGAAGGAGTGTGGTGGACACAAAAGGCACTTCCAATGCCTTCAATGACCCAGTGAGGCTCCACGAAGCGGAGTAGTGGGGCATGATGTGGGGTCGAGGTGATCAAAGGAGGCCGAAATTAACTGCCGAGAACATGGCTGCTCTCTGACCGTAGAACACACATAGTCGACGGGTCTCTGCATCGAGAAACAGCATGCTATTCGTCTCGCGTCGCAACATCTGTATGGGACCAATGTGTCCCAGGTGAGGTCGAATTTGACTGTTTGTAAATCTTGGTCCGGCCGTTTTAGAGCCCGCTGTCCTTCTGACCTCCCGCGCAGACCACTATCGCGAGATTGATTGAAGCATAGATAATTGCACCGATAGCATTTACTACTTCTTCGCAAGAACACATATCAAGCCGAGGCAATTTGGAATGCAATAGTCAGTATGCAGGGAATAGTATACATGGTTCGACGACTTTGAAGTGCGCCTGATGAATCACCGCCCACTCCTGAAGCAACCCCTTGCAGGGCGTTGCAAGGATACGGAGAATTCTCGACGAGATCGTGAACATGGCGCAAACTCAATCTTGCAGCCAAAAGGCAAACACCCTTTCGGAGTCGTAACCGCCCGACCCTCGAAATATCATGCGCGACCGTGCCTCCTTGACCGCCTCCGACCATCGATACGACTGGCTAGATTGTGACCTGCGGCTTGATCGTTGATGATCAAACGTTCTTGACTATCGTCATCACTTCGCGTCAGGTTGATCGTTGCGCACCACACACACAGCTTTGGCAAGTCATCAGCTCGCTCAGCGCCATAGACAAACGACATACCCAGGCGCTTCCATAATAGGGACTGTGGATGCGTCGAGGTGTTGGTACATGCGCCAACCGTTGCCCAGTGCTCTCTCAAACAGGGAAACGGATTGTTCGGCACCATACTCAAATCAACTTTTGGACGTTCCTTTGTCGACATGGCTGGTTCAGGAGCAGCACGCAAATAGACGGGTACGAATGCAAAATGCGCTAGAACACTCAGCAGCCGCAACGCCACAGTGTCGGTGCATGAGAAAGTACAGTAAGAAACGTAGAAACGATTGGTAAGAGGCTGACCGGACGCTGATCGTCTCATCAACCATATCAAATCCTACAAATACGCTGACTACTCGTTCATCCAAGCGGTTATGCGGCTGCCTCCAAACCTGGCGGCGAAGCGCAGACCGGTGGAGCCCATCGGGAAATAGCTTACCAAATACCACACCAGGCATACGAGTTGAATGATGGAAGATATCAAGGTCAGAAGAGTACTTTGGAGCTATAAGTGGTCAGCAGGTGTACATTGCTTCGTAATGCCGAGTCACAGAAGACTGCGACGAATCAGATAGCAGACGGTGTATACAAGTACACGGTTTGTCTGCATGACTGAGGTTTACGATAGAGTAAACAACGGAGATAAACTTCACTTACACCGAGAGCAAAGTACAAGGTCATTGCTATGGAACCGAAATAGGTACCAGTGAAGGGCAGACGCTCGGTCGAAAGCAGGTGTTTGACTGTACGGCCGTTAAAAGATCTACAACTCAACGCGATTAGGCAACAAGACTCACGGTATGTGTATGGGCCCATCATGACAGCCCAGGAGCTGAGGGAAGAGAGCGGAGGCCATGGACCATCTGGTGATTCGTTAGCCTTATCCGTAGCGGCCGTAAAGCAAGAGCGAGCAGGCGAGGTAACTGGAGCGATCAGGAAAAGCACTAAATCGAGTGACAGTGCGGAGTCGAGATAAAGGTGGCCGCACGATTGGAATGTATGGCTGGTGAGAAGATTAAGAAAGACGCTAGCAATCTTGTTCGTGCCCTGGAGCGGGAGCTAAGGGAGGCATGGGAGCAGCCGCATGACCAGGCCTCGAAGCTGAGCGGGGTGGCGACCATTCGGCGACCCCACCGCGCGTGGCTGCATCGAAACGCCATATCAAAAGACGATAATGCGGTTTGATGATATTTGACAAGGGACAGGGGACAAGGAAAAGAAGAGAGGTGATGATGCTGCGACATATTGGGCGCACACCATCCCCAACAGATAGAGCAGACTTACAGGATTGCAAACTTTCTGGGCCGCAGGGACAAGACTGGCATCAGAGTGAAACATACGACAAAAGGGCGATTGCGGCGAGGTTCAGGGCACCAAAGACGAGCAAGCGGTCCCAACGGCTAACTGGAATGTCAAGTCAGCGGTGCGAACAAACCAAGGCAGGATAGCTCTAAAACGCAGGAACTCTAGCATGGTCATTTGCGATATCAGACAGAGGCTCCTAGCGCGTGTGGGCGTAGATTGGCTCGGAGCTACCCAGAGCCTCGTGCACCAGATTATACGACATGGACCATGGTGGCAGGAAAGTGATGATATCAGAAGAAATGTAGGCACGTACGCGCAAACCACCCTTCTTCTTCTTCGCGACGAGTGCGGGCGGGCAGAGGAGCACCTGGTGCCTCATTTTCGTACAAAGGCAGTCTGACATAGCCTCCTTGGCCAAAGGGATTGAGTGATTGTAGTTTGCCAAGGAACGGAGTGGAGGAGTTGGATGTCGTTGGCATAGCGGCGGGCTCTCTGCGGCTCCAGCCCAGCGAGTTCATCGAGTCACGAAAGGATGAGGAGGCCATGGCGAGGGGGGGCAGGAGCGTTACGACCAGAAGCGGCGAGTGGGGAGTTGGTGTGGTGTAGCAGAGGACAGAACAGGCCAGGTCAGGACAGACAGGACGAAACAGGACACTTGGACAGGCTACGACGAGGTGTAGCGTAGCCTAACCGCTGCAGGGGCGTGCGGCAGGGAGCGGGAGAGCGCGTGGGCGTCCTTGGGAAGCGTAACCGTAGCAGCAGCAGAGCTCCGCAACTACCGATTGGAAGGTGGGCGGTGCAGAGTGCAGAGGGTGGTCGAAGGCTGCAGTCCTGACGACGAGGGTGACGAAGGCGAACGAGTTGAGCTTGCTCGTTCTACTGCTGGACTGCAAGAGCGGGATTGCGTGCAGAGTGCAGATGATCGGCGAGCACAAGGCCCAAGTGACTGTCTGTGTCGAAATAGGCACCGCCGGACGAGCTCTTGCTCCTTGTGATTTGGTCGCGCGCAAGCTGTGGCATTCGAGCTCCAACTCGGACAGACGACAGCCTCCACACCGAGCTTCCTCGTTCCAATCATGCACGCACGCTCAAGCCAATCCAGCGCCGGCCCGAGCTAGCGGCCTGATGCTTGGCATGCATACCTACTTTCTGATGTCCATGCTTGCTGCTCTCCGCAACCTCTCCCGGCTCTGCTGCACCACTTGCGCTCGCGCCGCCGTCCGTCACTATTGACTGTGATGAGAGGCGTCGTCGGCCTCGTCCTTCCGGTGTCAAGAGCGTCCTGTTTCTTTACCCGACCCGAGACCATGTCAGCGTAGAAGCGAAGCTATGTTAGATTGCATGCTTGACAAGTCTGTCTTGGGGGCGAGGATCGCTGGATCGCCGCTGTGCTTGTTGCTGATGTTGCTATCGCCGTTTGAGCTTGGGGCAAGCCGCAACGACCTGGCAGATACGAACCAGCTTGCGTGCGAGAGAGCACAGGAGAGGGTGTGTGTAAGTGTGGTGTGTAGGTAGCAGTGTGTGCCAGGCAGGGCCACCCCGACTATGGCTGGCCGCTGCTATCTGTGGCTCAGCAGCAGGTTTTGACGCGCTCAGACGCCGTTTGTACATACATAGATTTAGTCTACGAAGGGCATTCACAAAAATACAAGGCAGGGCGCTCCGGCAATGTGGATCATGTCCTGCACACGAGTCACTCTGTCGTGCCCTAGCGTGAGACGATATCTCGAGTGCAGTCGTCATGGTCGCCCTCCTTTACAGGCCAGAGCCTCAGGGTGCGAGGCGTTTGGACGCATCTGGGGGGTATATATGTGTACCGAGGCCGCCTTTTCCTCGACGGCGCAACACGATCAGTCCCTTTTGGTCAGCTCCATCATCCTGTCGCTCGAGAACCTGCTTGTGCTCGCTTAGACGACAGCCTCTGCTACTTACAAAGTCTTCTGGTACCGCATCCTGCACGCCTCCTTCGCCGCCGCAATACAGTATCAGTACAGACTCTCGTATCCTACTTGCCTCGATCAAAATAAATCAACATCATATTTGATTTTGATTATTCTCCGCGCTGATCGCCGTGGCCCAAGCCCTGCCCGCAAGACGCCCGGGCTACATTTGACCCTTGACCGCCTTGAAACGGGGCCAAGTCTGGAGAAAGCAACGACAGCAAAAGACGGGGTCGTGCTAATTGACTCGACTGACCTTCGCCCTTTCTCCCTTCACTCCACCACCTGCCTTCTATCGTCGCCGACTCACACTCAGCGACGACCTGAAGTACTCATCCCTCCTTCCTCGAGACCACATCTCGGGGNGTTTCTCTCTGACACATTCCTCACCGGCTGACTCGGTCAACTGTCTTGGCACCTTCCCCCGGCGTCAAAGCACCCCGCCGTCCGCCGCTTCCCNNCTGCTCGTGCGAGTGTTCTACTCCACGTCTGCCATATTTCAGTCGCACGGCGTATTGCTGCTGCTGCTCTGCCCCGCCATCCTCCTGTCGCGCCCACCTCAAGCGCAGCAGACACCTTTGCGCTATTGCACCTGCCGCCTTCTCGTTGTTGTCTGCCCTAGCTGCAGACTGAGTCATATCTGCTAGGTGAGTGCTCCCCTACCTACCCTTCTCTTCCTTTTTCTCTTTCCTTCGGTCGGGCATCACGGCCACACTGTACCGCCCGTGTCGCGGTTGCATGCAGCCGCTCTTCTCCATGACAGCAGACATGCCGTCGGGTGGTGATCCGGGTTGAGCCACCTGTCTAGCACCCGTCATGCATTCATGCGCCTGCTGCCTCCGACCCCTCGCTCATATAAACCAAGACGACATCTGCTTCTACACCCATCGTTCCTCTGATGCTAACTATCCTGCACCACAGGCCTGCAGACATCTTGACCGAACATCCCAGAACCGAAATCAGCGACGTCACCTTCCGCGACATCGTCACAGCTGTTGTGCGACACGGCTAACCATTTCACAACTGCTGAGACAAGATCTGACTGGAGCGACTCGACCAACCGAATCGTTCCTTGCAACGCATCCCTTGGCCCTTGAAGCAAACCGTTTCTTGTGCCTGCAGACATCGCGCCTCTCGACATCTGCCTTTGCAACCTTGCTCGACTGCGGCGTTATTCACAGCTGCAGATTATTTGCATAGTCACCACACATTAAAGTGATGCCTATAGTCTGTAAGTGTTCCATGCTCGCTCCCCAATCACATGCTCGTTGCTGCCTCGGGCCCACCCACCATCATGAGCGTTCCCAATTAGGAAAAGAAAGTGCGACTAACGTTCTTGCTTGAATAGCTCCCACATCTTTGACCACCTTCCCACCCTTCGAGACACATCAAGACAACCACAACCCACAGCACGACTCGCCGCTCGAGTTCACCTTCGAGGAACCCTTTGAGTTCGACTCGTTGGCAGTCAAGCCCGAAATGGCTGGTGCTGGCTCTCCATACATCAAATCTGAGCCCACCGATTTCTCCTTCCAATCACACCAATACCATCAGCAGCCACCGGCTTTCAACATGAATTCAAACCACATGCAAAACGGCATGAATGGTGGCGACCATGCCATGGGCAATTCCACCTTCAACTCAGCCTTTGCCCCCCAGAACATGTCATCGAGTTTCAACATGGGAAATTCAGGCCTTGCCGATGATGAGCTACTTGATGGCATCAACATGGACGATGGTCACCACAACATGCAACACGGCCAGTTCAACAACGGCAACATGAACCAACACTTCCTCACTCACGGCAGCATGCCGATGTCCATGGGCCAACAACACCTGAACAGTAACAACAACTTCTACTCATCCACACCTGAGGGTGCCCCTATTCAGTCGCCCTTCGTCAACGACTTCAACTACGGCCAGTTCCGCCCCCAGTACAGTGTACCAACCACAAATGGCTACATGAACGGCCTGAATGCCCCACAGGTTCACCAGATGGAACGTAAGATCTCTGACTCACGCTCACCTGCCACACCAAATACTCCTGGAATTTCCAACCTGCATCTGGGTGAGCCAGAGTATCCTTCGACAACCATGGCTCAGCAACCTCGTGCCATCATGGGACACAGACACAACTCGAGTGTCAACAACTGGGAGAACGTGTCGAACCCCCACTCTTGGCAAGATGTTTCACCTTTTGGCTCGCCATCGAATCCCATGATGCAGCACCAGCAGCACCCTCAGATCACTGAGGTTCTCAAGTCCTCGAACGCAGGTGCCAACGGCAAGATAGCATCGTCGTTGCCCACAAAGATGGAGAACCCTCCTGCTTTCCAAACCCAAGAAGCCAAGCGAAAGCGTAGAAGGGAATCGCACAACCTTGTTGAGCGCAGAAGACGTGACAACATTAACGAACGCATCCAGGATCTCGCTAGCCTCGTTCCTATGCACAGACTGGAGGATGAGAGGGTCCGAAAGCACCTTCAGACGAATGCTCCTCTATCGCCCTCCATCGTAGCTACTGGCATGTCGCCTTCTCAAGCCACATCTTTGTTGGCTGGGGGCAACGGTAGAAGAGCTACTACCACAAATGTGGGAACCGGCTTGCCCATGGACGACAAAGACAAGGGCCCAAACAAAGGTGACATTCTCAACGGAAGCGTCGCCTGGACCAGAGATCTCTTGTGGTACCTGAAGCACACTCTCGACGAAAATGCCGAGCTCAAAGCAAGAGCTCGTGCTCGAGGTGACGACTGGACTGCCACCGTGACCGAAGATGGGAAACGCATGGAGACCGAAGTCCGCGAGCTCATGCAGAAGCTCATTGCTACTGGCAATCTTCAGGACTACAGCAGAGGCCATGGTTCTGGACTTCGAGTCCCTGGTCACACAAATCTTGCTGGCGAGCCCCTTCACGGACAGGAAGGCCAGTCTAACTACGGTCAAAGCCTCAGCCCCGGTTTCCAGAGCGGAAGCGGTGGTATCAGCCCCGTCCAAGGATACTGGCCTTCGACTGATGAACCCGTCTTCAAGGAAGAGGACGAGTTCACCATCAACGACCTCTAAATCTCTCCAGTATCAGCTCGCTAGGCTGATTCTATACGCCGCGTTCGAATAGACAGGGGTTGCACAGAGCAACCCCTAAATGCTTCACAGCATCTTGACCATTTGCTTTTATTTTCTTTCGGCATACCCCATACCCCAAGACTACTGTTTTCTTGCTTCTTGCTCATTTTCCAATGCGCCGTCCTTTCGAGTTTGAACAATTGGCTTCCTTTGCTTTTACACCACGGCATGCACGACAGAGCATATACCACTGCCGTATCCAGGGCTACTCATCAGGCGTTCCGGATTTACATGGCAGCATCATCAGTATCAGTACTGGTCTGCATCAAACACAATGATCGAGCAGAATGAGACCAAACGATCGATGAAACGAGAACGATATATGGCAACTGATTATTACATGCGAGGTTATTCTCATCATTGGGTTCACCACTCTGGGAGGCTTGTACTTGCGATACACATATTTTCCTTATTGTTTTTCGGACGTTACTATGCGAGTGCTTTTGTTTGTTGCTTCTCTTCTATCTACCACTCCGCTTTTCAAGATCTTGTTTTTTTAATGTGGTCAATGTTATCTCAAGCTTCTCTCTCAGTCTCTTGCTATCTCTCTCTCCCCGTTTACCACGCCTACCCTACGCGAGCTTCGGAATGTCTTACTCATCACCCACCCCCCTTGTTCCATTGTTTACCATCTTGAGTGGCTTCCTGTTGCCTTTTGCTCGCTGTGTTCTTACACGACTCTCGGCTTCTTTGCTACTGTGGGCTGTTGGCCACGACTAGACAGATTTGCAGGCAGATATCTAGTTGAACAGCTTTCAGTTGCCATGAATTCAAACCCCTTATCCTCACATGTTGCTCAGCAGAACTCGAAAGTGACTTTTTCGTGCTTTAAATGTGCATACGTAATTATGTTTCATTGTTCATCTTGTGATATTTGAAACTATTGTCATCGTGTCAAAGAAGCCTCCGTTCTGTCTCTTTGCCCGTTGCTGGTGCTTCGGTTGCTTAGGTCTCTGACATCTCTATGCCGTTTCATGTATTCTGACCGGGACTATCTAGTCTCCCTAGGACCTTCTTTCCATCTAGGTGCCTATGACCGAGTTTATACCATTCTGTTAGGCGGGTGTGCAGATCCCCGTTCCAGCATCATTTGTATGATGTATCCGGAACACGCGCGTCATGAACGGTTCCGAGCACAGGAGAGTTGAGCCGTAAACCGATGGCATGGACGGTCTCTGGTAATGTGATAGATCAGAAACTATCGACTGCGTGGCGCAGCCTTCTGTGTTGGCCAGCGGAGAAGGCGAGGTTTGCTGTCTTCAAGATCGATGCTGGAAGGTACAGAGATCGCAATCTCGGGTCCATGGCGCTGATCTGTAACAACTCCCGAAGTGTTGAGTCGTGTGATCGTCATAACAGGAGAATCTCTTTCAACCGTTCTGTGGTCTTTGGCCAAATGCGCGCATGGTGTTACTGATCATGTGTTGAATATCTTCCATACCAGATGTCTCCAATGAGTGCATGAGCTCAGTCTGTTGGGCTTGATCCAGACCAGTTCCAAATTGTGACAAGTCCTGTCCCCAGAAGCTTGGGTTAGCCATCATGTTCTCCGCCGACTGCTGAGCCGGATCTCCTGGTCCATAAAGTGGTGATGAAGCTGGGTAAGATGTCGGNGGTGCAAGTCCACCGCCAGAAGGAGATGGACCGAATGGGCTATACGAGTCAGAACCTCCTCTCTGACCTGGAGATGAGTATTGGCTGCTCCAGTGGGTCTGAGGTAGCTCTTGGAAATTGGCGGGCAGAGGTTGGAAATACGATGATGAGTTGTTAGTCTGTGACGGTGGATACGCGGCTGGCGAAATGTCTGGTCCACTGATTCGAGGGATGGGCTGTGTGGCTTGAGTATTCTGATGGACTGGAGGTGTCACAACGGAATGGTCGGTTGTTTGGTAAGGCATCGGTGGGGGATGTTCAACACTCGTGTTGTGATATGTGCCATACGAAGGGATTCTCTCTGGAGGCGTAGCTATGGAAACAGTCGAAATTGTTCCAGGGCTTGCACCCTGTGAATGGCTGGCATTTGGTGAGTAAGGGTTTCCACCAGGAGAAGCGCTATCAGAAGGTGTAGCTGCTTGAAGAGGAATGTCGCCATCTTTATCATAGGCCTTCAAGATGGCCGAGATAAGATCATGGTACAGTTCAATGGCGGACAAGACACCTGGCCAACGTTCTGAGCCAAGTCTTATGGCTTCCATCGCAGTCTGGAGATGTTTCTGAACGTCCTGTCTGGGGTTTTGCTTGCGCACCTCGGCGAATGACAGCGACCACAACATAGAGTTGATGGCCATGAAGATTGCTTGGGTGAAGATCCATGTTAGATCAACGTTGCCCATTGTTATCTGCTCCCGCTGAAGGTAGATGTTGTAGCGGCAAGCTTCGAAGACCTTCAGAGCAGCTGAGACAGATGGCTTGGGTACTTGCGGAGACGGCCTGTACAGGAAGACAATCATCGTGTGGTATCTGCCAACGAACCAAACCTTATTGAGACCACTGCCTTCGTCCTTAGTAGGACTGGCATCTCTCCAGGATTCGAGTTTTGCATTCATTTGCAAGAACCAAATATCCTTGTCGTCCTTTGGAGTAGCTCGCTTCTTTTGATACAGCTTTCTTCGAATCTCGAGTTGCAACATACGCATTTTGNNGAAGAAATGGATGGCAATCCATTTNTTCAGGTTTGGCCTAGGAGCGCCGGGAAGGATACCTTCGGGNGTGATGTACTCGTCGCTAACAGCTTCGAAGAATTCAACATCGATGTGGTCTTGATGTGTGGCAAGTATGGATGGACGACCGAGGGCATGCGACAAACCGAGTTCCATTACAAAGGTGCACCAAAAGAGGCGGCGACGCATGTCAACCTCGAGATAGTTTGCGGTGCCTCCGGAGGCGGTGCGAGTGATAGTGCGCTCTTCGTTGATGCCTAGGGATTGAGCAAGACGGACGGCAAGGCCCATGACATAGTAGATGGCGGTGCGAGTGGGAGTCAGCAGCGAGTACTCGGCGATCAAAGCGAAAGCTTGCAGGGTCCTCAGATTCATAGGTTGAATGACTGGGGCTAGGTACTGAAGGGCGGCCAGGTAGTAGCTGTCGGCAAGACCGGCGTACTGAGTATCCATCTTNTGCAGACTGATGGCAATGACCATACGCACTATGTAGTTCTGATAGGGGTCCGGGCTGCCGTTGTAGACAACGTCGACGTCTTTGGCGAACGAAGGTTCGTGGAGGGCGGGATACATGGGCTGGACTTTGAGGTTGTATAATTGGATCAGGAGGTCTGTTAGACTGCGATTGGGTAGGTCTTCGGCAGCGACATCACTGGTCAGGGGATAGATCTTGGACGTGGGTTTGGTAGCCTCTTCAGCATAGAGGGCCTTGACCTGGCGAGCCTTGGTCTCGTTGACAATCTCCTTGATGGACTTGGAGTCGGTAAAGTGTTTGGCCAGTTGCATGACCAGGCGGGTGATCTGGGTTCCGCTCGAGGGGCCCAGGTACTTGGTCTCGTCGTGCTCTTGCAGCTTGACGTCGGCACCGCTGCGCACCATGACCTCGGGGTCGTCGTGTCCTTCATCGTTTTCGACCTTCTCGAGCTCGAGTTCGAGTTGGCGCACGCGTTGCTGCAGGTAGATGACATAGTCGCGGTTGACGTTCTTGCCCTTTGCCGGGTCCCAGTACTCGCACACCGAGTTTGTCCGCTCGCAGGGCCCGCAGCGAGGCAGTCCAGGGTCGCATCGTGTCTTGCGCTGTNNGCACTGTTAGTCGCAATTGCTCGCAGCGACGCGGTCCATCGGGCTAGAGCGTACCTGTCGGCAGCGTGAGCATGCGGTCAGCGTGTGAGCCACTCGCGACGAGCTATCGTCGGCCGGTGCGGCGCCGGCGTGGGCGTGTGTGTGGGCGCTGCCTTTGGCTTTGGCCTTGGCTGGCCTTGCTACTGAGGCTTGCATCCTAAGACAGGAAGCAGCCTGTACTGATCCAAGAGGGTGATGAGACTTTCTCGAACAAGGGGTTATCGATCGCTCGGTGCGCCTCATGCCGCACTTGAGCACCGCCCACCTGTAATGCCCTTGTCGAACAGGGCAGATTCGCTTTCTGTGATGCGAGTAATGGATCCACTTCTCAGCTCGCTGCTGTTGCGGGGAGACGCTATCGACCGTGTGCTGTTCAATTAAGGTAATCGACAGGGTCTCAAGCCTCTTGTCACGCCGTCGCCCGTCGATCGTGCTACTGTTCCAAGAGTGGAAATTGCTTTACTTTTCTATCTCGTCCCGAATGCTTTCTGCTTTGTCAGGTTCCAGTGCTTGATCGTGTTCGAGGCCAACAGCATATCAAAGCTGGGAGCAAAGTTATCAAACGATTGCAAATCTAGCAGGGTCGCGTGAAAAAGCCGTTGCAATCTTCCGGAAACTATCCGACATCCGTTCCAGTCTAACCAAGAACACCCATTCCATGAGTCTTGCTGTCTCAACTCTGTGAATTGATTCGCTGTCGCAACAAGAGTGGGAATTAAGCAGTGTGGACAGTGCCAACTCTCGCAGCCCAGCTGCCTCGGTTGTCTGCCTGTCTAGCACGAGAGGGGGGTCTGGAGCTCCAAAGAGCCGCACCCTGCCCAATCCGCTAAGACCGCCCTTCCCTCTCCCTGGTTGCTTACCACCGACGTCCTTGGCCCCAGCCCTGACAGCTGTTTTTGACATTTTCTGCCGCGTTTGGTTCACCAACTCGTTCTCTTTCGTCCGTAAGCCAATTGTCACTTGGTGACTTGCATCATCCTGTTACACGGACTAGCTTCCGTCCATTTCAGCTCGACTCTGTTTCGCTTGCTCCGGCTCTATGCTGACTGAGTCCTGACTGACCACCCAGGCCTGGAAGCCATTCAAGCCACAATCTGATACATCTCGATCCATATGGTTCTCGAGACTCCCTTACTCAGAGTCAGCCGTCCCGTCGCTGCCTGTTCGCGATGTAGGTCTGCGAAGATCAAGTGCGACGGCAAACTTCNNCCGTGAGCTTGTTTCGACCTCTGCTCTGTACGTTGCTAATCCACTTAGGCATGTACCGCGTGTGAGAGATCTGGCAAACAAGCCGAGTGCTCAAGCACCAGCGACCAGTTTGCCAGAGGTAAAGAGCGAAGCTACGTCGCTACTTTGGAAACAAGGATAGAAAAGCTTGAGCGCAGACTGCAAGAGTCTCAACATAGGAAAGCCTCTGTTGTGCCCCCACACAACAACGATGGTGCTGTACAGAGACAAGCTCCTTCCGAAGGGCTCACCAGAACTTCCAAGAGGCTCGAAGCTCAAGAAATCGATGATCTCGTGTCTGACTTTGGCTACCTGTCAGTAAAACCACCCTCATGTGCATTCCACTCATTACTGACAAATCACAGCACTGTAAATGCAACCGCGCGAGATTTCTACGGATTTACATCGAGCATGTCCTATGCTCGCATGGTACTCTCGGCTTGCACCAAGGACACACTCCCTTCTGGTTTTGTGACTCCACTACCGCCTCGAAACGAGGCCATAATCACCATCAGGCATTATTTCGAAAACTTCTTCGTTATGTACCCGTTCTTTGAAGAGTCGAGTTTCTACGCCTCAATCGATGCTGTTTATAACTCGGAGACCTCTAAAACGTCCACAGCAACACCGTTTGACCACTTTTCTGTTAGACTGGTACTAGCAATCGCGCATTCTGGACGAATGGAGCAACGAGGCGACGGCAACTACATGGCGGCAATAGGACATGTTTCTGCTGCCTTGGTCCATGCTGAACACGTTCTTCGTCCTGGATCTATCGCAAGCGTCCAAGCAATGCTGCTGCTACACGAGTATTCTATGATCGATCCTCACCATTTTGACAGTTGGGGCCTTATAGGTGCAGCTTCGCGCGCCATGGTTGACTTGGGCCTACATCAAGATCCTCCTCGAAGCGCTTCTATCTCCAAAGCGAAGCTAGAGCTAAGGAGACGAGTTTTCTGGTGTGTTTACGGTTTCGATCGGTCGACGAGCCTAATCCAATCACGAGCCTTTTCGTTTTCGGACGATTCTACCAACGTTGCACTGCCTTTTTCTGCAGCGCAGACGTTGGTATCGCCAGATGCCAAAGACTCGAACCACATTCTGTTCAAAAGTTTCGGTTCAGCGATTGACCTCTTCAATTTACGACGGATACAGTCAAATTGGTACACCGAGTTATTTCAATCAGGACGAATACCTTTGTCGGACCCTTACCCAATCATATGGCGTTCTTGCGAAGCGATGAGGAACTGGTTCGCTGGACTGTCCCCGAGCATGAGTCCACAAGTTCGCACCTTCTTCGAGCTCAACTTGCTCTACTCCTACATCTATATCCTCGCCGCATCACCACGGATGCCATTTGTTGCACCATTTGCGCAAAGTCTTATCTTTGAGCATTGCATCCAATACGCAGAGAAGATGACATCTCATGCGAATGAGCGCGTCAAGACGGCTCCATTGAGCTTTTACGATGCGATGCGAGTATACATGACTGGTCGTCAGTTTATCGAGGTGTTACAAGGCAACGAAGATAGGCTCTTATCGGGCATCATCCCGGATCCACCACTTGTTCCTGTCGATTCAGCGCCACCGCCGCCAGCACCTCACACACCCCGGGATTTCCAAAAGAACCTCATGCGAAGTATCACCTGCATAAAGCGTCTGACAGATTGTCTTGGGTTGTTCGGATTGCGATGGGGATACATGAGTTGGCGTGATCGCTTCCAACGTGACTCCGAGAGTCTTTTGTCCTCTCTGAACCAGCGTGTATGGAAGAGGCAGGACTCCTCGAACGTCCCTGCTCGACCTGTCTGGAACTTTACCGACTCTATTGGTCCTCTTACGGAGACTGTCATTCCCCCTCCTGGTCCGCATCAACATCTTCAACCGCTTATCACTCCAACCTACCCTCCGGAGTTTCAGCAGAGTACTGAGTTCTATCAATCCCACTACAACAGCGTTACTCCTCAGACACTGCACCAGTATCCAGCATGGCATGGGCATGAGACGCTCGGCCCAATCGGCGACCAGCAAGAGCAGCTTGGCCCAACGCAAGCCCGACCTTATTGAACAGAACATGTTAGATGATAGTCAATATCACAATACTTACTAATTGTCGATAATCCTCAACTTTCCATGTGCAGGCCTTCAAAGATGTGTGGGTCGGCGACTGCAATCGACGAACCATTTCTTATCGGCAAAGATGCTCATGAAACTCTTTCCGAGGCTACTCGAGTAGGCTGAGTGTTAAGACAGGGATCATAGCAATATGATTTCTAACACACCTGATAAAGCACAGCTGCACAGGCAAAATTCTATGGCTGAAGATCAGGCACTTCGAGAAGGGCTGGGGAGTTTTCGGAGAAGCGAACCTCATGATACGGCATGCACAACCTACTTCATGGCAACTCCAGTCCGTTCTAAGCGAATGACTGCCCTGAAGCCAGCGAACCCGGCCGGCATTATCGAAGGCAAAAGGTGCGACAGTGACACTGTGGTAGAGATGGTCTATGCACAATGGCATCAATACGATGATCAGTGACTCCATGCGTCTCCAATAACCTGCTTTCTGAGGTGGGCCGTCGTGGGCGAGCCGCTGCGAGTTCTCTTTCAGAGGGATTATCATGATGATCATTGTGACGCCCTGAAGTGGCTGTGCTTGAGCGCCACAATTACCCCTCTCTGTGGCTAGGATATGGCGAGGCAGGACAACTTCGCATGGTTAATTGTGCTCGTTCATTGGATCATCGCTTACGGGACGGTCTGGCCTTTGATATGCGCGAAGTACCCTGCAGGCCGTCTACGGAGTAATTGACGTCCTGCGCTGTAGGTTCAAGCCATGTGGAAGAGTACTTGTGGAAGCGCGACGTGAAAGACTTCAATGGCTTTCCTCTCGTTCTCGCTTCTGACAATTCACCTCTGACTACAGTCACTATTCCCTCGACCCATCTTCCCACCTTCTANNGATATAACAAAGAGACATCGTCACTGGACTTGTCCACCATCATCACTCAAGTCCGAGCCTACTCGAAATTGTCAATTGCTTTCTTTACACCTTCTTNTTATTGCGTGTTCACCCAAGACAAGGATGAAGACCAAACTGGCTATTGTCTTCCTTGTTGGGATGGCAGCTGCCGACGACCAACCAGCCGGTCTTCTTAATGCTCTCGAAGGCGTAGTCACAGCGGAAACGAGCCAAGTTCAGAATGGAATCCAGTCGCTCCTGTCACAAGCCGACTCCTTGATCAAAAGCAATTACCCCTCGACCACCATAACCGATGTAGCGTCATTGACATGGCCAACAACGGTGGTCATCGGGTCTAAAACCTATACCATTCCTTCGACCGAGTCGACTGAAACCCCAACCTTAACCTCAACCTCGGCTTCTCCAAGCGCTTCATCAGCGATTGCTTCCACAACTGAAAATGCAAGACCGGTCCTGACTTCCACAGCATCGATTGTACCCTCAAGCGCGGCTTCTGCATCGTCATCATCGTCATTATCAAACACGTCCTCACAGAAGCATGATCCATGGGACAAACGATTGGGTATCGTCCTTGGCGTGGTTTTAGGATCGATTGCTCTTGCTGTTGGTGCATTCCTCATCTGGTTCTTGCATCGCCGTCGTAAAAACACAGGAAGCTTCTTCAAGAGAAGGCCATCAAGTCCTTCGGACAACGAAGTCTTCTCTTGGCGCAATAATGCAGAAGCTGAGAAGTACGGCAATCTGGATGCACCACCATTACTCCAACCGTCGATGGCCGCTCGTGGTGCCTACACAACCAGAAGTCAGATCAACGGCAATGACGACATGCACCTTGGCTATGGTTACGGACCTGATGAGCACAGTGGACCTGCTGAGCTATCGGCTGAACGATCTGATCGTGGGTCTTTCCAAGAGACAACACGCCGAGATGACCGACCACCCACCCCCTTCTCTCCAGAATCGTTTGCTCCAGTGGCCGCTAGCCCTGTCAGTCCGATCGAGCAAGAGCCCCAACGCCGGCGCAGCAGTGGCTTTTGGCCTCCACGAGGCAGCTCAGAAGGATATCGTAACCTTGAGTCCCCATACATGCCACATCAGCCGTCACTTGCAGCTCTGGCTAGTTCAGTAGCTCAGGACTACCCTCATCCCTACTACCAGAATCCATTTGCAAGCAGCGAAGACTATGATGAGGACGCATATGAAGACTCTTATCACGATCCTCGAAGACATCTGAGTCCAACGCCTGATATTCCCTCGCGTAGCCCTAGGCGCCAAAGCTCGCCGAAAGTTTTTTATCCCAGCTCAGATGAATTGGGCAGATTCAACTTTGGCACAGAAGTAGGTAGAGAGCACAGGCCAAGCGAACTTGGAGCTTGAAAGTTGTTGTACATGTCTCATGGTGTTCGGATTTGGATCAGTATTCAGTTTGTTGCAGAGTTGTCCTGGATACCCCTATAGCACCCTCATTATACTTTCTCATGAACCTTGCTGGCTTCCACTGACTTCCGATTTCAAATTTTATCACTCGTTTGGTGAAAACAGCAGCCATACTGAGAATATTTTCGGACACAGGTTGGCTTTGGAAGAAGAATGATGTGGCGTTATGCAGGAGGATTGGAAGGAATATCGAATCCTTAGCTAGCTAAAAGTGTCCCCGTGTGCTAAAGGCTGTCACAACATCGCAACCGATTCCCGTCTCCATGCCGAGGTATAAGGACAATGTGAGCTGTTCAAACACAGTTGTGTTCTAGAATTAAGCTTGTCCACTGAGATCTCTTTAATGAGGTGTTCCTGTGGAAGTCACATTCTTTACAAAAGATTTGTGCATTTCTCCAGCTGCACAGTGACAGTCTTTAGCATATGGGGAGGCTAGAGCTCATAAGGTTTCGCATAGTTTGCGAGAAGGGTTCATACAACGGTTGGCGTTGAATTAGAAGCAGCACAATGTAGGTGTCGAGAAGAGCGTAATCAAAGAGGAATATTCATGTGCGAGTTTGCAGTAAAAGGGCAGTCTGAAACACGAGCGAAACAGAGAATTGTTCAAAGGAGTGATATAAAGGTGTCTCTTTGTTCGCCGAGTGGGGGTGAATGTGGAAGGCACGTCATTTGATGGCGGAAAGCGGCGTTCTCGACTGGCGCAAGCCCTTCACGCCGAAGGACGTTCGACTGTCCAGTGGCCCCCTTCTCCTCCAACACCACACACCTCTTGCAATTCTTCTTGTCGCTAAGCAGACGCGTCAAGACACGAACATCTGAAGCTCTTGAGACGCGGTATTGCTTGTTGATTGTCACCTATTGTTCAGAGACAACGCACCTGCAGTCTTCTGCCGGCCCCGCTTACAGAACCTACTCCACACACACACGCACACTCACTCTCAGCTACCCATCCAAAGCCATCCTCGAACTCACGGCGCACTTTGCTCCAACATCCGCCAAACTCTTTTAATCGCCCACCTCCGTCCAATCTCGACCTCCGCGATCCATCATGGGTCAAACCCTTTCCGAGCCCGTTGTGGAAAGGTACGTGTCGCTTGCTCGTCACAAGACCTCCTGCCCTGTCTCGCCTGCCTACAAATTCGCCCACGCAGCGCCCTTCTACTGCTGCTGTGCGCTTACTGACTTTGACCGCTAACATATTGTGTCACTTTCAGCACTCGGGTAGCGGACAAGATGACCGCATCTTCTACGGAATCTCATGCATGCAGGGATGGCGCATCAGCATGGAGGACGCCCATGCCACTATCCTCGACCTGCAACCTCTCGAAGGCGACGATCTGAAGCCTGCCGCATCCGACGTTCGCATCAGCTTTTTCGGTGTCTATGACGGCCACGGTGGAGACAAGGTCGCGCTCTACACTGGCGAAAATCTGCACAAAATCATCGCAAAGCAGGAAGCCTTCAAGAACAAGGATTTTGAGCAAGCCCTCAAAGACGGTTTCCTGGCCATTGACAGGGCCATTCTGAGCGGTTAGTCAAGCCACGCGCAAGCGCCTGCTAGCCCGTCCAGCTGCTGACTGTACCCTANNGACCCAAGATATGAGGAGGAAGTTTCTGGATGTACCGCCACCGTTGGCATTGTGACTCACGACAAGATCTACGTTGTATGTTGGCATATCTTCCTCACTGGAAAGCGCTTTACTGACCAGCCAGNNGGCAACGCTGGTGACTCCAGAACTGTTCTTGGTGTCAAGGGCAGAGCGAAGCCTCTCTCCTTTGACCACAAGCCTCAGAACGAGGGTGNNCGTCTTGGGTTTCTGACTTTAAGTTTTAGAACATGCTGACCCTCGAGTAGGTGAGAAGGCAGAATTTGCGCCGCCGGCGGCTTTGTCGACTTCGGTCGTGTCAACGGCAACCTCGCCCTCTCCCGTGCCATCGGTGATTTCGAGTTCAAGAAGAGCGCCGACCTTCCTCCTGAGCAGCAAATCGTTACCGCTTACCCCGACGTGACTGTTCACGACCTTTCTGACGATGACGAGTTCATTGTGCTTGCATGTGACGGTCAGTAATGGATGCAAAGCACTACAGGATACACAAGTTCTGACTCTTCATCTACAGGTATCTGGGACTGCCAGTCTTCGCAAGCCGTTATCGAGTTCGTCCGCCGTGGTATTGCAGCTAAGCAGGAGCTGTCTGCCATCTGTGAAAATATGATGGACAACTGCCTGGCCTCGAACAGCGAGACCGGTGGTGTGGGCTGCGACAACATGACTATTTCGGTTGTTGCTTTGCTCAATGGCAAGACCAAGGAAGAGTGGTACCAAATGATTGCGGACAGAGTCGCAAACGGTGACGGACCCTGCGCACCCCCAGAGTACGGTCAGTCGTAACACCTTCTTCCCCTTTCAACCCTTGCCCATTTATAGCATTCTCTTGCATCCCTTTGTTTTCCGAGTTTCCTTGTTTATTAGCGCTATATGCCTGCGGATACCCATCTCAAAAGGGGAGCTTGACAACTCCTGTCTGCATACCATGCACATCCATCAATGCAGCCTCCATGGTGACGAGCCCTTGTCTAATACGAATGCCATTGTACAGCCGAATTCAAGGGACCTGGTGTGCACCACCGCTTTGACAACGACAGCCCGGATGAGTACGATATGGACATGGAGCAACGTTCGCGCATGCTTAGCGGACACCCCGGTCGCGTCATCCTGCTTGGTGATGGCACGGAAATCATGACGGATTCTGGAGAGAACGACACAGACATGTTCGACCAGAGCGATGATGAGGAGAAAGACCTCGCCAGCCAGGTCAGCAAGGGACAGGACGAGGGCAAGAACGGATCACAAGAACAAGGTACTGGAGAGACGAAAACGCCCGCAGAGCCCAAGATGGGTGGTGTTCAGGATTCGGCATAAATCTGGATAAGAACCACAGATGATTCAGGACATGGATATGACGATACAAGCTTCTTTTTTCTTCTTCCCAGATTCAAGCCCCAGGGGATATTCTCGTTCTTGAATGCATAAAGAGGCAGAGGTAGAGAGACAGAACGGAGTGTTTGATAATGCAAGAGCCAATCAAAAGCGTTAATGTCTACATGAGGGGCAACTTGCAAGAGTTCAGAAACCTGTAATTTCGCAAAAGTCTCAGCGTCACTTGATGGCGGAGCAGTGAGATGAGAGAGAAGTGACGGAAACCTGAAAGGCTGGTGGACCGTGCGTGCGTTGGTTGGCGGAGCTCGGACGTTCAGGCTGATTGCGGAGGGAGTTGGAAGTTGGTCGTCACCTTTACCTGAAGTCGTTCACCCTGTCGCTGCTTCTCTTCTGCGCGCTCCTTGTCGATCTCCACCGGCAAGTCAAGTAGTTGTCACTCCAATTCCACAACGCAATGGCTCCCAAACGCAAGCGGGCTGGTACCGTAGGCTCCAATGTCGCTGTCGAAACAAACAACGATCTTCCCCAGCCTTTATCCCAGGACGCGTCCAAAGAGGACACCACCACTCAACAAACTCCCCAGACCCTCAAGACATCAAAATCCGAAGACAATGACCAAGACCTGCCTAACAAGCGATCTCGCTCAGAAAACCACACTCAGGACGATGAAGACGAGGAGAAAGACCTTGGTGTCAATGGTGAAGCTGGCACCATGAAGATGGAAGCTCCTCCCAAGGCTGGCCTGGTTGATCCTGTCGGCTACAAGACCAATCCTCCTCCTGAAGGTCGCCCTGTGCGCATCTATGCCGATGGTGTCTTTGACTTGTTCCACATGNGGGTACGCAGCTTGTTCCCATACCATTCCCAGAGCAGCTTGTTAACAGAACCTAGACACATGCGCCAGCTCCAACAAGCCAAGACCGCCTTCCCCAACGTTCATCTTCTCGTCGGTGTCACTGGTGACAAAGAGACCCATCGCCGCAAGGGTCTGACCGTGCTGAGCGGAAAGGAACGCGCCGAGACCGTAAGACACTGCAAATGGGTGGACGAAGTCATAGAAGACTGCCCCTGGATTGTCGATGTCGAGTTCCTCGAGAAGCACGAGATTGACTATGTCGCTCACGATGATATCCCCTACGGCGCCGACGAGGGTGACGACATCTACAAGCCGGTCAAGGAAAAGGGCATGTTCCTGGTTACACAGCGCACTGAGGGTGTCAGCACCACTGGAATCATCACAAAGTAAGGACAAGACAAGTCACCATGACGAAGGCGCGCTGCTGACTTCTGTGCACAGGNNATCGTCAGAGACTACGAACAATACATCGCGCGTCAGCTCAAGCGTGGCACCACTCGCCAAGAGCTCAACGTATCGTGGCTCAAGAAGAACGAGCTCGACATCAAGCGCCACGTCGCCGAGCTGCGCGACTCGATCCGCACCAATTGGACCGCAACTGGTCAAGAGCTTGGCAGAGATCTCAGACAATTCTGGCAGCCCAGCAGACCCAGCAGCCCGGCTCGCGGCCTCTCGACTCCTGATCGCCTTGGTTATAACTTGCGCCAGGGCGCTTCAAGAGGCAGCAACAGCGACTTTGCTGCTGGATACACAATGGGCCTTCTCGGCAGCGTTCGCAGCTGGGTAAATCCCCGCAAGGTCACCTCTTCTAACGACAGCTCAACTGACCCTCATGCAGNNATGCAACGCAACCGTAGAACCCTCAGCGATGGCAGACCTGATAGTCCCGACAGCGGCGAGGACAGTTCTGACTTGAGAAGCCCTGCCGACCCGGCTAGAGGCCGCGCCGGCAAGCACGTTCAAGACGAAGTGGATGCACAGTTCACCCACGAGATGAACTAGCCAGCCTTGTACGTACGACCATTTCCTGCTGCAGAGGTCCAAAACCTTTCTCACGACCGACATACTTAAAGAGATTCCCCTTGTATAACAGCCCACTCAAAATCCTAGTTCCAAAATCCTGATTCTTTATTCTATTTTCGCTCATGCTTGCACGTGAAAAGCATGTGCCACCTTCTGTTACTGCTGGCTTTCATTTTATAATAATGCTGGATTTACTTTCGTTTCATTACCAGAGCTGCTCCTATGTTTCCGTCGGCACATGTGCTTGATCAAGATGGAGCTAAGTCAAGCTTTTGGGAGTGTTGCAACACCATAGGCTGCGTGGTCGTCCTTTGCGCTGTTGATGCTGCGCTGTTCGGGCTTTGACGAGTATTGTACTACAGTTGGGTCGAGTTGAATAAGAACCTGGCCAACACCCAGCATGGAGTCGACATTCACAGCTCACGCGCATCAAGACTCACATTCACAGATCATTCGCGTCTTCAGCAACTGACCATGCCCTGCCTCAGGCAACGAACCAGCTTTCCAAGAACTCCTTCTCCAACAGCATCCATCGATCACATGGACGCTGACCCAATACCTGATATCAACAACATGCCTGCCAGTGACGATCAGGAGATGTCTGAGCAGCAAGAAAATGGCGATCTTATCCAGCAAGGCATGTCACAAGAAGAGCGAGAGGCTTATGACCTGGAAACCCAAGGCTACTGCATCACCAGCTGGAAACAAGTCTGCCGCGCCGGAGAAGTAGCAAAAGCACGACGTGAGCGAGCAGAGAGACAGCAACAGCAAAAAACCGATATACTCGCATACCACAATCGCCACAAAGAACGCAACAAAGATCGCGTCATCCAAAAGAAGAGCTGCGAGATCCAGGACTTGTGTGCACGCATCNCAAGAATTGAAGCGCGAGAATCAGCAGGAGATCGAGCGCATCACTCAGCAGAAACAACGCGAGATTGAGAAGAAGAATCTCGAGATCCAAGGGCAGTACTTGAAGATTGCTGCGTTGAATACGGCTCAGAAAGAGATGAAGCGGAAGTATCAGGAAGAGGTGGAGAGCCATGAANNCAGATGCAAGCGCTTTTGCTGGCAGACCTTCGTGAATGGTGTCAGGTTAATGATGAAGAGGTTGAGACGTTGAAGGAGACTATCGATCGTCAAGGTAAGTGGGCTCCGCTCATAACTTCAGTCGTACCTTCCACGATTGCTGACCATACTTGCCAGNCACTCCCACCTGCCTACGCCGACACCAACAAACAAGTTCACATCCCCAAAGTTACAGATGGTGGTCCCGCAGATGCCCGAACCGTCATCTCCTCAGCCATCACCTCCCTCCACGAAACCATCGCCGACCCCGTACCTTCTCGACACACAAACCCTCTCATTCGTGTGGCTAACAGTCTTCGCGCCTCTCTTTCTCTCATCAAACGCGGCCACAAACTCAAGCTCTGGCCGCGATCAACCATTGCTTTGGCTCTACATGCCGTACACGAGTGCGTCGACCGTGTCGTCATGTACCTCTCCCTGCACCCAGAGCTCTACGCCTCCTTACCCTTGGCACCACGCTTTCTATCCCGTTTGCCAGCAATTGCCAAACGCGCACACTCCGCACTCCGAAAAGCATTCGCTGCCGCCGATGCCTTAGCCCTCGAGTTGTGTTCTCTACACTTTGCTTCTGGAGGCCGAAGGGCTCAATTAACTGGTTTTGCCTCTCGGTCGATTGTTGCTACATCACCAAACTCGATGCAGGACTCCAATGACGATTTTCTGGATTTGCAGTTTTGGAAANAGAGGTTTGAGGATGTGAAGGCAGAGGCACTGGAGTGGAAGGAGGAGGTTGGTGTTGTGGTGTTTCATGAGACGGTTACTTGGTTGGAGCACACAATCTTGTCGACTATTTGATTGCTTTTGCCCTTTTCTTTGGAGAGGAGAGTGGCTTTTGATGTGGTTTTTTGCTTTCTATGGCTTTGGACCTGGATTGGGCGTAGAGGAATGTCTGTCGTCCGCGCTTTTCTTGTCGTTTCCTTGGTCGGCCTTGATGTTGAAGGCCACAAAGGCAGACCGCAGTTGTTCTGACATTTGGAGTCTGAAGTATTCGATGGAGCTTTTCGCTGATAGCCGAGGTATGATGACTTGCCTTTCGTTCCCAGTGCATACTTGATTGACGTACTCATAGACAACTAATAGTCATGACCTAGCTGTGTACAAATCTTTTGATCTTGTCACTTGTATACCGACGGCTCAAACAATGACTGCACGAGTAATAATGTGCGAAATTCTCTCGCTCCATGTACAGATCTCGGTTCTACTGTCTCGACCAAATCTACTTGAGTAGCTCGTAATATGTGCTGCGTCGATGCCTTTACTGGACTTCTGCTATTCTCATCCATGCACTCAACCTTGTAAAAAAACAATAATCTCCATCATTCTTCGTAGCTATGTAGCTCCTTCATCTGGGTATAGTGCTGTGCAGAAAACAATATCGTAGCGCAAAGTGAGCGTAGCTCAAACGTCTGTCAAGTCGATAGTGTCGATGCCCGTGTCTGTATCTGTGGAGACTTTGGGTTGTTTGTTAGGTGGACGGGAGGAGATTACGGTCAGATCGTCGTCGCTTCCATCATATTCGATGCGCTCTCTCTTGAGCTCTTGCTTGATCGCAACCTGCTCTTCCTGGCGAGACTGTACAAATTAGTACGAATACGAGTTTGTCTCTTCCGTCCTGGATAGTAAATATACCTTCTGTCTGCGCAAGAGTTCGAGGAGCTCTTCTCTCGTAAGGTCTCCTTCAGGTCTATCCTCGATGGAGACAGGACTGGGGCTTCTTGGTATGAGATAAAGGATTTGCAAGTCCNNTCTGTCAGAATTAGTACTGCACTTGATTACCTTGTAAGCGGACTTACTACGCGAACGGTATCGGAAGCTGAAAACCGCAAATTCATCGCCCAGATTGCGGATATTGGCAGACCGAGCGCCAACAAGTGGAATCGCTTCCTCTAGTNNCTGTAGAAGTCACTTAACGCGCACGTTAACGATGGGACGCGTGTGGACTGACTTGGCTTGCTGAGAAATAGCTTGTCCTTTGAGATGCTTCTCATGGATGTTTTCATGAGCGTTGTTTGTCTTGACACGATCAGGGCCGTTGTTGAGATAGCCTCCTTGTACATGGGAAAAGTACAGTTTGACGGTGATCATGCCCAAATCTTCAAGCTCTGGTCTTGGTTTATTGTATTCTGCATCCTCGNNGCTGGCGAATGTGTGTTAGCAATGTGACAGAAAGGACAGATCGAACATACACGTGATAAGGTCACTAAACATGAACTTTCGCTGGAGCCAGATTCCGCCTTCTCTGTAGGAAGCGCCAGGGAGTACAGAGACAGCGTGGCCACGCAGAGGGAATTCATACACACAGCTGGCGACTAGTTGACCATCAAGGTGATAGTCTGCTGAGATGGAATTGCCGCGTTTGAGGTGCCTGCGTTCCATGCCAGTGAGATCAACACGTATGCCGAAGTGAGAGCCAGAGACGGATTCAACATATTTGACAGTGCTGTTGGAGGTAACGGATTCCTCATCGTCTTCATCGAGGTACTCAGGNAGTGGTTGTCCATCAACCACAATGTCCACAACGACGTGCGGAACGTCTGGGATGATGGCCATGACGGCGGTGATGGATGTAACGACTAGAGACGCAAAAGTGGAAGAGCTTGTCAGAGAGATGAAGGACAGAAACTTGGTTGACGCGGCGGATTGGCGCGCCGTCCAAAGCTGTGTTGGACAGTGATCGAAGAGGAAGTCACGAAGGTCGGCTAGCCGAGAGCAACCACCCTTCGTGGCTTCCTGAAGGCGAGAGGCGAATGACCAGTCGGAACGCTAATCAGAAGAGGCAACTGTAAGACTTTAGTCTGTTGATTTGATTGTAAATTTGGTCGAGTTTTTAGGACATTTGTGTTATGCACAGCCCTCTTGAGTGTGTTCTATCTAAGACCTTGCCTTGCCTTTCGCCGAAAACCACTTCGCAAATAAGAACGCCTCGCAATGCTATCATCATGGCTGCTAGTGACAAGTAAGGTGGGTGAAAATGCAGCTTAATGTGTGAGAACAAATGAAACGAAAGAAGGGAAAAGCAAAAAAGAAGGGCAGTCGTGTCCCACAGGGTATCTTGAAGCTCATAAAACCAGTCTCGCAGCTGTCTCACCAACGTCCGACGCCGACAGAAACATCAGGACCATATGTACCAGACAGAATTTGCTGTCTGATGGCAGCACGCTCGTCAAAGTTGGAGGGTGTGGTGCCGCCAGCAGTTGGGCCGTTCAGGTAGGTGACGTTGGCACGCAATTCGTTGACAGCGTCTTGCAGCCTACCGCCAGAATCTTCGTTGTGCTTGAGAAGCTTCTGGTCCCAACCAGCGTATTGCAAGTGGAAACCACCGCCTCTCTTGGCACTCTCACGGATGGCCAGAGCCCAGGCCTGAGCGAGTTCGTCATATGCTTCGAATTTAGCATGGTTGTGTTGGAAGGTGTCCCATGTGGGAAGGCGATGGATGATCTGAGTTACGGCATCGAGATACTGGAGCGAGAGTGTGGGTTGAGGTTCATTTGGAGGGAGGAAGTGGGGAGTAAAGTCCTTGAGAGCTTCGATAAGCTGCAGCATGGGCTGACGGACTCGGTTGTAGGTGTAGTCGGAAGAGGGGCGGTTGCCGAAGGGGAAAGACTCTTTGAAGGTGGTCTCGTACTTTTGCAGGACGGAAAGAGTCGACTCGATACTAGGACGGGGAGCTTTGGTGACGACCTCGTGTGCGATTGCGGGGTTCTGGTCGCAGATGTTTTGTAGGAGATTTCTCATTTCATCAGGAGAAAGAGTTTCGAGAAGACGAGGCAGGTCAAGCGGACGACCAGCGGCGACGACGGTACGGCTTCTCTTGGTAGATCGTGCGGCGGGGAAGAGCTGGCGACTGGTGACGGCGGGCGAGTTGGTAGGCGAGGCCGACATACGGTCATCCAGGTCATCTTCGCTGGCCTTGCGTTTCCGGCTGGACATTCTGTCGCTGCCGAAGCCCTCTGTNGGGTAGTGTTAGTATGTGTGAGGTCGAAGGCGGTATGACGCAGTACCTGGGCGCGAGGGAGATGGTCGAGGAGTTCCAAGGAGGTGAGGAGCGAACAGTGGGTTCGAGGCGATGACGGAGTTCATTGCGTTTGTAGGAGATGAGTTGCTTGTGTTGGATGTTCACACAAATAGCGCACCACACAAATGCGTTAGATGTGTGAAAGCAAAGTCGGTTGGTCGGTCGTCTTGAAAGATTCTGGAATGACTTCGACCGCGACGCTCGGATCACAAAGACCGACGACCAAGACTGGTGGTCATGTGTCTGCCAGTCATCACCATTTTAACCACGCACTCTCAGACATCTGCTGTCCAATGACATGTCATGCTTGTGACCGAGTCTTCGTCGTCATTTGATCTACCTATCTACACATGCTTGACTCAAAATCAAGCTCTTGCTGATTCTCATCTGCAATCATATGTCTCCGCTCGTTGAACCGACAACAACAAGAACGCCCGCCGCCCCGTGCTTTTTACCGCCAACTCATGCCCAAACTCCATAAGAAAAGAAACACCCCTATGCAATTGTGTCGTCTCCTTACAAGTACAGCGATTGTGCTGCCACGATATCACGTCTCACCTTTGTGAGCGCTGTCTCAAACTTCTGTTCGAGCTCCTCACTTCCCATGACCTTCGAAGCCTGTGCCATTTGTCGCAAAAGCTCCTCGAGGCGTCTGAAGAGACGGATCAGACTGCCTTCGTACACGTCGGTCATTTTGCTGNNTAAAAAACATTAGCATGTGTAAATCAAGTGTTTTGCCGAAAGAACTTACCAAATCTCGGCAAAGGTTGCACCGTTGCACCATTTGTAGACAACCTCCATGAGCTGGTATTTGAACCCATCCACGTACTCATCCTCATTGACAGCCAGCTTGCTCTCCTGTGAGATCTTAGCTACAGTGCGTGCTTGGGCTTGGATCTCGCGGAAGGGCTTCGCGAGCTCCTCCTTCAATGTTGGTGTCTCGTTGCTCTTCTCCTCAAAGATGAAACAACTGAGGGCAGCCGCGCATTGTTCGGGGGTAAGTTCGTTGAAGAAGCGGTTGAAGAGCAGCTCACTGAGCACCAATTCATCACCAGTGCTAATCTCACAGGCGACGCGAGCCTTGAGCTGCACCACGTCTGCTTCGTTGATGAAGCCCAAGCGGCGAAGAACTCTTCGTCTGTGCTTGAGCTCCTCCATTTGCAAAACAGACATAGCATCACTAATCTGCTTTCTGACCTCCTTGATCTTGTTGCCAAGCTGAACCTTGTGCTCGTACTGGGTGTGAAGAGCTGCCAGTCTGGGCGAGTTGTGCAGAGGATTCGAAAGCAATCTTGATTCGAGAATCTCAATTTTCTACGTCTTTGTCAGTACTGGTAACGTTCAGGAACTTTCTCTTTGACCTACGCGAAGCAACTTCTTGAAACCCTCATCTGTGATGCCCATGTTCTCAACGGGATCAAGGATAGCAATACCGTCAGGGAACCTTCTCTTCACCTCTTCCAGTCCCTTGCGAACGTTGTTTCTCTGTTCGGGTGATCTCAGATCTGTAGGCAGGAAGATTCTGAGATGGCCAATCGCGTCGACAGTGGAAAGCAACACCGGTACGACTTCCATCTTACCCTTCTCACCTGCCACAGGAGGTCGAACGCCAGGAGGAAGCTCGTCGTTGTTCTTGTTAGCAGGCACAGTAACATCGCTAGCAACCTGAAGCAGAACGTCCACAACGTATGAGCTGGAGTTAGGAGGGTCCTGCACGGGTTGACCCTTGGGAGGACGGCATTTGGCGAAGTTAACGACAGCACCCCAACCGAAGTCATGATCGTTGTGCTTGATTCTGACCAGTCTTCCAGATTGAAGGAATTGAAGGCAGTGCTGAGGGTGGTTCACAACGTCGCGCATATCCTTTGCATAGTTGTTAAGCTGAGTTCGTAGGTCGTAGTAGTCCTTAATCGTCGGCTCGTCTTCGATACTCATGTGGTTTCTCTCCTGCTCCAGCTCTAGCAATTGCTTCTCTAGTCCGGCGACACTGGCAGTGTTCTGAAACTGGTAGAAACATCTCTCAAGCATGAACTCGGGTGAGATACCCTCGACACGCATCAGGTTGAGAATCATGTTGTAACCGAGATAGAAGGCTGAGTTGAGCTTATCTTGCTCACCACGAACAACTTCTTTCGCAACTGCTGGCTCCATTTTCTCGTCAATCATCATGATGACGATACCACGTTCATCAAGACCTCTTCTACCAGCACGTCCAGACATCTGAATGAACTCGGATGGCGTAACCCAACGCTCGGCGACACCATCGAACTTGCGTACACTGGTGAAGACAACAGTCTTGGCAGGCATGTTCAGACCAATCGAGAATGTCTCGGTAGCGAACAGAACCTTGATCAAACCTTCTTGGAAGAGAATCTCAATAGTCTCCTTCAGAATAGGAAGAAGACCAGAATGATGGATACCAATACCTCTGCGCAAGAGAGGCAACAAGTGCTGAATTTGAGGCAATTCGCGGTCCTCTGGACTGAGCATTTCAATGGCACTCTCGAAGACTTTCTTTACCATTGCCTTTTCATTGTCGTCGTTGAAGGCCAGTTGACTCATTTGAAGAGCGTAGTTCTCGCAGTCGCGCTTGCTGAAACTGAATACGATAACGGGGTTGTAGTTCTTCATCATGATCATCTTGACGATCTTGTAGATGTCCGAAGGACCTTCCTTCCTGCCACCCTTGTTCACCTTCTTGTCCTTGCCCTTGCCTCTTCGTTTTGCCATAGGATCGGAGCCATCGTCTCCAGCCTTGTCGGCAATGGTTGCCATAGCCTTCTGGAAGTTCTCCTCGCGGAAAGTACCCTTCTCGTCAACAACAAGGTGAATACCTTCTGCACCAGCAGGGAAGAGATAGTGTTGCAGGGGAGTAGGTCGGAAATCAGTGTAGACGACGTGGCAGGGTTGGTTGTGAGTTTTAGTGATCCATTCGGCGAATTGCATTGAGTTGGGAATGGTAGCGGAAAGGAAGACGTAGTGGACCTTGTCTGGCAANAGGATGATGGTCTCCTCCCAAACGACACCACGAGATTTGTCGCGGAGATAGTGGACTTCGTCGAAGATGACCCAGGCAACTTCTCGCATGATTTCGGAACCTCTGTACAGCATAGAACGCAGAATCTCGGTAGTCATGACGAGACAAGTGGCTGTAGGGTTAATAGTAACATCTCCAGTCATGAGACCAACATCGCCAAACTCGGCCTGAAACTCTCTGAACTTTTGATTACTCAAGGCCTTGATGGGACTGGTGTAGATGACTCTCTGGTTCTCGCGCAGACATTGAGCGACTGCATACTCGGCAACGACAGTCTTTCCGGCACTGGTGTGAGCTGAGACCAAAACACTCTCGTTTCTTTCAATACTGGCGATCGAGACTTGCTGGAAAGGATCGAGAGTGAAGGGATATGTTTTGGCGGGACCATTTGGTGGAGGCTTGTGTTGCGAAATAGGAATGTAATCGTAGTCCGGAGGAAGGGCGACTTGATGGCGAACTTGATGGGAGAGAACGACGTTTGCCTCGTCCTTTGAGGCCTGGAGACCAGCGGCAGCAGCAACTTCTCTGGATTGTTCGGTTTCGAAAGAGTCGGTCACGACCGGGGCGGGTTCGTCGCGTTTCTGGCGCTTGGACTCGGAGGCGGCGGCGGGAGTCTCGGACTCGGCAGGGACTGGGACACCGTGGTCTTCATCATTAGCGTCGGCGGCGGGAGTGGCAGTGTCCTGGTTTACGGAAGTGGGTTCTGGGGTCTTGACATGGCCATTGGCAGAGCGCTTCTTGGTTGGTTTATCGTTTGTGACATCTGGATTTTTGGATGGCGGAGCGTCATCGAAGACGTCGAACAAGTCGTCCATGGTGGGCTCACGAACGGAGGCGACGGTAGCGATGGGTTGCTATTGCGACTGGACTGAATGAAAAAGTCGAGCTTTGGATGCGATAGATGCGCTATGGCGGCAAGAGCTGCACGCATCGTGATTGGCTGCATGACGCGCCTTCCGCACTTTCGCCGGGCCTGCCTGACGGCCGCTGAGCGTCGGTGTCGGGTGAGCAGAGCAATTGATCTCTCCAGCATCTCCACTCAATCACACACCCCATCACCGTACGTCGAGCCCTCCAGTTGCTCCAGAACCTCTCAATTGACGAGCGCCGTCCAGATGTTGTCCAGATCCGCCATGCGCATGCCCACTGTGGCCAACCAGATCGTCGCCCGCCGTGGCTTCTCCTCGACCCGCATGCAACTTGCCAGTCCCTACCACTACCCCGAGGGCCCTCGTAGCAACTTGCCTTTCAACCCCTTGACCAGATTCTTCGCCGTCAGATACTGGGGCTTCATGGGTGAGCCTCAATTCAGAGAGCCATAGCATCGTTCTTAAAACTAACATCCTTCTCAGNCCGCTGGTTTCTTCCTTCCCTTCGGTGTTGCTGGTAAATCAATCGTCCCAAATACCCCCCTCTTCCATCGTCCGAGTACTCACATTTCAAACAGTCTGGCAGACCATGAAGAACCAATAGACGTATCGCGGTGGATGGACTACATACATTGGCCTGGCTTCGAAGCTACTCTCAAGACGCTGGCCCGTCCCGTCGGATGTATATAATAGTGACTCTGAATCCCGAACACGTCTTTGACTCGTTTTTGTGCATCCCAATCCATCTTTCGTGCTTGTTCCGACGTGCGTGTCGTGACATCCATCTGAGCTTGACGCTCGCAGCTGCTCTCGGCATGAAAAGCGCGCTAGCTCCGGCTCCCAGAATTTTTTGAAGCTGCTGACCATCAATTGTACATTCAATGCTCGTAACATAACACATCAAATCATGCGAAACCTACGAAATTCGAGGCACTCTCTCGTCGAGTTCCCCACGGACTCTCTGCCACCAACTGCTACTACTTGGGATCCCGCTACCGATGGCATTATTGCCGCGTTTGGTCCTTCATCTTCTAGTCCGGTCATCGAACTCAGACGCCTAGCCAAGGATTGCTATTCTGCTCATGATGCAAAGCAAATTGCTTCATGGGATGCTCCCAGCCCTTTGCCAGATATCCCTGTAGACAGTATTTTGTCGTTACAATATTTCGCCGACACTGCTACTATTTGCTTGATCTTGGCTGGTGGCGATATTGTCATTGTCAGAGAAGAGCCGCTGCCCGGAGAGGATCTTATCGAAATTGTTGGCTCAGTCGATGAAGGCATTGCTGCAGCTGCATGGTCACCCGACGAGGAATTGCTGGCAATTAGCACTCGCGCCAATACTTTGATTCTCATGACCCGCGATTTCGAGAGTATCGCCAACGTCACTCTCTCTCCTGAAGATGTTCAAGTTTCCGCTCATGTCTCCGTTGGCTGGGGAAAACGCGAGACACAATTTCAAGGAAAGAGAGCCAAAGCTCTCAAAGATCCTACGGTGCCGGAGCATGTTGATGAAGGTCAACTTAGTTCTCTGGATCAAATGCAGACTACCATTACCTGGCGTGGAGATGGTGCTTATCTGGCTGTCAACTCTGTCCAGGACGGAAAGCGACGAATGATTAGAGTTTACTCGCGAGAAGGTGTACTTGACAGCGTCGGTGAGCCTGTGGATGGACTCGAAGGTGCTTTGAGCTGGAGACCTGCTGGAAACCTCATAGCTGGCATACAGCGCCGATCTGACCGTGTGGACGTGGTCTTCTTTGAGCGCAATGGCTTGCGTCATGGTGAATTTTCGCTTCGCCTATCTGCAGAGGACATGGAGAGCTGGGCTAGTGCTATCACTCTTGCGTGGAACAGCGACTCTACCGTACTTGCTGTTTCTTTCAAAGACAGAGTACAGCTGTGGACTATGGGCAACTACCACTACTATCTCAAGCAAGAGATATTCGCCGATGTCACAACAGAAGCAGAACCACTCCCGGTCCGTACAGCTTGGCACCCCGAGAAGCCACTCTATCTTTCTGCATCGTCCAGTAGTGCGTTAGATTCCTTCCGATTGTGAAAAACCGTTTGCTAACGTAAACACCAGNATTCCCTACAGATGCTTTCATACGTATTCACAGTATCAAAGAGCTCGACAACACCGCCACACGACCTGGGTCTTACCTCTGTTATCGACGGACTTAACCTTAAAATCACGCCGCTCAGGGTAGCCAATGTACCACCGCCCATGGCTTTTACGGAACTAGAACTTAGTGCCAATGCCATCGATGTGGCTGTTAATCAATCGGCAACCAAGATCGCAGTACTGCATCAATATGCTGTTTCGTTCTATGAGCTCAACTACAGCGTCAGACCGTTCCAGCAACCTAAGCTTTTACGTGGAGCATCGATGGCAGGGCAGATCCCTCGCCAAATTGCATTCTCGGGAGAAGATGCCATCTCAGTGCTTTGCAGCGAGCCAAACACCCAAGCCGATAGCATCATCGAGCTAAATGTCTCTGACGATGGAGCCTTCGAATCCGGTGAACTGACGTCCGGTGCTGGATCTCTGTTCTCTGCTGTGGACTTCTCGAGCACCTGTTTCGAGGATGCACGTGGTGGTGTGTATGAGCTCGGTAATGCCGCTTCTTCTTCGCTACTCGCCAGACTTCCAGTGCACTGCCCTTGGACCGAGGTCTGGAAGGATGACGAAACGACGATTGTATTTGGCCTCTCGGCAGGTGGTACCTTGTTTGGCTACCGCAAGTCTTCAGGTGATTTGGAGGCACAAGAGTGTCTTCAGATCCGCAACTGCACCTCATACTTAACTACTCCTGCTCATCTGATCTTCACTACGACTCAGCATCTGCTCAAGTTCGTCCATCTCCACCAGGGTAGTCTAGAGATTCCTCAGGACGAGCCTGAGAAGGACGAACGTTGCCGTAGTATCGAAAGAGGTGCGAAACTCGTGGCAGTCATGCCTACGAATTTCTCTCTTATCCTTCAAATGCCAAGAGGCAACTTGGAGACAATCTACCCTCGTGCTCTGGTTCTTGCTGGCATCCGCAGAAGCATCAGTGCCAAAGACTACAAAACTGCCTTCTTCGCTTGCCGTGGCCAGAGAGTTGATATGAACATTCTCCACGACTACGCACCACAACAATTCATGGCCAACGTCCTGTTGTTCTGCAAGCAACTGAAGAAAGCCGAACATATTGACCTGTTCCTCTCGCAACTACGGTATGTAATACGTGACAAAGCTTGAAGAGTTCGACTGATATGTTTCAGGGATGATGATGTTGCAGAGACCATGTACAAGGAGACATTAAATGCCCCGAAGTTGGGTCTTCATGGCGACAGCCCGAACGAGATTCAAGAGACGGGTATTGAGCCTCAGAGCTCCAAGATCAACAGAGTCTGCGACGCTTTCTTGGACGTGTTGCGAAACCGAACATCCACCCACTTACAAAACATCATCACGGCACACGTGTGCAAGTCGCCTCCTGATCTTGATGCTGGCCTGTCATTGATCGCGAAGTTGCGAGAAGAGCAACCTGACTTGGTTGAACGCGCAGTTGAACACATCTGTTTCCTTGCCGATGTCAACCAACTCTATGACCACGCTCTTGGTCTGTACGACCTTGATGTCGCATTGCTCATCGCTCAGCAGTCACAANAAGATCCACGAGAGTATCTTCCATACGTTCAAGGCCTTGGTAAGATGCAGCCACTTCGTAGACAGTTCACGATCGACCACGATTTGAAGAAGCATAACAAGGCCCTTGGTCATCTGTTCACCATGGATGAGTTCGACGAGCTCAAGACTTACATGGCTAAGCACGAGCTCTACAGTGATGCCATGCATCTCTACAGATACCAGGCGCAGCGATTGAACGAGATCATGAAGCTCAATGCCGACTACCTAAATAGTCGCAACCGCTACAAGGAGGCAGGTATTGCCTACGAATATCTCGGCGAGTACAGCTTGGCATTCGAAGCTTACCGATCGGCAAACGAGTGGCGCGAGTGTATTTCGTCGGCCACTCTTATACCTTTACCCAAAGATGAGCTTGTGGCTGTAGGTGAGGCATTTGCCGAAGCACTTACGGAGTCAAAGGAGCATTACGATGCAGCAACTGTTCATCTTGACTATCTCAGTGACATCGAAGGAGCCATCAAATCCTTGTGCAAGGGCTACTACTACGCGGAGGCTATTCGAGTTGTTGGCCTGAGACGACGAGCAGAGCTTATCGCAGAGATTGTTGACCCTGGTCTTGTAGAGGGATCTGCAACCATGACAGAGCTTCTCGCAGAGATGAAGAGTCAGCTCAATGCTCAGGTACCGCGATTGAGAGAGTTGAGACAAAAGAAGGAAGAAGACCCGCTCGCCTTCTTTGGAGGTGTTCCCGCAGATGGACCAGATATTCCTGACAACATCTCACTCGCACCAACCGAAGCTACCACCTCGGCCGGTACCTTCATGACCCGTTACACCAACCGCAGTACAGGCACTCTTGCCTCAAACGCGACACGCAAGACGTCGAAGAATCGCCGACGTGAAGAGCGCAAGCGAGCTAGAGGCAAANAGGGGAGTGTTTACGAGGAAGAGTATATTGTCAACTCAATTGGACGCCTCATCGAACGCTCAAACAGCGTTAGCGAGGAGGTCACTCGTCTGGTCGAAGGACTGATGAGGAGAGCGATGAGAGAGCGTGCTGTTGCAGTGGAAAATGCCATGGCCGAAGTCGTCGAGCTATGCAAGACTTGCATCCCCGAAGTGTTCCAAGTCAAGCCGACGCAATCTCCCAATGTCGAGTCAGGCGAGGTTAATGGGGATGATGAGGCTGGCAGGCCCACTACTGGTGGTCAAGCCGTGTTCTTTGATGCCATGGAGGCGAACCAGGCGAAGCGAGAACCACCAGTCGTGAAAGCCTTCTCTAGGCTTTCGTTACTTGGTTAGATAAGTTTATAGTCTGCAAGCCGCGCAAATCATGATGATTTCCAGCGATGTCCATGAAGATACCTACTGCTGAGTCGAATGAGCTTCTCAACCGTGTAGATTTAAGTGACCCTGTCCATCGGGAAGCTACGGCCGACAGCCGACGACGTGGAGGCTTCGAACATCCACACCTTCTGCCACTGCCTTCTAGAACACCCATCTGCATATCACGCCTGCAATCATCAATATCATCAAAACACTGTCCAAACAGCAAAGATTTATCCAGATAACATAGTAATCTGTAATACAAACGCTGGTGGTCAGCAAAGCTCTCGACATTCACGCGCACGCTGCGCGTTCACCGCGCAAGTCCCCACCCCATTTGTCGAATCACGAATCCAATAAGCCACCAGTATGAGTGTTATTCTATGTACAGGTACTATTTGCTCACGACTTGATTGTGGATCGCATACAGCTAACCACTCATAGCTGGCTATGACCATACCATCAGGTAAGTGTGTGCATACGCCTTACAAGATCTTGCATTTCTTTGTCACATGGCGCTCCGCAAGCCTCTTGTCAAGCTTGAAAGGAGCATGATCTGTCTCGAATTGCGCCACAAATGTGCTAGGACTGACACAAACTCGTCACCAGATTCTGGGAAGCACTCTCAGGTATATGCAGCCGAACAATTCCCCATCCAGATTCACAGGTCAACCGCTTGTGCATTTCCCCGGATAAACGCTTTCTTGCTGCTGCCGGGCATCATACTGTGAAGCTCTACGACATCAAGTCTACAAATCCTGCTGCCGTCTTGACTTTTGAGGGCCATACCAACAACATCACTGGACTCGCTTTCCACTGCGAAGGTAAATGGATGGTAACAAGTTCTGAGGATGGCACAGTCAAGATTTGGGACACACGAACTGGTCATGTTCAGCGTAACTACAGCCACGGTGTTCCTGTCAACGACGTGGTGATTCATCCAAACCAGGGCGAGCTCATCAGCTGCGACAGGGGTGGCAACGTGCGGATCTGGGACCTCGCCGAGAACAAATGCTCCCATCAATTGATTCCGGAAGAGGACAAGTCTGTCGCTTCGGTGACTGTCGCATCTGATGGCTCTCTTCTCTGCGCCGCCGTCAGCAACAGCCAAATCGGCTCTGTCTATGTTTGGCGTATAATCACAGCCAAGGATGTGACGACGCTTGTGCCAGTCACAAAGTTCAACGCCCACAACACCTACATCACACGCGTTCTGCTATCTCCCGACGTCCGCCACTTAGCCACTTGCTCTGCAGACCATACAGCACGTATCTGGTCAGTCGACCTGTCAAATCACAATGCCATTGCTGCTGGACCTGGAGAAAAGGACAACGGTGCATTTGAGCTCGAGCAGGAACTCGACGGTCATCAACGTTGGGTTTGGGATTGCGCCTTCAGTGCCGACAGTGCCTACTTGGTAACTGCTTGCAGCGACCACTATGCGCGGTTGTGGGAGCTGAGCTCCAAGCAAGTCATTAGGCAATACAACGGACATCACCGTGGAGCTGTCTGTGTGGCGCTTAACGATTACTCGGAGAGCAGATAGAGTCTGGATGACGAGATACAGCAGGAACAGATGTTGAACGCGAAGGAGATGGAACGGAGGTTGAACGTGGCGCAGATGAGACGGAACTCACACTAAAGAACAAAGGACTTGCTGATAGTAAGGTACCTGATGCAGGGCGATGGATGTATCATGGACATCTCACGTTGGGACATTCTTTTGGCCACGAAAAGACAACTGATTTGGCATGGAGTTTGGCGCATGTCGCTCAGGCGCAGGCGATTCCGGGATGGTCTTGCTTTCTCCTGCATCGCGAGTTTGGTCCACATGCTTACTTTCTCCCGCTACCTCTCTACTATCTTTATATCAGTATGCTCTCACCACTCAAAAGTGCAATCTTACGGTGGACATCCTTCCTGCTGTCGAACCAGATTCTCAATAACGTTGGCAACGTTTGGTCGTGAGACGGTCAAAACGCTAGAGCTATCATTTGTACCCGCACTGCATGAATAGAGTTATCCCCATGCTCCAACATCCTCGATAAACCAAGAGCCGTTCTCAGAATACAATACAGTACAGAAAGTCTAGACCCTTGTCAAACAATAGAGCAGCAAACAAAAGGACAAAGCCGTTGCCTTCGAAAGCCATCCTTTCCGAACTCGGCCCACTCAAAGCATAAAACATTCCTTATCTTTGGCGGCTTTTCCGAAGATTGCCGAAACACGATAAGAGAAAACAATGCATGGATAAAAGCGTTATCGCCGAGAACAGAACAACCTTGATAAACGCCAAAACTGGGGGAGTATTTACACCAAGAGAAGCAAGCAACGACCGAGAAAAGCACATCGAACTTGACTACGAGCCTTCTCTGCTGTGGAAAGTACTGCAAAGGTTTACAAAGGTCATTCTTATCTTTGGAGAGCACAAGTCATGAATGGAAGAAACAAAGGGGGTCTGGAACACTCTCTGGGGAAGAGCAAATGTTCAAGGGTCCAAAGGGTCCTAAGCCTTTGTTTCAGAAGCGGTAAACAGGCACATGGTACCGCCGTTTCGGCAGACCGGAAACGAGGGATCTAAGGCCTGGAGAAGGTAGATAACCTTGATGACAATGAGTCAGATTGCTGAGTAGAAGGGCAGAGGAACCGGGCTATTGGCATGAGTTTAATCTCCGTTTACATATGTATGGTCTGTATGCTACTTTCTTTCTTCTCTCTCTTTGTCCACTGTCTAATCTGTACATCTCTTTGTGTGCAAACTCCTTTGTTCTTCACATATCTCTGCTGGTTGATGTGAGTAGAGTGACACCTTATCCACGGCGCCTGGTCTCTGACTTTCAATTAGTTCTCTACCATTTGTTCCATTCCTACTGTCTCAACACCACAACCCACACTCGTTACATCTCAACTACACACATACCAACAACCATGTGTACATATACGTACCAGTTCTATATTTGCAACCATTCGTACTACATTTGGGGAAATTCGATTGAGATGTGTACAAACCGCTTCTTGTCTGGTTATTCATCCGATGCGTGGTCAATTGGTAAGATACACCAACGATGTATATACGAAAAGACATTGACATCAATCGTTTAGNATATGTGCAAGCATCACGTCGCAATCTGCAAAGGCTTTGGCAACTACTACTGTCCCGACTGCTCTGAAGACCATACCCTCGAATGGGAACTAGAAGAATAGAAAGAGGCTGGAACCTTGCATTCATAATTGGCGTTAGGAATTGGAATCGAGCGGCTTTAGGGGATACCAGGTCAAGCATTTGGAGAAGGAGTTTGTGTGGTATGCAACTCGGGCGTAGATCGCATACAATTATATTATTCTAAATGCCTCTACACAGATGAGGTTATTCTGTTACTCTGTCTTGCGCACCAGAGTCGATGGCATCATGCTCAACACTCTCTCTTATCCTCATTGCTCTTCTGCGCGCATCGATGTACATCATGAATTCCGTATACGATTTCGGCAAGACCTTGATGTCGCGCTCGACGGTGAAAGTGTAGTTGAATTGTCCGGTGGGTCTGGCAGTACCATGCTCGACGTCGCGAACCTTTGTGTCGACTCTGACTTGAATCCTCGTGTATTTTTGTTCTTTCTCTCCACTTGAGGTTGGCTCATCGGCTTGACCTGAGACGACTGGAGGATCCGTGTAGACGACGGTGGCTGTCTGATAGAGGACACTGCCGACAGGGACGGGGTTTTGGAAGGTCGAGGGATCGAGCGAAACGAAGGTAGGACGGCAATGGGCGAAACTGGCGGCGGCGCAGAAAGCGAGCTCGAAAGTTTGTTTGAGGAGGAAACCACCAAAGATCATGAAGTGGTGTCTGTTTCGGTATTGTGGTTGCATGATGGCGGCAGTGGAGAGACGAGTCTGCTCCATCTCGAGGACATTGTCTGGTTTGCGTACAGGATCGGTGGGGTCATGGTACTGTAGTTGCTTCTGCCACATGGCGTGAATGAGGTCTGACTCTTCGTCATTTGGAGTTTGCTTGGTCAAGGCGCGTTTCTTGAGGTCTTTGCGATGGGCGCTGTTCTTCTCGCCTTGAGCGAAGATAGCCTTCTCCTCTTCCGTCTCAGGTTCGATGGCGGGAATGTTGACAGGCTTCTTGGTACCGGGATCAAGCGAGACCATAGTGAATTGGCATGTCAACAAGACATCCTCTGGCTTGACAGTCTCGCCTTCTTTTGGTGCTTTGGCGACTTGTAACGAAATCTCCATGCTTGAGCGGCCAGTGGCATAGGTGACACGACCGCTGTACTCGAGATCCGAGATTTCTGTCAAGGGGTGCTTGATGTCGATTCGATCGCAGGCGGCTGTGACTGTCGTGACTCCGTCGCCGGTATGCTTGTATGCAATGACACCNACCTGTTGGCGTGTTAGTCGGAGCTCTAGGGGGGTGTGACTGGGGGACATACTCAATGCATCAAGGTCCATGAACAATGTACCAAGACGGATATGACCGCTGGAGTTGGCATAAGTGTCTAACAGCCATGGTTCGCGAGCTAAAGGCAAGACAACGCTGTGGTAGCTGTCGCTCATGCGTTTTGGCCTGAGGTCGCGGTTGGAGGGAGTCTCCGGCTTGCCAGAAGGCTTGGAAGGATCCTTGCCTCCGCGCTCCTTTCCNCGTAGCGCATCGATCCAGGGAGTTTGGATTCTGTTTTCGGTCAGGGCTCGAAATACACCGTCGGTCTGTGGGCGTATGGTGGATGAGAAGGGTCGTCTAGTATGTTGTTGTAGGCGGCGAAGCCAGCAAGCACTCAGCCGTTTTGCCATTGCGATGAACCAAACAAGGAAGCTCCAATGCAGCTCTCTAGACGGGTCATGTTGGTCATATGTATAGGTAGGAGCGGAACGTCACCGAGGGTAGATTCGTAACTTCCCAGAATCCGAGAGCTCCTCCGATCTTCCCCGCTTACATCACTGTCTATTCCTGCTTGACCCGACTTTAACCACCAACGACTTCCCATTTATGCCTCATGAAATATCTCGCGAGCATCAAAAATGACTCACAATGTCCGTTCAGCTCGATCTCGGTTCTCTGTGCTTGTCTTGTCCCTCAACTGGCCTCGACCTTGCCCTGACCAGCAACATCTCAATCTCAACATTGTCCCGATCTTGCTCCTTCGATTCACCCTTGATCACAGATATCGAGGTCGGACGCGTATGGATCGCTCCAGCCACCAACCTTCAGGTACATGTCGCTATCGCCTGGCCAAACTCTATACCTCGTCAACAAATCATTGCTCTGGAACAATGGCTTCTCACTGCTCTTCGGCACGCAGCAGTCAGTCTTTATATCTCTCACTTCATGAGTATACAGGTGACGAACATGGTAACTCTGTTTGCTGACATGCTGCTAGNNCTATGGAGTCAATTGAACTTGCAGCCGTCACTTACCGTCAAACCCTCACAATCTCCGAACACTTGTTTTCTAGTAGTATCATTGGCTGCCGCGCCGTCGTCCCTCACGGCAAAGAAAGCATCCACTCATCGTCTTAGCAAAGACCTCCCCTTTAGTCATCTCAAACCTCCAGATGGTCTACCCCATTGGACCCTCAATGCGGTACACCTAGAACTTCGCATCAGCTCATGTTTGCTATGTTCTACACCAAACGACGATGCCATGCTCTTCGAGGATTCAACACCACTCGAAGGTCAAGCAGACCCTAACTCATCTTCGTCGGCTGAGCTCGATAGTTCTGAACGCGTCATTGGGCTGATTGATGCAGCACTTCGGCTTGCATTAACAAATTTGTCTCCAAAGGCACTGGCAGGTAAAAAGATCACAGAGAGATCATCATTCAAGCATCTAGATGACATCTGTCCCGCTATGTGGAGTCCTGGTCATCTCGAGGTAGCCTTTATCACAACGACCACTGCTCGTGATGATACTGATCATGCAATCCATAGGNCTCTTGCTTCAAGAGCAATCTTTCTACCCACTATCAGCCACGCCATGTCTAATTCGATCTCACAACGAGCGCGTTCAGCTGCACTAAGAGAGAAGCTTAAAGAGATTGCCCGACAAGAACGTGTCGCTGCATCTAATAGTCACAATACCGAACCACAGATTATACAGAAAGCGGTCAGCATTAGGCTCTGGCGTCTCATGCAGCGCCGTCTTCGAGATCCCTCAGCTGGGAAGAAACTTAAACCCATACGAATTACTGATACAGCATTGCCATCGTCCGAGTTAGATGGAGATGTTTTGAGTTTTGAGCAGGAAGATGAAAGTCATACTTACAGTCAGTCTGAGGATTTCGTGGAGCTAAACGGCGAAGATGAAGAAGATTTGCTGGATGTCGAGTATGAGAGTGAGTGGGAAGATCTTTTCACAGATCTGGAGATAGGTGACTCTCCGGTTGATGATGATATGCTCGACTACCTTCACGACGAACAGCACGATGGTCATAATGAGATCACTGCTGGCTTGCTTGAGGATGAGCTGTCTTTAGTCTCTGAAGATATGCTAGAGCTATAGACGTTAAATGCCGTGAGCATATTATCAAGGAAGTCATTGTTCCGGAACTTCTGCCGTTATGAATAATTACGTCGCGTTTCCGTTCGCAGCAAAGGCTCAAAGATAGTGTTAGGAAGCCATCATCATGGAACAGCCGCAGGCACAGCTAATTGCATTGGACCGCATCGAGCCAGATCGTCTCACCTCGCATTCGGTCCAATCTTGTAGATATGTTTCGCTCGGCCAATCCTGCCAGACTTGTTCTATACGGACCCATCGTCAGTACTCAAATCTCCTAGATTCACGTTCTCATGTCAATACAACTTACCTGANGCATAATCACGAAACGCCAACTGCTGTTCGTGGATATGAGGCACAATCTGTTGGGGCAGACCCAGCAACTCCTCCACCGTATTGTAGTGTCCCTCTGGCTCATTCAGCCTCTTCTCCTCCGCAATTTGCTCTTCCGTGTACCCTTTGTAGATATCGACTTCGCCAACCCTCTGCATACCCAGCTTGAGCTCATTCAACCTGGTCAAAGCATCCCTACCAGCAACACGGGACAGAGCGACTTTACCGAAAATCTGCTTGCGTGTTGGTCTAGCGCGAATCTCTTCCATCTTTGCTTCGTGGTCGAAGAAGATGGAGTTGGGGTTTTCTTGATATGAGGCTTCGAGGTATTCAGGCCAGATGTGTTCCTTGTCATCTTTAGCGGGATACATGAATTTTTCGAGCAACTTCAGAGCCTCGTCTTCGAGTTTCTCCTCNACGAGTTCTCTTTCGTTTTTGGTTTTGTCGGTCTTCGGTCGCGATTTTTTGGTTGCTTTGCCTTGAGTCGTCTTTGGTTGTTTTGGTGGCAGCGCGGGCTGTGGCGGGAGTGCTGCTTGCAGCTCTGGTAGATTGTCGGTCTGTGTAGAAGATTCTGCAGTTTCACGTACGGCTTCAGGAGCGACTTCTACTGGCGCTTGCGGTGCGAGGCTGATTTGCGTGATTGTTCCGAGTGTGAACGAAGACGCTGCTGGTGAGTCGGTCTGGGCAGCTGAGTCTGTGTAAGCCTTGATGACTGACTCCCTGGTGGGCTGCTCTTCTGCATCCGGTTCTTCTGCAGGAGGCTCTTCATGCAGTTGCTCTTGTTGTATAGGTTCTACAGATGGTAGTCGCTGCTGCGAAGGCGGCTCATCGAGTGGTTGTTCTTGGATAGAAGGTTCCTCGAGATTTTCCTCGAGACTTTGTACTGGTCTCGTCTCGACGCCGTTGATCATCTCGTCTGATGTCTGAGCAGGCTGTGCAATAACAGGATCGGTAGCTTTGAGTCGAGGCGGCTCTTCTGGCGGATCTATTTGCATCGGCATTACCTGGTCGTTTGTGATCGGGGCTGACTCCTTTAGAGCATGATCCTCGACGGTTGGCTGTTGGGCAGTCCCTGTAAAGACTGGTGCTGATTGTCTCATATCATCATTCTGCATTGAAATGCGAGTACTGGACATATTCGGCTCAACAGATTTCCCCTTGAGATGAAAGTCATGCTTAGGACTTTGGCTGGTCGGCGCAACGGCCAACTTTAGGGGTCGAGGAGACACTAAGATTGATGACCTTGCCAGTTTAGGGGGGNNAGATTTCAGGCTGGCGTTTTCTACATCGATTGGTGTCATTGCCTTGGGAGGTGACCCGAGAAGGTTATTGATGTGTCTCTGAGCGACCTTCCATTTTTCGCTGCCAGAAAGACTTTCAATCGTCTCTTTTGAGGCATTCTCAACGATACGGTCTGTGAAAGGTGTGAGGGACTTCCGCGTAGAATTAATACCTGTCGTTTTGCTCCCGGTCGGCTCCCTTAGCCCAACAAAAGTCGACTGTTGTTTGTTCTCTACGACTTCTTCAGGACTGTCGCGCAGGAGACTGATGATGCTTCTTGCAGTGGCTGGCTTCTGAGAACTTTTCGAACGTGTCACGGGAGATGACGGCTCATCATCATCCATGGTGAGATCGATTATATCGACGGTGTCCTCGATTGTAGAAGGCAATTCTGTGTTAGGCTCGCTCCCAGTCCTAATGGAATGATTCGTCTTGGCTTGATCGAGTGGGTTTTCTGATATTTTGAAGTCGCTGGTCTCAAGACCATGGTTTGTAGCAAGGGGTGTGGATGTATCACCNCCTTGCTTGACCTGAGCATCATCTGCGTACACATTTTTGGAAGACGAGTCAGCTGTTGATGCCAGAGGCACCAAATGACCTCGCGGTCTGTATTTTGTGCTCGCGCCATCACAGAACGTCCATGGTCCTTTCAAGTTACCATCTCGACGTACAAAGTCCTCGACCACCGTCAGAGTAACCCAGACTCCGTCTTTCCAAGTTATGTCCTCGAGATCATAATCAGGAACATTGTCGATGATCCATTTGTATATTTGCTCGGTGTTCAAACAGTTGTCTCGAGCTGAATGCAGCGCCATGCCGATGAGCTGGCTATATTTTCGTGTACTCGATCCATATTTATCCTTCGTTCCTGGTACTGTTTTGGACTGAGCACTAAAGCTCGGCGACCATAGTCGCTTTCTTCTTGTCTCGGCTCTTGGAGTCAATATTGCAGATTGGATGACTTGCTGTTCTTCTAGGTCCAGAATGGAAGATGAAAATCGAGGATGCTGTGTAAATCGAGCCTGCATGGGCATCTTGGCGTTTAACTGCTCAACATCTTCGGTCGAGTAAGGTGCAAAGCGCGGGCGTTGTGTGAAAGGCATCGGCCTGAGCGAGGGGCCATTTTGGGCGACACCTGGACTGTCCTGCGGTGATTCGGGGATCTCTTTACGACCGACATCTGGACGGCAGGCGATTTTGCCATCAACAGGAGCAGTGGCTGCAGGACTGTCCAGTTTACGTCTTTTCGTGGGCGGCTGCATGCTTTCAGTGGAGTCCGAGTCGCAGAGATAGCACATCCAGTGAAGTGGACAGGGTTTGGGGATATCGCCTCTGTGGCAACCTCTGTGATACTTCCGCTTGCACTTGCAGCAAGTGACTAGAGACCATTTCTCGTAACTAGAGACCCTAGTACAAATGAAGCACGCGTCCTTCTGGCTGCGTGAGCTCGTCGACGACCGTTCAGAGGGAGTTTTTCCGCGGTTTGGAGAAGACTTGTTCTTCCTGGCATCCGGTAATTTGGAAGGAGGGGGTCGCATGTCGGCAGGCCCGACGGACGGCGGAACTTGTTGCATAACTTTTTGAGGGGTGACCTGGTTCACTCGCTGAGGGAATCAGTAAAGTGAAGGAATGTTCGAAAGTGAGAGAAGTGAAGGAGATCAAAGATTGTTTGTGTCAGGATTTTCAATTTTTGTGAAACATCATGTCGCTCTTATGAGGTATCAAGCTGCACTGACGGCCCGTGGACTTTTGAGGATACAAAACAAAGCAAGTTCCCAGGCCAAGCTGCTCGAAGTAGATGAAGATTTGTATGCCAGCGCCGTTAGTTGTAGGCTATGGAGGTAGCGTAACAACTCCAAAGCCAGCAAAGTGTTGCTGTACTCGTCGCTGTCAACTCGGGCTAGGAAGCAAGTGTTGTGTTGGCTTGAGTCTTCGAAGAGCATGAATGACATGAAGGTACAGGCGTGTTTGACCACAGCGAAAAGACACGGCTCCAAAAACAGATTGAGCGTGAACCAAGCGATATGCCCTTTACCATAGTGATCATCATTCTTTGGTGTTGAGAAATGGTGTGCTTAAGAAATGGGATGAACATACTTCCTGTGTCGAAGTCGACCTGTGCTCTGGCTCGATGCCCATACGAGTGGCATACGAGATCCAGCCCCTCATCACATTACGCATGGATGAGAATCAGGCGACAGTGGTTGGCGGTAAGATGGAGAAGTTGGTGTTTGTACGACAATGATCTGGCGTCAGCAGGGAAGGTTCGCCGAGCTTATCGATAAGCGACAAGTCGCTGGGAGGGAAGCGACGACGGTGGCAGCAACGGCAGGCAACACTGAGTACTTCCGTCGAGGCCAAACACTCGTCTAGAGTCGAGCAGACATGGACTTTCTCAAGTCTGCCGTCGCATCGGCCATCTCAAAGGGCCCTGCCTTTCCCTACTCGTTTGGCGAACGAGTCGACATTGATCAGTCCATCTGGACTCTCCACAATGGCACCAAGAGGGTAACGGCACATCACATACGTCTTGACGAGTTCTTTTCTGACAACAGTGCAGNNGAAGACGGCTCCCGGTGCAGCATCTTCTCCTTCGATGTAACCGCAAACAAATCTCGTCTCCCGCTCGCAAAGAACGCCTTACGCAAGTTCCGCACGCTTCGGCACCCTGGTGTAATCAAGGTCCTGGATACTGTTGAGGTAGTCGCAACAACCACCCATCCCGTAGACCTACGCTTACCGGACGCCAAGGCAGNNACAGAAACCTACATCTATATTGCAACTGAACGTATAACTCCTCTCGGCTGGAAGACAAAGAGAAATGCCATCTCCGAAGAGAGCATCAAATGGGGCCTGCACAATGTCGCTGTGAGTAATCACTCATACTGCACCTCTGCTTCATCGCCTGACACTACCTTGTAGAAAACACTTGCCTTTATCAACGAGGAAGCCACCTCGGTACACGGCTGCATCCGCTCCTCTTCAATATTCACCACCGACAGTGGAGAATGGAAGCTCGGCGGTCTGGATGTCTTGAGTTCTATGAAGGAAGATGAGGCCGTCATCTACGTTCGTATACAATACCCTGATGCATACTACCATTTGCTAATATCCACACTCAGANCATATGGAAGCCTTACCCCTGATTCGGGACGCTATGCTCCGCCCGAGGTTGCTAAAGGTGGTTGGGACAGCATCAAACGGAGCCCTGTGTCTGCCGTCGATTCCTATGATTTTGCTATCCTTGTTATTGAGGNNGTCTTCAACGGGGGTTTCTCGAGCAGTGACCAAGTCGGTCAGACGAAGGGTATTCCTGTCAGTATGCACGCTTCATACAAGCGCCTGGCACATGCAAACCCAAAGACCAGACTCAGCATCGCTCATTTCTTGGAACAAGGAAGAAAATCTGGCTCGTTCTTTGACACGCCGCTTATTCAGCTAACCGATGGCATTGATAATTTGGGTTTGAAAACTGAAACCGAGCGCGAAGAGTTCCTCCGGTAGGTGCAATGCGACTACTTCCAAATCTAGTACTGATCACACGATAGCGAGCTCGAGGCTGTAGCCGAAGCGGATGACTTCCCAGAAGACTTCTTCAGAGTTAAGGTGCTGCCTGAGCTGCTCAAGTCTCTCGAGTTTGGTGGTGGAGGTCCTAAGGTCCTATCACTTGTCATGCGTATTGGCAAGAAACTTTCAGACGAAGAGTACGAGTCGACTATTACACCTGTAGTTGTCAGACTCTTTAGCAGTCCAGATCGTGCGTTGCGCGTGTGCCTTCTTGACAACCTACCACATATGATCGACCACCTTCCTCAGAAGATCGTCAACAACAGCATTTACCCTCAGATGGTACAGACTCAAATTCTATACTGAGTTGATCGTTCTGCTGACAAACTTGTAGNNGTTACTGGTTTTACTGATCTCGCTCCACTTGTCAGGGAACAGACTGTAAAGGCAGTCTTGGTCGTAGTTCCCAAGCTGTCAGATCGCATCATCAATGGCGAACTTCTGAGATACCTAGCTAAGACCGCAAACGATGAGCAGCCAGGCATTCGAACCAACACGACTATCTGTCTTGGGAAGATCGCGAAGAATTTAGGCTCTAGTGTACGTGTTCTCCTTTGCCGCTTGAAGTCGTCTGACCATCTCGCAGNNTCACGAACCAAAGTTCTCGTTGCTGCATTTTCAAGATCTCTCAGAGACCCTTTTGTTCATGCTCGCAACGCGGCACTTTTGGCCTTGTCGGCAACAGCTGACTTGTTTACGGAAGATGATTGTGCGACCAAATTACTACCAGCAATCTGTCCATCGCTTGTAGACAAGGAGAAGTATGTGACAATGTATCTAGATTGTTGCTAATCCAACGCTGACTCGGAACAGANNATTATTCGAGACCAAGCCAACAAGACTCTGGATCTGTACCTTCAACGCATTCGCAAGTATGGTCAGACTCTGCCTGATAGTGTGTTACCACCACCAGAAGCTGCTGGCTCGAACGCGCCGCGCATGAGCACCCCACAACCAGGTGGTGCAGGAGCAGGCTGGGCTGGTTGGGCTATTTCGTCTTTCACCAACAAGCTTGCAACGGCCAGCGGAGAGATACAGCCCAACAGCAGTGCCGCAACAACAGCCAGCTCGGATCGACCAGCATCTACTCCACCAACCAACTTGAGTCCGACAGCTACTCAGTCTCTTTCTGCTGGGCAAACGCGTCCCACACCAATCTTCTCTCCATCCGCTCCGACGGTCCCTAGAGTTTCTTCAAATCTGCGCAATGCGACTCCTACCATGTCTGATGTCGATCAGGAAGACTTTGGCGATGACTGGGGCGCGATGGATGATGACGACGGTGCCGCTGATGCATGGGGTGCTCTAGATGACAACGCACCGCCCGTCGCGACCACTAAAGCTTCGACTGCATCCTTCAACGATGGCGGTGAACCTGACTTCGAAGGTTGGCTGAATGCGCAGGCGCAAGCCAAGACGAAAGCGAAGAACCCTCTACCTAAAGGATTGACAAAGAGCAAGCCAGTATCCGCAGCATCAAAGCCGATCGTGGCTCGGAGTGCATCTGCATCAGTCACAACCAAGGCCAACCCCGTATCAAAGCCAGCACCTAGCAAACCGGTGAAGCCTGCGGCTAAGGNNGAAGAAGAGGAAGACGACTGGGGTTCAGCATGGTAATAGGTATATGCAGAAAAGTACGGAATGCCAGCTCTTGGATTCTTTTATAGAGTTACATAATTTACATTGCGCCTCGCCTTCCCAGAGTTCATGCTGATGAAAATGGTATCTTACAAAAGTCATTTTAGGCGGCTGCCTTGATAGGCTCAGCGGCCGCATCTGTAGCTGGAGCAACGGGAACCTCAGGCCACGGCTTCTTCAGAGCATCTTGGATCTTCACAAGAGCACCCTTAGGACCAGCAACGCATCCTATAGCCACGTTAGTAAGAAGATAGGTCTGAAAGTAGAGTCAGAACTCACCATTGACGACAACGATTCCGTTGGCAGCATCAACCTTAAGAACGCGTAGATTCTGAACGGTGACTTGCTGGCCACCCATGTTTCCAGGCATCTTCTTGCCGGGCAAGACTCTGCTACCACTACCCTGCGAGGCACCCGAACTACCCATGACTCTGTGAGTCAAGGATTGACCGTGACTGGCAGGTTGACCGTGGAAACCCCATCTCTTCATACCACCAGCGAAACCCATACCCCTGCAATTCGCCCTTGCATCGACGAATTGACCTTCTTGGAACCAATCCGCACCAATAACTGAGCCAACCTCAGGCAAGCCCGACTCGTCCTTTACGCGGAACTCGTGGAGGTGGCGGCTGAGACCGACCTTGTTGGCGGCAAAGTGCCCTCTTTCAGGCCGCGTTACGTTTCTGGGCTCCTTGATGCCGGCGCCAACCTGGACGGCCCAGTAGCCGTGCTTTTGGCGGGTCTTGTGGGAAACGACTTGCACGCGATCGAGTTGGAGGACTGTGCAGGGGGTGCGTTTTGCGGTCTCGGGGTCGTAGAGGGCGGTCATGCCCTTCTTGATGGCAAGAGCTCCGGTGCGCGGCGGTAGAGTGTAGGTCTTACGCTCGAGGGCGGCAGTCCTTGAAGCGCCCAGGACAGGCAGATCGAATCCGGCATTGAAGCGACTGGGCTTGATTTTGGGGTTGAGCGTCTTGATGGAGCGTGTGAATGTGCGCGGCAGCAATGTGGGCTGTGATAGCGCCAGCGGCGTGGCAAATGTGATGGGCGGCATTGTATATGTCGCTGCTATGGGTCCTTTGGGATATTCTGATGCTGGTCGCTGCTTCTTTCCTGCAAGCGTGCTTGCCTTTTCGGATGGCCGACTCGACCTCAAGGGATCTCCCGAGCGTCAGAAGTCTTCGCTTCTGCTGACAGGGTGACACTCTCACCACACAATGGCAGACATACCATGAGCATTTACGCGCCTCCCAGCATATTCGACCGCTCTTTTTTTGTGCGGATCGTACTGAAGCATTGACTCGGTCAGCTGCGATGATTCCGAGATCTGACATGCCCGTGCTACGTGGTTTGGTCGCAATCTTGATGCGACGATGTGTTTTGCATAAACCCCATGCGTACCTACCTACTAGCCGCCGTGCCTGCTCGCCTAACTGACAAACCACAAGCGCGCGCATGTTCTTGAGTACAGAGCCAAAGGTGGTCATCGGAGGCTTCTGAGTGAGAGTCCTTCCTCGACTGATTTTGTTGATCGCATCTTGTCGCAATTCGTCGTCACAATTTTGATGCATGTTTACAGGGTTCTCCTCTCTCCAAATCCATCACGAGGCCAACGTCGCATTTTCTGTGCGTGTGATCGCCTCTTGTCGATGGACTCCCATTCCGTCGGGTCGTCCAAGAACAAGTATCCATGCCTTCGCTGCCAGAAGCGATTAAGCTGCAACCCAGCCCCCCTTGTGCCAACTTTCTCAACGAGTAGATCATAATATCCGACTTTCGGACGTAAGGTCATCTGGTCGTGACACCTTTTCAACGGTGTGTGCCAGGGGAGGAGTATAGCCAAAGAGAAGTCAAGAGGTGTGTTCGGTAGACATGGCCTTCCAGGTTTGATATGTTTCCAGAAGAAAAGCTCCCCGTGCCATTGTAAAAGTCTGGTACACTCGCAACGGTCCGCCTTAGGGCCCGCCTGACGAACCATTGTCCGGGAGTTGGAGATTGGCCTGAGATATCAAATTCAAAATAGAACTACACTTCATGAGTGACATGTCCAAAAGTCACCCCAGTACAGCCTCGCGCCAGTGTCGTGGTCGCCGCGCCCTGTCGCAACGAAGCCGGACGCGCACACGATGTCGGCTTCACGCACTTCTAGACGAAGCGCCCAGGATAGGACCGAACGAATATGGTTTCTGCGGTTGATTCAACACAAGCCGTACTGCTCTCAGCTGCCGCCAGCGCTCTGATGGATGTAACGCGTGGGGTCTCAAGCGGGTCTACGTGCATTAGTAGTGCGCGCTTGTCGAGCTCGGTACTCTCCCATGCATGACAACTACCCAGGCCGGTGCCTCGAACATAACGAAGCACAATATACCATGCAGCATGAGCCGGAGACCAGCTATATCGGGAGGATTCAATCGCTGCCGATAGTCTAATACACAGAGATGGCCGCTTGACTGTCGGCAGCAATAGGCGTGGAGAGCGCACGAGGTTGAGTGGATGAGTGAAAGTGGGCGCTCGAGGCGGCCTATCAAAACGCTAAACGATCCCTGCGCGGATTTTGGCAGGCGCGGCAAGCCCGCAGCTCCACGAAAAGAGGCGGTAACTCGTTGCTCTGGTTCTGTTCCTGTTCGAACTGGCCAATGCTGTCGTCGTTGGCATTTGGTTGCATGCTCGTTGCGTTGTGCTATGCTGCTGCTTTTCCTGTCTCCAACCGCGTGTCTGTCTGTTTCGTCCTGCCTGCCTGCTTGTCTCGTGTGCATGCGCCGAGTCACTCGTTTCTTAATAGCCGCAAGCCGCCGGCTCTGACAGACGCTGCATACGCTTGCCAGCCCGATACCCTCGCTTCTCTTGTTTTTGTTTCCATTCTTGCGCGCGAGAGGCCTTTCTAACCCTTTGCACTTCCAGACTTGTCTACAACCCCTCTGAAGCCTCTTCCCACCCGAGAGACTGGGTAACCCGTATGGACTAACGGGTCCGTTGGAGAAGCGAACGTGACTTGTCTTGTGCTCGTTTCACTAGTCCTAGTCCTTGGACTCGGCGAGATATTCTGTCTGCGCAAGACTTTTGCAAGACACAAGACTGGTCCTGGACGTGTATGGCTACCGTCAATCCATCTTCCGAGGTCATAGACTCTCGGATGAGCAGAGAGGTCGAGGAGATCTCGACAGCAGGCAGATTCACAACAGTCAACGGCAACAAGGTTCCCGCAAGCCCTCCGCAAAACACTTCGTTCCGACCCGACCCATCGGCCCTTTCCCATCCCTATCGACAACAACAAGCTCTACCTCGACAGCCACCTCTGCCAGAAGGGAAGTCAAAGCCTCTGTTTGTGGACTCGGACGACCCCAGAGGCACTTATCACGATGAACCTTCTTTTCGCTCCCCTGAGCATCATTCAAATCGTATAGGCAAGCGCAAGAGGTCTACTGAGACCTTCGAAGTCTCACCCGACTTCACTTCTCCACCCACACGACGCGAAGAAACCTTCAACCTTCCGGCCGAACCAAGATCGCCAGCACGAAGCCTGCCACCACTTTTGCAGTTCCGGGAAGGTGAACAACAACATGGACCGTAAGGGCTCTTGGTACGGCGATCTGAATATCAGCTGATATGTCAAAGCAGAGACCAAGTGTCGCATTGGCGCCAGCCACGACCCAGTCCGAGCCAGTTGGACTCGAACATGGAGGACACCATGCGACGAGACTCACACATGAACAAGACTCGCAACGAGCACAATGATGGTAGTGGCAGCCCCCAGATGGAAACTGACATTCAAAGCGACCAAGAATCAGAAATGCAGCCCGAGTCCATGAGCGGCAGAGAACCTGCGGCGCGCCGACGATTCTCACAGAGAACAAAGACAGGTTGCCAGTAGGTGAACAGAGCCACGAGACTGCATCCACATACTAACACCTCCTTTTCTAGCACCTGTCGACGGCGCAAGAAGAAGTGCGACGAAGCCAAACCACAATGCCATAATTGTACACGTGGAGGCTTCGCTTGTGAGGGCTATGGCCCCAAACACGAGCTCAACGTTAAACTTCCATCTAAGGCAGTGCCACTGCAAGCGAAGACCGCCGAGACTCACGCCTTCCCAAACCACCGACAATCGTGAGTCCTATGGCCATGAAAGTTGTCTTGAAGCTCACATTCCTAGCAGGNNGTACCTGGTGCTGCCGCCGAACATTGGCTTGAGGCACAACAACAGAGGCGCTTCTCCTATGATGGCCGCGCGCAACCCTTTGGGGATAGTATGCGCTACCCACCAAGACCTACCGTCCCACCAAAACGTGAATCGCCTTTCCCGTCTGATCGCTATTCGCAGCCTTCGCACCCTGAACAAACACGTGTAATGCCATCATCATCTCGATTCCCCATCTCGGCGCCCAGTATAATGAGCGACGTCAATGGTGGCAGCCTAACTCACAGCAGTGGTGGTGCGAGTACCAGCTTGGGCAGTGCGTTCGACACGCCTAGACCGATGATATCAAGCCGCATTGCCATGAAGCCACCTCTAGGTCCCTACCATTCTTCCGCCCCAAGCGAGAAAGAGAACATGCTTAGCGGCAAAGATTATCGTCACTTCACCGATCCAGAGCTGTTGAATGACAGAGCATGGTGCAAGCAAGCAATCGAGCGCTACAACAAAGCATCGAAACCCTCGTTTGATATCGACATGGATGGACGGATGAGGCTGTTCCGACAGATACTCCAGCCAGATCGTCTCTTGCAACTAGCAGACTCGCGCAATCATCCTATCGGGACCATCGGCTCCAAGATCCTGATCGAAGCACCATTCAAGTGTGAGTATGGCTATAACGTCCACATTGCGGACAACGTGGTCATACAGGCTGGCTGTGTCATGTATGATCCTTGTCCCATCACCATCGGAAGGGNNGGCACGATCGTTGGCCCCAACGTAAAGTTCTATGGACTAGGACCTGACACCAGACTCGATGCAAGAGTACGTAATGGCAGCGAGGGCAAGTTAAGAGGAGGCAAGATCATGGTCGAAGAGGACTGTTTCATTGGTGGGGACGTCGTGATAATGCCCAACGTAATCATTGGACGCGAGTGTGTGGTTGAGCCTGGAACAGTCGTCAGCAGTGTAAGTCTACACTTAGGTTTCGTGAGCCTGTGTTGATTTATATTGACCATTTCCAGANACGTCCAACCTGGGAAAGTTGTCGCCGGCAACCCGATGAGGATAATACGCGACGTTGTTCCGGTACCGGTGCAAGACGAGGAGTATGGTCGCGTCGAGCCAGCAATGTTGGCAAACATGTGGCCAGGGGAGCGATCCTACAACCGCGACGTACGCATGGGTATGTGAAGGGTCGATGCGCTTCATAAAAGAGAAGGAACACTTGGGAGAGAGTAAAGAACATCATAACATATGATAGTCAACTTAGCGCGGAGTTATGGAGTGCCATATGCATTGAATAGAGCCGAAACCTCTTCGGTCATTTCTCATCATAGCCAGAAAGTACTTCAAGCGTATGAGTCTTGGGTAGACCTAAGCCTGGTCAGTTCGACCTCCATCTGCGACTTTTCTCGTTCAAGCACTTCGATCCGATCACGCAGTGCCTCTGTCTGCTCTTGGGCACCAACACTCAGCTCTTCCATGATCTTGAAAACACGCCAGAGACGTAGGATGATAACCAGGGAGGCGACCTCTTCAAGAATGCCGCGCAGAAGAACATCTACGATGAAACTGGCAACGATGACCGTCGCATCGAAACAATGAAACTTGGAACGGAAAAAGCTNAGTATTGTCAGCATCGAAAGAGTCAGGGCGATCTCGAGTTCTTCTTACCGAAAACCGAATGCCCATATGCTTGCCAGCAGTTCCAACATGAACAAGCAAGAAAAGACTAGACCCACAATGCCTATTGCTTCTTGCGCGACATGACCTCGCGACTCGGAAATTCTTCCCTCACAGCTGAGAATCTGAATCACAAATTCGGAAAAGATACATGTGCAGTCGAGGGATACCAGGAGCAGGATGGCATAGTGACCGAATTTTGAGTTCAGATAGCGACGAGTGTACCGACGAGCAGTTTCGAAAGTTGAGTCACTGCGTTCGGAAGACAGTTCACGCAAGAGTGGTCTTTGTGAGTCTTCCATGATTTTTGCTAGAATCACTCAGTATCAATGCATGCCAAGTTGTCGAGTTGAGACAGTTGCAGTGACACAGATAGCGATCAAAAGAAGCTTACAATGATTCAGTACAGCAAGATGTTTCAGATTCTTGAATTGGTTGTCTTTGGAGTTAAGGCATTCGGACCAAATTACAAATACCCAGGAGAAACAAGTGCTTTTCCGAATTTGATTCAAAACTGAGAGAAAGAGGAAGCCGCAAGGAGTGTCTACCAGGTAAGAATAAGGTTTATCCAGGATGCTTGGCGCGGCAGTCGCGATTGACAGTGGCTTGCGGGAGCTTTCGCATGCCATTTACTTTGACTCGACCCTCATCGACCTGTCCCATCCATCACAGTTCTATTTCACTGCCTTGCGACGTGTGTTCGAATCGCCTGTCTGGATATATTCGTGTGACGACTACCGACTTTCATTCTCACACCACCAAACATACGCCCTCTCCACCTCCGAACCACCATCAATGTAGGTTACCCTCTTAGAGGTCGATCACGATCTGGCCTTGCTCAACCATGCTGAACCCACATGCAGCCCCTTTCTACCCTTTCAACGCAACCATGTCGGAGAACACTGAAGTCCCGCCGCGACCCGAGGAGGAGCAGCCCGTCAACGACGACGAGACCAACGATGAGGAAGAGATCGCAGCAATGAAGAAGCGCGTGCAAGAGATGGAAGCCGAGGCACAAAAGCTGCGCGAGATGCAGGCCAGTTTGGACCAACAGCAGGACGGTCTGCGCGAAAGCAAAGAAGACATTGACTCGCGCTCCGTCTTCGTCGGCAACGTCGACTACGGCGCATCGCCCGAGGAGATCCAGGCACACTTCGGCAGCTGTGGCCCTATCAACCGTGTCACTATTCTGCTCGACAAGTTTACCGGTCACCCCAAGGGCTACGCCTACGTCGAGTTCCAGGAGCCTAGTCTGGTCGCCAACGCCATTGTGCTCAACGAGAGCGTCTTCAGAGGCCGCAACTTGAAGGTAAGCTATGCTTCTCTCGAAACTTCAGCCTTACAATTTGCTAATCTTGTTTAGGTTGTACCCAAGCGCACTAACCTCCCCGGTCTGGCCAGAGGTGCTGCCGCTGCTGCTGGAGGCCGTGGCCGTGGCCGTGGTCGTGGTGGTCCCGTGGGTTTTGGCGGTCCTGGCTTCGGCGGTCGCGGAGGCTACGGTGGTCCACCTCCATTCGCTCCTCGTGGTGGCGGGTAAGTCAAACAGATCTTTACGCGCATCGAACAGATGCTGACATGCTCTACAGTTACCGCGGAGGTTACCGTGGCGGCCGTGGCAGAGGCTACTCTCCTTACTGATCAAGCAGCATTCCACCGAGTCGAGTGGTCACTGACGGCCTATCGTAGCTAAGGGAGATTCAGCTACGAACTGCCATTCTTTCAGCACGCCACATGACTTCTGACCAAGCCGTACCATTCACCAGCGTTTCGAGCCGATATGTGGGCTCGTGGATGATCCACAGCGAGAAGTAGGAAGACGACATGAAAAGGAACTGCGCGCGCCCATGACCATTCTGCTCCGCCTGATGCTTTAGTTTTGCTTTCCTTTTCTTGATGTACTATTTGGGACGTTATGCGAAGAGGACAGGGGTCCGGAGAAAGACAGAAAAATTTACAGAAGAGAAAGTTTTACGAAAGAATTGGTTTCAATATGATGAAAAAGAAGACGATGATAATGCCCAACCCTTGCTCATTATATTGAGAAAGCAAGAAAGAGATGATTTCCAGAAGAGGCAAGAGGAAGAGATCTGTATCCATCACCAAGGACTTCACAAGTCCGTTCAATCAAATGTGATGCCAGGATTGGCTGGCGAGGACTAGAAGAGGTGGCACGAACACTACACAAAGACTCCACTCTCGTCCGACCATACACGTATGACGACCTAACGCCATCGGCCATTTGACTAACGGCTTGTACGCGACTGATCAGCAGAAGAGCAGACATGTTGCAGTGTTCAGACTGATACAGAATTTCAGTCTAGCATCATTGGAATTGTCCGATTTGTTTCAATTTCAACCAGCTATGATTCCTAGTCGAATCGAGGGACTGGTGTTTCCAGAACATATCAACAAAACTGTGATTCGCATTCAAGTCATGGCAAACACAACCCAAAGGATCAGCACCTGCTACCAGTATGTAAAAGCTGGAATCTAGAATTGCAGAGGTTCACAGAGAAGTAAAGGATACAGATAGATGGATCTAGAAGAACCATGAACAAAGTTGAGAGAAGAGGGAATAGCTCTATCATGGTTGAGTACTCTCAAGACGTAGTAGGATATAATAAAAGCTAGTATAGATCGTCCTTGCACAACATGTACAAAGCTTCTTAAGCCCTGAGATACTGTACATGTGTTCATTGACAAGGCGGTTATAGTTGATGTCAAGTATCTGTTTCTTAGTCGCTTATATCTGTTGCGTACATATATTCTGTACCTCAGCCTCTGACTATGAGCATACGATCACTGTAGCATATGTCATCCTGGTGGTTTGGTGGAAAGCTATGGGTTGCTTGCTTTTACAATTGAACGAATGAAATCTAGTACCTTGGCCTAATTTGCTTGTTCTTTTCTCTCATTCGACGTAAGTACTCTGCTTGACTTTTCTTCGTTGTTGATATACTTAATATAGACACTTTCGACGATGTTGTGTTTTCCTTTTATAGCCTGTTTTGCGTGGAAACTGAACGTCTCTTTCAATCTACGAATGGCTATTCAATGGTGGAGTGTTCTCGATTGGGAAAGATTTGAGAGTATAAGTGGAAAGAATGAGATAAAGATTGCCTTGTATGCGCCTCCTCTTTGCGCCCCATTTCCTAGTATACAATGATGTGCCTCCTCTTGTTTTCCTGACGTCTAAAAGAGAGCGGAATCCCCCCTTTTCTTACTTTTGTACAATTGTTTATTCTTACAGTGATAGCTCTTTCTTTGGTTGAGAATGCTAGTTTTGGTTTACGGCTTGATCGACTTGGTCGACTTGAGCTTCTTCTTTCCGATTTGCCATCCCCAGGACCTCAAGATCTTGACGACCTTGGGAGTGACGGCTACGGCCAGTGGTACTCGGACAAAGATGAATGATTTATGGATGGCGTAGGCGAGAACGAATTGTGTCCACAGTGCNTTCGAATGTGTCAGCGAAAAGTTGTGGTGGGACTTGAGGGTGTTAAACGTACATGCTTCTTCCTTGTTGCGCGCCTCCGCTTCAGGCACGCCCCATACATTGCCTTCTCTGGCAGCAGGACCGCCGACGGCAGTCTCAGCTTGTTCTACAACCTCGTCGGCCTTTGTGCCAACGTCGGGCATGACGGCCTTGACAGCATCCTTGATGGTGCCGACGATGGCGTGCTCCCAGCGGGCGACACGATCAGTACCGAGGCCTCTGACAGCCAGGAAGCAAAAGGGAAGATCCAGAGCGGAAAGGCCAAAGTAGACACCGGTCACGACCCAGCCGTATTCCTTGCCGAGCTGCTTGAAGCGCTGGAAGAAGGAGAGTTGTGGTGTTGGACTGCCCAGGTGTGGTGTGGGATCAGGATTGGGTCTTGAGCTATTCCATCGTCGTGAAGCCGGGTTGCGGAAGCGAGAGAGTAGTTGTCGCCATGTTGCAGTGTTGTTTGCAGCGTTGGCAGTCTTTTGCGTGAATAGTCTGTGGTATTGTGATGGCGGTTTTGGTCTCCAGGCTTGACGCGCAATGTTGTAAGGATGGGCAGCGAGGCGGCCTGTCGAAGCGCGGGCGACCTGGCGCTGTAGACGGAGCAGTGTAAGCATGTTGATGATATTTTGTCGATGGCTTGCTACTGCTGTTTCGCAGAGCTCAGCTAGCTGTTGATAGCGACTGCCTCTGCCTGATTCATGCGGCCACTGGCGGTCGACAAAACTCGATCAAGCTTTCGATACGCTAACCCCGCCTCGGCCTCGATCCGGCTTCCCTGCTTGTTCCATCATGGCAGGAGGCAGTATTGTACTCGGTCTATGCGCCGAACTCTTCACCGCGACAAGCCTTGAGATTGCTCTCGTCGTTAGAGACTTTGTCGCGCCTTGCGCTCTTCGAGCATGTCCAATCTGCACTTGCGACTTGTTTGCGCGACCAAGTGCAGCTTCGTAAACGATCTAGGCCTGTAATTTCCTTGTACAGAATAGCTTCAAGCCTTACGTCCGTAAGGACGGCTCTTCCATACACCCTCGGTCTGACTGAGACCGACCCATCTCGTGGCCAGCCGTGCGCAAGCTCCACCAAACGTCTGATATCTACTGCCAAACAGCCGCGCATGATTGTCGCCCATTCTCGCCCACGAGACACTCTATACCTACCTCACTCTTCTCTTATCACCACCACAATGAGGCCGACCGGCCGCCGTGACTACCCAAATTAACTATCAACTTACCACTTTGTAGGTTGTAATTGGCTCGATGCCTCTCAGCACATACATCCCGCCATGACTTGCCGTCGAGTATCTGTTCATCACATCACAGTATTACATGCGGATTGCTTCCGCTTTGGTATGGGAGCTACCTCCGATGTAGATGCTCCAGCAATTGTTTTTCAATTTAGCCAACAGCCGAACCAACCGAATGGATCCACCATCTCATTATTCAAGCCAATTGTCCAAACTTGTACTGCTTATTTCAACACCTGGAGCGTCTAGCCGTTGATCATGGCCGCTGCTGTAGAGTTGTACACAAATACGTGCATGTATAAGTCCGAGACCGAATGTCCGAGACGTGCCACGAGTCCACGACCTCACTCTGATTTTAAGCTTCCGAGCACTCGAGCAAAATAGCTGGAAAGGCTCAGATTAAAGTCGTCGCCATCCGTTTCTCCACCAATCAAGGCGCTCGATCGGGGACGAGCCTAACGCCATCTTTACGTGAGGCGTTGACTTGATACTTCGGTACATGCAAGAAACAGAACGATGCTCGATTTGCTTTGAATCCTTCTCCATAACACGTCGACGTACATCAGGGTCGTTGCTGGCAATCTCAGGGTTCATGCTGTGTCAGTCACGCTGTCATCTGGCTTCGGGAACACGTTTGAATCATGTTTGGTGGGTCTACCTCGAGGCTCCGAAAGCATTTGCTTGCTCAGCAAGACAGAGTTTGAACAAGAATGGCCTGACTACTCGTGTGTAGACTTCCCGCACATGCCTGCCTGGGTAACCGTTGTATGACAGCCATATCCTTTGGCCAACGATACGGTATTGCGTTTACTATGACTCTCGCTTCGCGCTGAATGCCTGTTTCATATCTCACGACCCACCCACTATCTCACACTCTATTAGACTTTCCTTATTTTTGAGCCCTCAAATAAATGCCGGTGACATTCTCGTGGGAGCTGCTAAACATTAAGAGTCAAGAAGTCCCGATTTGTAGAGCACTGCAATATGAACCAATATGCTCTGTCAGGGCTTCGGCAGTCGCCTCGATACTGTATGCTGCACTCCATGCCAACAATGTCTGGTTCAGATCGTCCTTCTAACGACGTGCCATTGACAAGGCTCGTCCATGAGACCGTTATGATGCCTGATCTTGGTGTCTGCAAAGTATGTTGGTGGAGTTTATGCTTCTCGGCATCGCCGCCTCTTCCGCTGCAGCACGCGCCCCTAGTCCAAAACACGTTGTGGTACTTCCAACAGCGGCCATTCGAAGCTTGTTCTCCAACATCAACTTTCCCATGACAGGGGCGTCACAAGGCTCGATCCCTTTTTCTTAGGCTAAACAATGGCTGCACGGGATGCTCAGGCCTTACGTATATAGATATCCACGCCGTAACCCAGCCTGATTCGTCCACGTCGTAAGTCTACTACACCACAGACCAGAGTCCCAAAGAAAGAAAAATTCCCACTCTTCCTTGCTTGAACATCACTTCATTTGCCAAGAACACTCGCTCCTATGGCTATTCAAATTGCTTCTCTTCCCTCTCCCATCATGTTCGCCTTGAACACTTCCCCTCGATCTCGAACTCGTCAATACTCTTCATCCTCCTCGTCTTCTGACGTATCCATGGCACAACGCGACTCTATGGACATTGACATGGCTGGTGTGTTGGATATCCAGCGTGCTCTCGATATTGCTCGCAACACTGAAGGCGACCTCGACCACTCTGTCGCAAAGTACCTGGAAGAACAGCTTGCCCAAGTATGGGGCCGACTTGAGTCTCGTCCCAACAGCTACGTTCTTTCCAAGGACGAGTTCGCCATCTTCAACTACTTCGTTGGTCGTTACCGAGACTCAGAGGTGGCCGAGAAGGCCATTGCACGCTTCTGGTCAAGCTACCAGGACAACAGCTCCTCGTAAAGTCACCGACTCCTTCGAAGTACCCGTAAGACCAACATACTCCACGCGTTCTGCTACACGGTTTCTGACGCAGTCATGAAGTAGCAGAACATTGCGATTGGCAGGTTCGCGAGTTGGTTTCACGCGATCAATGCGGCTCCCCTAACCGAAGATCGCCATGCATGATTGATCAATAATCAGGCCTGCAGGCGGCCCTTCTTCCGGCTTCCTCATGATTGCCTTGACCTACATTTTCCTGTTTGGTCGTATTGATATCTGGATTGGACACCTGCAGCCCAACTGGCAACTCTTTCCATTCAACTTTCCTTAACCAGGAATATACTCGCCTCTGGAGGCACGGAGCTCGATGCGCGTGCGCCGCTATTTTGATTTACAATGCACATCAATAATGGCAACAACGATAGCCATCGGCCCCTTCCGAACATCGCTGGTCGATTAGCCAACAACTGTGCCTGCTGGTCGCGAGATCAGTCATCTTCACGCACGGCGCTTGGAAGTCATCATACCTAAAAGGTGCATGCCGTCTCTTCCATCTATATATCAAGCTTTGCGCTTGTACTACCGTGGATGGAGTCTGCCCTCACTGCCAAGTCAATACAAAGCAAGCACATCATCGACGTGCCTCGCTGAATCAGATCATTCGGGCGCGATTGCGACAGATGATGTACACCGTAGGCTATTCCAAGCGCCATCATCGAGGGATCGTTGCAAGCAGATTACGCATCACCATCAGACCAGCATGGCGAGCACATTGGCAGGACGCCATACGTAGAATTATCTTCTCTCATTGTATTTTAGAGCATCAGTCTTTGGCCAAGCGCCGACATAACCCAGATCAACGATTTCCAATGACCGATAATCAGCTGCAAATTCCCTCCCCTTTGCTACGTACCTTTCAAAAGCGCATTCGAGACACGCACTCCACAGATTGGACCATTCTAAATCAGATAGGCAAAAGAGTCCAGAACTATGTTTGACTTGTCTGTGGGTCCTCCATCCCTCCCGGTGTCCTCTTCCGACTACCTATTCAGCTACTTGACTCGTAACCGTGTTCCTCCCCTTCGAATCGAATGTCGACACCTGCTCGCCGCCGCCCAGCCCCTTCGATCGGTGGATACCATGCTTGGACTTGCCAAGTTCTGAGGTATCAGATCAGGGCTTGTTACTTGCCCAATCAGAAGACCAAGTGGAAGACACGAGATTAACAAGTCAGACGACAAGAAAGGTAAACAAAAGGATCCGAGATAGAAAACATAGAACCGTTGTTGCCCTTGGGAAGCTCACGCGATGTTAGTAGTCATGCGGCGAGGCACAACATGCAAGGAGGTTTGCCTTTCCTTGATTTTGCACTCTTTACGTTTTTTTCCTATTTATGCTTTCAATCTGCGTTTTTGGTCTTTGACAATGCAGCGATGGATGTTTTGCCAACAAACTCTCGAGGAAGTTACACAGGGAACAAGGTTTCTTTGATGTGCAGTTTAAATGCAACCAAGAAGGCGCCATGGCTGACGATGGCACAGGAACCAAGAAGCCGGGCTTGGAACTTGATGGCAAAGCAGCGACCAACAGCAGTCGTTGTCCCTCTGGACTTTTTGTCCTTTTGTGTTTTTCTCCTTTCCTGTCAAAGCAATCGCAAATATCTTTTGTCCCACAAACCTCCCCACTGCAAGAGTCAAGTAGCGCAAGTGGGGCAGCAAGTGATGGGTTGAAAGAAGGTTTCGAGGTGCGATTTGCAACGAGACCTCGAACACAGGCGACCCGTTCTTGTTTCTCCCTGCGATCCAGATGAAGCGGTCAAAGGAATAAACCACGTAGAGATCCAAGAGCTGAACAAAACAGTAAAATAGGGCCTCGATGGACTGTTACATGTGTCAATAGCCTTTTGAACGCCTATCTCGGGAGGTCGAAACGGTAAAACAGTTTTGTTGCGTGTTGTTGTTAGGTTGCCCTTCGGATCGATCTTTAGGGCAGTTGGCATGTGGAATCAATTCCGCGCGACGTGAGGCTTAAAATTAAACATCTCCCCCCTTGTCTGCGGATCGGTCGGCCGCCGGCCGTCAAGAGGACTCGTCGTCACACATGTCGGGAGCAAGCAACACTGTAGGCAGGTTTAATCGGTCAGTGTTTGCCTCGTCTGCTTTGTCTTCTACACGACTCACGAGGGCCGATCTCTTGCCTGTATCGTCTCCACCCCATGTTGGTGTGCATACGCTGATGTGATGTTCTATCCTCGAACAGGTCCACGTCTTGCGAAGGGTGACCCTCATCCAGTCCATGCGTCATGTCTATCCACTCTCACACTATACCGCATTCGACCTTTTGGACGACCATTCTCTGCAACGAGTATGGCGCGCAACCTTGTTCAAAACCTTGCCCTGGGCCGCACCATCTGACTCGCAACATCTGGCGTGTGTCCATGCTGCTCGGCTTCAGATATGCGGGATGGCGGACCGAACAAGGTTCACTTTTTTTATCAGATGGTGAGATCGTTGAAGGATTTGGGCTCCGCTTGCATGCTCTTGGCTGTTAGGGGAGGGCTGGGCAAGTCACCGTTGGAGCAAATCATCCAACAAGGCATCATGCCTCCTGACGGAGATTGGTCGGCGCATGTAGTTCAAGACGACATGTGGCATGACATGTGTGATCTTATATACTTTCCACAAAAGTGTATTTTCTTCTCATTATTGCGAGAAACTTAACTTAATTCGAGAAGAACCCACGGCCCGGCAACAACTCCTGTGAATGTCGGGAGTCACCTCTAGCACTTTTTAGGTTGCTGAGACCTTCTCTTCCGTGATGTAGTGGCATGATGCAAAGCTATATCATTGTTGATACTATTGCTGACATATGCCATCTGCGTTCCACACTTCAAACCCTCTATCAACGTGAAGCTCGCGTGCAGAAAGAAAGTTCAACCTTCTACGTTCGGCTTACCAACAAACTCGACTCCTGCCCTTGGCAAGTCGAAGCAAATACGAAGAGTCATGATCATGGACAAAACGGAACCACACAATAAAGTCTAGAGGATGCATGCAGTCGACAACCATCGAGAAAGAGCCGAAACGCCTTCTAGCATGCGTCCGAGATTCCTGATGCGCTTCCCTTTTCTTCATTAGTCTATATTGATATCATTGTATTATTATATGTTCCAAGGGAGGCAAGAAAACCATTGCCGCAAGATGAACGCGCCCAGCATTCCGTCTACGTGGTCGTGGGATGAACGGCTTCTGCGAACTCGCCATACGGGCCATGGCGCCACTGCACAAAGTGTGATACATGCAAAGTCTATAAGCGATGGTCTGTCACACCTTACGATAGTGTATTTCTGCCTACGAAAAGTGTTCAATGACTTGCTTCTCTTCGACCTATAACAAACTGACTCGGCGTACGCCGGGTCAGCCCAACGGCGTCCAGGTCGTCTCTTCGACTTGGCAGAAATCTACCCTTCTGTCGGTACTCTGTAAGAATCGGCATCGGTCGTCTTGACCGCAATGACGGTTGAGTGCGGCTGGGTCACCACGGATATAATATGGAGTACAAAGTAGGGTCGAGTGTCGATCTTCGTTATCATGAAAGCTGGATAGGATCAATAGTGCTTAAGATGTAGTGACCTTTACCGCTATACACAGCTAAACGCATTTATCCATCTACAAGACCGCAACCATCGTCCTTCTGATATACTTTCGCCTAATCTTTAGAGATAGTCCCACCCTCATCTCTTCTTGGCCGTGGATGAGACGATGCGGATCTTCTTTCCATTGCCTTTGTCGAAGATCGAACAGTGCATCGGTGGAGGTGCGCGAGCTGCTTCTTCCTCGACCATCTTGAGTGCTTCTAGCTTGGCAAGTCTATTCTGTTCCTCGAACGTTGCTTGCTCATCGTCAGATTCAGAAGCACTGTCGTCGTCACGATCGGCGGCACCATCTAGTTGAGGCACTGGTTTTGGATGTCCGGGTACTCCTGTTCGTGCACGCACGGCAGGTCCAAGTCTGTTAGGCGCCCTTCCTTCCATTCTGCTCCTTGAATCTTTGTAATTCTCAGGCAATTCATCAGGAAGGTCGGGATCGTCAACGTGCTTCTTCTGGATGTAAGACGATATCCTGCGTTTGCCATTCTCCCGTTGACAGCCATTGTACACGCCATCGTTGTCGTCCTCTCCAGAATTGAAGTCAGATTCAACATCGACTTCTTCATAGTCTGCATTGGTCTGACGTTTGCGCCTTTCCGTACGTGCTGCACGTTCACCTCTCATGCTGAAGTCATCATCGCGTTCAACTCGAACCTTCATCCTGTTGGGATGTTGGGGNGCTTTCTTCTTAGCCTTTTCCTCGGGAGCGATATCCGATCTCACAAGCACGTTCTCTGGAGGTACTTCTTGGTCGACTTCTGGAGTTTCGGAGACAGGCTGGAACGACTTAGCAGCTTGTTGTGCAAGCAATTGCGCAAGACGTGGTCCAGATATACGAAGTCGAACAACGCGCTTCTTGCCCCGCAAAGCAGCTTGCGCTGCGATAAATCGGCCTGCCTTCTTGGCCTCATCTAGAGCTTTGCGTTCCTTTTCCTTTTCGAACTGCTTTGTAGCTTCGTTTCTAGGCTTGTAAACCATAGCAGCAGGATCTTCTGAGACTCTGCGTCTCTTGGTGCGAGCTCCCTCCATGTAGATCTCGTCATCGTCTTCTTCGTATGCGTCCTGATTGCGCTTGTTTCTGCGTGTTGAGCCAGACAGCAACACGGAGATGGGCTGGTACCCTTCGTCTTCATCGTCTTCACCTAGAGGGTCAGGGTAAGCATAGCTGTTGTCTTCGAATTCTGGATACATTCGAGCCCTTGGAGCAGCGAATCCACTGGTTGTGGCAGGAGCATATCCTTCGGGTGCATCGACTGTGGATCCATTGCCCATCACCAAAGGAGATGTGCTTGGTTTGGCACCTTTCAGCATTGCTTCCGGTGGTGGCAGAAGGGAAGCCGCAGCCTTTCCCTTAGTTCGATTGTTTTGAGTTGTAGTAGTGCCCATTAGCTGAGGATCAATCATGGAATCATCAGGCGAGTAGTCGAACCGGACATGGCTCTGTTCAATATCAGGTTCTTCTTCGTCGTCATCGTCGTCCACTAGAGGGTCCGCCTCCTTAGCCCTTCTAGCCTCTTCGCGAGCTCTCCTGATGCGGACACTCTCTTGAACGTCCTCGTCATCGTCCCTCAACCAAGTCAGGTTGGAGACAGAGAAGTCAACAAGACATTCCACACTTCTGGCATCGGCAATCCTCTTGGTATCATGACCGAGGAGGGTGCCTTTGGGCTCACATGGCTGCTGCTTGGGATCTTTTCGGCAAGCTCCTGCGAAACATGCATTTTGGCAATGTGGACACGACCAGTTAGCATCTTGCATGACAGTGAGTGGAATCATGTCGGCTCCTCTGAATAAAGACCCATAGCACCACCATTTGCCGCACGTGGTGCACTTTGCAGATTTCCAGTTAGGGTGTCTTTTACAACAGACATGGCAAGGACTGTGCGTCTTGTACCAAGCCTTTGGCTTCTTCTTGACAGTTTTCTTGACACGGCCTTCATCGTCCACAATAATATCCTCCTCACTCTGCTCGTCATCTTGTTTCGGCTTAGCGATGTCGGTGAAGGGGCGGCGTTTAAGCTGCTCTCTGCAGACTTCAGCGAGCGTCTTATGAGGGAGGTTCCTTCGAGCTTCCACTAGTGGTGGAGGAGCCTTTGCTGCGTTTCCGCCATCCAGGTCGATGACTTGCTTGCGCCAGGAGTCATATTTATTGGTCAGTTCTCTCCATTTGAATTGCTCGGTCCACTTGAGATTGGAGATGCAGCCGCACGACCTTCCCATAGCATAACAGTCCAAGCAAACGTCGTAGGGCTCTTCCTCTTCATGTCCGAGTGCGTCCTTGCAGTTTGAGCACGTCAAGAAACGATTGAAAATATTACAGCGACAATAGGCGCATGTGACATTGCTGTCGAAGGGCAAGAATTCACACTTTTCCTGAGGACCATCAGGGTTGAACATCTCAGCAACGAGAACATCCATGAACAAGCCAAGAAGGCGTCTGAAGTCCTTGATTAATTGCTTTATCTTGGGACCTCCCATTAGCTGACGGGCAGCGTCGGCAGGGAGCTTATCTGACTGCGATCTTGCCAATGCGAGTCTGTTAGAATACAACATCAGCGTGTAGTAGATGATGGCCTTGGTTTTGTATTGTTCGTCTCGGCAGACAATTTTTGCTTTCGGCAGAGCCTCATCCAAGGCCATTTCCAAAGTCTCGATTGTGGTCCTGTTCCAGGCAACTTTCATAGTTCGAGTTCCCCTGTTCCAGACTTGGTGGGGAGCTAACGGAGGAATGAGGATGAAGTCGCCGGGACGTTGTTCAACAACATAGACATTGAAAGGGGCTCTTTTCCACGCCGAAACCTGGGCAAAGTGATTCTCAACTTCTATATCATGGCCGAGAGTTGAGAGCCAGTATTCAGAGACAGTGTTGCGGTCCTTGGACTCGGTCATAAACCAGATGGACGAGCCAGGTCTCTCGGGCTTGCCGTCTTCGCCAACATCCTTGGAAGCTTCTACCATGATATTGTGGCCCATGGTGGCACACATTTCTCGGTGTGACGGTGTGTAGGTGCCCTCATGGCCGATGTAGCACATGAGGTTTTCAGCGCGCATCTCGGGCGGAAGCGAACTCATGAGATCACCAGCGCGAGCGATTCCACGAGCAGGGCGTCTGCCAGGGCCGAGAGTGTAAGGATTGGCACCAGGGCCGCCAATATCACCGGTGCTCTCATTGAGGTAGAAGAGGAAGGGTGGGATGTGGTCTTGAAGTTTGTCGTGCCAGACCTGTGGGCAGTCGATATCCTTGAGATAGATCCTTTGACGACTCTTGTCCTTGTAGTTACGGGTGTTTTCAAAGAACTGATTGCTCAGCTTGTTCATGTTTCTGAGATAATGGCCGATGGTGAGGGGAAGAGACTCTTTTGTCGATAGATTCCTGGAGCTCTCGACTNNGGACAGAACGTCAGTGAGGAGACGTTAAAGACACGAGAGCCTTCACTTACCCTTGGAACCGACATTGTCATTCAGCCATTTGGCAGAAAAGGTCCACGGGTCCAGACGGTTCTCAAATCCGTCGACGACGAGGGGCTTGCCGCCGATGATAACATGGAGGAGGACGAGCTTTTCGAAGGCGGCGACACCTTGCTCGTCGATTTGGTCGACTGAAATGCGATCAACAAACGAGAAGTTGGGCGTAGATTCTATAAGGCCGTTGATGTCAAAGTCGGGCGCGATCGGCTCGAAGGCAGCACGCGGTCGTTGTGCTGGCATCTTGCGGGTTATGTGTGGCGCACACTCGAGGGTGCTGAAGAGGACATGTGCGACATTCGGCTCAGTAGAGTGCGCGTGGCAGGCACGGCTGGCAGAAGCTGGAAAGAGCAGAGTCGAGGGCAGAGATGAATGAGAGCTTGCGACGTGACTGTCGCAACGGAAGCTGCGACTTGACAAGCCGAGCGGACGCGTCGTTGGGGCAGCTCGAGCCGATCGGCCAGACACGAGCACGGTTCACGAGCCTATCTGTTTTGTTCTTCCATCTGCTTGCGCGACTACCTGTCTACTCGCACTCTTGCTACTGTGAACATCGTTCGCATTCCAATTCACACTTGTTCTCACGTGTCAGCATGTACTGATTGTCTCCAATACTCTCGAGCCTTAGCTTCCTTCAGTAGGTGCCAATGCTCTTGTCAATCCACCTTTGACTATATATTGAGCTAGGTGTTCCAGTTTTCGTTATCCTTCTACTACCCAAGTCATGTTGTCTTCTCGGCTATCGGCCTCTGTAAGCCGCAGTTGCTTCGTCAACTCTTTGAGAAACCCAGCCTCGACTTCTTCCTTCAATGCCTGTCGCCAGGCTTTCGTTCGATCAAGGCGAACCAATTCTTTCAACTACAACACGCGTCATGTCACAGCTTATTCAAACATCGCGTCCACGACTACACTATCACCGCCCAAGTCTACTGACCACAGCGCCTCGGTCCTTCAGCATGAAGCTGGTGTGGCTCAAGAGCCGCCTCCAATTCGCTATGAACCTCCCAAGTCGGGCTTTCTGTCATATCTGCCTACTTCGTTCGTGCCCTATGCCGAGCTGATCCGCATCGACAAGCCGGTAGGCACTTACTACTTACTTTTTCCTTGTATCTTCAGTACGCTTCTTGCTGCTCCCCTGGCATCTCCCATCACCGCCCCGTCAACAGTTCTGGCTACTTCTGCTCTATTCGCTACTGGTGCACTGGTTATGCGTGGCGCAGGCTGCACTATCAATGATCTCTGGGACCGGAATCTGGATCCAAAAGTTGCTCGAACTCGGTTGAGGCCTATCGCACGTGGCGCCATCTCTCCAGAAGCTGCCATCATCTACACTGGCTGTCAACTCCTGACTGGTTTGGCCGTGCTCCTGCAATTTCCTTTTGAATGCTTCTTCTATGCTACGCCCTCTTTGCTCTTGGTCTCGACATATCCCCTCGCAAAACGTGTAACGAACTACCCTCAAGCCGTTCTTGGTCTTACCTTCTCCTGGGGCGCCATTATGGGCTTTCCCGCTCTGGGCGTCGACCTCTTGTCAAACCATGCCGCACTTACTGCTGCAGCATGTTTGTACTCTTCAAACATTGCATGGACTATCCTCTACGACATGATTTACGCGCACCAAGACATCAAGGACGATGCAAAGGCCGGTATCAAATCAATTGCTCTTCGTCACGAAAAAAATACCAAGGCAGTGCTCAGTGGCCTGGCAGTTGTTCATACCGCTTTGCTGGCTGCTGCTGGAGCTGCAATTGGAGCCGGCCCCATATACTATATTGGCACTTGCGGAGGAGCTCTGTTCACAACTGCAAACATGATCTGGAGAGTGCGTTTGAGTAGCGTGAAGAACTGCTGGTGGTGGTTCAGAAGCGGTTGCTGGATGACTGGCGGTGCAATTACTCTGGGCCTTACAGGAGAGTATCTTGCACACTACCTCGGATGGTACGATAACGAATCCCGCTGAAGCTCTGACACTGCAGTCAGCACGTGTATTTATATTGTACGATAGAACCCTGAAATTTTGCAGCTGGATGTATCGTCTACCTGGTCTGCACGACGTGCCTTGATGACTTCGAACCCAGGACACTCAAAACCCACAGCGTTTAAGTGTGTGTTGAATTCCAATTTGCTCACAGCACCGAATCCGTGGTGCATCTCGCATTGCAGGAGTGGGGTCTCGGCCGTGCCGATCATCTTTACCAAATCGAAAAGTCGCAGTTCATGGCTTCACGCTTCCGAACTTCTTACACATCCACAACGCCATTCGTTACACGACATGCGGCGGCACAAGCACGAATCCGAGAAAGTGATTCAGCAGCCTCCGGTCCTGGTCGGCGCGGCAGTACTCTGTCCATCGATGGTTGACCATGTCATGCTATGATGTACAGGACAGATTGCGCACTCTGTTTAATTGTGATATCGCGAATATACTTTTGTCAGTCCATGAGCCGGTTTGAGTCACACGACATGATGAATTCTCTCCTCGCGTTGGGAAGTTGCTGTCGCGAACGCAGCTTCCATGCGCAGTCAACGAATCGACCTTGCTTATTGGCCCGCCGAACTGCAGTTGCAGAGGTCACTATGCGCCGTCCCGGCCAATAGTGGTGTGAACGCCTCTGTCAAGGATCCGAAAATCTCTAAGCCGTCAACATCAATCCCTACCTACTTATTGTGCATTGTTTTCTTGTACAACTCTGTCCTAGGCACATCAAATTCCCACGCAAACGACATGACCTTCCTCGTCACTGACAACAACATCCCCAGCCATCTTTGACTTACAGGCAGGACAAGCAATTACCTATCTCGACGAGTCTACAATCGCTGTTGTGATATTTGATTATCGATCTGGGTACTTCAAGGCTTCTCACGGTGTTCTGCTCGCCGGATCGGAAGGTCGAGTTCAGTGCGAGGACTTGCCTCCAGACAGTTCCTTCCTGGAAATATCACGCCTTCGCATGCACCAGACTCAATCTCAGGATCAAGTTGGGACTAGACACTGGTTTGATTGGATACCATAAGCTTCTTCTTCGATGTCGCTGCCACAACTGGCCGTGCACCACGACAGATCTGCCCAAGCGATGCCATCATTGCTCGCTGATGAGGTCGTCAGCTACGCACCAGGTGAGATGGTGCCATGGCACTTTACGCCAAGTATCATCGTTGCTTCCTTCTTCGCCAGTCTCAGTGGTACGCTGCTGACGATCGAGCTACTTCAACGAAAACGTTTGGGCAAGTCGCTCATGAGCAGGTAACATCTCCCTCTCTAGCTATGTCTTGCCCCGCTGACTTTCGTGTAGAATACACCTTTTGCCTGTTCGGTGAGCATGGGTCTCATCGGTATATGGTGCATGCACTTCATCGGAAATCGATCAATCGCTCTGGCAGACGGTCAAAGTCGGCTACAGCTAGTGTACAACCCTCAGTACACTGGGTTGTCGTGTGTTCTGCCAGTCATTGGCCTAACCATAGCTTTTCAGACTGCTGAGATCAACATCAACTCTTTTGTCTGGCGAAGGCTTCTTGACGTTGCCTGCGGTCTCATGGCTGGGTTGTCCATCGTTGCCATGCATTATGTGGGAAACCTTGGAATCTCAAATTACACGCTGACATATCCGAGACGTTATATCATCGCGGCTTGTATCATTGCTGTCGGCGACTCAACAATCGCTCTTGCATTGTTCTTCTACTTCAAGGAAAGATGGATTAGCGTTTGTTGGAAGCGCTGTCTGTGTGCACTTCTGCTTGCAGTTGGAGTCTGTGGTATGCATTTTACGGCATCTGTCGGCTGCCAATATCAGCTCAAGCAGATACCATCAGAAGCGGCACCTGACGCAAGAAACACGCCTGTCATTGTGGCAGCTACTATGGTAGGTCTTCCATCGGTGCGGGTTCTGAATCGTCTGCTAACATTGTATCAGTGCTTCGTAGCATCTTTATCCTGTCTTTTGATTCTTTTCTACGTTCGTTATCGTAATGCCGTCGTCGCCAACAGAGCTCAGCATATGATGCTAGCGTGGTATGACCTGAGCTCTAGCTTGTTTTGATACGTTGTCGCTAATGAGTCACNNAGTGCCTACTTCGATGAACATGGCAATATCATGGTTACGAATGAAGGGACTCTACCTTCGCAAAGAATTGCCAAACGCTTTGTGCTTCAAGTAAGTGGGTTTCGCTGAGTCCATTGTCATACGACACTGACCANNCTCCAGAAATTCGACGACCATTTTGGGATACACCATCCTGTCTGGTTTTGGATCTGGAAAGTGAGTAGCGATTGGAACAGTGTCGCAGATCTTATTCCCAAGATGCGAGCCCACCTTCAAAGGACGAACGTCAATAGTGGCTACAATACAGCAGCATCAAGCAGGAGTAGTATCTACGATGAAGAGAGCTACCACGACTCGACCGTCTTGTTTCGAGAAGGATATTGCGTGGCCGCAGCCGATCTCGCCGCACAGCTGCAAGTGCCTCTTGTGGATGGGCTAGGTCCCCTTNACGATCAGGTCTTGGGTACGGGTCTCTTGACGGCATATCAACACGGCCTCAAGGCCCTCGATAACGGCACTACCCAACAACTAACAATCTTTGAGAAAGGCCAGCTGTTGTTCTACACTCGCAGGTTGTCCCCTCCTGAGATAGACCATTATACCGCGGCTGGATTCAGATTCGCTCCTTTGAATCGCGTGGAAGGTGCCATCGCAAACACAATGCAGATCCCGATTGGTCTCCTCGCGATACAAATGCAGCGCGTCCAAGACTTCGCATACAGAACGAGTGTGCCTTGTCCCCCAAAACAAGGCACCTTTTTCGTCTGTCTCGCCGCTCTTGCTCGAGTCCGCGATAGCTTCCGTGTGCTTGTACCAATAGACAGGCAAGACGAATTACCGGACGTGCAGGTTTCTCCGTACCACATGAACTCACGGCAGCTGAACTGGCTCAAGCGTTACAACGATTGGCCAGCGGAGAGATTCATTTGGCATATCAAATTGAAAGAGCAGAATTGGAGCATGTTGGACGATGATGAAGAAAAAGCGTTCTTGATTATGCTTCGGACAGCATTGGGCTCACTCGTCACAAAAATTGGAGAACGCTGGTTCATGGACCTAGTGTTCTGCGCAGAACCAATAAAGATACGATACGGCGCAAACAAGGCACAGAGAGATGGTATGACGATGGTATTTGGCTTTACTAGGTTGATGGACATTCACCAGCCGGCTCGCAAACTCCCTGCTGGCCTTACGCTCGCCAGTTGGGATCTTGTCAGGATGCGCCAACACTATTATCCTGGGTGCAATGATCAAGGCAGGGTTCGAAGAGAAGTTCTCGCAGAATTTGGAACTCTGCTCGCGAAGCATGAAGAAGCCATCCGCTCAGAAGGGCAGCGAGTCAAGTCTCAGAAATTCAGTCGCACACGTTCGGCTTGCTCGGGTGACAGCGGTGTGCTCAAGCAAGACTCTTGGTTTGAAGACAGGCATGCGAATGCAAGAAGAGGCTCAATCGACTCGATCGTTGGTCATCCTCAATCATGGGGCGGTATTCTGGCGACAACAGACACGGTCATCGAGGGCGTTTCCAAGTCAGCGATTGAGCTACGCAACCTTACTCCTCAAGTAACGGCAGGAGCTTCAGCCATGGTGATTGCAAAGGAGCCCAAAACATTTGTTGATTGCCTATACGAACAGGCGAAGAGTCGTGCTGGTCTTGCAGGGCATTCTTGAAAAACATGTTCTGGATCTGTGTGTTTCGGTGGTTTGATCCTCCTGAGTTGTACACAGTAGCTTTATAATTACCTAATTAGTCCACCTAGGATTCGGCTTGATACGCTTGTCCTCTCAGGAGGCTGACATCAATGCCCTCAATGCTTGATACTGAGTTTCTGATCTAGTGCCTATATCTTCCACCAGGACAAGGCCACTATATCAGGAGCAACTTTGAAATACTTACTTGAGGCAAGGAACTTTTGTGTCATTTGCAAGGATGGAGAATGAACAGACAGCATCTCGGAATTTGAACGGACTCGAGAGCATGTAGACATATCACTTTGCTATCTTGATTGCTTGACTTCGTATACAAGAAATGTTCAATTCACAGCGAGGTCATATAACTGCTTAACCCGCCCGTAACGAAACAAGTAGAAGCATAATGTACGACTTGAGGACGACCGAAGTTTGCGTGTGTGAGGAATGGATATTGTTGTTCGCGAGTAGGATGTACCTAACGCTTGTACCTCCTCATCTTTCCCTTTTCTCATACTGCCTAGACTTGCGGATGCCACCTGCACACGTATGGCATTTTCGGCTCGGAGGCTGTATGCGGGCGGTCGCAATCTCGAGTTGTAACGGCATCTGCGGTATGATATGGTCATGAAGCGATGAAGTGTCGGCGACAAGTATATGAGTAGTTGGCGTAATGCGATCGTGCCATGGTCGACGAGACCGAAGTTGATGGGCTGGCAGATTGCGCCAGCAATCGCAGGAAAAAGGTGTTATCCAGGACCGATGCGAGGCATGTCGTGATGCTCGCTCAGAGTCGACAGATACTTGTTCAGTTCCTCGACGCGTTCCTTGTGAGTCTTGACGCCTTCGCGCATCAGTTTCTCTTCAAGCTATAATCTTGTCGTCAGCATCTATACAGTCTTGTAGCGGTATTCAAGGCCAGGACTCACACGCTTGCGTCTGGTTTCCTCATGGCGTCGTTCGTATTCCGTCTTGCCATCATCGGGTATGAGACTTTCTTCCTTGTTCTTCTCCCTCTGTTCCAAGTCTGTCGTATTTTCGGGGTCGGTAGTGTCCTTTGCGGTGGTTGCGTCTTTGGAGGACGATGAAGCAGCGGCGACGGCGGATGACTTGGTCGACTTCTTCTTGCGCTTTTTCTCTATGCCAGCGTTTTTGGCGCCTTTTAGTTTGAGGCCGCCGCCTGCAGATGTGTATTCTGACGACGGCATGGCTGATGTGCAGGAAGCTGAGACGGAAGGTGGCAGGTGGGGATGCTCTAGAGGGCAGCTCCCTCGCGACAACTGCGACGACGAAGACTATGAGACGACAAACACTACGACACGATGATCAATGCTTGAGATGGTCACTCTAGCTCAAACGACTGGATGATACCGCGCACTGAGCTATACAAGGTTGGTAAATAGAGAGATGGGCCTTGATTTTGTGCAAACGACCTCTATCACCCGCTGGAGCTCAACACCCAGGTATATACTATACAGCTGTCTCGGACAACAGACTCTACGCGTAGAGACATGAACACCTACGTGAATGAGCAAGAGATCAAACATCTTCATGATCGATGGCTACCTACACATACTCTATGGCCATCCACTCAGCTTGGGCAGCACAACAAACACAATCACAACAACAACCTGACAGCACTTCTCCATGGCATCCATCAATCTCCATCGAACAGACACACAAAGCTCTTCTTCAAAGACCAGCTGCAAAAGCCAGATCATTCAATGAAAAGGTACACACAAAAAGGTGTGGTGAAATAAAAATTCCGCCCGCTGAGCCCCCGCAGGAGATCAGTAGAGGTACTTCTGCGCGCTGTGCAATGCACGAAGTTCCTCTAGACCATCGGCCTTCATGATCGCCAAAGTCCGGACAAGGTAAGTATGAAGAGAAAAGAAAAAAGGAGAAGGAAAGAGCTTGCATTTGGCCCGAATCTGACCATGCTTATATACAGCTATTCAGCCCTGTGTGCTTACTAAGCTTGCCTTGGCAGCTATACCGTGCCAAGGGGGAGTGAGATAGAAGGTGATAGAAGGTGAGAGAGGTGAGCGGATGTGAGCAGAGGTGAGGAGAAGTGAGAGGGGAGGCTGGCAACGAATGACTGGATTCACTTGGAGCCTCAAAGCATTGCTGGCAGTGAAAGGACAACAACCTTGAACAAACGATATCCTGACATTTACATGCAACTGGGATAGTGGTGTTCTGGGAGTTTCAGTTGTCACATGCCCTGGAAGTCAGGAAAGTATACCCTGATAACAGGCAAAGTCCAGTGCTAGTAAGAAGACAACAGCCTGGATACTCACGTGAAGGATACTTTTCATATCTTATCAGTCTTCGATCATATACTCTCTCACTGTTAATTGCTCCCTTCATGTTCCAGCTTAAAGCCAGAAGACACAATGGGGGCCGAGGCCGTAAAGCCCGAATGACCGAGATCAGAAGACCTGGAAGAGAAACCGAGACCACGAAAGTCTGGAATGACCGAGTCTGGGGAGACTGGAGGAACCGAGTTCGCGAGGAACTGGAAGAACCGAGACTGCAAGAGCCTGGGGAAAAGAGCCGAGACCACGAGAGCCTGGAATGGAAAGAGATGACGAGGTTCAAAAAGGTTTGGACAAGAGGATCAAATGAACTGAGAGTTTTCGAGTGGAAGGGGTTCATAGCCTCTCATCTGTCCTTGTGCTTGCTTTTCCCTCCTGAAGGGGTGCGATCAGAGGCTATGTCCTCGAGGGCGCACAGAGCTCTGAGCTGCATGTTCCGGGACCCACGAGACGGACCAGGATTGGCATTTCGACGCTCGTGCGCCTGGCGCGTAGTGCAGTACCTGGTACTGTGGGAGGGCGTGTAGCGCCCATGGTACTCCGCCTACATCAGTGCTCAGTACATGGTGAAATGACACAGAATGTTTGTAAACTTACACCAAGCACGACCACGGCCATCGAAACGATCCGTTGGGTCGGCCTGAGGATTGCATCTTCTGCCAGAGGTGGCAGGGGCAGTGGCAGCAGCGGCGGCAGTGGTGGTGGCGGTAACGCCAGTTTCTGCTGGCGCAAAACTTCCTGAGCATCCTCGATGCGCGTCTGCAAAGCGTCCTCTGCAAGCCTGTCACCCTCGTCGCGGAAGCATTGTTGCTGCAGGCGCAGCTCTTCCAGAAGACTCGAAGTGGTGTTGTTGTTGGACTGGCCGTGTAAGTGCATGGTGGTAGTCAGTATGATTGTTGTTACGCACCATGAGAGCGGTGTCAATATGAAGACGTAAGGATGGAAAGGTGCAATGGAAAGAGGAGCAAGAAGAAAGCAAACAAGGTGAAGACGCGTGAGCTCTGCTTTGTTTATTAGTCTGCGAAGTAAACGACAGACGCGCGGAAGTAACAGCAAAAAGTGAAACCACTCTTACCACGCAGTCAGGTCAGTAAACATGTTTGACTCCGTAGAGCTCTCTTTGATCCTAGCCATGTGGCTGAACCTATAGAAATGCATAGTACCATCCGGAATGCAGCACACATCCAGTGAGAGTCATCACCTCGTCAGCTTTCTCTGGACATCTCTCTAATATGATTACCGTTGTGCATTTTTATAGCCTACCTAAATGCTCTATGCATACAGGGAGAAAGCACCGCTATTGGGATGCATGGTACTATTGAAGAACAGAGCAATGGTTATTGAGAGTCACCATGCCATTGGCTCTCTCTCTGTACCCAACTTGATATTTCATGCATTCGTGCATTTGAGTGTATTAGAAGTTGCTTCTTGTCGATACGTGGGACAATCTGAACGTGGTTGCATCTCCGGGTCGGAGCCTCGTCTCTGCCACAACTGTAGAGATACACCAAGCTTTTGAAATGGGAGGAGTACAGTCAAAGGCCGAAGGACATGATGCCAGCAATGATAGACTAATCAATTGAGAAACAATATCGGCCAGTGACAAGGACATCACGTTCATCTCTTCTCTCACTCGTTGGTCGAAGTTCAGGTCGAGGTCAAGTCGATGGGATTCGCCGGCTAAGCGAATCTCAACTCCGGACGCACAGACGCCAAAAATCGCAAGCAGGCGCAACCTCAACGCACCGACGGCGGGCTTCCCTTTTTCTTCCTTCTCTCAAGCGTAGGATATTCATCTCTTTGCGCCCACTACAACTCCTCGTCCTCTCCACCCCCCACCAACGACAATCCAACACCGTCAAAATGGTTGCTGCCACCGTATGTGATTGAGAATCCAAACCGCTTTGCTGCTCTTGCAAGAAAGACAGTAGGCTGAGATTAGTTTTCAAAATGTAGAAGCCCACCGCCGCCAAGGGTGCTAAGAAGAACCAGAAGGTCACCAAGAAGGTGTGTATATCTGTACGAGACGATAGCGCATCGCCTGACTGACAATTGCGACAACAGTTCATCATCAACGCTTCCCAGCCCACCAACGACAAGATCTTCGACCCTTCTGCCTTCACCACCTTCCTCCAGTCCCGCATCAAGGTTGACGGTCTTACCGGCAACCTCGGCGAGCGCATCACCGTCACCAACCTCAACGACGGCAAGATCGAGGTCGTCGCCCACCAGGAGTTCTCCGGTCGCTACCTCAAGTACCTGACAAAGAAGTTCCTCAAGAAGCAGCAGCTCCGTGACTGGCTCCGCGTCGTCTCCACCTCCAAGGGTGTCTACGAGCTCCGCTTCTACAACGTCGTTGGCGAGAACGAGGAGGAGGATGACGAGTAAACTTTTTCACCTCAATTTGTAACATCTTTGAGTTGCTGAAAAGAAAAGTTTTTCGTCCATTTGAGGGAATGCCCATTGATGGATTGATATCGTATTAGATACCCCCACAATTCATCTTTTCCCACAAAATCTTGTTCTTCTTATCATCGTGATGCTGCCATCGTGTTCTGTGCTCTTATACAGTCTTGGGCATTCTCTTCTGGTTTCACCGCTTGATAGCGACTTGTGCGCAGTAACCCAAACAACGTACACGTGAGCTGGAGGTATTGTCATGACCACATGCATTCAATATATTATCTACAAAATTCCATTCATACCTAAGATCCTCCCTTGATATCACCGCTTGAATGAAAACCAGTCCTCCCACCATATATACGCCATATTGTACACCAGCTCTAGAACCATGTAAAAGAAAAAAGAGTCTAAACTCAGTATCCTTGCATTTGCAGATACCTCTTCTCATCCCCTCTATCATCACCCGAGTCCCAACTCTGACGTCTGGTATCGGGCTCCAGCTCATGTAGTTGTGTCGCTGTCGCATCCATTTCGAAAATGGGTTCGTTGTTTCCTTCCATCTCGAAGGTGTTTTGCGGTAGCTTGCCATAGAACTCATGGTGGCCACCAGCAGCATCCAACTCGCCACGCCATGGTGCGTCCATCTCGGCTGCATTTGGCTTGCTCGCGCCAGCAATCTCGTGAATCTGCCTCGAGCTATCGAGCTCACCGCCAATAGGTGTACTGACACCAGCGTGAGGATCCTCCTTCATGGGCGACGAGGGTCCGGATGGTGTTTGTGCTGCAGCAAAGGACTTTGCTTCCAACTCCACAGCTGCGTACTTCTTTTGTTGCTTCTTGCGGCGCATGAACCACAGTGCTGCCGCAAGGATGGCAATGACTGCGAGCACACCGATCACGATACCAGCAATAGCACCACCACTGATACCACTGCTCTTGCCGTTTCCATCGAACGAAAATTCGCTGTCAGGGGAGAAGATCGTGCGGATTTCGGATGCTGCATTTTGCTGCCAGACACAAGGAGCGACCGTGAAATTACGGCGTTCGTAGTCTGCGACAACGTATGCCTCTTGGAGGAAGGCACGTCCCAGGGTGTATTGAGTGTCGTTAGCAGCACGCTTCAAAGGGAAGTAGCGAGTCGAGTTGGCCACGTAGGGGAAAGCGAGTTCCAGATCGAAGGCTGAGTAAGGCATTGTAATATTGACCGTTTGTCCTCCTGATGTCGATTGTCCAAGGGTAAATGTGACTTCCGTACTGTCTGCTAGCAGGCGCTTGTGCATAGTGTCGTTGACTAAGTAGTATTCATAGTAATCGTCCCAGACAAGGTGGAAGTTCTCTTCAAAAGCTGTACAGATCACCTCCGGCAGGTAGAGATAAGCTACAGTAGAGTCAATCAAAGCGTAGAAAGATTGAGAGGGCTCTGCCAGTTGGATGTTGTCTGATGTTGTGATGACCTGTACCCCAACGAGGAGATCCCTTGAGACATCAGGACCGAATGGGATTGTCAGGTTAGTGGGTTCGAACTTGGATTGATCATAACCACCAAGTACAAGACTTCCAAAAACTCCAGAGTAGNNCCTGTTACTCATCAGCACTTGCCACAATCTCATTCTTGATATCTGAGATAGCTCACGATATTGGTTGCCAGCAGTATAGCCCCAGCTCAAACTTGGAATAGTGTTGTTTCTCTTAAGTTGTGTCATGAAACTTGGCTGGGGATCTGTATAGGTCGTGAAATTGGCTGGCTGTGGGTTTAGTCCAAAGGTCCCGAGCCAGAACTCGTAAGTAGCCATGTTTGCGATAGTGCTGTGTTGTACTGAAGGTCCGCCAGAACCTTGCCATCCCAAAGTGACGGTGTCAAATCCATAGTTTGCCTCAGCATCCAGACCCAGGGCCATCTCGTTCGGCAATCCCAATTGAAAGATGGAGTTGGGTACCCATGTCAATGACTCGTTGGTCAAGAAAAGTTCGCCGCGTGATTCTGCGCATCCAGATACTGATGATGCCTGACCTTGACATCCTAGTTGCCTCACTGTCCAAGTAGTGTATCCATTTGTCGAGATAAAGACTCGCACGTCTTGCGCCGGTGTACCGACCTGGAGAGGGAAAGAAGACCTGCCACAATATCAGCTTCTGTTCCGCTTGTCGACTGCCCTGTCGCAAAATTCGTGATCGTACCAAGGTCCATCAGCCCCATCCCAGTATTGCGATGCTTCCACATTGATGGGCAGAGGTATATCCGTCGTATTTGCGCGTTTGGCCAATGTTTTTGCAGGAAGTATCGATTTTGCCATATCAGAGAAATCGTAGGATACGGCGGACTCGAGAAAGAGGGCGCTGAGCGCTGCGACTTGGAGGCGCATGACCGAGGGAGCGCGTGACGGTCTTTCGGGCGTGGGCGATGCGTGTTTCGTATACGAGATGTCACAGACGTCGACAGAAAAGAATACCGAAATGATGGACCATTAAAATTTGCTTATGCGGAAGATTGATGGGTACATTAGCAGGGATCATAGGAGACATGAAACAGAAAGAAGGGAAGAAAACACGAGCTGCTCTGTCTCTCTCTTTCTCGCCCCTAATAGGCAGTACCGGCGAGCCACACCACTTGACTCTGAGCTTCTACGTCGCTGAGCGAAAAGGCAACGAAACTCTGTTTGAGAGAACGGCGGCCCCGGATTCTTTTACGCTCTGGCCCTCGTGACGGATGCCCTGACAGCCGATCGTGGTCGCTATATCCGGGTGGTGGTTGTGAGAGATAGAGCGGCAGAAGTGGCCTCGCTTGGGGCATGAAGCACAGTACCTTGCAGATTTCCTACCTGTCAGACATCGTTGACTCGTTTCCTACGGCACGATCTTCTGCTCGCTAGAGGTATTCGCAGAGCCATGAGCATGCACGAACAACGGACGAGCAAAGATCGTTGCTTGGCTTCGTCATACTCTCCTTAGATCCTTTCGGTTCTGCCGAATACGGGACGGTGTGGGAATAAATAGAAAAGCTTGGCTAGCGAAGCGGAAGAGATTTGACCAATTGTAACAATGATGGGAGTCCTTACATTTGACCGAGAGATGCTGAAACATACTCCCGCCTGTCGTGATCAACAACCAATAACTCGATACTTTCTGAGGCAATTTGGTTGACACATTGTATAGTAGACCATGACAGGAGAATTTTGGTGTGCTACCCGGCATGACAATAAGCCTGCTATACTTTCTCGCCACAAGAACTCTACCATGAAATACATAGCTAACTCTTGGGCATCTCGTAACCTTGGCTCTGTACAGAGTAATAAGCTCCAGGGCTTTGCGTAGCAACACTATATGCCAGACCTTCTACTCCTTGGGGACGAGACCTCTGAGGCTGAGATCATACACAACATCTTCGACTTCCTTGACACGGTACTTGATACCGTCGGATCTNCTGCGAAGCGAATCATTCTTAAGATTCAGGATCTGGAATCCGGCATGGAGATGCTTGATGAACTTTGCAATGTGCACAGGACGAGAGTAGTCACCCTGAGTTACGCTGTTGCGAGCGAGACGTGCCNNTATCGAGGATGTTAGAACATTTACACATACAAGACGATTGATCCAGCTCACCAGTTCATCAACCAGAGAGATCAACGATTGAAGGTACTCCTCGATGGTCAAATGGAAGACGTCTGTGTCCTTGACGTTGACGGGAACNTGTAAACAGTCAGATCTTGTTGTTGAGTGGGAGACCCTAGTCTGCTTACTGTTCATAATCTGGCCAACCTCTTCGATGGTCAGAAGACGGCCATCTTGGGATCCAGATCCGATACCAGGGAAGCCACCGAGATAGCCGCAGAGTAGGATCGAGAAGGACNNTAAATTTGGAAGAATCAGTCACCAACGAACAGGACTCTCGGGACCGTGCGAAGACCAAGGACTTACAGCGTCCTGCACATGTCTTGTCCACATGCCATTGTACTTGTAGTAAGGATACTTTGATGCAGCATCTGAGAGCTTAGCGATAGACTCAACTTCCTTGCTGATAGATTCTTGGGCGGAAGAGACGACAGCAGGAACTATAACAAAGTTAGGAAAACTGGTTTGGTAAGGAAGGGAGTCTTACTGACGCTCGTTGTTGCTTGAAGAGTGCGCACGGGAGAGGATAGCCTGAGTTGATCGATCTNNGTCGTTTTGTCAACATAGGACGATCTGCTGTCGAGCAAATGGAATCCAACCTTGCTTTTCAAGTGTTTGCACAATCTCGCGGATTGACNNTTGAGCATTGATTAGTATAGAGCACATCGAGTCATATAAAATTTGTTCGGGAGTGCTTACTTCTCTGACTTCAGTCTCTTCGTCAATCTTCTTCTGCAAGCTCTCAAAAATTTGAGGCTGCAACAGTCCTTGAGTGTTTCCAGACATTTTAATTCTGCGGTGTTGTGTAATGTGGTTTGAGAAGTGTCGGTTCGTTGCTTCGGTGGGCAAATGTTGTGGAGAGCAAAAGCTTCGACTACATCATCACGGTAATACGCGCAGCAAAAATCACGAACAGAATTTCAATGTAGAGTCAATTGGGTTTGATCGTGAGTGAACATGATTTTGTTGATGCACAGTAACTACATGCCGCGAACGACCTCGATGCATCACAGTGGTCAGATATACTTGTACTTAGCACCAGAAGGGAAAACAATGAGATGTGCATACACATCTCGAGCATGAGTGGAAACTTGTAGTATTCTGGTTGCTCGTCGTACCCTTTAGACAAGCAAGATGCTCTGGTAGAGATATACGGCATGAAGCATGCATTATTTCATGCCCTCCACTCTGGTCTGCGCAGGATCGAAGAGAGTTGACCTCCTCAATATTTCCGAAGCCGCTTTATGGCTCCAAAGTTCATATCTTTCGTTCTCTTTCTTTTAATACAAGCTGCTACATGCAGCAACGGAATAACCGAGTAGAGAGTGGTATCGAGGTGGTGGAAAAGTCGAAGTAAGAGAGGCGATCTATCGCATGAGGCCACCTGATTGAGCCATGGCTGCATTCTGCTCCTGGAATCTCTGGCCGAGGCGCTCAGAGCCCTTGATGAACTTGTCGACGCAGCGCATGGTGCAACCCTCCTCCNNCTTTGACGAGAGCTTAGACGAGGTGAAATCATCGACGCAGTGTTCGAAGCAGCGCTGGACAAGGTTGCTGTACATCTGCGGTGGCGGTTTCAGCAAAGGTCTACATCGGGATACAATTGGAGGAGATCATACGTTCATGAACTGCGACATCTGCTTCTTCTCCATGCGCATGGCGAGTTCGCGCTGCTCGTTGGCGTTGAGACTATAACATGATCAGTGCCTAATCGATGGCAGTGCAGATGGACGTAGCATACCCATCCATTTTGTGAATGTGAAAGAGGCTAAGAAACTGTAAAAGGGAAGAGATGTGGCTGTGATACAAGGCTCGAATGAATCTTTCTGTCGCAACCACGAAGCTGCAAGACTGACGACGAAGCTCAATCCATGTGCGGACCTTTCCGAGCGTCACGCCTCTAAGAGCATCTTTAATCCTGCCTCTCTAACCGCTTTCAACCCTCAGACCTGATCTGCGTCGCACAAATCATTTACATATCGAACAGGAAGACGTTCCTCTCGAGTAGTCTGTTTTCTATTGTTGTTGGAATACTGTGTGTGACAAGTTCAGTATCCGTCGTCTATCAGTCTGAAGCCATGCCGTGCAGCCACGACGGCGTCACAGGCTCACAGCATGCACTGCCATGGCCGTTGGCTCGCTCCTTTAGGCGGGCTATAAATAAACAAATGCTCTCGTGCAAATCATCACAGGTCGTCATCAGCAGTCAGATTGGCTTGTATATAGCGTGGATGGCCCCAAGCTCGTATCCTCATCTGCTCCGCATCTACTCCACACAATCTTGGTGCCATCTCCAGGATCTCTACAAGTACAGCAGAGCGACTGGCATGGTTTTGGGATGTTTGTTGAGTGGCTGGTGCCAAGAGCATATCAATATAATGGCCGTCGCAACAGAACAGCGAGGATCTCATTCAACCGGTGCAAACCTGCTTTGACTCTGTAGGGCGCGTCATTGCTCACGTTGGTGTTGGGTGATGTGGTAGTTGGTAGCGATGGCCGGGTGTTTTGTCCATGTAGCCGCGACAAAGCAGGAAAGGCAACCCAAAGCTCTTGCTCATCTCAAACAGCGGAAAGTCAGCCGCCAAGTCCGTCCTCGCTGTGGACTTCGTTGGACTCTTGATTCATCCTCGCTCCTCCGTGCATACATAACCTCTGCGAACGTCCACGTCGTTTGTTATTGATTTCGGCCCAGCCAGAGCTACCACGCAGCAAGACGGCGGGCCTGCATAAATTACACCAGCGCCGAGCATGCCCATGCCGTCCGGCGGGCATCCAGGCGCGACCCTGGCACCTCCTGCGCCGCCCACGACCGCTTCGTCCGCCGAGGCCGTTCAGTCGAAGCGCGACCTGACCTCGTGGTGGAAGAACTTCAAGCGTGCCACACCTCAGAGGGTTCAAGAAGAGAAGGGTAAAGATCTCCACCGTCGTNGCCTTGCTGTCTCATGCAGTTTGCGCAGCGCTTTGTTGTCGCCGCCTTCACATGCTAATCCGTTGCTTCGTCGCGCAGCTCCCCAAGGCATCTTCGGCGTCCCACTCCAAACCAGCATCCGCTACGCAAACGTCGCCATCTCGCTATTCAACGAACAGGGCCAGAGCTACATCTATGGTTATGTCCCTATAGTCGTCGCCAAATGCGGCGTCTACCTGAAAGAGAAGGGTGCGTCTACAATATGTTCGAAACCACACATGCCACACGCTAACCCCGGCCATANNGCTACCGATGTCGAGGGCATCTTTCGTTTAAGTGGCTCTGAGAAGCGCATCAAAGAATTACGCATTGCCTTTGACTCTCCGGACCGCTACGGCAAGGGCCTTGACTGGAGTGGCTACACGGTCCACGATGCCGCCAACATACTGCGCAGATACTTCAACCAGTTGCCCGAGCCCATCATCCCTCTCGAGTTCTATGAACGCTTCCGCGACCCGCTTAAGAATCACCAAGCACAAGCCGTTGGCTCGATGGACATGCAAGCTCCCAACATCGGTCATTTCGACGCTGGCAAGGCTATTCGCGTCTATCAGAGCCTCATCACCGAGCTGCCTCCGCTGAACCGCCAGCTACTCCTATACATCCTTGATCTCCTTGCAGTCTTTGCCTCCAAGTCGGACCTCAACAAGATGACTACTCCTAACCTTGCTGCCATCTTTCAGCCTGGTCTCTTGTCACATCCTCAGCACGACATGGCCCCTCCCGAGTACCGACTCAGCCAAGATGTTTTAATCTTTCTTATCGAGAACCAGGATTCATTCTTGATCGGCATGCATGGTACGGCTGCCGACGAAAAGACTGTCAAGGAAGTTCAGAGCGGCGCTCCTACCCCCAAGACCCCAGGATCGCCGCTTACCCCGGCAAGATCAAGAACTCTCCTTGGCCGCTCATCCTCCAACGCTAGTGCCGGTGCTGAGAGTGTCCGTCTGTTTGGCAATCTTCGCAGGAATGTTTCAGTATCCTCCAGAGCTTCCAAGCGCTCTGGACATCTCCAGGGCCATGTCACGCCTACCCTCGGCAGCCCTGCCAATTCTGGGGGTGTTCATCGCAGTAACACCGTTCCTTCCAAAGCATNNGGCGCATCTCCACACTTCCGTCGCGAGAAAAGCTCAGAACCACCTACTCCTAGTCCCGGTTCTGGATCAAGTCCTCTTCCTATCGTCATTGATACCACATCAATTGCAAAGAACAGCATTTCTGAAGAACATACTCCTATTGCTCCCGCACCTGCTTTGGCTTTCCCAACATCTACACCCGCATCAGTCGTTGCGCCCTCCCCAGCCGTTCAGCCTTCTCACCCTGTACCTCTTGCACCTGAAGTTATATCTGCATCATCTAGCGAAGCAACAACTCCTCTTGCTACTCATGGCACAGAGACCATGGGACTGTTGCAAAGAGAACACACTCAATCCAGCACTACGCCATTGCACATCGCTTCACCTACTGGCGACCGAAGAATGAATCCTGCTGACCGTTCTCCTTCTGGCACCCCTTCTCGCGCTATCTTGGATTTCTTGAAGCCTTCTCCTGGAGGCAGTGACAGTGAAAGAAGAGAAGGCCGCAAGCCTAACAAGCTACAGAAGAAGCGTACTCCTGGAAGCACACTTTCAAGTGCTCACAGCTCTGCTCACTCTCTCCAACACGAACCTGATTCTTTGAACGATTATTTCGCTTCTCCAACCACTCCAGTGTTTGATTCACGCGCCCAGGATTATGTCAACGAGTATGGCAACGATCGTTCTGCATACGCCACAGCTCAAACTTCCCCCAAGTTCATGACTCCGCAGCGGACTGAGACGGATGCCACCCTCAGACCTACAGTGTCGCCAGCACATTCGTTCCATTCTACTGATGTCACTGATGTGACTGATGCTTCTGACGTAGACCACACTGATCAATTTCCATCATCTGCCGAGAAACCAGAAAAGAAACGCCGCTGGCGATTTTCAAGGCAGGCGGAGAGCCGGGAAGGCAACGACCATGTTCGCACAAACTCCAATCTTGGTAATATGAACAGCGCAGACCAGAGCAAGTCTACTATCAGCAGTTCGAGCGTTGGGCAATCTCGGCGTAGTTTCCAGGACAGTCATGTAATGTCTGATCCCGAGTCTATTCTGTCCGACAGTGATAACAAGAAGGGCCCAATGAGCTGGATCAGGAGCAAGCTGAGTGAGCGCAAAGAGCGTGAAGCAGAAAGAAGAGCCCGATCGCCGATCAAGGTTTTGAAGGAGGAGCACAACGATTCCAGGCAGAGTCTCAACACGCCGATGGACAGAGGAAAAAGTATTGAATTGTCAAGACAGCGATCTCCTGCAGCACAGCGAGCTGTACCAGAGACAAGCACTGCCAATGTGCATGGTGCCTCACCACTGGCGACTCTAGACCCACAGCTTCCTGGGCAGATTGACAGAAACACTGCTCCTGTTGCAAGTAGCGAGAGTCAAGCACAGGCTGCTCAAGCCTCAGGAATGGCTCAGTTCGAATCACCTGATGATACTCTGCCGAAGCAAACGCAGCCTTTCGATTCCACTCCGAAGACTCAAACCTAGGTTGTTTGGTGTGGGAGGATGGAAATCTAGTTGCTAGAAGCTCTTGGATATCACGCGTAAAAGGCACAGACAGGAACGGGGTCATGTAATGATGGTTGTCCCTCGATTGGACAAGGAAAAGGAGGCACAGCAGAAGATATTGAATTCTGTGCAACTGGGCGAAATTGTTATACCGTTCAACAGCCACTTTTTGCTTCTCAATTCGAGATTTTATAGTAGGGTCCCTTAAATGGGAAAACATTTTGTTATGGACACTGCTTCTGAGCGCGATTTTCTGAACACACGGTTAGGGCCACAGGTGGGCAAGGTTATTTGCTTTCTCAGTTCGCAGGACCATTATGCAGAATGCCCTATTCATAGCGGTACATGAGTACATCTAGACCAATTGCAAGCAGGTTCCCGCGGGCCTCGGGGAACGTCTTCGGAGTACAGATGCAGTCTTTCAGGAACAAGAAATTGTGTACGAATCAAAAGCAGAAGACGCAGGATCGAAAACCTTGCCTAGAGACGTCTCTTACGAGGTTTACGAGGTAAGCGTGCTGAAACTCGCGTCAGCATGCCACTTGAGCAGCAGACCAGGGGATCCCCCACCCAGACAGCAAAAGTATCGCCTCTAGGTGGAGTATCTGGAGACCGATGAGCCAGGCCAAGGCATAGGCATCCCCAACTGATGTACGTGATCGAAAGCTTGAATCGCCAGTTGGGAGCACTTGCTTCGTGTTTCAAGAGGAGGATCAGTGTGGAGGATCAGACGGCCTCTAAGCAAGTGCTTATGTACAGCTGGGAGCCTGGGAGTCAGTCGATGTGGACCAAGTCTTGCTGCACGAACGGCAAGAAAACGAAGCGCGGCTTAACGTCATGTCCGTTGAGCGACGGACAGCGGGAAGCCGTGCGTCAAAAGCCCAAAGGCGCGTGGCGTACGCAATGGTGGAATGCGCGGGTTTTTGTGATGTCTACAAAACTCGCTGTTTTATCTGAACGCGCTGGTGCGGTTAGGGAATGGTATAGCTGGGTGGCAAGAGGCAAGATGAAGTAGTGGAAGAGGGGCTTTATTTTTGGATTGCACTGCCCAATGGACGGGCTGGACGCAGTCTCGTTGAGTTCGCGTGGTGCTAGAGATCGTGGCCGTCATTGTGCCAAGCTCATCGAGGCTTCGTCGGCCACCCGATCCGAGCAGCTTTCAAGGTTCGACGGCTGCCATCGAGTGTGTGCCGTCCCACGAAGTCTTCCAGGTTTGTCCTTCATATCCTGCAGCATCTGCAGCACTGGTCTTTCTTGCCATCTTTCCCTACATTCGCTCTTGAAAGTCATCTTTATTGAACCGTCTTCTGAAACCGTCGTTGCAGAAGTCGTTGAAGAAGCAAATCTCAAATCTTCAAGGCAGCCTTACGATTGGACAAGGCTTATATCGTATCGGGGCTAGTTATAGTCAGCCACACGTTCGCTTATACACAATAGCTGATCCTGTACGTATCCGTACTTTTGTCTCACTCCTTCTACTCCTCTTCTAACGCGTCTCCCCCTTCAAAGGTTGTGCACCTTTTCTCGACAACACTTTCGCTGTTCACTGCGACGCCATGCCTTCGATCCGGTCACTCCTGTTCGCTGGACTCCAGGTCACTAGCTTTGCGCTGGCCGACTCTACCGATAGCTATGAGGATACACCAGATGTCGGCGGTTTTAGGCAAGCACTGGGCCGTTTGCCGGAAGAGTCTATCCATGCTGCATTGTCTGGACATCTAGGAGGAAAGTACCAGGCTGGTGTGTTCGAGAAGGACCACAGGGCCATGGAGCACATCCACAACGACAACCCCTCGCTGGCTCAGCGTCTCATCGAGATTGCAAAGCACGACGTTGCCGTCCGAGCAGAGTTGCGCAAGAGACAAGATAGCACCGCCGATAACACGACCGTCATTGCCGTCCCTGCCACCACCTCTTCGGATGAGGCATCTTCGACCAGCACCGAGGCCGTCATAGTTACCGACTCGAGCACGACATCCGTTTCCTTGACCACAGAGACTTCGGCTCCATCGACTACCAGTGCTCCTGCATCAACTACTGATTCATCTGTAGCTCCTTCGAGCACCACAGGAGGTGAGAGCAGTGCTGATTTGTCGTCCGCTTCTTCTTCTGCGTTGAGTTCTGCTTCCCCTACGTCGCGCTCGGATACTGTTGTTGCTGCCTCTTCCGGCTCGTCTGTTGTCTCTTCCACCCAGGCCTCGACCTCCGAGACCTCCTCTGTCGCCCAGAGTTCTGTTTCCTCCCAACAGAGCTCTGTTTCTTCTGCTGCTGCTGCGTCTTCCTCCGCGGCACAGTCTTCTGCTCCGTCCTCTACCCGCGAGACTTCACAAACCTCCCAGACCTCTGATGCTTCTTCTGTTTCACCGTCCTCATCCCCTTCTTCTGGTGCAATTTCGTCTGGACGTAGCTCATCAGTTATAGCATCCTCCACCGAAGCCTCATCCTCTGCTTCTTCCGCAAGCTCAGCAGCCTCTTCTTCTGCCGACAGCTCTGCTGAAAGCTCTAGCGCCGCATCCTCTCAGAGCTCTGCCGCTAGTTCTATTGCACCGACTGTTGTCGCCATCACCACCACTAACTCGGCAGGAAGCACTATCGAGACTTCCGCCACCGCTTCCCGTGAGATCGCTGCATCTAGCAGTGAGACCGCTGCTTCGACTGCTTCCGGTGTCCTTGTTCCCGTTGTTCTGTCGAGTACCAACAGCGATGGAAGCACTGTGGTCCAGACCACTTCAGCTTTCCAGGCATCTGCATCCGTCAGTGTTGAACAGACCTACACCACTACCAACTCACAAGGTCGTGCTGTGACCACTTCTGCTCGTTTCCCTGGAGTTGTCGTTGTTACCACTAACTCGCGCGGCTCAACTATCTCAACAACATCGGCTGTTGCCAGTGTTGCTGTCAACCAGGATGGAGACATTGTCACTTCTGTCAATGCACCTGAGCCAAGTGGCAGCACTCGCGCCACAAGCGATTCCGAGGTTGTGACTACTACCGATGAGTATGGCGCCAGCGTAGTCCTTTCTGGTGCTTCCCGTGGAGCAGTCATCACTACTACCGATGCCAAAGGCTCTACCTTCATTACTACCTACACTCCTGGTGGCGGCAGAGTCAGCTCTCTCGTCTTGATGACTACTACCTTGCCCGATGGCGCACCCGCTACTGTGACCTCATTGGCCATTGTTGGTGGTGCACAAGCCGCAACTGCCTCTTCGAACCGTCCCAGCCCCACCAACACTGCCGCTCCTGGCCTGCAGTCTGGTGCTGCTAGCGCATCTCGCGCGCACGTGAAGGGTGCATTTGCTGTTATCGGTGGTGCTCTTGGCTTTGCCTACATGCTCTAGGGCACAATCTGTCTAGAATGAGACAAGAAAGATGTGAAAAGATATACAGGCACATGATGTCTTGTAAATATGTTGCTGCGAGGTTGAGGTTTTCTTTTTCTGTTCTTATTCGACTCCACGATCACGACTCTCCTTAACGTTTTGTACTTTACCATTTAGCATAGCGGGAAATTGGTTCCAGGGAGGCATCTAGACGCTTCAAAGCGTAATGTTTGTGTTTCTGTATGAGATGAGAGTAATCTATCTGCTCTTTTGATTTGCAATCATGTCCGTATGACAACGTGAACCTCGGTGTTGAAAGTTTTTGTTCACATAACCCAGCGTGAGGCAGTCGCGACGGCCCCATCCCTGCTCATCTCGGTGACTCAACTTAGGACTGTCTTCATTCCAAGCGTGTGCAGTCCTTCAAATATTCATCACGACCGCACCGCTACCTCTCCACGCTCTATCTGCCACTAAACACTGAATCCGCACCTAATGCATGAACGACATCTGCATCCACGCCCATACCTACGAGCCTGAATTTCCTGCCATGGTCATCGCAACCCTCAGGCGAATCATCTACATTCGATTGTTCCGAGCCGTCCGCAACACACGCATCTCGCCCATTGGCATGTACCTCGCCTACAAGGGAACCGGCCTTGGAGATGTCAAGATGTTTGAGAACATGAGCATCAGCGACTTCGTGGCGATCTAGGAGCCGTACAACGGAAATGCTCAACCTACAGACATTGTTGGCAATCCGAAGAACGTCAGGTCAGTAACCGCTGGAGCTTGATATGTAGCAGAGCTGATTCGGACGCAGGAGGAAACACAATTGCATTCATCCCAATTGTCAGAGGTGGCATGTCTAAGCACTTCATATGGAGGATGAAATGTCTTGTGGTGTATGATGCTGCGAGAAGAAAGGAATGGGTAAGATCCTGAGAAGAGGTGTGGATGATTAGACTTTTGAGCCTCAAGGTGCCGAGCGTTGGCTGACGGCGGGTGACCATCAGACCGAGCCACAGTGCCCTCTACCTGAGCGGGGTTCTGTATCTGGACAAGAAAACATCCTACGCATAGAAACCTTCAATCATTCGTGTGCGTTGCTGGGAAGCACTCCTCATACACCTAGCCGTAGCAACAGCGGAGACGTCCGACTCGAGCCGAAGCTTACGGTGTTCGCAGTCTCTTGGTCATTTATATCGAGTAACGCAAACACAGGCGCATGCAGACTCGATAGTAGACGGGTTCGCAGAGATTTTCATACCAGAGCTACCTTTGACCCTACACCTCTTCTCCAGACCCATAATAACAAACGACAAGATGGTTCCTGCACTAAGAAAGATCCTCATCATCAACCCAAATTCGACGAGATCCATGACAAATGCGCTCAAGCCGCTGGTTGACTCTCTGGGCTATTCATCGGTATTTATCACATCGCTACAAGCCCATTGAGAAACAAGAGCAACGTCTGAGTTTGCATATTCGAACAGANCACAGCACACATATTTCACGGCACCTTCAGGACCAGCATCCATCAACAATGAAGACGACGCGGCAGAGTCGGCGAGACACTGTTTAGAACCTCTGCTTCCACTGCTCGAAACACATGACGCTTTCCTTGTCTGCTGTTACTCGGCACATCCTCTGGTTGGACAGCTCAAGGCGAGACCGGAAATTGCTGGCCGTCGCAAGCCGGTGACTGGTATCTTCGAAGCATCTATCAGTAGCAGCTTGCAGGCCATCGGACCCGGCGAGCGCTTTGGCATTGTGAGCACGGGTAAGGTCTGGGAAGCGACGTTGCGCGAAGCTGTGGATAACTATCTAGGTGTTGAGGACAACACCGAGGGCAGTGCAGCATTCGCTGGAGTGCAGACGACGGGGCTCAATGCTACAGAGTTACATGACACATCACCAGTCGAGGTCCGCAGCCGTATGAAGAAGGCAGTGGCGAGACTGTTGATTGACGATGCTGGAGGTCCGGTTGGAGCGGTATGTCTTGGGTGCGCAGGTATGGCCGGATTTGATGACATGGTCAGAGAAGCAGCTATCGAGACATTGGGTCATGGTCAAGGATCAAAGGTGCGCATCGTCGATGGTGTTGTAGCCGGTGTGACATGGCTAGAAGGGGCTCTACGATCAGGGATGTAGACTACAGCAACTCATTCATTCAAGTGTTGTATTATTCATTGACTGTGATGACATGTTTGGAAATGCGAATATTAATGTCACTGGTATATCGGGCTTTGTTCGGAGAGAGGCTGGAGCTCCTGGAGCGGCCGAGGCTTCAATCTCCAAACAAATGTCCAAGCAGCAACACTTTCTTTAGGAGTAACCTGGTCACTCGCAAACACACAATGGCGACGACAGAGACGAAAACAAAGACAGTCAAGTCGCATCCCATCGAAAGCTGGGATGACGGCCTCTCGCCCATCTATACACACTTGCACCCGCTGCTCCTGCTCGGTCTCTTCTACTACCAGTTCCCCTCGCTGGTCGAGAAACCCGTCGACACACTTCCTCAGACGGCTTTGGGTGTCGCTGCTCTACAGCTGCTATATCTCTGCATCTGCATTCCTCCAAGCAACCAAGCTCAACTGCCTCAGCGCGGAAAGAAGAAGGGAAAGATGGCCCAAACCCACCAAGGAGACACTGGCATTGGAGCCAAGTTGGTTGTAAGTGTCGCGCAGGTCAACTGGACTCAAGAACCTTTGCATTGACGGATATACATAGNNCCTGGCATACTCTCCCTCATCCTAGCCATCACGCTCGGTGCTCCTCTCATCGCTATCGTCCTCATCCTGTTTGGTGCTCCGCTCACCTCCCACCAAGCCCATACTCTCTACTGCGGACTCCACATCTCGCTTCTCGCCGCATACCCTATCTTCTACGTCCATGGTGTCGACGCTGTCAAGTGGACTGAGGTCGGCGCATTGGCTGCCCCCATCGATGAGGTCTTTGGTGCCACAGTTGGAACACTGATTGGTGCTTGGGTGGGCGCTATACCCATTCCTTTGGACTGGGACCGCGAGTGGCAGAAGTGGCCTGTCACCATCTTGGCTGGTGCTTACATTGGATATGCGGTTGGCAAGGTCGTGGGTGGTTCGCTTCTCAAAGGTTCGAAGATCAAGATTGCATGAGGGAATAGGTGGCATTGGTCAGAATCAATAACCAATCACGGAAGATAAGCCTGCTTACGACCACTTGTCCGACATACAGGCGAGGGCAGACAAGGGCGAAACGCCAACCAGCCTCGAACAGAGAGACGGTCAGGGAAGCATGGCGACGCTGGTCTCGGCTACTCCTAGCTACGAGGTGACGCCCAGGCAGCCAAACAAGAAAGTTCACGCAATGCGATCAGATAAAGAGAACAAAAGACCAAAAGGTCGCGCCAATCGACTAATATCGATACTATGCCTCGCATGAACCATCGACTTGGCATTACTGTATCATTATACAATTTCTCCAGACGACCTCCAGATTACTCCAGATCATAAATTAAAACATGGGAGGGCGCATCTATCAATAACACCTTCGCCTCTTGCGAGAGAAATATCAAACGATGGCATCTCACAGTCATATGCATCATCACAGCGGATCGTTGGTACAACGTAGCAATTGATCGACGCTTCTAGAGATCTAATAGAAGACAGAGAATCGTGGGGCAGCGAATGACAGGCAACGGGCGACTGCAAGCGCAGGCAAAACGACGCATGTCTGATGCTGCACGAAATGCTTGTTCGGCCAGTCGCTGTCCCTGCGCTGTTCATATCAAAAGGACGCTGTCATGGATTCTGTCGGTAGATTTGGCAGGTCAACATGTGCGTGAAATTAACCGTCATATGGTCATGGCGAGTGACATCTCTCCTGATGTCTTCGGATGTGCTGGGTTTCAGCGCAAACTTCCGGGTCTCGAACGGCTGAAAAAGACTGCCGAACAGAAAGCGCGATCGCAGACATGTCCGGGACCGGAGCAATCGAATTGCGAGTATCAACACTTTTTTCATAAGCAAGCCGCAACTCCCGCTTGTTTGCTTGCTCATCATGACAATCTCCGTTGCCTCCGTGTCCGGTCTTTCCCACCCAAAAGGTTCACATTAAAAGACAAAGAAAGTGCCGCTCGCAGTCGCGCGTGAAGATTTCCAAGACCCTTCGAATTACAAACGGCGCCCTGTCAAATACACGAAATACTCTCGGTTTGCCCCACTACCGCTTTGGCAGCACTCGCACTCCCAACCACTTTTCTTCGAGAACAAATAAACAACCCCTCTGCGCCACTCCTCATCTTGACTTGAACCTTTTCTCTCTCCACTTCTCACACGGATTACAAGCCAATTGACCTTGACCACCCTCTTCGACGCCTCCCGTCTGTCCGTTCTCGCCATTGAGTCTTTATACCCCGCCAACCCCGCCTATCCGATCGACCATCACTTCCTGAATTTCTGGGCACGCGACAGAAGTCCGAAGCAGTCATAGCATAAAACAGGTCACCTCATCCACCAGGCAGCGACAAGTATAGGATTTATTGCTGTACGGCCCTTCGTGCCGATACACTCGCCTGATAACCACCATGATTCCTTCCATCCCTCGTCTTGAAGACTACGAGGTCTCCGAGAATTATGGCTTCCTTCCCTCAGAGTACCCTCTTGAGGTACTTCCCGACACTTACTATAGACCATGGGAGGCCATCGTCAGAAACCTCCAAGGTCTGATTCTGGGCAAGAGATTGCGAGGAGTTGTCGACAGCCTTCCTGTCTTGTCTACTGATTACCTTCGCTCAGATGCCGAATGGCGTCGTGCATATGTAATGCTTGGATTCATCTCACACGCCTATATCTGGAATGGAGACCGACCGAAGGAGCGAGTTCCTCCCAGCATCTCAATTCCCTTCAAAGCTGCTTGCAAGCATCTAGAACTGCCCACTGTCGCCACATACGCTGGAGTTGTGCTGTGGAACTACCGACCTCTCTTCGACGATGAGGGCATTGACTCTCTGGACAACCTTTCTACTCTTATGACATTTACTGGCTCGCTGGACGAGTCGTGGTTCTACCTCGTCTCGGTGGCCATCGAAGCTCGCGGTGCTCCCATAATTCCTCTAATGCTGCACGCCATGGAAGCTGCTCGCCGAGGTGATAAGTTGCGAGTGACAGAATGTCTGCGCTCATTTGCCGAGCGCCTTGACGAGCTCGCCTCCATGCTAGTGCGCATGTACGAGAACTGCGACCCTCATGTCTTCTACCATCGCATTCGTCCTTTCTTGGCTGGCAGCAAGAACATGCACGAAGCTGGTTTACCCAATGGCGTTATCTTCGACACAGGCAGTGAAGACGATTCATACGTTCAATACAGTGGTGGCAGCAATGCTCAATCCTCTATCATCCAATTCTTCGATTTGGTCCTTGGAGTCGAGCACCGTCCTACTGGCAGCAAACCCAGCGACACACCAGTAGCAACAGTTCAACAGGGACCTTCGGCAAACTTCATCCACGACATGCGCACATACATGCCTGGCCCACACGCTCGCTTCCTCGAGCACGTAGGCACAGTTGCCAACATTCGCTCCTTCGTTACCACAAATCGCCACGATCGTGCCCTCGCTGGCGCTTTCGACGCTTGCCTAGCCATGCTGAGAAATTTCCGCGACAAGCACATTCAAATGGTGTCTCGCTACATCATCGTGCCATCTCGCGAGTCTCGCAGCAGCAATGCTCGTTCCCTCTCGCCTACACACAGAAAGGACTCGGCATCACCGCAGCAACTCAACATTGCAGCTGCAAGTTCCGAGAGCAAAGACAAGAAGAACCTCAGAGGTACTGGTGGCACGGCATTGATTCCTTTCTTGAAGCAATGCAGAGATGAGACTGGCGAGCCCGCTATTGATGCTTGGGCTAGGCGCTTGCTGAACAACGGACCCGGTGCCGCCGAGCTGGGTGGCGCTAGGATGGGCAAGCTCGGTGAACATGCTTCTGGTGAGACTGCCGTGCTTGGACTTGCCGGAGTATGGAGCATGGACGATTCTGATGGAGGAATCTGCCATTGGTAAAACTCACCTCTTCACCTCTTTCTTTGTCATTCTTGTTTCTGGGGCTTTGGTCTCTTGTTTGTCAATCGAAAAAAGCGAAGGAGTTTTTGGCGTGTGGGACATATCAGCTTTTGCGGCTCACGCCTATGAGTGGGATGGTACGAGGCATGCGGGACATGTGTACAAATGGTTCTTTTTATAGTGTATCGAATACAGAGAATGTAATATCTCTTCTCTTCTTAGATCAACTGTCTACATTGCTTTCTCCTTGTGCATCGCTGTCTCCTGAGCCCACCGACGCTTCTGCAAGATGATGTTTGGGAGGAGCTAACAAGCTGGTTGCTTTCCCGACATGGTTCGACCTCTCGCAAGTATTACTGCTTTCTACTGCTTACAAGCCGAGACGGAGGTCTCGTCTCGTTCCGTCTTAGAACCTTGGTCCGAGGCAGTCCAGATATGTACCCGTTCTGTGCCTCGGTAGTCGTAGTCTTTTGACTGTTACCAGAAGCGCTCTTGTCGCTGTTCTCAGATTCTCCGACCAATCGCCTTTCCTAGCCGTTGATCATGGCCAAGAAGCGAGCCTGGCGCTGCCCTGCAGATGGCCGCGCGAATGCCCTGGTTCGGCTGGAATTGTCGTTGTTCCTCAAAGGTAGTCCTTCTTGCGAGCAGTGCGGGTGTATTGGTTCATGTGCCACTCGACGTCACCATCCTTGTTCTCGAGAGTGCCGGCTCTGATCTCGAACAAACGCATCGTCATGCGAGGACCGACCTCCGCCAACTCGACGCTTTGGTATCCGGTCTTGACGAAGACGTGGTGGCGGACCTCGATGCTGTCGTCAATGTTCTTGAATGTGACGACACGGGAGCCGAGTTTTGCTGAGGGCTCGCGAGGGGGGAAGAGATGTTGTAGGATTTTGACGACACGGCGTCCCAGGACAGTTGTGAAGCCCTCAAAGATCAGGTGAGGATAACTCTCGCTGACGGTGCCGCGCTCGGCATTGGGGATATCGGCACGAAGGACGACGTTGTGCAGGGAGAAACTGGCGGTAGGGCCGTGAGGGAAGTGGCTGATGGTCATAGCAGTAGGAGTACCGCGGTGCTCGTGAACCAGAATCATATCACT